AAAGAAAAAAGACAGAAAGAAACAAGAAAAAAAGAAAGAGACGAATAAAGAAAAAAAGAAAGAAAGAAAGAAAAAAAGAAAGAAGAAAGAAAGAAAGAAAGAAAGAAAGAAAGAAAGAAAGAAAGAAAGAAAGAAAGAAAGAAGAAAGAAAGAAAGAAAGAAAGAAAGAAAGAAAGAAAGAAAGAAAGAAAGAAAGAAAGAAGAAAGAAAGAAAGAAAGAAAGAAAGAAAGAAAGAAAGAAAGAAAGAAAGAAAGCCTTACTTTGACAATTTCATTTCTGTCAACTTGATAGCCATACTGTCCGTTATTGTCGGTTCCGCTGACCTGCGTGGACTTGATTTTGTGCTTACGAGGCAAAATTTGTTGAAGACTTTGAGCTGGCCAAGATCTACCATAAGACAAAGCTCTGATAAGGAATCCACCGGAACGATGATGAGTGGGGCTTGGATGGTTATGTTCAGCTTGTTTCGAGACCCGTATTCTCTTATACTGGCAACCTTAAAAAAACAAAAATAATGACAGAGATTTTGATATCGAACAGAAAATTTTTGCTAATCTTTAGAACTGATAGACTTATAGAAATATAGAAAGCCTGATTATATCAAAGCCATAGCTACACGCATGTGTGTGCAGGAATAATTCCTGAGGAATTCTAATGAAATTCAGAAAAACCAAAACAGTCTGATCAAACCAGGAAATAGGTAAAGGATTCATCTAGATTCTGTCATTAAATGCCAAAGAACTCTGTTTGGATGCCCAAAAAACTATTAGAACCGTGTCAAACAGTTCCCGTTGAACAGGGTCTGATCACATGCAGTCGCGTGAACTAATCCGGAAAATATTTCGGTCTATTTCTATCTGTCGTCTGATCATCTTCTTGTTAAGCTTTGTATTCTGTTATAGCTTTCTGTCTTCGCTTGATAATGGGAAATGCTCGAAACATCGTTGATATCATCAGCTCTTTCTTTCCGTGTACAGTTTTATTCTAAATCAAAAATTGTATTGAGCTCTAAAAGGAACAGACCAAAGTGGTCCCCGTGTAACTCAGGTATCTGGATTCAAAAATGAATTCCGATGCTTGAATAGAAACGAAGAAACAAACAAACAAACAAATAAATGAATAAACTGAAAACAAACAACAGATGTGTTGAAGAACTTACAGCTGCAGCAGTAGATTCAACAGCAACTTGGCGTGCCTTGTCTGCTGCTTGCTGGGAAATTTGAAAGTTGTCCAAAAACACCTGAAATTCAGACAATTACTAATAAGCTTTTTGCAGCAAAATTCGGCACGGATCGATAAAAATTGCTTTAAAAAAATCATGTATCGATCTGTTACTTATTGATCAACATCTGATGGCTGCAGAACAATAACAGCTTTTGAATCCTAAGCAAAATGTTTTCGTTTCTTGGCCTTAAAATGACGTCTTTTATTCCTGATGACACAAGCGACATTAAACATGGTAGATTAAAAAAACGGTAGATTAAAAAAGCGTTTTATCAAGAAATTAGCGAGAAGCTGACTGGTTAAAGAACAGCTTATAGCCCTTATTCATTAAAACCTTTCGTGACCGATAGGCCTATTTTCAAATTCAGATTCGAAAACCCACGAGCAACTCATTAGTTTGTTTTCTTTCAAAGTACAATGTTTTATATGATAACAAAAGACATGACAATTTGGCAGCAAGTCTGATATTTCAAAATATACTGGAACAAATTCACCGTGAGCTACATGACATTACGATACCGAAAGAAGTATTACTGTTGTATGCTGGCTAGAAAAACTCACCATGAGCTCCATGACAAAACGATGAAGGTAAACTCCTTTCATTCTTCCTATGATGAGCCGCAGCGACAAATCAACAGCATCCATATTGCTGATATTTGCGTCTTCCGTAGCATCATTAAACATCACCAGCTCCAAATCAAAAACTTCCTCGTTGTCCATGAAGATTATCTATGACCGATTACAAGCCAATTTTAACAAGACGGTAAAGTTCAAAAGTTATTTGATAAAAAGAGGTTTTTTACCAAAAATGGTAAGAATTGAACACTCAGCGACAATTGTATCCGGCGTTCATCAAAATAAGGAACTTCTTCGAGTAAGTACGGTATCAGGACTGTCCAAATATGACTTTGGCCATTCATAAAATAATATTTAAACATGGCCTAAATTAAACTTCTATGATGTTCTATTAGAAAATTAGCTCTAAATGCAAATATTTCACAAACAAAAGGCTACAGACACCTAATTCTTTATAGATAGTTGGCCTTAATTAGCTTCTTTATAGCTATCAGACGTTCATTTAGTACGCCAACTTTAAACAAATTATTTATTATTATTATTATTATATTATTATAGCCCCCATCTTGCTTCATAATTTGAGACAAAAGCAGTTTCTAATGACAGAAAGCCAGTGCACGAAGAGCATTCTATGAGAACGAATCGCAGACCAGTTGATTTAAACTCACTTGGTGATAAACTGTTTCTTCTGAACAATCCAGAACTTGAAGATCTTTCATCCTTAACGACAAAACACAGTTTCAGTTAAAATCACTTTAATATTTTGAATTTGATATCTTAAATTTAAAAAAATATATTTTCTAATTCGCAACATGTATGAAAAAACATTTTACAAAAATACGTGTGTAGCAAAAATATGGAAAGTTGTACCCATCCAGTGAATGTTAAATAATTGACAGCAAAAAGATAAGAAAGATAAAATATAAGATAAGAAAATTTTTATTTTTATCTAAAAATATAGTATATATCCAGTTTCAGGACTTTTAAAACTATCAGGGAGTTTTCTCGCATCTCAGTAATTCACACATGACAGAGAAAAATGGGTCTATGTGGACGATTAGACTCCGAGGACTCTCTGGATATTTCTTGAAATGGGATTTGGATGTTTTAGAATTTTTGTAGAACAATTTTTGTTTTTAACAAAAACTATTCTTTAATAGAAAAGCTTTTTCACTTCGAAAAACTTCAGGATTACAGTTTGTAAATGCCTAATGTTTCTAGAGACTGTTTTCGTATGACATTTGGTTGAGGCAAGTGAACAAAAACTGAAACTTGCAAATGGATTACAGTTGATTTGACATGTTCCGTAGATTTTTAGAACCAAGACCAAATGAGTAATTTGATAGGGAAAGATGCTGTGTTCGCAATTAAATGATTTTGTACATTTAGAGGTGCCTCATTCAATACCTATTTAATAATGCCTTTATAAGTAAACAGTCCAAATTCAAAAATTCTAAAATGTTTGTTGTGCCATCAACGCTTTGGAACTCTCTAACAGTCTCTACGGAACTCTACAAAGGAGTTGAGCGATCTGTTCTACCTCGCTTGGATTTGTGTTTTGTTTGATTGCATTTCTACCCTGGACGAAAGGCCTGAAAAGAAAATTATAAATATGTGATTTCAGTATTGATCTTTGTGGAAAGCTGGCATCGCGCAATTAAGTAGATTGCTGGATGAGTTTTGTAGGCCAGAAAAGATACTGCAAGGAAAGAGTACAGTGCTGGAGGAAAATGAGGAAAATATCGAGAAAATTATTGGCCATGTGAGAATAGTGAGCTGTTACCTTTGAAGTACGCTTTTGCAAGATTTGTCTTGGCTGAGCAGATCTGCAGATCAACACCCTCCATCTCCGCATTTACACGAATAAGCAGCTCATTTGTAACCCCCATCTTTTTCTTTAAAGCTACAATGAAAAACAAGATTTTGCACCACAGAGCGAGAAACCAGACCAATTTAGACGGACAATCGTTCTCAATGGAACCGCGATACACACGTCTCTCGTCGCAAAAACATTGGAAAAAATAGTGGGAATAGCATACATTCAAATCTCTTATATCATTATGAATGTGATTGGGGCACAAAAGTTGCATCCATGTTAATCCTAGGGCGTGACTTGAGCATCATTTGAGAGATGGCTTTAGAGAGACTTCAGTATGCATTAACTATAAATATGCCGTCTTGACAGATAAATTCAAAGAAGAACTCAAACCTATAGCATCTTGCAACTGGTTTGCTTTATCGATCGTAGACCGCCTTCCATCAAGAGGTGCTTCGTCTTGCTCGCCAATAAGAGCTTCTGTCTTTGATGTGATAGCCTCAACCTGAGCTTTAACCTCCATAGATCTAGAGAAAATGAAACGTAAAAACAACACCTAAGAGCTACAATGCCTGCCAAAAGTACTTGGAACACCCAGCAGTGCATTGCATTTTATATCTTTGATTCCTTTTCCTAAAAAAACACTACTTACGCCCCCTTCCCACTAAAACAATGTTGGTAATTTAGAGAATATCAAAAAAGAAGCGCAGAAGAAAATGCTTCTTAAAATCCTAACCCGTTTCATGGTAAACCAACATTGTTCTGTAGGGGAGAGGGGGATGATTGATTTTGACCTTGGAAATTGATGTCAGTGTTCCAAGACTTTTGACAGGCATTGAATTTTCTTTGACGATTTTTTACAAGAGACTCTTAAATGAGAGCTTCATGTCAGGTAAAACAATAACGTCAGAATACTTGCTTATTTACTAAATAGGCCGTCCTGTTCTACACACCCAAAAGCGTGTACAGCCCTGCCTATACGATATAGAGCATTTTATGACAGAACGGTAAAAGTAATTTTCATTAATTTCGTAGTCATATTACTTCAACGACAATGCAACTACACATTGCAAGTTGGCTGTTTGATTTGCAAACATTTTCATGTAAGGCGATACTTTGAGATGTGATTGAAATAAATTGAGAAAATACGGATAAAAAAATCGATGGCAATTTGATGGGCAACTAAAAAAGCGATGACACTCACTCAAAACTCGTACTAATTCGGTTCATGAGATCCATTGCCTTCAATAGAGCCTCTTGGTGAAGAATCACGTGAACCATTGCAAAATTGATGTTTATGATTTGTTCTGTCGACTCAAATTCATCTCGATAGTGCAGCATTGCTCTGTGTGCCTGCATGAAAGCACAATTTAAGGTAAAAAAGACGAGCTAACAACAAAGGAGATACAGCTGCTATGTTATGAGGTGCGGTGCGATGGGATAATTAGCAAAAGAGGGTTTTAAAGCACGAAAAACAAGACTATGTATGCAAATTCCTTCAATCTGTACTTTCAAACAAAGATATTCTCTCATTGAAAAAGTAACTTGGGGATGACTAATTAATCGATAATTTCGCGGGCTGTGGGTCAATTTTTATCTTCGCCTATTTATTGTTCAAAATCCTGAGAATATTTAGGGCTTCAAGAAAAGGACTGAAAACTTTGAAGCTTGGGAAAAGGGATTGTGGATACAAATATACTACTGACAAAAATGAAGAATAAAAGAAGGAAAACGAACCTCATCAGTAAACACCCAGTTGGGACCAAGCGTTACCATTCCATTGAAAAAGCACTGGTGAAAAATAGGGAATTAGAAAGACAGGGTAAAAATAAACCACATAATGACTTGTATCTTGGAAAGTTGAAACACAAATCACACTTAAAAACACTTAAAAACACTTAAAAACACTTAAAAACACTTAGCACTTGAAAATGGCACGAAATACCGCAAATACAAAAAGATAGCGGAAAATATCCCACCCAACTTAGCACTTGGGTGGGCGGGGAGGCAAAAAACGTTTTTTTTCTACGAAGAATGAGTACACTGTGTTTGGCCTCTTTTGGAATCGACAGCTCATAGCCAGAGAAGTTTTGTTTTATATCATGTCTATTGTATTTCATTTACATTTAATTATGTATATAAACACAAAATGTTTCGTTTTTCGGGCATTTGCAGCTTTTACCTCTTGTTTTATTTGTTATCAGATGCCTGTTTTCGTAATTGTCTGGGGCAAAAGGAACCAAGTTTAGTTTTATATAAGATTTATACAAAATGTCGAGCTTGCAATTCGCAGCAGACTGTCAAATGAAAAGCAACATTTTGAGAGAACTGAAAAAATAAGACAGTTTAGCAATAATTGTCTACTAAGACTTGAATGTCTCCAAAGTTTCCTTAAAGACTCATTGCTAACAATGAGCCATTGCGCTACGTAAGCATCCCATAATGCATTTTTAGACTGTCTAAAATCAATTACTGCCATTGTTTGGACCGTCGCCACGCTCGCAAAGGCCCATTGTTAGCAATGAGTCTTTAAGATCACCTTCTTGTAATTTTCTGCTTTTTTTATTGTTAAATCCGACGCATTTCTTATGTATTTGCTGTTTTTAACCTTTTTTATTGCTATTGAAAACTGATAAAGTCAGAAGAAGATTGAAGAGAAGAGATGAAAAGCTGAAAGTGACATAGGACAGACCTGACTCAGGACACCATACCTAGATACAGCATCGATGCAATGAAACTGCGGATGCAGAAGGCAATATTTACCATGGTTGTTAAAGACGACTGAAAACCTTAAGCGTTGAAATTCCACTGATACGTAAAAAGCGACCCACCTGTCTGTACGTAACTTTGAGCAGATGACTGTCTTCTGGCGTGCTAAGAAGTTCGATTGGTCCACCATCAATCCCTTGAGTCATTTCCCTTAAAAGCAGTCTCCGTATAGCAGCGTGGGCAACCAAATCCCATCGACATATCTTCACTTGACTCTCAATGTCATCAATAACAAAGCTTAAACAAGGAACAAAGTCTCTGAACATATCAGACATGCCTATATCTAGCTTGATTTTCTTCACAGTGAAATCTACGTCCAGCTTGACTTGGTTTGCTATGCTGGCATCGAATGTTGGACCAACGCTGAAAACGACAAAGACAATTATAACAACCTAAACATCATTATCTTTCTTACTCCAAAATAGCACCAAAAACCATCTTTATCTTAAAACACCACATTCCGGAATAGCAAACCAAATAAACGAGAATAATCCGGTCTGCTTAGGAAAGGTAGCTTCTTTGCATGTAAACAGAACAAATCGTGCTTTGCTCAACTAAATTACGTGCATCTCTAGCAAAAATACAAACTTAATTCAGGCTAAGAAACTCAAATGTGGAGCCCAGTTAATGGCTAAATAACTACAATGAACAGAAACTCTGACCCAAAAGATGGTTATAAGGTGGATCTCCACATAAGGTGGATTTCCATTTAATTCGCGGATCGAGTCAACTTGATTCGGATCACATGAATTAGCGTGTTGTTGTACCATTCAATGCACGCGAGTAACTGAGAAAACGCAGAGGTACACGCTAATTCTCTGATTTATTACCTTCCCTTTGGTGACTCTGGTGGCGTTGAATAATAACTTTCTTCGGATGTTTCTCTTTCAAATATAAACTGGAATTTGTCACAAGTTCTTTCAATGCTGCTAAAATGGCAATTTTATTTACAATTTTGTCATATATATTTATTTTCTTGCATTTAATTTTTTGCGCTTTTTAAGTGCAGTTCATCTTTACAGGGGCACTAAAATTTAATGTATTTATCTCTGTTTTTGATATTACAAAATATTTATCAATTTGTATAGTATCATTAAAACCATGCTAGTCACGATAAAATTGTTATTAACTCATTTTTAAAGACATTTTTACGATAATCATCAATTTTCATTTACGTTTCAAGGGGATCATAAACATAAATTATTGCTTACGAAACAATTAGCAACTCTCTAGTTCGAAGTTTGATCAAGTTTGAATATCAGAAATAGGCAGATGATTGGGGAGAAAAATATGGCACTGGTGTTAAGAAATACCCTACTAGAGTTGCCTTACAATTTATCTTTAGAATTTAACAGGGAGTTTCAGCAACCCAGAGCGAATTCTTGATATCTAAATTCCCAATTTTCTCGCAAGATGAGAAGAGGCTTCCTAATGGATAAGTTAAATGTTTATAGTGCTAGAGTTAGACTGGTCCAGAAGACAGAGAGAGAACAACCAATGCCTCCAAATAATGTGTGAAATCCTTGATGGGTACCACTTTTTGGGAGAAAAATAAACTTAATGTTATATGATCTTATTTTTTATGGATTTATTCTTATTTTTTTATGATATAAAAGCAGCAACGATAAACACGTCCACGAGATTATCCAATGGCAGCACATGGAGTCGAAAATAAATTCTTTGGAACTGGAGTTTACCTCTCAGGAATATTTGTGATCGGGCTGTCTGGTGGGGTCCCGAATTCCATATTCTCTTCGTCATCATCATCATCTGAGTCAAAGTTGAAAAGCGAATCCGGTGCAGCAAGATCAACGGCAGCAACATGACCTATTGCTGAGGGCTGAAAAACAAGGCAAAGATGAAATCTGTAAGATGAAACCTATTGCCGAGGGCTGAAAAACAAGGCAAAAATGAAATCTGCATGCATTAGTTGAAAACGTACAAACACACTCAATAATTACTTGATTCAATTCAATTCATTTAATTTAATTCAATTCAATTCGTTTTCATTCACAGCAACTGACTGGCATACAAGCAAAACCAGAAATAAAAGTAATATAAAATTACTGAGCATAAAAAATTTAACATTTTGAATAAATAACATTAACATAACAACCAACAATTAAACATAGTTGTCGGACATGTGGAAGAAAGTCATATCGAGCCACATACGCAACTTGTTCTATTGCAAGCTCCAATACAGCTTCCAGGCTTTATCTTCAGCCTTTAGACAACAACAAGCGAGAGCTGGTATCACATTAAGCTTAGGAATCGAGTTTAACATAACGAAAATCACATGCGTACCTTTTTTGCCAACTTCTCTTCTACTTTTTCTGCTGGTTTCAGCTCATCAGAAGCAAGATTTGGAATTGGAATGCTTGTTGCAAGCTGAAAAATAAGAGCACAACTTCAATACACCAAACATAACATTTTCGATTCCCATTGTAATGATGCGAAAATTATGTTTTTCGAAAACTAAGAACAACCACCCTGCAAATTATGACAAAGATTCTTGAGCAAGATTAAAAACTGTAAACTGTTATCACAAAAGAATTTTCAAAAACATTCTCAAGGGTTCTTGGGTTTAGTTTTGTTCAGTTTTTTTCAGTTTCATATTTTTTTAAATTCTCAACATACAATTTATATATCATTAATACTAAGAAATTATTAAACTAAACTACATAATAGCATAAATACAAATATAGGACAAAATAAATTGTATGAAGGGAATTTTTAAAGGAGGAGATCTCTCAATTGGTAAACTAATCGAGAGGAGACCCCTCCCCCCCCCCCCACTATTCTAGGGCAGTAATTGAGCAGTTTTTTATTAGTTTCAATACAAAGTAATTGGCTAAAATGCATATACTTTTCACATAAAAATAGGGACATTCCAATTAATTAAAATCAACTGGAAAGACTCAGAACGGTAGTTTAACAGTTATACTAGCAAACTGGTTGATCTTGTTCAAAAAGTGAATTTTAAGTTTCGATTTGAGAGATGCTTTCAATGGAGAATTTCGTAGTTCATAAGGTGAATTATTCCACAGTTTAGCACCAATATATCGAATCGACTTAAGCCCATATTGAAGACTATTTTTACGGGACAAATATAAATTACCTTGATTGGCCTGTCTTGTGGAATATCGATGAACAGAGGAACTCAATTGGAAAAGTCATGAAGGCAAGGGCAAGTAGGTGAAGTTTTCTTGACAGAATCAAAGACAAAAGTCAAGAGACGGAGTTAAAAAATATCAGAAAGTTATAGAAGTCTGAGATCTTTGAAAATTTGAAGTGAGGAGGACAAGCCTGGCTGAAATGAAATAGGGGGGGGGACAGGCCTGGCTAATTTTTTTGTTAGATTAGACAAATCATTGGATTCACAATAGATTTTTGTATCATCAGCAAAAAGATAAAACTTTAGTTTCTTGGAAGCATTAGGTAGATCATTGTTGTATATAAGAAACATTAATGGTCCTAGTACAGGTCCTTGTGGAACACCGCAAGAAATTTCAAGCAAGTCAGAATTACAGCCATTAACAGAAACAAATTGCATTCTATTAGAGCGATATGAGCTGAACCATGCACATCCACAAACACAAGTGTTCTAGTTAAGAGAACAAGGTGCTATGATTAACAGTGTCAAAGGCCTTTTGTAGATGAATGAAGATAATACAGCGAATCCTTTTATCATCAAAATATTCCTTACAGCCTCTGTTAGACTCACTAGAGCATGATCGATGAAATGATTTTCTTGAAACCCAAATTGTATTGAGAAGAGAACATCGTGTATTTCAAGGAATCTACAGAGTTATCTGTACATTAACTTTTCAAAAAGAAAGATAGAAAACCCATTTTGACCTGTACAAGGCAAATAAATAAGATTCATTTGTTTTATCTTCACGTATTTCTTTCGATGAACATGAAAGAAACAAAGGTGCTTCTTGCAAAAGAGTATATTTCAAAAACTTCCTTGCAGAACTTTATTAATGAAAAATTTCCTGCGACTGCCCGGTCACATTGTCGGGTGAGTTTTCATGCCCTGCTGATGCCTCATTCTTTAATAAATCACCTTTAGAAGCATCGATTAATCTGTTTGTAGGTAAGTCTCCGTATAAATAAGAAAAGTCTCTAATTAACTAATCTAATTAATAATATAAATAAAAAAGTCTCTATTTAACAAGATAGGATTATATTTGGGCGGACATGAAGAATTAAGATAGGTATCATGGTTTGCCAAAATGTCATTTCTAAAAATTCAACTTGACAAACTAAATATAAAAAAACGCTTTTATCTTTCCAACTAATGCCACGACAAACAGAAAGATTCAAGGATCATATATTTAAAATGGGCTATATCATTAGATAATAGACTCAAATCATCTATTAAGATAAAATTCAAAATTCTTTCAAATCATCTATTGCAAAACACATACTTTTTTTACTATAAAAACACGGCAGAACACTGCTATATTTTCCCCGTAACTGCGTTAACCAAAAGGATCATATCTTTAAAATTTATGTTTAAAAACCATAAAAAAATCGTTAATGGCTTAAAAAAACAAACATTTTGCAACATATTGGCTAAAAGCTTTTTCGTCTGACACTCATCAGAGCATAAAACGTCAGAATAAGGGTCCGAAAGAACACGAAATAGGCCAATCAGAAAAATTGGTCAATCAGTGCCACGTGCCTAAAGAAAAATTACCACTGGAGTCCAAGAGAGAAAACGAACTCCTTCTGTCTACACAATTTTGCTTTTTTCAAAGCCATTTTCAAGTTCTGTACCGCCAAAAAAATTGTTCAAAAAAATTGTTCACTTATCCATCCTCTAACTACCTGCATCAGAAGAGACACTGAAATAGTTGCAAGCCACAAGAAAACCAATCCTTAAAACAAGCAATTCTCCTCTCCTTACTGAACCCTTCTGGTCACTATCTTGAATGGCGGAAGTAAACAAATTGACCTCACTCCGCAGTACGCAGCATGACCCGAGTCTAGCGCCTCTATTTCATTGTCTGGTGGCTTTCGGATGTGACTTATGTACTTTGCCAAGATGGGCCAAGGATGCTACATTGCCGTAGTTCTGTTTATCGTTGTTTTAGGCACAACTCAGTTTGGCACAGCACAGAAATGCTATCAAGACGATGGAAGACCTTCTTGGTGCATGCCTGAATTGATCAATGCAGCGTTTGAGAAAGACATTTATGCAAACAATACTTGTGGAGTGAAAAAGGCCAGTCATTATTGTGTTCACAGTGGTCACATTGGACTTCAGAGGACCTGTGAGATCTGCGATAGTCGTAACAAAACTCTCGAACATCCAGCTCGATATATGAATGACATTGTTCAAGAAATTGTTACCTGGTGGCAAAGTGACACACTTTTTGACAACAAGTACCCTGTTAGGATTATTCTAGACCTAGGCAAAACTTTTGATATAACATTTGTTTGGATAACTTTTCACTCTGCAAGACCCGAGTCTTTTGCCATTTACAAGAAGAGCAGTACTGCCAAGGATGACAAATGGATACCATTTCAGTATTATTCACAATCCTGTATGAAAAATTACAGAGTTTCCCCTTATCAATTTATAACAAGAAGAAACCAAAAGGTCGCCTTGTGTTCAGAAAAGTACAGTAGAATTTTACCCCTCAGTTGGGGAACTGTGGCGTTTTCAACCCTTGAAAAACGGCCTGAACGCTTTGGTTTTGATAGAAGCCCTGCTCTACAGGTAAATTTTCGCTCAAATTTATTTGTTTCTACAGTCTTTTTCAATTGCCTTCAATTTCCACTGCTTTGGCATCCTTTCGACTTCCTTTCATTTTCTTGCAATGAAGCATGAACGAGGAAGGAGAAAGAAGGCGTGTTTATGCTAAACTACTTTGATGATGCTTTTTCTTTAGAGAACAAGATTGAAATATTAAAGAAGGAAGAAAAACGAGAAGAGCAAATGGGTGAAAAACACCAGGAACATAAAGGATGCGCGCATCCCTTCCCCCATGTACCGTAATCATTCGATTTAGTGCCGCGGTGCTAATTTTCTAAATCAACTTAAAGTGCTGCTCTTATTATATTTCTAAACTTCAATTTAAATTTCATTGACAAAAACGCCTTGTAGGAATGGGTCACCGTTGCCTCCTTGCGAATCGATTTAGACAGACTGAATACTTTCGGAGACGAAGTATTCGGAGACCCTGATGTGCTGCGCAGTTACTACTTCGCAATTTCCAACCTGATGGTTGGTGGTCGATGCAAGTGCAATGGCCATGCATCCGAATGTTTACATCTAGGAAAGGAAAAGCCAAGGCTCAAATGCAAATGCGACCATAATACTGACGGTGATGATTGCGAGAAGTGCCTTCCTCTGTACAATGATACTCCTTGGAAGAGAGCAACGCGATACTCGGCTAATCCATGCTCACGTGAGTGCTTTTTGTGCTTCCTTTAAAGCCTAACGATAAACAGTTTGAAGCATGTTCACTCATCCGGCAAATAACTAAATCGTCTTTCTGAAGTTTGAGGGTTATTCTAGGAAAAGTTTCGGCAAAATTCAAATTTACCTTGTATAAAGCATGACATAAAATCGCGACTTCAGTTTAGGGCTGGAGCAGACTTCCTAGTATATCCCATATCATGTATCCCATGTTAGTAATGGCTGCGCTAATGGTAACACATGCCACCTATCACGAAAGACCCAACCACTGTGCACCATTCTGTATTAACAGTAAATTTGATGCGTATTAAAGGTCACGAATAACTCGTTGCAGCTGTCCTGTAGAAGGAATTTTGGTTTCTTTAAGAATGTGTTTGTTCAATGCGTTCAATGGCCAAAGTCTAGGGAATGTGGTCCAAATGGTCTCTGGTTACAGAATTGTAAGATTAAAGAAGACTCTATTGGGTGCCTCAAAACTAGGTTGTTGATCATTCCATCTTTCCATGTGTGGATTTGCAATCGGAATTCTTGTCATTATTTAAGTTAAGTATAGGTGCATCTTTTCTAACAAGCACTTTATCACCGTAGCTAGAACCAATATTTATGCAGAAAAGCTAATTCAATTTTGTTATAAAGTCGTTAATTTGTATAATTTGTTCGTTAGTCAATGTGTTTCATGATAGTCAATGGAATGAATTGATTTATTTTAGCTTGCAATTGCAATGGCTTGGCACAGTCTTGTGTATTTGACTTGGATTTGTACAAATCAACTGGCCGTGGGGGGAGGTGTATTAACTGCAACAACAACACTGATGGAGTCAACTGTGAAAAGTGCAAACTATATCACTACAGAAAGTTTACAAACGAGGCATGCAAACCATGCAACTGTGACCCCGTCGGCTCCAAGCGTGCTCAGTGTAATTCTGATGGACAATGTGCCTGTAATCCGGGGGTTTTCGGGAAAAAGTGTGATGCGTGCCGACCAGGATATTAGAGTGTTTATGATTCTGGACGCGCCACATGAAGACGCGCCTGGGGGGTCTAGAAACAAGCGCGGTCGCGACATCCCCCTTTACAGCAAGAGCGTCTTCACCCAAAGTGAACGTGAAAAATAGGAAATCGACGTCCTGTTTTATCGAAGAGAACTTTGCTGTAAGTATTCAGTTATCTTTTATTCATAGCCTATGAAAAGTTCACGAACAATCGAAAACATTTCATTCTTTAAGTTTCCGACGTTTTATCTTGAATTATCAATTATTTTTTATTATTTACAGAATAAACGACAACCGAAAAAATGGCCTATGATCGAGGAAATGCCGAACAGAGAAACCAGACGTTCGTAGCTCTAAAACATTTAATACAATAACTAGATACATTTAAACTATGTGATATAGTTTTTGTTCTTTATTAAAGCCTGTATGTTATTTTCTGGGAGACACTGCAGTAAATATTCTTGAAGCTAATATAGAAACATTCTTAGTATGAATGCAATATCAATGCCCACAGTGATAGCTTTTTGGAATTCAAATGAAAACCATGTTACTACATTTCAAATGTGTATTTAGTTCACATTTATTATTTCATTGTTCAAGTATGGATATTGAAATGGTAAATTTCTAACAATTTGTTACTAATTCATAGCCTCTAGGATTATTATTTTGATAAGGTCTAGGTTTTCGAATTAGCAGATGCTTTCTTCTTTTGTAATTTGATTTTTATTCAACTATATTTTTAGTTCTTTAAAGGTTGTATCTAGTAGAATTAAAAAATGATTGAACTGATTTGAACTGAGTTAAATTTTGAACAGTTTCGTTTTTTCACATCTCCTTTTTATATCTAAACTTCACCAAAAATTTGTATGCAGTTTGGGAAGTTATTATCTTTTTTATTCCTGTTTGATTGCTACAAATACTGCCTGACCTTGACTTGCTGAATTATTTAACCATACAGCCAGAAAATGAATTGGACTGATGAGCACAACAACATGCTTTGCAGAGAAGTTCTTGTCGTAGAGCCTTACAAATTTAAGATTGGCTCACGGGAACGTGGTGCTTGTTGGGAAAAGGTGGCAAATAATTTAAATGGTATTGAACACCCTCTGTTCATTGTTGATAAGAGGGCTGTTCGAGACCATGTTCTTAAATTGATAAGGGACTTTAAGAGAAAGATGGCTGCAGAGGAGAAGGCAAGTGGGATAACTAAGGAAATGTCCGAGCTAGATGAGGCTATTGAGTCTATAATTGGGAGAATGGAGGGAGCAGAGGAAGAAATTTCACAAGCTGATAAAAGTAGGTGTAAAGAGGTGGAGAGAGAGAGAGAAGCAGCAGAGAACATTAGAAAGAGGGCAATGGAAAGTATTGGAGAAAGTAGGGAGAGGGAGACATCTGAAGGTGGATTTAAAAGGAATAGAATGGAAAGAAAAATGGATACAGCAGTTTATTTGAAGGAAAGGCACGATGAGGAAGTAAATTTGAGGAAGGCGGAGGTAGATCTACGAGAAAGGGAAATACAGTTGAGAGAAAAGGAACAAGAGCAAAATTATGAGCTAAAAAAACAGGAGTTGGCATTAAAAGAAAGGGAAAGGGAAGATAAAGTGAAGGAATTTCTAATCATGGAACAGAGAGAAACCAAATTACTTAATTTGATTCAGCAACAGCAGTTACTCTTCAGTCAAATTTCTCAGCAAAATGTGCAGATACTCAATTTGCTGAAAAATTTGACTGAAAAGTAATGTGTAACCTTTGCTTTTCTTTGGTACAGAAAAATGATTTGAATTTTTGTTACTTGCCTTATGAGATACAATTATCCCATTGGCAACTCAGAAAAATTTATCAGCCTGCATATAAATCTAGTACAATGCTGACAAATGCTGTTGCCAATTCTAAATCTCCATAAATTTGCTGTGATTACAATAAGTCATAAGTACTTTCTTTATCATTAGTTTCAAAATAATTAATTTCTTAATGTCACAAAAATTATGGTGATTTGTTATTCAGTTTCACCTAACTTTTATGTGCTCAGAAATATTTTCAAAGGTAAATACAGAACTAGATTTGAAATGATTTTTAAAGTAAAAAAATGTTTTATCAATAGGCGAACCATCAAACATCCTTTAAAGACACATCAACAAAATGAAATATTTATAGAATTTGCCTTATTGTAACTGGAAAAGATTTTCAATGCTAAAATTTGCAGTGGCAAACTAATTTTCTTTGGTGGACAATACAGTTTTTGACTCTAGAATCCAGAAACAACACAAAATCACTGAACATTTAGGCTAAGCTTGAGTTGGTGGAACCTTTAAGCTTTTTTCTATCAATTGTAATCAAATTGCAACTTAAATCATTGTACAAAACACTTTTCAGATTAGTCTGATAACTCATATTTGAAAGAGGGGTTAAACAGGCAAAATTGATGATTATAATGATACATTGTTGTGGTTATTGATTTGTAAATTTCTAAAATATCACAATTTGGCCTTGGGTACTTACAATTGACATATCTGCTGTGAAATGTTATTTTTTTCTACATTCTATGACCATTGAACTATCACCTATTTCAGTTTGTTATAGTTTCAGATGGAGATACAAAATAGGGATATAGGCCTCCTTGTAAAATTTTTATAGTGTTTTTCTGTTTTCATGATTTGAGAAATTGCCTAAAACAATGCCATGACTTGTCGTGTGTGTACAGGTCTTGGTACTATTGGTGGCTTTTAAAAAAGCCGTTTCTGTTGTCTTGCGAAGATGAGTAAAGATGAATTTGTCTCCTCTGCCAGAATCTTTGTTGATATCTCGAAAATCAACCTTACCTAAAATATTCATCAATGTTTGGAGGTTTCACATTGAAGAATGTTGATGTTGTGGAGCCATATAAACATGTCAGAGCATTTCTTAAAAGGGCACAAACTACATAGATTTTCCCAACAGCACTCATTCCAATTTTAAGGTTTTTCTTAAAATCTATAAACTTAAAATAGTTTGCAATGTCCCCAAAAACCCATTCAACAGCAACACGAACCCTACTCATTGAGGTATTAAAGGCTTGTTCGTCTTCTGTTAAAGGTCTCCTTCTTATGATAGGACATTGCAGGTGAACCCTGTTTGGGTAGGCAGGATCACCATATATGCAAAGGGGCTGCCCTTCTTCAGAGAAAGAGTGCTGTTCAAGTTGGCCTAATAACCCTGACATAGCAAGCATACCACTGTCATGCCTGCGTCCTTCAACGGGCCCAAAAAGATTCGCAATAAGGCCATTCGGAGCCACAACAGATTGAAACTTCAATGCGTGGACTCTTTTGTGTCCGTTGTAAACGACCCTTTGATTCCTAGTTGGTCGACATATTGGCCTGACAGTGCCGTCTACAAAACCCCAGCAATTTTCCAGTACGGCCCCCTTTGCATGGATGGCATCTGCATACAATTTAAGATTTGCTGGGGATAGGTAAGGTTGATTGATGTCCCTTAGAAGATGTGCGAAGTTGTTGTAAATAGTGTTCACAACAGTGTTAAACATGGTGCACAGCTGTGGGACGGGCCTGCCAAATCTCGGGATCATATCGCAATATCTGCACGGATATGCGAGTCTTTTCAGACAGATGCATAGAGCCTCAACTGCATCCACCTTCCAGCCATTGTAACACCGTATAACCTCAGGGATTTGCAGTATGTTGACTAGGCCGTATATGTCATTTTTGGCGAATCTAAATTCCACCAAACATTCATCTTCGCGCATTTGCTCGAGGTCAAATTTTGGATACTGCCAATATGGCAGATTAACATGTAAATTTCTTCGACGATTTAGATCATACAAGTGTATGAATTCTTCGTCGTCGATATCACCTAAAAAATGGAGCTCCAGCAAGAAATCGTCCATGGCTAATCTGAAGATAAAATTCGCCGCACGTCCTGATCTACGTTCTCAAAATCATAATCGAAATTTCTCGAAAAGACGCGTCTGCTAAAGTCACGTGCCTACAAAGAGCGTCTTCAGATGGCGCGTCCAGAATCATAAACACTCTATCTGATGTTTGAAGAAATTATGTCAATGACCAGCTCAGGGGGCCTAGGCGCATTTTTTCGAGTTTTTTGACATTAAGTTCATATTCTGAACTAGATGTGATTTTGTTTTGTGTCCATCAAAATTAAGTATCCTTGGCATAGGATGTAAATACAAGGTTTTTGCATGATGGAAATGTTGCAATGTTTCTTATCATCTAGTAGGATTTGTTCTGAAATTAGAGTCGGCTTTACTTTCCCTATACAGAAGAAGCTTTGTTTTCCAACCTTTTTTATCCTAATTTTTTAATATTTTGTGTGTGTATTTTTAAAGGCCAAAGTTATGCATAAGCATTTATCTATTTGAGATTCTTTCAAAAGCAATAGCCGTATCCAAAAAGGATACCATGGGTGCAGACGTGTGACCCTCGATACAGAGTATTCTTTCTTACAGTGAAATGAAATAAATTCACTACCATGTTTAAAAAGTACCCCTTTAGAGGAACTTATGAACACAGAACTAACCTCTGTTGGACCTGACCTCTGTTGGACCTGACCCCTGTTGGACCTGACCCCTGTTGGACCTGACCCCTGTTGGACCTGACTGCTGCCGGACCTGACTGCTGTCGGACCTGACCCCTGTTGGACCTGACCTCTGTTGGACCCGACCTCTGCTGGACCTGGCCCCTGTTGGACTTGACCCCTGTTGGACCTGACCTCTGTTGGACCCGACCCCTGTTGGACCTGACCCCTGTTGGAGCTGACCCCTGTTGGACTAGACCACTTTTGGACTAGACCACTTTTGGTCCGAATTAAATTCTATGTTTTTATATCTATGTACATTTTATTGTAGACCGTGCAAATGTTTTAAAGAGGGAAGTTTGAGCGAAAATTGTGATGAGATGGGAAAGTGCAAATGCAAGAAGAAGATGGTTGGACAGAAATGTGACCAAAAAGAGTCCTTACGATAAGCTTGGAAATGCCATGGCGGTAAAACATTTGAGAGATTTAGAATGAAAACATAATAATCAAGTTTCAAAACTCTGGTATTTTATAAGAAATAGACGGCGAATTATCTTCTAGAAAAAAATTGTTTTGGAATATGTAAAGTTCAAGGGTAGTTGTGCCTATGATACTTCTAATGAAATCGTATCTTTGGATTTTTTAAAATGTACTTGATTGATCATGCATGAAAAATATAATATATCTATATTTGCTAAGATGTCTGTTCAGTAAACTACGGCCTTCCTCAGGCTTAGATGTTACTGATACGACCCAGGAACCATCCCAATCATTGCCTGACTGTTCCAACTATCAATACAGTTTGGTCAAATGGCTTATTATGCAAACATAATAACAAACTGCAAATTCTTACCTTGAAAATCATTGCGATTTTTGCGTCGGTCAAGCTCACTTCAAGGCCGGATAGAACTCCCGATATTTTCATCCTTTAAAATAAATTGAAAACATATCCTAAAAACTATATAAAAACATCATGCACACCTAGCTCCGTTTATGAAGGGTTATCTCAAAGGGAAGGCCACGAGAAGGAATTCAAATACATTCACTTTCGAGCAATGATTGCGTTAAGAGACCTTCACTCTCTCTGTGAAGAGGTTGCCAACCCTAACCTAGAAAAACTCAAAGCTTCAAATTTTAAGTACTTGGCTTAATAACAATGAACAAAAGCTTGCACGTGCAGCTTTACAGGGAGGCGGGGTCGATAGAGTCACACACTGGTACTGAAATGAACAGCGATAACGTTATGTACACCATTACAGACAAAACTGGCATCAAGAATAACAATTTATTAACATTGAAGTAAAGAAATATAAAAGGATGTTGGAGGATTATGAACTCACTGTGCAAGTCTTGGGTCATCTGGAACCAACGCCTTGGCAAGCTTGCCATTAAATGAAACCGGAGAAAGAATGTGCTGTGGTGAACTGCGATCGAACCGAGCTTTATTCCAGTCAACTTCTACATAAAAGAATACAACATAACAGGCAAAGATTTTAATCATGATTTGAATCAAGAGTAATAAAAGAATGTAATCCTCGAAATCAGTCCATCACTGCAATCAAACAGATATGATCAACTGCTCGTTTTTATCCGGCGAAAAAAGGTGGTCTCAGTTGTGGATATAAAAGATTACAAAACCCTTCTGATCACGAGAATCGCATCCCTTATAAGAAGGTTCCTGAATGCTTGCAGTAGAGATTTTCTCAAATTTAAAATTTTTTTCTTGTAACACAACTCTCCATTCGGACATACAGATATAAAAAGAGAAACAAAGGTCTAGTCATCAAACGACAAAATACGTATTGATAAGTAAAGATACCTTTTTGGCAGACAAGAATCTGTAGTGCAGTCAGACTTATCAGGTATCGATCATAACATTTCTCTTGCACTTCATTTTCATCGACTTCCTTTGGGTGAAAAAAGAAACAAAATAACAAGTTTTAGCACCAGACTGAAGGTGTGCTGAGGTTAACTTTGGACTTCAAGAAGACTACTGTTAACTGGTCTGTAGTTTAGTGCTCAATGTCATATAGACAGAGGTGTAAACGCTTTAGAAAAAGACGGCTCGAAGTTGCTACTACAAGTGTACAGAATGGGAAACTTCTAGGTATATCAAATCAACTGAAAAGAAAGGGACGATTCTACCAGTTTACTGAAAAGTTGCAACTACCAGTTTACTGAAAAGGACATTTCTAAGTGGATAAAATCAAGTATGTAAATTGGACAATTCTAAGTTTTTATTAAGACTTTCACGCTTTAAGCGACCTTGAGCCTATATTAACTTTGACAATTCTACCTGGAATATTGTTTCTCAAGAACTATTACCACGTGTACACAGGAAATGCGAAACGAAAAAATTATAGGCCCTTCCCTCTATTACGCCATATACCTCCTGCAGGTTATGTGATCTGAATATTGTAGTCAGACAAACATCACGATAGGATCACAAGCATTTTTCATTACTAACCTTTATGTTAATAATTCTTTCTTGGTTAGGGTCACTGTCTAATTTCAGACTTCCAAAATCTACCAAAAGCAAGGTCTTGCAGCTACAAACAGAACAAATAAACTACAATTAAAAACAGCTAAAATCCAAAATTTTGCGTCACAACGGAGCAAGAACACTGATCCTGAAATTAAATTCTAGCTATTCCAAAATATATAAAGTCCCAAAATATATAATGACCAGAGTCTAAGCAATGCGCAAAAGTGAATAGAAGATACAGAAATTAAATGGGTCAAACAAGAATTTATCGCGAAAAAAAACAAAAATAACTGTTTAAAGCTGCAGGTAAACCAAAGTATAAAAATCATATGCATTTCTTTCATCCAGACCTGCGTAGCAATATCGTTAAATAATGTGGTTTAGTGACATGAAATGACGTAGCCATTTTTTGAATTTTGATCATAGTTTCTGAAAATAAGTTTAAAATCACTGTAAACTGGTATCTGCTCTTAAGTTCATGAATTTAGAAAAAACAGCAGCAATTTTTTGATAAATTCAGGTATTTCACTGCCAATAACTCAGTAAATATCTCAGATGTTGAACTGATTAGCACATCAAGAAATAGAGATTAACATCACATGGCTCGACTCTAAAACTCTAAGTTCAGAAATTCAAAAAACAGACGTAATTATTTCACAGCTCTACTCAAACGTAACATTCTTTCGTAGCATTTCAAATAGGAATATTAATACCTTGAGTAATTTCCATTCTCAGGCAAGATAAAGTACGAGGCTTGGATAGAAATATCAACATCTGTGACCTGAAATCAATAGAGGACCCTTAACGTTAATTCTTAATATCATGAAAAATTGTGTTAAAATTATTATATGTTTAGTTTGTTTTCTAATATGCCAGTATTATTTCTAATATAAAAGAGAGGGGCAGCGCGGGTGAATGACTCGGCCTTGGGTGTTGGCTTGAAAGCACGACCCGATAGCTCAGCGGTAGAGCACTTGACGTACAAAGTCAGGGGTCGTGAGTTCGAGTCTCGCTCGGGTCGGTTATTTTCCCGCACTCTCTATTAATTATCTTCAAAAATCCTGTTGTCTGTAAATAATATGCCATTGCTTGCCAGAAGCATATTGTCAGCTGAACTGAATGTTCCAAGGAAAATTAGGCTACCAATTGAAGGCTCAATCAGGAAATCACAAGCCTGTGTCTGCTCAAAGGAATATTGCAAACAACTAGAGTAAATTCTACCAGGGTGCATTTTATGTAAAAGGAAATCCAATATCAGCATGTTGTCTAATCAATTAGCCAGTCTCGAACCCAAAATTTAATGGGTGTCACAAATTCCTTGTATAGAGGTATACAATGACAAGGTTAAATAACAAGGTAAGTTAATAAATGTGTTAAAATAACAAGGTCAAATGCCTGGTATACGCACGCTGTGATGGTCCATGGCATACAATAGTCCAGCTGTACTGTTCATTTTGAGTTCCTCGAAAGTTGAGTAGGCTTTGTCTTGTAAACTGGAAGAGCAAACAGTGCTGCTTAAACAAAAGAATAAACTCCGTTTGGGATCTTAGCTAGTGTTAAATTTTCTTCAAATCAAGTATCGCTGGCGGTATTATAAATTAGAGGCAATCTGTCTCGTTGTGGATTGGTTAACGAGAACAATAGCTGGAACAATAGCCTAAACACAATTCCAGCGCTCCGCCATATTTTTTACAATGCGATATATTAAAGAGGGACTGGAAACAATAAAAAATCCCTTTGTTCTTATAACCAATCAACGTCGTGACAGATTGCCTTTAAACTAAAAGGAAACAATGAATTTAAAATAAACAAAGATAGCAGTTTATGTTACTCAGCTTCTCACTGTTACAATCAGCATACAATTGATAAAAAGTTTTCTCTGCTCTAAGTGAAAGTCATACACCTCTGTTTTCTGCGAAACATGCGAATAAAACCAACGTAAAAAAGCCAATGAAAACAAAGAGCAAAATGCAGCACGAAAACATCGGAAGATTTCAGTGCTTAAAAGTATTTGCCCGGAGGAATAAAAAACACATTTCTGGACTTACTCTTGCAGAATCACATCTTGAGGTGGCCTAAAGAAGCTCAACATCTGCTCAACCGTGTTCTGGAAAACAAAAAGTTGATTTTTTGACTTCTTAAAAGTATATGTAGTCTAGAAAGCAGGCATCCAAAAAGAATAAACTTCAAAACAAACACAGTTCATAAGAAAAGCAATACCACATAAAAATGTCTTACCGAATCATAGACGATCTCAACCGGCTGGATCATGGCCTTGACGAGCTGATCTACATTTGGTTTCATCAGTGGATTGGTTTCGAATGTAGCGTTGATTAAAGCGAGTTGTTGATTTGAACCTGGGAACACACAATCACGTCAATAGAAGGGGAACAGCTTACGTAATACCTTAAACAGATGAATATATGTTACAGAGCATAAGCTATATTGCCACAAGGACAACCTTTCCTGACTTGTGAACGTTTTTCCACAAGGACATTTTCAAGATGCAACTGGTCGTACACTTGACCTATAGCCAAATGGGCAGTAGCCCCAAAAAAACGCCACAAATGATCACTCAAGTGGATAAGGGGCATTGAAAATACATACTCTAGATATACAAGGTGAGCTGACTTCGAAGATATAGCGATACAATGTGGTAACGTCGCAAAATGTATTCTTAGAACATTTTAAATTGGACTATATAGTCTCAGAGCACATCATAAACTACCTACAGATGTGCAAAACCAGTTAAATCTGTTACAAATTGACCGAGACGTGGTCACAAAAGCATGCATTGCCATGGGCTCCGAGACAGGTTAAAATGGGGGAGGGGGGTAAGGAAAAAATTAACACCCTTAACAACAGATTATCAAAAAAGCTTTATGGTTTTGCAAAACGAGTGAGTGGGGGCTCCCGCCAACCCCCATCCCCCACCTCGTCGGAAGACGTGTTTGCTATGATGTTGAGAAATTGATTAAAAAAACTGCCTTTCTATACACTGTACAAAGCTAAATAATTTAAACAATGATGTAAAGGGCTGGAGGTACCAACAACAGAAACTGAAAATATGATTCAAAATATAACCCAGAAAAAAAATTTTTAACAGTTTGTGAAACAAGAGAACTCTAACAAAAACAGAAACCCACCTGATTCCTTTTGAACTGATCTCACCATGACTGGGGTAACACCATCCTTCGGTGTTCCGTACAACCGCATAAGATCAACTTTGGCTGATACTCTGAAAAAATAATTAGAGAACATAAGAACTGGAGGCATATCTTCCAGAGAAAATCTGTCTAATTTAACAAGAGAAGAAAACTATATGAAAATGTAGCCACATATTCAATTTTTAATTTAAAAGGTAATTAGACTTAAAAGGTAAATACAGTGGTGGGCCTAAAAGTTGTGAAAATGTGAAAATGAATTTGTGAAAATGAAATTTTTGATGGAAATTTTACTCTATTCTGGAAAAAAGCTTGACGATTGCTTCTCCCTTTGAAAACTAAATATCCCTCCCTCCACTTCTCCCCCCCCCCTGGACCATTCATCCAATTACTTTGAACAACAGTCGATAGGAAATTAGATAAGTACCTTATAGCCTTCGCAGAGGGTCTTTGATGAACATCAGCAAAGAGATCTTTAAGGGTAAACTTCATGACGTCAATGGGCGCAGAGGTTCTGAATTGGAAGAAAGAAAAATGCATTTAAGACTAGTAAAACTTGTCCAGTTAGTGACTGGCAAACCGTGAAATTCTCTTCCCTTATGTTTAACTTTAAAGTTGTTGAATGCATTTAATTTTGAATGCTCCGAGTTTAGTATGCTGTGAAACCTTCCTCGTCAAATCTTGAGTAATATCAATGGACTTAAATCATGTTTTTGACATTTACAAACCTGTCTGAATCTTCTTTCAACATAACTGATATTTTCTTCAAGTGGAAGTAGAATTTCAAGGCAACATACTGAAAACAAACAAAGATAATTATTATATGGAAAATGTGTAGAATAAAAAATAGTGATTTTGATCTGTTGAAAATTACAGAAAACAAAACTATTTCGCATAGTTTAAGGAAAGAGTTGTTTTGCCATTTGCAGAAAGTTGTATTTTTTTATTGCATAGAAGAGTTTGAACACGAAGTATTGACTTTTCGAGCAAAAGTTAAACAATAAGCAATTTAACATCCTTATGACAGGAGGGAACTTTGGCAACAAATAACTAGCATTCTAGAAGAATCCTAAAATAGCTAAAAAGAGAATAGCTATTACAGATGAACGCTTAGGACATCAGTCATAAAATAGCTAGCTCGTCTGAATTTACCTCCTTCGGGAAAGGTGTGATAACCTCGTTCTCACTGTAACCAATAGCACTGTACAACTTGTGCATTTCCTCTTGGCGTTGCTTCTCTGGTATTAATTCTATAGAAGCATAAAAAACAGAACCGAATATGATAAAGCAACCAAGCAGTTATGGTGGATCTTTAATAAAATGAGACAATTTTTAAAGAAGAATATTGATTTAATACAAAGGTTCTGTTTAGTCTCCTGCCCACTCAGCCTTAGGCCTAAGAAGTTTCATTATTCCTAGTTGTGAAATTAATTGCCTATGGAGTACAAAGTTCCTTAGTCTAGACCAATGCCCTTGCTTGCAGCAGAAGAAATATATTGCGGAAAAAATCTGTTTTTTATCGGCTTCAACAGAGAACGTGCTACAGAGAGATTACTGTTAAATACGGAGAGGGCTAAATAATATATGGGAAAAGGATTTTACGATAATCCTTCAAAATCTTAATTCACTTCTCTCTGACCTTCAATTTTCTTGTTTGTGCTTTCTTTTTCTGGCGATTTTTCAGAAAAAAAACCACCAAACCAGCCTTTCTTTTTCTCCGGACTTTTTTTCTTTCTTGAAATCTAGAAGAACAAGAAAAATAACGAATAACAGTTTCTTAGCGATTATATAATTTAATAGAAAAACTGATACTTCTATCTGATATGAAAGTGATATGAATGAAGAATTAAAACGTGAGAGCACAAGTCGTGAGAAACATAATAATCAAACTTTAAGATTAAAGTTAAAAAGCGTTTTGGAAATTATTCAAAGAAAGCTATACGTCTAATAATTAAGTCACTGACAAACCATAACAAATCATGTGTCTAATTACCTCGACAACAGGGTATAATTACCTCGTTTAGAGCCATTTGGCGATATATTGTTATGCTAACCACATTTAGTTTCATTTCCATCTCCTGGACAAACAAAGATTAAAAGTCATAGTTTCATTTCCACAAGAATAAATAAATTTGATCATAGCATTCAAAATACGAAATTTCATTTGACCAATACTGTTTATTTAATATACGCTAAAGCCCGAAAGAGCAGAAATGGCACACGAATGTCGGAAATTTCGTAACCTTGAGCCCACCTAGTTCCCTGCAACATAATCTGATGTTAGCCCACACTTAGGCCCTGAACGCACTGATTTCTGACATAAACCTCATTATCTTTGTCAAAGTGGAAAATCGAGAAATTTTTCAAGTTGACAAAGAGAATCCAATTTCCGCCTGGAAATTCGAGCGCTCTGCAGTTGGTGTGAAAAATTGTTTGTTGTTGTTTGGTTAATGTGAGGTGGTTTAAAACAAAGAACGATTTGATTTTAGGTATTGTGTGGCGCCAGAAAAATGCATTGATTGCTAATCATTTCCATTTTCCAGAGTTCGTCCTGCTCTGGGGCAGGACGACGAAACCTATGAGGGATTAGTGAATTTGGCTCAGTGGCAATTTGGGTGGCCGCACTGGAAAATCAGCATTAGTTTACTAACAGGCTTAATCCCTTTTCTCTATGAACAATAGATATTAAGTGTGTCAGCAGTTATTCCTGAAATCTTGTTCGGTGCGTCTTGGGCCTAAGTACTTTCTTTCTTGGGACTTACTTAAACTTTTGGTTAATCATTTCAAAAAGCCTATGAATCAAAACAGTTCTTACATCAGATTTCCTGATGACGTCATTGTACAAAATTTCTGTTCTGTCTTATAGCCCGGAACGCTTAAATCTCAAAAGTTCAAGCTTAATGAAGTGCGGTTTACAACGAGAAATTTAAGTTTCTGTTCAGCAAGGAACATTACCACGAGAAGCCACTGTGGTAACTTAAGTAGCACCAATTCTGCAATTTAAATGAGAGTGGTTCTGCAAGATCTGAGCAGATGTAAACTTTGGCAGACCATTAAGTCTCTGCATTTGAGAAAAGCACGCACGCTGAAAATCCGGGAGTTAAATGCATCTGTTTTGAATAGAATTGATGTTTTCCCAAACTGTATAGTTCATCGGCAAATCATCTTAATTCGCTCTACAACAGCGTGTTTTGAACAGCGTTAGTCTTAAAGGGAGAAGGAGATCATGATCTTTGACAGTACTGTATAATACATAGATGTCAGGCCTGTAGAGAATTGAAAATCTTCAGGCAAATCAGTCAACTAAACTGGATTTAGTTACTTAACCATCTTAGTGTAGGGAATATGGAAACCAGTATCGTAATTTCAAGACCAGAAAAATAGCAGAGAATAGATCTCAGCAGATTCCAGAATATATTACGATTCCACGGGTGTGAGCCGCAGGAAGTTTGTCCAAGTATGCAATAGTTTTAAGGAAGGCCAATGCATAACTTGACAAGAGTATATAAAGCGATTTAATTTACAGTTGTACTTGAACTTTTCCTTGTACCTGACAAAACGTATGAACCAAAATCATGGGCGATTAATATAAATTCCAAAGATTAAAGGAAAATTGTGATCAAGGCAGATAGGGTAAAACTTTATCTGGAGGAAAGCTGGTGCGTTTTCTGATCTATGGACCACAGGTCTTGCATTGACTCAGTTTCTGAATTACAGGCTTATCTTCAATTAGTTGCAGGCTTACCTCTAATTCTCTAACAGACGTTTTTGATTGCGATTTGTTCTTCAGTTTGTCTCTGTATTTTTTCTGATAGGCTCGACAAAGCTCTCTACAACCAAAACAATTACATTCTTGTTAAAATTAACTCTCTTGTTAACAAAACAGATTAGATTTCATCAGTTGATTGCCCGTGCTAGCAAATAGTTAGGGGTCTTAGAAACAATTAGTCTAATTCAGTTTTACAAAATCAATGTTGAAATAAGACCAACGTTAAGAACAGCCGAGCCTCAAATTACCTACAAGATTAGTTAGAAAAATGAGTCTTGGCAGAAAATACCTGGTTCGTGTACAAAAATTGATATAAAGTCTATGAATTTGAATCAATACTAACTTGTTACTGTATTCTCCTATACTTCTTTTAGGTTTCCCTTGAAGGTGTAGAAAGGGGGGGAGTAGGGTTCGCAAGACCAACTAGCGACACTTTATGCCAACCCTTTTCTATTTTATCACTACTCTTCATGTGTTCGGGATGACAAAAAGTAACTTTATCTTTCAAGCAAGTTGTAAGTCACCTATTCAGAATCAAAGGTTTTTTAAAGTACCTATGTTCTTTGATGTGCTTCCAACTCCACATTCGAAATCTCCTCCGCACGTCTTCCTCCAAAATCGAAGTAATAGCATACCTCCACCTGAAAGATGGCATCGAAGAAACTTCAGGCTTTAGCATCTTAATTAAGTCTAAAAACTGGCTTATCCATAGATAGCCAAAAAGTGCATCGTGCTTTCACCGTGGAAGCCTACTTAAAATGGATGACACGAGTTAAAAAAATGGCAGTCATACATACCATTCCTTTCTGGATTCCTTCGGTGATACATGTGGCCTGTATTTTCTGAACGGCTCGTTACGAGTCATCATTTCAAAAGATTCCAGAATCTCCATCATGCTATAGTACTGTGTTTTGCTCAGACATAGCCCTAACTGCTCCATCACCAAATTCAGGAAAAACTGAGGCAGGGACAGAATGATATAAAATTGTATTATTGAAACAATTAAATCAAAACAAGGTATTTGGGAATGCTTGTTCGAAAGAAGAGCTTGTCTTTGGATATCAACAAAGTTAATAGACCAATATTAATCTAGAACTATTTGGATCAAATCAACATTGACCAAAGAAACACAGATTAAGCAGCAATATTGAAACGCATCCAATTTGTTTATGTAAAGCTTCATATCTCGAACCACATTTCACAGCTTAACACTGAAAATAATATTAAACATAAATTATTATTGCAACATGGGTGACCTATTATTTAGTCTTCACCGAATTTGTTCAAAAGTTTCTTTTCAGCTTTGTAAATATTAATAAGATGTGGCCATGTTAGCCACTCCTCTTCTTAAAAACTCAGTTAAAAAAAATCAATTACCCTTGGAATATTCATGTCAACTCCTGGTTTCGTATTAATTTTCATTTTCATGTTTGCATTTATTGGTTCCAGAACTGGAAAGAATATGCATTAGTGTAAAGAATATAAATAACTCAAGCTTGCATAAATTAGCATAAATAGTAAATAAATAAGTACACTATATAGAATATGAAATAAAGACATTATATTAATACAGAGGTTATAAATGTACAGTGCTTAAAAAAATTCTAGCTTGCGGACTAAGATAAAGCAACACTTTTACCGGTCATTTTAACCAATCATTTTAACCGGTCATTTTAACCGGTCATCTTTACCGGCCATATTTACCGGCCATACTTACCGGCCATATTTACCAGCCATATTTACCGGCCATATTTACCGGCCATATTTACCGGCCATATTTACCGGCCATATTTACCGGCCATATTTACCAGCCATATTTACCGGCCATTTCTACAATTGCTTTTGGCATCCATTTTTATCACCAATTCAACAATTGAGAAAAACAGTACGGCCATAAAAGCGCTCAATTTCATATAACCCTGATTTTCCATTACAAAAGGGAAATGGCAGCAGCAAAAGTTGACGGCACTTTAGAACATGGGAAATTATTGTCAGGGCTAAAAATCAATTTCTTGTTCGCAAAAGTTGCAACAAACATTTAGAAAACCAAAGAGTTTAAGAGCTTGTGGAAAAAAGAAAACGGATTCTATAGAAAGAACAATATTCATTTGATAAATGTGAAAATAATGAATGACGAATGTTGCATGAAGACTTTAATCAAGAGATTTTCAACAAAGGAAATTTCAAAATGGAACATAGAAATACGACAACTTAAAAACACTTACTATAATTCATGCCTGACAAAGTGCTGCTTCTTGCTATGCCATCGCTAATGAATTTCTACATACAAAGAAATGATGGTACAACTGAGTTTCTTCTCATACACTTTCAGGCGTCACATTAAAGCATTCCCCTTTTCCTTTACTGTTGTTGATCAAAAGTGTATGCATTCATTTTCAATGCCAAAAGGGTTTTGTAAAGTGTATTGAAGGAAAGAAATTTCTTGACAATTAAATTACACTGCAATCATTTCAAGATACAGGCTGATGGAAAGAAAACATGATAAGAAATTTTAACTGACTGAGTCGTCTAAGATGCAACTTTTTTTGCATTTCTTAGTTTAATGATTCAAGGCGAAAGTAAAGTAAAGGTTTTAACAACAAATAAAAACTAAATTACCAGCCATTCACTGTTGTTCATCTCTTTAAAGGTTTCATTTGTGTTCCAATAAAGGGCCAAATTATCCATTTTCACAAGCTATGGCCAAACGAACAACAGTATTAAAAACCAAAAGCGCAATAAGAAAGGAAAAAGTTTGTTTTAAAAAAGTTTGTTACGAAGTTAAAATCTAAAGAACAAACATACATGGCAACATCCCAAAGAAACTAAAGATTGAACAAGAAGAATGACTAAATATGAAGAATAACTACAAGGCTGTAGATTTTTATTTTAAGCTCTTCCATTTTAACTACGCCACAGTTTTACCAAATCATTGCAGAAATATACACTGGATGCAAAACCTATACAGGCTCTTGCTGACCGATAGTAGTAGGTTCATTCAGCTGAAATGTTTCTAAGTCGAGGACTGACGCCGAGATTTGCTCCAGTAAGCTTGTGTGCTTGATAGGAAGAGGGAGAGGGGGGGGGGGAATTGACAGGTACACAGAAGTAAGCTTTTGCTCCAAAATAGGATGAGTATTACAACTTGTTACTGGCATCTTTAGATAGCTTAAGATAGCAGCTTGTTGGGCGAAGATACCAGTTACGACTCGAACTAGCTTCCACCAATAGAAAACTGCTGGTCAGATAAAACTTAGATCAAAACTCTAAGTCAACCTAAGCATGAAGGTAAATTCTGCTCTAACTATGAACTTCAGAGACTGTAATTCATATCACCTTGTGTATCATTGTCACACTCTCTTTTATGATTTTTGGCATAAAAGTTTGGTCCGTTGTCTGTTTAAGAAAAAGAAATTGTATGAATTATGAGAAGAAGCGCTCCAAGAAAGAGACAATAAATCTACTCAACTAGCAGGAAAGTGTAAAGTTTTGAACCACTAGCCGTAAGGAGATAATTTCTATTGATAATGATAATTAATCGTAGATTATTCCTTTTACGAAATGAAGTTGATATTTTATTAACAGAAAACACTTCATTCTCCGTATGCTTCAATATTTCTCTCCGAATATCATGAATGACTAAATCGCAAAAAGCAGACAAAGAGCGCGTTAATGGAAGACATGAACTCACCAAGGCGGATAACCCATCCAGGGTGACTCCAATACTGAATGGAAATCCGGGGGTTGTCACCTGAAAAAATTTAACTTGTGTCACGCAACCACAATTTCGATCGTAAACAACATCAAGGAAGTAATACCTATTTCTAATTAAATTGAAGATTATTTTCCAAACATCAAAACCTCCTGCAATAAGACTTCCAAACAGCGCCATTCCATACAAAATGGACTCCAGTCCTTGATAATTGTAAGTTGTTTAATAGGAAGCTAAACTAAGAATTAAGTATTACAATCAATACAAAAAACAACATAGAATTGAACTGTTGCATCAAAGAAAAATCTACAGATGCAGAAATTTCGAAAGCTGGGATTGTGCACAAAGTAGAAGGTCTTCTCCAAATTTCCACGCCGACTATTAGCTTTGAAGAATAATGTTTTTAAACCGGAGCCGAAAAAGGAATAAATTTAAGGAGCAAAAAAGGTCGGAATGGTTTACAGTGAAAGCAAATAAAAGAGCAGTGTTTTACCATTGGATTCCTGTTGTTTTGGTTTGGCTCTCGAGTTTCAAAACGAAGGCCAAATTACAGTGACTTGATAGGGGAAGAGCTTTATCTCAGCAAATTCGTAACAGATATATAACTGATTTCGCCAATTTAGAAGAATTTCTTGGTGTTTTCAGAATATCGAATCCAAATTTAGCAATCATGAATAAAGTTTATATGACGTCATCAAAATAGCCACATAAAAGATTTTTATGATGCCATATTGAAATACACTTTTATGCACCTTTATAAGTAGACTATTATAAAACAAACTGACTGTTGAAAAAGTAAGCTTTGTAGAAAAATACTGCAAGATTAGACCTGACAGAAAATTAGTTTCTTTTCACGTTTTAATGTTATTAGCTTTGTACAATTTTTGCTGATTTGTACTGTAGGCAAGATACTATATTTGATATGCAAGCTTAGTTTCCTAATTGTACGAGTACTACCGTTTAAATGAGTTAAAGTACTAGACACAACAATAGGTGATAACGAGACGAGGTTATGCTACGTTATCCTACAGGCTAGCTAACAAGACGATGCTTCCTTTATCTTGAATCAAAGTCTGATTTTTAGATTATACAAAAGGACTGCGAAAAATATTTCTTACCCTTAGGCTGTAAAAAGTCGGACCTATTTTCTTCTTTGAACTTATTCCTGTCGCTGATTCGATTCATAAACATTGCCTTTGAAAATTAAGTGTTTAATAGTCGGCGTGAAACTTTAGAGAAGACCTTTTACTTTGTGTTGTTCATAATTTCAGCTTTCTAAATACCTGCACTAATAAGTTATTTACTTCGTATTTATTCAGCTCTTTTATACAATGTTGTAACTGTTTCGGCCATTGTAATGGATTTGACAGATTTTGTACATTTTAACTATTAGAGGTAAATTTTCATGTTGTTTTGGATCATATGATCCAAAATGATAAATAGATATTCAAAAACTCTCAATACAGATTCTTGTGAAGTCATCCCTTAGACAAGCCGAGGGTGAAGGCCGTGCAAAATATTCATGGTTTTTGCAAGGCCTATGCCCGTGTTGAGCTGAGGCTGGAGTGACTAGAAAAAGCATGGAGTAAGTTATCTACATCGCGGAGAACACATTTGACAGAGAACAGTCTACTTACAGTATCTTCATAGCGAATATGAATGTTTCGTATTGAAACCTGAAAGAAAAGGGCCGCATCAACTCTTCATTTGCGATGAAAATAAATGGGAATTCACGCAAGCACTGCATCAAAAACAAAATTCAGAAGTGTTGTTCTAATGGTCTAGTATGCAGAGTATGGGAGTTCCAAATGAGATAACGCTCGTACACAGTCATTTCAACCATATTTTCCGTGCGCAGACCTCTTTTTCAGTTATATTGATACAACAGAGGCTATTCTGCAACAAAGCAACTTTCAATTGAGATTGCAAACTCAAATTTGCGGCATGCATCGCTAAACTAACCATGTACGAGCAGATTATTTAATGGCGACAGTGATAGAAGTTCGAGGGACTAGCCAAGCTAGAGAAAAACCTTTCGAAATGCGAGGCCACAGCCAGAATGTCTCAGAGGGGATCGCTTCTTGAGTATAAAAGACACTTGTTCTCGTTTTCAGTACAACATTTTCAGTCCAAACAAGGGTCGTCCTCATCTAATGGTCCTTCTGATTAAAAGCATTAAATCAAGCAGTGTCGATCTCAGCTACAAATAGCTGGAAATTCTTCCTGAATTTAAAATGCACTGACTTTGATAAGCAGAATGAATAAAGAGGCTGAACACTCTTGATTTAAAAATGGCTTTGAAAAAAGCAAACATTTTGAAACATACATATTTTTGGCACAATCTATGTTTTCCAGTAAATGCTGCCCGATAGAAGAAATGCATGTTTACGTTGCTGTTTCTAGCTGGTTAAAGCTTGGTATATAATAAGGCAAAATCTGGTCTCGTTGAAAGATAGTCGCTTAGCAAGTATTGAACCACTGTAGATGCTTTGCCTAAGTTAGCGGTATCAAAGAAGATTTGAATCGAAATTTCAACGTAACTGTACTAGTTCGCAGTTTACCTGTAAATTTTTAACGACTTGGGTGGCAAGCTTTTCGGCAAATGAGTCAGATTCTTCATCTTTCTTTTTATCTGCAGAAATTCAATCAAATTCAATCAAGTTGACTGCGAGGAGGCAAGGTTAAATCCTTAACAATGGAAATCCTTGTGCGGAATCAAAAACGTTTGTAAAGTTTAATCACACATTCAAGAACAAAAAAAATATACATTTTGCTGTTTTATACAGAAAAAAGTAAGAATCCAGTGCTTTAATGGTTATGATTCAAAAGTTGAAGTTTAACTTTTAACCACATTTTTGGGATAAATGGGCCTAGATATATTGAAAAAAGACTGCCCATATCTGACCAAGTTTTCGTTGCAAAAGCGAATCCAACACAACGCTAGTTCTTTTATCGAAGGTGTCCCAATACTTTTTGAACATAAGTGTATATCAAATAAATTTAAACAGAGAAACAAAGAAAATATATTACAAAGATAAATACATCAAAATAGTCAAACTATTCTCGACAAAATTTCGATGGGAGTGAACATGAAAAATTTTAGTACATTTGGTACTCGAGCTGGGATTTAGCAAAAAATAAGGACCGAAATGTTAGGTGTACCGGTTTTTGGTTCATATATATTAGGGGGGTCAACACAGCTTTGTAATGACTCTGCTTAGGCGTGTTAACGTTAATTTTTCCTTTTCATTCATTCCATCACATTCTCACATCGCAGCACAGGCATCCTCTACGTCACTCTCATATCACGGACTCACAAATCCTTATTGCTAACTTTATCCTTGCCACGCCATTCAATTTTCACATCACCTTTACTCGCCCTTTCGATCATCTGTTTTTCTCAAATCGTACGTGCTAATTTTAGTAATAAACTTCTGTATATGAGCATAATAGTTTCTAAGAAATTTTAGTTCAGAGTTTAGTTAGAATCAAGACACGCAATAGGGATATCGTCTCTCCTCTGGCTCTGTGCTCTCCACAGGTTAAATAGGACTCGCCGGGTTGATGACGACACGTTAGTCATGGATGGATTCATTTAGTGACTACATTCATCGCCGTTCAGATATATACTAAAGCCTTTCTTCAATCTCCAAATTTTCTGATGACGTATTTGACTCCTAAGAATTTAATAACATCTCAACAAATAAATTATAAACCCGACTTTTGCGAACAAAATTTTTAATAACCCTTTCAAAACCAGTAGTGATATGACGTCATAGCAGCGCGATTTAAAATTTTAAATCAAAAAAGAAAAATTTCCTATCATAAATTATTCTTGTAATAACGTCAAGCCACTATTGGGAGGTAGAGAATGCGCCGAAAAAATGCGTTCTTTATTAAGGAAAGTTGATCATTTTCAGAGGGCATGTTCAAAACAACTATTTTTATGAAAAACTTCGCTACAATGCATACCTTTCTTCCTGGCTTCTTCTTCCCGTTTTCTTGCTTCCTCGATGTTCTCAAGTTGCTTTTGTTTCTTCTCCAGCTGTTCTTGTTCATCTTTCACTCTGTCATACTTTACGTCTGCAAAACAGAAAATTTTCCAACAAAAAATTCTATTACACTCTAGCAGCATAAATCTTTCCAATAACTGTTCAGTGCATTCTAAATTTCATTCAAAATCAGTTTACGCTGTGGCTTCGAACTTTCATATCTTTGGAATAATTAACTGGGATTCTCATCGCTATCAAATTATCTCATTTTCCTTGTAGCTGAAGATTTTAAATTTTCCCTTTTCCCTCTAACCTTCTTTCATTACTCCTTAATCCAATCTTTTATTTCTTTTACCCTGATTATAGACTTCCATGAGTTATTTACAAAATGGCACCTCTAATGCCGCAAAAAACGATTTATACTGATTTCAATTGATGTATTCCTCTCCCTTTCAACCGAATGTTAAACCAAACGATTTTCAGACCATCGTTTTTTGCAAATCGGAGGGAGGGGGCTTTAATGTCTTTTATTCAAATTATCAAGAGGAATTTCCAAGGTGATGGACCTCACAATGTGACAGTACTTCGAGTCGCGTTAGGATTTAGACGAAGAAGACTTCATAGTTTCTCACATTTTCTTGATTATTAAAAAGCTCCTTTAACTACAAAATCAATCTATTTATATTCTTTAAAACGGAAATGCTAGATACAATGGTTGAGTGACAGTTGGCTACTACGCATACATACATTAAATACTTACATGGGGAAGAGGTTACAGAAGTATACAGCGATCCTGTTACAGTCCACCCCTCGTTGGCAAAAAAATTAGAAACTTGTTTATAATTTTTTTTATACAATACGCGAAAACGAATTGCAGATTATGTAATGTCCATTATGATTGTTTGGTTATTTTTACGAAAATTAACGACATATCCGATAGAATACTTCTTGATTAAGCGATATAACGTAAGTACCTCCGTGCAGTCCTCCTTCGAGTTGGAGGTATGGGCACGATTTTACAAGACCTCTAAGACGACCATTACGTGCAAGCACTTCCCGAGCGGCGGGAAAATGCTCGTAAACAAACTTACATGCCTGGGAAGATATAGCAGATTTGTTTGGTAACGTATCGAGGTACTTTCCGAATTCTAATGCTACAGAGGCGATGTCTGGATTGGCACTTATTCTAGAATCAACTAAGTCAGTATCGGGCGTAACTTGGGCGTCTTCAGGAAGACTTAAATCTGAAGAAGACGGGTCTGGAGCTACTACAACCTTTTCTATGTTGACGGGACGTGGAAGATTGTTCCCTGTAATAGCGTTACGCAGTGTTAAAAGATCGAACGATTAAACGGGTGACCGGTAACAAGATAGGGACCGTCAAAATTTCGGATAAATCGAGATACTTGACCAGAGTTGGAGGGCCTACAGTCCTTTCTCACGTAAACAATTTTTCCATCAGGGATTTGTAGGTCTCGTGAAGCGGAATCATAAAGTTCGCGCTGGCGACGGCGTAAATCAGATTTTATGGCATCAAACTGGTTATGCGCATCTTTCATGTTAGATACTAATTGCTGCGCATAATGATCTGCAGGCAGCGCTTGTGGTGGGAGCTGCAAAGAAAGCGTTTCTGGCGAAGGGGCAGTACGGCCAAATATGAGAAAAAACGGCGTAATGTCAGAAGTTCCTGAAATAGGCGAAGTGTTGTGCGCATAGGTAGCTGGTTGTAAGAATTCTTCCCAGCGTTCTTGGTAGTTTTCACAATAAATGCCCATAGCGCTGTTGAGAAATCGGTGAACACGCTCTGTGGAACCATTTAAGCGTGGTCGATAGCCAGAGGTAAAAACCTGTTTAATTGAAAGTAAAGCTGTAAGTCTGTGAAGAACTGCATTAAGAAATTCTCCACCACGGTCGCTTTGTAAAACGGCGGGAAAACCGAAAAGCAGAAAGACTTCATGGAATAAGGCGCGTGCTGCTGTTGTTGCGGTTTTGTCCGGGACTGGAATAGCCCTGAGAAAGTTAGAGTAAGGACAAACTGCTGTGAGAATCCACTTGTTCCCGGAAGTAGAAAGTGGAAGCTCGCCTACATAATCAACACCTAAAGTATGAAAGGGGTGTTGATACAAACGTACCTGCATTGGACCGTGAGGTTGTTTTAGTGTTTTAAACCTAATGCAGGATGGGCAGCGACGAATCCAGTTTCTAACATGTTTCGACAAATTTCGCCAATAAAAATCTCTAGAAATGGCATTATAAGTAGCATCGCGTCCACGGTGCATACCTAGTGGCGAGTCATGGTAGGCGTGCATAAGATGGCGTTGCAGGGCAAGGTCTGTAGGAACAAAAAGGCGCAGATGGTCCGGGTTTTGCATAAATTCGTCGGCATAAAACAAAAGACCATCTATGAGTTTTGTGCGTTTAGCGATAGTGGAAACCCATTTCCGAACTTTTTGGTTGTTGGTCGAAATGGCCGTGAATGATTTTCCACTATGAAGAAACTGTATAAGGGGTCCTAACCACGGGTCTGCGCGCTGTTTTTGTGCAAATTGTACTCTATCATAATTAAGTGGGCGCAACTGTTCGAAATCGTCTGGCCACGGATGAGGTGTAGGCAATTTGGCCTGAGTAACGTCAATAGCATCCGTTGCAATGGCAATGCAGGGTGTGGATGATAGTTTGTTATGTTCTAGGTGTGGTAGAGCTGGCTTAACGAGAGATGAGGGTGTGGGGCAGGCCTGGCGGACACACATTGAAGCGAAATCTAAAGGAATGGTGTCTTGATCAGTGGTTAAACTGAGACCAAAGCAAATTGTTGCAATTAAAAATTCGGAGGTATCTGAAGGAGGAATGACATGAATGTTGACCTCTGTAGTTGGGTCCGGCAAAGGTGCGCGACTTAAAGCATCTGGCACAACATTATTTTTACCTGGGCGATGCTCTATTGAAAAATCGAACTCTGCTAAAGAGAGGCACCACCTGGCAAGCTTGGAATTTTGTGGGGCAATTGCGGCTAAAAATTTAAGATTAGCATGGTCTGTAATAACTGTAAATCTGCGACCCATAAGGTAATGACGAAATTGCTCAAGAGCCCATTTAACTGCAAAAAGCTCTTGGTGTGCTGTGGCCCAACGCGATTCAGCTGCAGTAAAGGCTTTTGAGGCGAATCGAACAGGTCTAAGAACGCCGTTATGATTTTGAGCAAGCATCGCGCCGCAACCAATTTTGCTAGCGTCTGTGTGCACTTGAAATTCACTGTCCCAGTTTGGGTGGTACAAAATTATGTCCTTAGAAAGCAGGGCCGATTTTAGGTCCTGAAATTCAGCCTCGTGTTGTTCAGACCAAGAAAATGAGGCTTGGTGGCTAAGTAGTGAGCGCAAATGTTTGGTTCGATGAGACATATTGTTGATGTACTCGCGAAAATATCCAACCAAACCTAGAAAACGTTTTAAGCTAGACACATTATGAGGCCTAGGAAACGAAGAAATTGATTCCGTGCCTTTTTGCGCTGGAAAACGACCTTCAAGGGTAACACGATGGCCTAAAATATGCAAGTCGGTGGAGAAAAATGAGCATTTTGAAGGTTTAAACTGAAGACCAAATTTAAAGGCACGCTCGAAAATCTGCTGGTAGTGAAGTAGCTCTTCTTCATAAGACGAAGACCAGGTTACACAGTCGTCAATATAGATAATCAGCCATTGATACAAGAAGTCAGAGAAGACTGTGTTAAGTATACGCTGAAATGTCTGGGGCGCAGTTTTTAAACCAAAAGGCATACGCAAGTTTTCCCAGAGGCCTAAATGAGTACAAAATGCTGTTTTTTCGTGATGTTTTGGATTCACTGGGACCTGCCAGTAGCCACTGGCTAAATCCAGCTTACCAAAAATTTTACCCTCACTTATAGCATCTAGAATATTGGAAACGTTAGGGATTGGGTACCCGTCACCAAGGGTAACAGCATTGAGAGCCCGATAATCTACTACAAAGCGAGGTGGTTGAGGTTTTCCTTTTTCGGGGGGTTTACGGACTAAGATACAAGGAGCCCCCCAAGGGGAATGGCTAGGTTGAATAATGCGAAGTTTTACCATACGCTCAAGCTCCTCCTTAATAGCTGCTAATTCGGCAGGACTCTTACGGTAAGGAAGTCTATAAACAGGAGGAGAATCACCTGTATTGATATCATGATAAAACCCTTTAATGGCTGACAGTGGCGAATTCGGCAAATGAAATACATTTGGGTATTTTCGTAAGAGTGCTTTGAATCGGTCCATAACTAGACTTGGCACATGCGCATATTGGGGCGTGTCCAATTCTAAAGCCGTTACCAGCTGTTTGTAAAATTCTGGTGAAGTTGGGTTAAGACACACATTATCTGTAGGCGGAAAAGCATTATCATGCTCGACGGTATTGGTTTCTAGAAATTCGGATAATGCTGAAGAATCTAACCCTGTGCTCTTAACGTGTGTTGGCAAGGAGACAAGCGGATCGACACCTAAAGGCGGATTATGCACATTTGCTAATACCTGTGAATACCAGTGGTCGGACATTTGTTTTGCAGTATAATCCACGGTATCTTCATACACCACACTATCCGCTTTGGAGAAAGATCGTATAGTGCCGAGCGAAACATTAAAAGGTATATTTGCAGAACCTTTGTTCGAACGTATTAAGATATTGGTTACGAAGGCCATATCAGGTGGATCATCAGAGCATATGGCGTCGTTGCTTTGAGGTGCCAAAACAGCCACACAAGAAGGTGGGGTCGGGGCCAGTGGCCGACTTGGTCGACATTTTGAAAACCCAGGGTGGCTGGCAGGGTAAAATTGGGGCAGTTGTTCACCAGAAAAAGGTACGCTCTTCAGGGAGGCAAGGTCTATTGGACCACTAAGGGTTTGAAGCCCTGGTGAAAACGTATTGCCCTCCAGCCAAAGGGGCCCCGAAAAGAGAGGAGAGCCTATAAGGGAGGCGGTTACCATGAGGCAAACCGTGACAAAATTGAGCCCTCGGGTCAAAGAAACATGGCTTGCTGACGTGCCTTGCATGGGCATGGCGGTAAGCAAACATGTAACATTGGCCGTTGAGCTGGGGCTGGGCTGTTGGCCTCTCATAGCAGGAAAATATTCGATTGGATTGGAGTCGTAACAGCTAATGTTAAAATCCATTGCAGAATCGGCAAAATATACCTTCAAATCCTTAGAATATATACGTGCATCGGTTTTTCGCAAATGATTCTGACCAAATAAAATAGGCCAAGACAGGCTGGGAACAACGAGCATCGTGAAAGTTGCGGATTTGCCATTTTCCCAAGTGATAGGCACTTGAATGACACCAACTGCCTTGAGGGACGAATTAGGCCCAGCGACCGAAACAGGGATAGGCTGCTCTAATTTAGTAAATTGAAACGCAGGGTCGTATTTGGCTACGGTTTGCGCATGATGTTGGCTGACGAGTGAAACTGAGCAGCAGCTATCCAGGGGCAAGGGCAGGGAAACACCCGCAGAGGTGACCTTAGTCCACAAAATGTTTTTTGCCGCAAGATCCAAAGACGAAAATTTCGCATTAACGGGAAGGGAGGTTATAGCTGGCATACCATAAAGTGGATCTTGCGTCGCAGCCACATGAGACACGGGAGCCTGGGTAGGCTGGGGCAGTTGCCGTTTGACTTCTTTCTCGATACTTGTTGCTAAGTCTTTCTTTAAGGAAGAAAAAGAATCGCTGACAATTTCTTTTACCGAGCTAAGCAGTACAGAATTACTGTGTTTAGGGTCAGAAGGCGATACATAAGTTGCCTTAATTCTATCATGCCTACGAATATCGGGAGGGGCACTGCGAGAATCACTACGAGGGTTGGGAGAATGTGTAAACGCTTTACAGTTAAATCTAAAGCATTTTGAGCATTTATGAATATAGCCTCTTTTACATTGATTATTTGGCATCTCGCAGTGTGCTACGTCAAATTTGTTAAAGTAACGACAAAAGTTTGTACCTGGAGGGTCTTTTTGAGCTTGTTGGCGTGATCGAACATTTTGCTTCGCACGAGGAGAGTCTTGAGAGTTTCTCGACTGCATGTTAGGTGGCGGAGAGGAAACCAAGGCTTGGGGCTTCCATAGACCTTCGATGGCATCAGGCTTTGGAGGCTGGACGGATTCAAACCGTTTGGCAGCTTCAATCACGGCGGTAAGCGAAGAGAAGGGTGAATCTCGGCTCACGAGTTCTTTTGCAAGAGAAGGTTGTAATTTGAGCATAAATGCGTGAATTAATTCTACATCTGCGTCAGTACGGTGAATTCCAGGAATGAGTTTTTCCAAGGAATGCTGGGTTTCAAGGAAACGATGGGCGAAGTCGGCCACGGATTCGGAAGGGTGTTGGTACATTGAGTAATATGTGGCGAGTAGTTGGCGGATTTGTTGCTCTTTGGGAACCCCTCTCTGGGCTTTGAGTTGAGCAAGGCCAGTTTCATAGAGAAGAATGAACTCAGCATTGCTTGTTTTGTCGTCTATTCTAGCGGCATTGGCAGCTTCGAATGCACAGATGATGTCGAACGCTCGGGTATCCCGGCGGCATTGTTGTTTCAAATAGGTGAACCAAAATTTGGCAGAGACACCAGAAGAAGAAAGCACGTTTGTGAGTTGTTCGGCAAAACGATCAAGGTCTTCGCGGCCTGTAAACTCAGGGAGAGTGAGCTGTGGTAGACGAAGGGGTGAGCTTGTAGTTTCTTTGTTGCGAACAGATTGCGATAATTCATGGACGGCATTAGAGAGCTCTCGAATCTGTTGCTGAGTTTGAGAGGAAACATCTTTGGCGGTGATCTGTTGTTCTTTGACAACGGAGGCGAGACCACTGACAAGTCCAAGGACTTCTTCGTATGACATTGAGAGGATCGATGATCGATGGTAAAGACGAGCGGGTCCTGCACCAATTCTGTGACAGTACTTCGAGTCGCGTTAGGATTTAGACGAAGAAGACTTCATAGTTTCTCACATTTTCTTGATTATTAAAAAGCTCCTTTAACTACAAAATCAATCTATTTATATTCTTTAAAACGGAAATGCTAGATACAATGGTTGAGTGACAGTTGGCTACTACGCATACATACATTAAATACTTACATGGGGAAGAGGTTACAGAAGTATACAGCGATCCTGTTACAACAAAAGGGGGGGGGGGTGGGGTTCTGAGAATATCTCGAAAGGGTTCTTAAAAAAACTAAAACTCACCTTTGTTAGGTTTGGCTAGCAAAAAAAGATTCTCTACTGTGACTTCAGTAGGCTCGTTGTATAGGTTCTTCCATGGAATACTCAAAAGAAGCCTTCCTAAAATGAAGAATATTCTACCTTTTTTATAAAATATTAAATGTGGTTGACACTTAGTTGGTGTTTGTGTTAATAGCAGAAACCAACTTAGAATGGGATTTCATTTTACTGTAGACTTCTCAGTGCAGTCGCTGATCACCAACTACACGAAAAACTTAAATTAAAGAGTTAAAAAAAGGATTTCGTTCGTCTCAATTCGTATTAAACTTTCTATTCATTACGGAATCAGAGACAGAAAAAATATTGTTATTTCTACTAATTTTCTATCAGGATGCTTAAAGCACCAAAAATATCGCCATGAATGAAAACAGATTTGTTGTTTTGGCAAGGCTAGATAGCAAGTGGACCCTTGCAAAATCCCTACAGCCCGTCAGGGGGGGGGGGCAGCAGTGTTATTGACAGCCCCCAAGTTTTTGCCTTTCTACGAAGATTAAGTCTCCCTTTTATGATGAATTGTTGATAGGAGACCGTGATACGTGCCCTTCCAAATTCCTGCCCCATCAAGTTATAAATGCTTCCTACGTCTACAACCAAAGGACATGTGCTTTTTTGGACCTTCAAGGGTAACTGGAGCGAGATAAAGAATCTAGTTGGCAGCATAAAAGTGACTTGGATTGACTGAGTGGAGAAGTTTGTACACAGAAGGAGTTCGTTTTCACGTTAGGACTCCATTGATAACATTCTCAATAGGCAAGCGGCACTGATTGGGCAACCTTAACAGTCATGTGCTCGCGTTTTTTATATCACTTTTTATATCACAAAAAAAATTGCGTTTCTGATTGGCCTATTTCGATCCACAATTGGGTATATAAGCGTAGTTTTCGATCTATATTCTGACGTTTTATACTCTGAAGAGTGTCAGACGTAAGGGTTTAGTGAAATGTTTGCCATTTTTATAAAAAACATTGTTAAAATTCTAAGGCTAAAAAATAAATTAATAGAATTTTCATACTTACCTAAATGGCCACGTACAACTTTGATTGGAAGTGAGAGATCATCCTGATGGAAAATGACGATAAAGCAATAATTTAGGGCTAAGGTAAATATTTGTTAGATAAAGATAGCAAAATGCAAGGTTTAAGATGCCAGACGACAAAAAATGTGGATGGTTTAAGTCTGTGGCCATGGGTAGGAAAATGCAAAATTATGGGTGGTAAAGTTGTATTCCATATGAAAAAAGCTGAAGTTTTAAAATAATCACGTGATAGTCATCCCTTATAATCACGCCGTTGTTGTTACATTATGTAAAACATGCACAAGGCAGCGTGTCAGCTAAAACTAACCGCAACACCCACAATTCACTGCAACATGGAGCAAAGATTATCTCCGTTATGAGATGGCAAGGTCGTATGTTAAAACACAGACCAATGTTGGACATCAGCGCTTGGACTTAAAAATATAGCGTTTAAAGCTAGGAGCATTTGACGGAGGCATATAATAAAAAACTTTCTCTGATAACTGATAAACATAATTCATGAATCTTTATTACTGCTTCCTAATGGCTTGCTGATTATACGGTTTCCATTCCAAGCATTTTTGTTACATTTTACATTTTTTGCTAACGGTTAACTGATTATTCCGCGTGATTTTTTGAAGTTCTCAATTTTAAATCGATTTTTATTATTTCATGATTATTTACAAATTATGATTTATAAGTCAACAACATTTTGACATGAAACAACCCCTTCCCTCCCCCTATGTGAAATAGAGAGTAAGGCAGCAAACTAGTGGTCCCTGAACAAAATCAGGCCAGCTGCAAAGAAGAGGGGGTATTGGGGGATAACCCCCTGGAGTATACGAACAGTCACGTCCAAGAGAGAGCGACACTCTTTGATAACCTTAAAGTAAAGTAGCTTTATCTCAAATTGCAACCAAACATCCTTCAATGAAAACAAAATTTAATGGAGCTGCCTACCCCAACCCTACTAATATATTTGTGCTTTTTGACACATCTTAAGGGGATGGAACCTCCATTCCACTCTCGTGTATACACCACTACCAAGGAGTATGCTTTTCGTGGCCTTTGTACCTTCAGGAGTTTGCTGAAAAACGTACTAAACGTTTGAATAATATCAGCTGTCTGCCATACTTCGTGCATGTATAACTTGCTTTTATGTTTGACCACCAGTTCTTCCACCTCAGGATATCAAAACCAATTTGGCTCCCAAGCAAAAAGTTGCCCAGTTCTGGGTCTTTCATTTGAAAGTGATATTTGTTTACACTGGTTCTAGTGTTTTAAATTTTTATTTAAAACAAAGCTTGCTGTTTTGGCATGGCAAAGAGAAATAATTGGACCATTAAGATTGCCACTGGGGGCAGAGATTTGGGTGTGGTTCTTGATATGATAGGCTGTGACACTCAGGTGTAAAAGGGGCAACATGCCAAGAAAAAAGGCAGAAAGGACAACTACCTCCTTGTGCCACAATACTCCAGCAAACAAGATCAGGCTATTGGCAAAGGGATTGCACACTTCCTGAAACCCCCTAAGCTTTAACTTAGTGTATAGGTACACTAAATCTTCAAATAGAACAGCCCCCTGAAAAACTTTATGTCAAGATAATATGTGTTGTTAACTGGATTAAAAACTGAATGAAATGAGAAACAGGTGGTTATTACAGCGGTATATCATTTAGATCTTGCCACATTCCACAATCCATCACCAAAGATGATTTATAAATATTACATTTAAATCTTACTGACTTTATCCCATGAAAGCATGGGAGGCAGCTGTGAAACAACAAATGAACCGGGTAATGATTGGCTTTCTAATAGAAGGCAAGGTTTGTCAGTTCTGCAGAAGAACTTGATGTCTTAAAGGGAAGTTATAATTAAAATAACAGGGCCTTTGACAAAGGGGGGCCAGGGGACCATGCCCCCCCTACTTTTTTTGCAAAACAATAGAGCTTTTTCCAGAAATATTTTGTTGTGGGTGCTAAATTTTTTACTTGCCCCCCCCCCTCCTCACTTTTCAACCTGTGTTGGAGCCCATGAACAAGGTTGTGTCCAAGGAACTAAATGCGGTTTAATTCCACAAAAACAAAATTTGTCCAGTTTAAGATCTTCAAGCATAGGCTTTCTTCCAAACGAAACAACAAATTAGTCAAACAAGCAGCTTATTGCAGTCCAAAGAAACCAACAAGACGGTCCAAACTACTTTGCGAAAGCTTCTTTAAAGGGACCTCAAATGAACAGCAAGGCTGTAGAATTTTCTGGCCAACTGATTGAACAATCAGAACAAAGAGAATTGAAGTGTGACTGAAAAGATCAATAATGCTTTGAATTAAAAAAATTTTAATTTTTCATGACACAGATACCACAAGTTTCTATAGGATTCAAAAATGGCTTCCAAATAGGAAGTGATAGCTAAAAGACAATGAAACAAATGAACAAAATCCATAACAATCACGGGCATCAGCAAAAACAAATATTTTATCTTTCAATTTTATCTGCTCTTTTAATGACTACAGACAAAGATACATGTAATGTGAGCCCATGGGTGTTCTCAAATCTCAACTCAAAGCTTTTAGCCTCATAATTTGCTTAAAAATCAGTAGATTGCATGTTTTGTTAATTTTTTATGTAGAGAATACCATCAAATCTATCTATAAAAAATCATGCAAATCTCAGCTAAGATACAACTGATTAGATACAACTAAAACAAGGAATAACCCTATGAATAAATACTGCCAATTCTTGAGCCTAATGATTGACTTCTTCAAAAAGGTTGCCCAACAAAAAGTTTACAACACTTGAATCTGGTCAATTTTAAATCAATCATTAGTAATTGTCAAATTGAATCCCATTTCCAGATTGACCTTGAAAAATGCTCTAAGGAGACAGCCATAATAAACACCAACTTGCAGGGTTTTGATAGTCACAAAGAATAATTATAGATCCAACGGATATAGGCCAACTTCAAATGCAGGAAGTCAAAAATAGGGCAGTTTTTCCATCTAGAAAGAGGAAATTTTCAAAGATTTCAAAGGGGAACTATCATCCTGCTATTGTTGGGGAAACAAACCAGGATTTATTTGAAATTCTGTTGACTTTAGAAATTTTGCATCATATACACATACAGAGTAAAAACTGTGATGTTATTTTCAAATTGCAAAATGTACTCTGTGGTAGGAATATTCAATCAAAAGACTATGAATATTTAGCCATGCTTCAATCAATCTTGTTTTTGTGATTGGCTTTTCGACCATGAAATTTTAATGACCATGAACTTAAAGCTCTTTGTATATCAGAACATTATTTGATGACCAATCAAATAATTCAACTTTTTAAAGATCCCTGGGATCATTACACTTTCTTTAAAAAGCATTTGAAGCTGGATTGTTTAAACAGCTGGCCAATCCTTGTCATTTTGACATCATTTACAGCTGAAAGCACCTTTGATGGACCTTGTCTAGTTTTTCAATGTAAAAGAGAGATAAGGATTCTTGACGTATGAAAAGTTAGACTACTGTGATTATTAAAAAGCATTTCCTATTGCAAAACATGGTATCAAAGAAATGCCTTTTCAAAGGGGGAGTTTTCATAACAAATCTTAATAGGTTATGCTTTGATCCTCTTGGTTATAATTGAACTTACCAAGGCAGTGTCCTTAAGTTCAAGATTGTTGAGCTTCACATTTCCTAGAAAGGAAATAAAACAGATAGATATTAAATTTTCGTGAAAGGAATCAGAGTACAAATACCTGCAGCTTCGTTGACCTGAACTTTGAAGACAAAACTGATCTTTCACCTGAGGCTTGATGACTTTTAAAATACAGAATTTAGTCTTATTACAAAAAATATTATCAAAACAAACACCTGCCAAAATTTATAACCGGAATCTAAAAATCTAAAACAAATCATTCTAAGGTAGACATTCATGAATGAAAAATTTTGAAAACATTTTCCTGTGTATTCAACTTCGTGTTGTTTATGTTAGCGCAATTTAAAAAAAAGAAACTCCATTTTGATGTTTTACAGTATATATTAGCTGTATTTTTATTTAAATTTTTGGTTTAAATCGATAAAAATACGTCACCGAGGGCATTTCGAAAGCTCTATAGAGATATTTCCTCTTCCCATTCAATAAAAACAGTCAGTCAGAGACTATAGATCAGCAATGCGAGCTGCAAGTTCCTCTGAAGAGCGAAACTCAGGCGATATCAGTTTAATTCCATTTATACCATGCATAATTTTTTCAATGCTGTTTAGTAAAAAAAATATATTCTAAACTATCGTCATCTTACCATCCCAAATTCCAATCTTGAGTTGCGAAGGATCCAAATTCTGCACATACTGGCCTAAATGCTTGTTCAAGAGATCAGTGACTAACGACTCAAACACCATCTCTCAAGAAAATTTTTGCATGAACTTTAATTAAAGGCTCTTCTTAAACAGCATTTTACGGTTGAATTATAGTATTTCAACCGAAAATTTGCCATTCATTCTATCTTCCAGTTTTTCGATGAACCCTTTCAAATAACCTGTTTTCTGCGTGACTCCTCTTTCCAGCTTCGTGTATATAATGTAAAATGCGGACCAGATGCAACGCCCCCCACAGCCAAAACAAACATTAAAAACGCATGCTATTACGTCACGTTGTAAAAAGATTTTTAAACATTTGAAAAATTATATAATTAAAAGAATAAAGGATTATGTCAATTCCTTCATTTTACAAAGTTGCATTACAATGCCCTGAGCCTTGGTTCAAAATTAAATTATGCAATAGCTCAAGTATTAGCTTTTTAATAATTTGTTCTTAATTCTTGACTTATTTCGAGGCCTGCAACATTCTGCATAATTTATAGCTCACTCATGTGTTATATCAATCAATCTTCATTGAAATCCACCTCCAGAAAGGTGGAATATTATTGTTATTGAAATATCTGTTTTTGTTATGACATTGCAGACAAAGAAAGAAAAAAAGGTGTTTTGCCAATTTTTGTATCATGTATTTGTACTTTTGTAGCTTTCTTTACATGGCAACTGAAAATAGTTTTGGTCTTTCCTCTAAATGGAAAAGGCTCAAGATTTCTATAATCAGAATAACAGGATACTAAAAATGACTACTTTTCTTAAAATCTCGATAGAGAAAAAGTTCAGTTCTTCATCATTTCTAAGCTGTATAAAGTGATGTATTGCTAGATACTCCTCAAAACCAAGAAACTGAGTACTTAAACTAATATTCAAGAACTCTTAAATATATATAATTGCTTATTTCACATTTACTAAGGCTACTTTTCTGGCTTTTAAAATCACAACTGCATTACTGTTTTGTCTTTATTTTGAAATAAGTGAAATGATATATTGTATAAAATCATTACAAAATATCTTATATCAAAATCAGGTGCTTATTCGCCTTAAAGATATATGAACATTTATCAAAAGAAAAATATTTAATTTGAAATGATACAAATGAATTGGTGCATTTAGAAAATACTGTGTTTCTTTTATCAGAGATATAAAGATGTTATAAGGAAAAATTGCAGAGTAAGCCAACTAACAATAGAAACTTGCATAATTGAATATTCCATTAACCTGCAATTTATTCCTTATTTAGGCTTATCACACATATCTAAGACAATTTTTCCCTTAGTTGTTCCACTTTGTAACATTCTAAAAGCTTCTTTTGCATCTTCAAACCTCACAACACCACTGATGACTGGCTTTATCAAGCCTCTGTCAATAAATTCTGAAACACTCCTTAGAATGCCTCCATTTGGGAAAAACAGGCCCCAAGCATATCTTCCTCTATTTTGAGCTAGGTTTTCAAAACTTTGTCTATAGAATTCCATTCCAGCATTAAACAGTCCAAATGCTAGCCCGCTTTCATCAATTGCAGGTAAAAATGGAGGCATAAGTGTGACAAATGTTGTTTTCTCAGTGCAACCAATTGTGTCTGTGTGGTGCCCACTTCTTGCATCTAAAACAATATCATATGGACCAGTTTGTTGGATGAGGTAGTCATGGTTTTCAGCTTGATAATCAATAACATTATCAGCTCCTAAGGAATATAGAAAATCAATGTTGTTCTGTGAGCAAGTTGCAGTAACAGTATTCCCAAAACATTTTGCCAATTGAATAGCAAAAGTCCCGATTCCTCCACTGCCTCCTAACAGTAAAATATGCTTTCCATTGTCAATCTTCTTTGGATCAATACCTGCACGTGAAACTAATGCTGTCCAAGATGTGCAAGCTACATAAGGTATTGATGCTGCTTCTAAATGGCTCAAAGTCTTTGGCTTCAGGGAAACTTCTGATTGACTTGCAAGGCAATACTCAGCATGGGTTCCTTTTTCCAGGACCCATTTGGCACACCAGACCTCATCACCAACTTTAAACCGTCTGACTCCTTGCCCAGTTTTGACAACCACACCTGAGCAGTCTCTTCCAGTAACAATTGGGAATTCTTTAGCATTATATAATCGTCTTAATACATTCATTGCTTTGCTACCATATCCTTCAATCATTTCAATGTCAAAGGGATTTACAGATGCTGCCTTGACTTGCATCATAATGGTATCTTTCTTGATTACCTTAGGAACAGGTGCTTCTGTGTTGAATACCAGAGAAGAAATAGAACCGTACCTCGAAGTCTCCCACCTGGACATAGAACAAGGAATCTCATGATTTTTAACACAAGAAGATGCAAATAGCCTTTTCGAAGAACACAAGAACAAACCAGTCTTGATTCTGCTAGCTGCTAATAATGGCTCCAGCTTTTCTGAAAGAACAACTGATTGTCTAGCTATCATCTTAATAATCCGGAGAAACTAACTCGACGACAGAAAACTGGATGTATTTCACACTGTCAACAAACAAAGAATTCACCATGCGAAGATTTTTGTTGGCAATGACGGAAGAAACCTCTTTCCCATAGCGAGGTCATATATTTTATTTAGGCCAAGAAGAGTACTAAAATTCGACGTGGCAATTTAACCAGCAAAATTATTGCCATTTATCAACGGGTGTGTGATCTTTTATGGAATATTTATGTGCATGAAGTTTCAAAATTAACGTAGCGAAGGGAACGTGGTTAATTGCGTCATATTCACGAGCGTAAAGACTGTGGTTTGTCAGAAAACAATTTGTTCTAGTTTGAAGAATAAGTTGACAAGGTGTAGGACCAGTTAAACGATCTTGTTTGTCACAAAAGTCCTTTTACATCACGTGATGTCTTCGTCGAGGCGTGAAAACAGTCTTAATGGATATGATAAGGTGAGATATCAATATTTTTATTTTTAGAGTTTTTTTTCGTAAAAAAAGGAATGATTTCATTTGCATAACTGCTGAATTTTTTTGGACCAGGACATGGCAAAGTGAACTGAGTTAATACTGTACTTAGGAATCTGAAAAAAACATTTTCTCAGAAAGGTTATGTGTCAAGAAAGAGAATTCAGAAAGAGCACAATGTCATATGATGTGCTAAGTGGTATACAGAGTAAAGAAGACACAAGGAAAATGACTCACACAAACAAACGTCTGCACCAAAATTCTGTGCATGAAGCTTGGTATCTGTTCCCTCAAAATCTTCCCGATCTACCCTGGATATTAGATGAATAAACACATTGCATGAATTCTTCACAAGTGCCGAATAAGCTAATTCAATGTTAGTTAGACAAGGACAGCTTTGCTCATTACAATTTATTAATTGTACACTTTATCCAAGGTTCCATTACTGGCCCATGGTGAGGACTCAAGTGATGAAGATGATTTGTAAGTGCATATTTCATAACATACCTTGTCTGGTGCCAATTTATGCATATACTTTTATACTTTATATATACACAATTCAAGAATCTGTTCAAGTTCATTTTCTTTTGAAATTCCAACTAAATACAAATTCCATCTAACAGCAAGTTAAAAAACAATAGCTTCAACAAAATAATGTAATAGTACACAAAAAGAGCTAAACTAATTTGAAGGGAATTTGTAAATAGGGAATTTCTTTAGGAGGAGCTCTCTCAAGTGTGCCGGTGTTAATCTTAATTTGTAAAAATTAACATTAAATAATCTAAAAATTACAATATTTGCATGTAACATAATATTTTGGATTGGTACAAAAGTTTAATAATTTTTATGATTTTTTTTAAAAATGATAATTTCTGTAGGCTGGATTTGAGAAGAAGTGCACCTGGGAGACCAAGCCGACTCAAAATGAAAGATGATAAACTTAAAACGGTTAAAAATGAAATAAAAAGCACAATGAGTATTATGAAAAACAATATCAGCAAAGTAATTGATAGAGGAGACAGACTGGAAGATTTGGAAGCAAAATCAGGTTTGTGGTGTAACTTTTTCAAATGAGTTAAAGATAATGAATTTGTTTATCTTCACATATTTTTATGTTCTTAAAGGGGAATTGGTTACACCCAAGAGATTATTCAAAAAACAAAGCAGCTTGCAACATAAACTTAGTCTCTGCTAACTGTATTAAGTCTAATTTTGTGACAGATAGTCCAAAAATACTCATTGAATCTTTTCTGTTTTAGATATTTCTTACCCTTCTTGTCAATCTTTGATTACAAAGTTTTAGTGTTTCCAGTATGATAAATTTACTTCTTCTTCAGAAAGCTTCGAGATGAATGCATTCAACTTTAAATCAGGATCAACAAAACTGAGGCAAAAGCTGTGGTGGCAAAATTGTAAGGTGTGTGAAATAAAGGGGCTCTGATCCAAGTTGGGCAAGGGGAAATTAAAGATCTATAATAAAAGATTTTGTAAAGAAGTTTATTTGTTTTGCAGCAAAGTGGAGGGCCATGGCCCCAGTATAGAAATCCCTTCCCTCATTGCTGGAGACCCTAAACTATAAATAAGAGATGCCAAACGGTTCATTTAACTAAATTCCATGCTAAATAGTTCTGTTGTATTCTAGTTCTTAAATCTGTGTACTTTGCCCTCAAGCCAGAACAAAGGCAACATTTTGCTTTATTTGGAACAAGATAAATTGTTATCATACATTTTTATAAATACACCTGTGACAAAAAAGTAATTTAAGCATGCCACTTAATGCAGCATTATAGTAAACACACATAAAATGGTTAAAGGTAATTTGAAACATCATATTTTAACTAACAGTTCAATGGAATCTTGTTATTTAGGGTCGTAGAACCTTGCCTTCTCGCACCCTTAAACTCAGTGAAACATTTTCAACTTTCAGCTAAATTAAATGATAGAAACTTCTTCAAGGTCTTAGAGATAGCATAAAATGTATTATCTTACCCATGAATGTAATCTACTTCAATTGATTTGTAGCTGAAGATTATTCTGGCATTCATTGTTGTTGCCATTCTCCTTGTGATCATATGTGAGTGAAATTTATCCTTGTTTTATAAAGTTGTATCTTATTAACAGTTGCCTGTTAACACATTTAAGTGTAAAGTTGCAAGTGAGAAGAACCACATCATATCATTAGTTTATGCGTTAGGGACAGAATATTCTGTTCTTGTATAGCCTGTTCATGATAAAGTCTGCCATCTCAAAAATTGTTGTAATCAAAGTACTTTGTTTGTTTCCGGTGAATTGTTTAAGAGTCATGTTAAGTTTTCACAGCTTTTGATTGTTATAAATTTGCTTTTTAAGTTTTAAATTTTCATGTTCTGTCATTGGTCAGTTCTTTTTAAACACTCTAATGATATGTATTATATTTGTAGTGCCAATTGCCATCAAAAAGAAAAATTAGCTACAAAATGACAGGCAACAATATTACTGAGGATATCAGTAACATAACAGCCAAGTGTGAGACTCTTTGCGGTCCAATTAAAGATCACCACCCTTTCGATTGGTGTGAAAATGATGTAATACTTTGTTCCTGTTCAATGAATGACTCTTTATGATTTAGTTAATTGTACAGAAACTGTCAAATTCATTGATATGATAGTATAGAAAGTGGGTCTTTTGTCACTAGATTAAATAAACTTAGTTGAGAATTAGCAGAAATGACATGTTTAATTTGTCATTTTTAGATAACACTAATCTAGAATTTCAGTGAATTACTTGTCAATTCAAGTCTGCTCCATCAAAAAATAACAATCATGATTCTCTATACTTCTGAGTAATTCTTTACTCTCCTCATTAATTCAGAACCAAAAAACTTTGAAATGGTACCCGTCCCTCTCTATTGGTATTCATCCCCATCAGCATTTGTATCAAGGCAGAGTTTGCCAAAAATAAAAGCTCTGGGCAAAATATAAAATCCCTGTTATGTGTGTGGCACAACAGGAGACAGCTGCTTGACTTGACAGATTCATCCACCTTTCATTCCACACCCCAAGCTAAATTCAAAAGAATCCAGAGGAACCTGGGGCCAGCCCAGTTAAATCTTACGTCGTGCCTGTCTATAGATTTTGTTAATTAAATCCATTCAATGCAGTCATAAATACTTTGTAAGTATTTGTAAATTTGAATTTATACAGTATACTGATGCAAGTGTATAGCTTTTTGGAAATTTTTCTGCTTATCTGCATAAATAAGGTGAAAAATAGTCATCTGTTTTATTTGTGTAGTGTAATGTTCAATAAAAGTGCAAAAACACTACAGAGATTTGACATTTATATACTGCTTTGCAATAGAATTACTGCTTTGCTATAGAAAATAGCATTGAACAGTTTTGGCTATTATAAGCCTACTCATATGAAAGTCGAAGAAACCATATTTGACCTCATTTTCAACAGACCAGTATCATGGAAAGATAATAGACGAAAAAGAAACATTTCTTACAGGAGTTATTTTAACAATTGATCAATCACAAGAAAGTGTTTAGCCCTTCTTCTTGGATACACCAACAGTACGTCCTTTCCTTCCTGTGGTCTTGGTGTGCTGGCCTCTTACGCGGAGACTGAAAGAGAAACACAATTTTGTGAAATCACTGATAACATACAAGGTACGCGGGATTTAATTAATTAACCCTTTAAGTCCTTTACTGAGGCTGACCCAAGTCATTTGCCAAATTTTGTGACTTAAGCAGATAAGTTTTTAATGGCATAGGCAAATAACCTGCTTGCTTTGAACCATAAAATGTCATCGAAACTTATACACATAAAGAATGGAATATTCATGAAACACAAAAAGATTTTATTATGTGGTGAAGGTATGACATCAGGATTTAAATTGTTTCCGTTTATAAACAAAAAATATTATGAAAACATTCAAGGAAGTCTTTCTCAAAAATTTAAAATCTGAGAGTTGCCAGAAACAGAGACAATCATAACATGATAAGATATCTTTATCAATGACTTTGATTTTTCAAAATCTTGCCTTTCTATCTGGAGACACAAAATTACCCATCTGGACAAATATCAATGGTTCTACAACTCTTCATCATCCTTTTTTATTATAACCATTTAGCCTTTGAGGTAACTTATCTGAAAACTTTCAAAGAAGAATAAAACTCCCTTGATCAATTTTGAAGCATTTTTGGCATTCCAACCTTACTACAAAGTAGCTTCTGAGATTTTCATCAACAAATTTGTCTAGGGCAATCACTAGTTTAAATTTACACTTGGGGCAACAAGGCAAACAATGTACTTACAATTTTAAAACTTTATGAATCAAGCAACAAAAATTAAATATATATTATTCTGACTAAACAACAAACTGTGGGTCCTTACCCCCAGTAGTGACGTAGACCCCTATGAGCCTTGATTTTCTTCAGTCTCTCAAGATCTTCACGAAGCTTGCTCTCCCAGTTGTTTGCAAGAATCTGAAATAGTACAGCCACATTTTACATAAGATTTCAAATGTGAAGCATTTTTGAATAAATATTTTGAAGACACAGGATTGTCTGCTAATAAGAAATATACATATACATATATGCACATAATTTCATGATCATTCAGTTAGAGGTAAGCTCCTAAAAAATTTCATAAAATGAATTCATCTTTAACAAACTCAGGCATTCAGTAAAAAAATGTATGTACCAAGAATATTCTGACAAAAGAATGAATGAAGGTCACAGCCTTGTCATACCTGAGAGAATTTTCCATCTTTAATATCCTTCTGTCTGTTGAGGAACCAATCAGGGATTTTATATTGTCGTGGATTCTGCATGATGGTAATGACCCTCTCCACCTGTAACCGTTAAAAACACAAATTATGTATAAACATATAAAAACATAATTACCAAAATCAATACAGCAAAATAAACAAGGATAAATATAAACAAACAAAAATAATGGTCAAAATTTAAAAACTTGGTCAAATTCAGAGTTGGCTCTGGGGATGAATAAACAGGAGGGCTTGCCATCTGTGATAAGTGATGGCTCATGCTCCCTCCACATGCCCCTCACAAGCCGAGGAGAGCTGCGAATAATTATCCTTAACTAAAGATGAAGGAAGAGTGGCTTCCCTACAAGATCCATTCATTTACAGTATACATGTCAAACTTAAAGCCACATCTCATCCTGCGTGTAATTTTATCCAGCCTACGAGATCATTTTATATTATTGTGTTTATAGAACGTGTCCAATAAATGTTTATCCTGTTTGGCCTGCAGCTAAAGTGTGTTTTGGATATTGATCCCTTGTGCAGTTGAGTTTGACACCCCTGATTGACATTGATTTTTATTATGTACATTATATTTATTATGTTGATATAGTTGAAAAATGCCTTGACAAATGAGGCAAGTGACAGGTACGTTTTAGGTGTGCCAACATTTATATTAAACACAACTGTCAATAAAGAATTTACCAAACTAACGACACAGAAATATTCTACTCTTATTTATAGGTAGTCTCTAGGGCATTTGTCCAAAGAAGATTTTGTTACCCGGAGATGGTTTGTAGTTGAATGTTTTTATACTTCTACTTTGCAAAGTACAAAAACAAAAAGTATATATATATATATATATATATCAGAAATTTAAAAAGTCCAAAAGTTATTGGATAAAGCAATGATATTGCTTGCTGAAGGGGCTAATTAATATTCTTAGACGGATTGAAAAGCCAATTCTGATTAAAGACTGCCTATTATCATGATTTGCAAATTGATGGATTCAAGTTGATGTCATCAATTTTCTATCTCACTTTAAATTAGTTTATACTGAAAATTCTTGTTGTTTGGACCATTCGGTCACATGTTACTTTGTTTCAAATATTTATATATTTCTTTAGAGTTGACCAGAACTTGCTGCTGCAGTAAAAAAATATCACTACACAGGCCTTGCTCTAAGTAAAATGAAGGTGCTCCATAAAAAGAGCCCCTTAGAAACTCTAGGCGCTCTATTTCGCACCTCTAAGTAAATGTCCTTGAGAGCATCCTTCGAGAGCTTAAGGAGATCGAGAGCTTCATATCAAAAGCTTCGGAAGAATGTTAAATATGAAATTCAACGGTGATACCACAAAGCACCATAATATGAAATAACAAAATATGCAACAAACACTATGCTAATATAAATATAGAAATATAATAAAACATAGTCGCAAAATTGTTCAAATTTTTTTAGATATGTAAGTTGCCATCATTCGATGAGCTTTTATCAGTGTCAGTATCACTACTGTTATGTTAAGCTTCACATATTGCTTCATCAAAACGCATGGCTTTAAATCGAACATTTAACTTTGTTCCTTTTTTCATGTTATCCATTCTATAAGAAACGCTAGAACATCTACTACTCGCAATAGCAAATGAAAAATGAAAAGCAATGCGATGATTTGGACGGAAACGTGATCGCTGATTTGCACAGGCGATTTTAAGTTATTAAGAAAAACAGAAAATAATATATACTCCAATAGAAGATTAACGCTTGCTCGAAAATCAAATAAATCTGCGGAAGAATACACTTGATGGCCTGTATCCTTGATGGTTATTAGAGGGTTTTCAGATTAAAAATGATATCGAAAACCCAACGTCGAATTTGCTGAATTTTTTCTCAAGGGGTAATCTTACGCAAATCATAATATTGCGGTCTGTTGGGAAGATTGTTTATGCTTGATCAAGTTTATTAGACAAAGGCCAAGAAATTATTTTGCTCCGTGGTAATATTGTTTGTACCTTTTGAAGGGCCCTATAAATCGCTCTCCAAGGCTTTTTTTGGGTGCGCTCTAGGCGCGCGCGCTCGATCGAGCGCCTTTCCGGGCAAGGCCTGTTTGAAATGTATAGGAAAAGCTAAATTTTGAAAATGGGGTAATTCGCAGCCCTACAGCCAAAACAATTTGGAATTTTTGGCACAGACTAATTCAAACATGAAGGTTCTAATTCTGTGATCCATTTTTGCCAAATGTGAAGATACAAATTGCTCGAATCCGAGAATTGGTAATTTTAATCAGAAAGTTATTTTTTAAAAGAGACATCTAGGTATATATTAAATGGGTGAATAGATTTTTCAAATTTGGATAAATATATATATATATATAACTGTCCTGTATCACAAAGCATGCTACACAGCAAACCATGTACAGCATTGTCTAAATGGCATCAAGTACTTTATGACTGGCCATTAAATGGTAATTTTCATTTTAAGACACTAGTATCAAACTTCGTGGAGATTGCTTTGAATTTTATACATGCATACCTCTTCATCTGAAAGTTCACCAGCTCTCTTTGAAGCATCAATGTCAGCCTTCTTCAGGACAATGGATGCAAATCTTCTTCCAACACCCTAAATGGTCATTAAACAAGGTATATATACACATGCTTAAAAAGCAACACAAATATTACTTACACAGAACTCTTTACAAGAAGTGAGAACTCAAAAATAATTCAAGGAACAGCTTTCATTTTTTATTAAAACATCAGAAGTAAAAGGAAAAGAATTGCAGAGCTGCAATTAATAATGCTGTTGAATCAAGGCATACAACTGCGTTCTACTCACACTGACAGATACACACATTATATGTCAGGGTTAAGGCTGAATAAATTTTTGGAAGATGAATAGACATTAAATTATGTGACTTATTTGTATAAATATTTAGCATGATATGCACCCACGAATATCCCATAATTACCAATAATCAACAAGGGACGACTGTTTGCCAAGATTTGAAGATGTTCCGATTCTAGAACCATTAGTATCAAAGAAGTAATTATCAATCATAGGCCTAAATTAACAGAGATTCACTCTTACCTTGATAGAAGTCATGGCATACATGATTTTGGTGTTACCGTCGATATTCGTGTTCATGACACGAAGAATGTGCTGAAACTTCTCTGGTACTAGGAGCGCCTAAAATAAAACCAAAAATTTCATATTAACAGGAATAAATTTTGCTTTTACTTGGTGAAAATAGGCAAAATCGTGAGGGTCTGAAATCTAAGAAAATGACACGATGTTTTTAGAGTAACTTCTAAGAAATTATTATTTCTCTTATGCCAGCCATTGACCAAATAATCTGAAGTTTTCACAGAGCTAGCCCACTATTCAGATAACTTTAACGATTAAATAAAATTAAATCCTTTTCGTAGTATGCCTTTAAAACCAGGCCTGTAGACTTTTTCATCAGATAATTATTTAAATAAAACATGACGGTATAAGGAAATAACTTAAAGTACGAGACAAAGTAAACCTAAAAACCAATTTTAATGCCTAAAGAACCCAAAAAAACCTGTCGTTAAATGGATGTGAAGGGATTCTTTTCTTACCATTTTGGAAGGCTAGGCCCAACACCGTACTCTTGAACGAAAGGACCCGATGTTGTCAGGGGTCTGGCACTAGCTTCTCCGAGGGAACACAGACTGTTATCAAGAAAATGGTATTTGTGAAAGGGGGCAAGTGACAAAATAGGATAACATCAATAGAGACATGACATCAAAAGAGACATGCAGGAACTGAATCTGACCGGGGAAGATGCAGAGGAAAGAAAACAACGGAGATGGAGGATTCGGGCGACCAACTCTGATTAATCGGGATAAGGTCTAAGGAGAAGAAGGCAAATGACAAAATCGGAGACGAGCACGAGGGTGTATCAAGTTCAAGAGGGGAGGGGACTCATTCCGAATTACATGAAGAAGCGCAAGGAGACTTTCATGGACAAATCGTTAGGGATTATTTCCCTATAATTTGTGTATGAAGTTAGGCACATGCAGCCTGCACTTGATTCGATTCGTCAATCTCGGAAAGCTCGTCATTTGACTCACGGGATAAGTTTTTTTTGAGATGTCTTGTTCCTTTCATGAATTGAAGGAGGATGTCTTGGATAGTTAAAAAACGAGGGATAAAGCATAGATTGTCGCCATGTTAGAATAATTATTGGTGAAATGTTTATGAAAAAGAAGTAGCTACTGTTGTTGTTGTTCTTGGGAGGTTCAGCCTCCCCTAAGATTAAAATTATCAAAATTCCTTTGCTCTCTGTAATAAACTAATTTTCTTTCAATTTTTCTCAAAAAATAGTGTACTCGATTTTGTTGTCCTTCCTACGACACCCTGTCTAACAAATATATCAGTTAGTGTGGATTAAAGTGTATTGACTAAAGTTTAAATCATAATGCATATCATTTTGAAAGAATATAAAACGTTAAATGAAGTCAGGAAAAAGTCGGTCCCAAAAAATCTTGAACTTAATACTAAAGTCATAACAATAAACTGTACATTTAGAATCATGATTGATGTCAGCCTCCATTTCGACGTTTGATTTTGATCTGAAGAAATTTAATAAACGGTCACATGTTATCAAAATTCATTTCAATGGGCCTGGCTTGGTCAGCAATAATTGGAAACCAACAGCAGGAAACAGAAAAGATTTTAAAACTCTGATCGAGACGTTGTTTCTGGCACATAATTTTATCTGCTCATACTGAAGCAATTGGCATTCTTCTGCAATATCTGGTGTTACTTAATGTTTGTCTTAAATCTTAAATTAGATAAATCATTATCCTCAACTAACTCTGATTATTAAACTGAGAGAAATGCCTTGATTGTTATTAATCTCCCGACAACCTCTCAACTAAAGAAGAGACAAAGACACTTCGTATACAATGAAATGATTTGCAGCAGAAATAGACTTACTGATTTTTCCTATAAAACATTGCTTTAATTTTGACGAAGAAATAGTACGTGCTATATATTTAAATATCGTGCTTCAAGTATCGATAGATCGTTAGAATGTAATTTATGAGTTTAAACGATAACTCATAAACAAAAGCCCTTAAGCTAAAGAGCAGTGCACCATGGAAATGTTATCTGGAAATGCCCATGCTTCAAATACATGGAACGTGCCTAAATACGTTAATGGAGGTAAGCCATCTTTGTAAGAGGATGCTTTTTGAACTCTTAACGGGATCGAAAGCAAAAGAACTCGTACATCAATACACTAGAAAATGATATTAAGTTTCGTTACTGATTAAATGTGAGTCATTAAACAACTAATAGTTAAAAGGTGGGAGGTAGCAAAGTGACATGAATCAAAGAACGGTTGATGTTAATACAACAAACGTTATCTACGAATTACGACTAAACTTGAAAATGCTACAAAATGCATGATATTATTACAGCTTTTCGTCATACTTTAACGAAATCGACGACCATTAAAATTGACCGTGCATTCTTACGACTTAAATAGATTATGGCAGGGTCACAAGACAGTAGTAGGATTACATAAAAATACTTTATTGTTCACATGATTCTACCATAGCAATAGCCCCATTCTTGATGTAATGCATTTTCGTTAACTTTTCTTTTAGCTAATAAAGGTTTTTTTCAACAGCAAGACACAGGTAGTAAATCAAAGTTCTGGACCCAAGTTTGAAGTTGGAAGTAAGTCATAAATTTAGCATTTATGTTGCCCGAAATGCTTTATTAAGAAATACGCAAAACGCTAGATGAGTCCATCGAAATGTTGAAGGGGCTTTGGAGCAGCTTCATTGGACTGAATGGCACAAATATCGACGTGAACAAAAGGAAAAATACGGGCTGGTGATAGGATCAAACAAAATAAAAAAGCTAAATGGAAAAGTAAAATCAAAAATTGTTCTCAAAATGTCCAAAGTGCCACTTCTTCAGTATTACCAACGTGCGTTACCCATGAAGCAACATAAAAACGACGCATGTTTGTGTGTGGTAACACTATCTGTGGAAACTGGAATCTGTGAAAGATCTTATGAAATCCTCTGTTCTACATCATCGGCACGGCTGCTGATCGGCGAGGTGGGCGTGGTCTAGGCTTTGGCTTGCCAACCAACGGCTTTGTTGGGCTCTTGAACTCTTTTTCTGGATTGCTGCTTGGCGTGTAGCGATTGCAGAAAAACACGAAGGCGATCATGAACGATAGCAGCAACAGTGTGCATGCCGTTATGACAAACCAGTACTTCGCTAGCCATATTTTCACCCCTGTATAAAAAGAAATGAGTGAAAATTTTCAGTTTGACGTCACATGACACAATTGTGCGAAGAGGTAGACAGAAATAGCGTGCGACTCATAGTCTATTCCGTGTCGTAGTGACCACAATGTCACGTGAAATCAGGGGAACGCTTTTAAACTATGTAGGGTGCTGTTTGAAGACATACATATGACATACCCTGCTAGGAAACACACGACTAAACACGTCTTCGGCGAGACCCCTCAAGCTAGTTTGATATGGTAAAGCTTTCTGCCTATTTTATCACTAGGCAATTCCTGGCATATTTAAAAAAATGTGTTTTATTAGTTCAAAGAGCAAACATGTAAGCACTTTCTATTCAAATCATTGTAGAACACGAGGCTACGTACCAGCATATGAAAAGAATGTCGCTAAGAGGGTTTTGAATGGTCCATCCATGTCAATCATCTGGCATTCGCCAAGTGCATCGCAGTACCCCAAGTAATCATGGCATGGGTTGCCCGGCAACACGAACTGGTTCTTCAGATTTGTTATCTAAAATTTAAAAATGCCAAAATAAAGAAATTGCGTTTAGTTAGCATCGAATAAACAGTGGTAGACACTTGGTAATCTCATCCTCTTTAATCTAAATCCACCAAAAAATGCTGCTAATAACACAGAATAACAGAACGAGGTAAATAAAACAGAACGAGATCGATATAATAAGAACACTATAAACTATACGGAAGACACAGAAATCAGCGAATATTTCAAGTGCAAACTGAAAGCTCTTTAAAGCTCGCTTGTTTTTCACGTTTTTCATTGGCCTGTGGGGATGTAAACAAACAATCTGATTGGCTTAAAACGTTCTCCTCCATGTGGTTCGAACCTAACTATTGGGAGCGAGGGCCCATTTCCTTGGTATTAGTTATTTGGTTGAATATAACGCTTTTCTCATGAAGTTTTTATTACTGTGTCGTTTACCCAGGATTTAAACAAGGAAAAAGCAATTTATCTACAGGATGCAACACACGACGAGGTATGTACCTAAGTACAAAATCTTATTCAAATTGGGGGTTAACTTGAAATTAAAGCAAATGAAGTTTAATTAAGAACCAAGAACTGTCTGACTCTTGGAAACTAGGCTCTTCTTGGCAGGAAATTGAGTACGAGAGAGGTAGTCCAATTTGTTGGAATAAGCCTGGTAGTTAACAAGCAGCCTATAATGGGGTCTGATAGGAGATATTCAGTATCCGTACTAGGTAGTAAGGTCCCTACATAGCATTCAAGTGGCCCTTGAACACTTACCAATGATATATTACTGGCCACTTGACACTTCCTTTGATGGACACAGCAAACTTTACATTGGTCTTCACGATTCTCGCACATGCAACCCTTGATTCCATATAGTAGACAAATAGATCCATTGCAGTAGCCATTGGAACAAACCATAGTTTGACCCGCACATGTGGTGTTATCAGGTCTTATAGGCGAAGGATCGCAGGTCCATGTCCGTCCATCGCATTGTCCTTGAAGCTTGCAGTCCGTTTGCTCTCGACAGCGCGTCCATTTGGGATAAACTCTGCATGTGTCATTGCTGCAGCATGGCCCTAGAGATCAATTTTGATTCAGATATCGTCTATTACACGAAAATATGATCTTTAGGTTACCAATTGACAATTAAGCCTGAAAAAATGGAATCTGTGGGCACAAGATCTGATATATTGATGACTAAGAATACATAAAGCGTACTGTTTTCAACTCACGTTAGAATAAAAGCCAATTCAGTCAAAATAAATATTGCAGTATTTTGTAAAAAATTTCAAAAATCCTTAAATACTGATTGGCTGAGAGATCATTACTCTCAGTCGTGTGTTCTCGTCGCTGATAATAGCTTCAGACAAGCACTTACATTATTATAATTCTGAAGGATTTCGATTGGTCAAAAAGACAAGACCAGCCTCCCTTCCTATTGTTTTTTCAATTGTCATTGGGTAAGATTTATGAAATTGTTCTTTTGATCATTGCCCTTTGGTCATCAATCAGTACTTCAAACATTTTTGTGGTACAGAATTTCAAGCTTTTCGTCAAACGTAGTTTTCGATCGGACTCAAGAAATAATGACTTATTTATTACATAATGTATCCGTGTAATATAATATGGAATAAAAAAACTGTTTATCAGACAGTCAAGAGTTCCTGGTGCCGCATAGACGGAGCTGTATAAAATTTGATGTTAAAACACGACAGATGTAAGTTGCCACTCTGAGTTTCACGCCTAATGTAACCATGAAGCAACAGATAAAATAATATTGTTTTAGATGCGATCATTTGTGTTTCATACCTTTGATTTTAGAAATCTTAAGATTTCAGAAATTATCATAGGATGTCAGAAATTTTAATTGCTTGCATGTTTCAAATTGGGTAATTATGTTTTGAGTTATGGTGAGAATATAATGAGAATTTAGTTAGGCGTCTGCATTTACAGATACGTTTGCTCATCATAACATTCAAGTTTGTTAATCATTGCATTTAATGACTGCAACATTTTCTTCTGAACAGGGTTGACATCATTCAAATTTGTTAGAATAAGCATCTGCCTTTTTACTGACAATTTTAATGAAATCATACAGTTTTCTCCAAAGTTGTCAAAGAAATGGAGATAGACCTAGTGCTGTGTCTTTAACTTATGAAATACGATGTCTCAACCTGCAAGCACGCAAGAGCATGCAAACAAATTGAAGGCATAATTACCTCTACTAGGACTACAAGTGAAGGCTTCTGCTCTCAAAAGACAACTCCGGTTTGTGCCATCGTACGGATGGCAGCATCTTTCTGTGCATGTTGAGGCTGTACCACAATCACAAATTTCTGGATATTCAACAATGCCATTGCCACAAATGGCAATCCTTCTGTTTACAAAACAGCCGTATGTCTGATCTAGACCCTTGGCATCTGTAGAAATAATTATCATGGAAATTTCAAAAATATTCTGATACTAAAGGCTCCTGATCAAATCATAGCAATTGTTAACCTGTAATCAATAATAATAATAATGGAAACTTTTCATTTTGAATTCCTGTTAAAACTACAATTACGAATCTCACTATTACAAGGTAATTTGTAACTGGCTAGCCTGTGTTTACAAAATAAAAAACTATTACATCGTAGTAATGAGAAAAAAAAAAAAAAAAAATTGTTAAAAGGGGTGTAGCTCTGGATTAGTCCAAGTTTTGTTTCTACAGCAGAATATATAGTATGTGGTGCGAATGGAGATGCTTGTAAGTTTGGAGATGAGGTAGCGTTTCTGTTGATGATCAATGGACAAAGAGTCAAACATGTCGATGAATGAGCTGCAGGAGTCGCCAAAAATACCAAGTGAACTGATGGAAAGATTGACAAACGAGACTGACTTAAACTGACGTTTTAAGTCAGATACGAGGGTGGCATATTTCCCTGACTTTCTGACAGCATTGCAGTTGAGATTTGTTTCAAAGCCTATGGTTAGCTCTAAAACGTACAGACAGTTTTCCTTAGTTTTGAGAAGTAAGTCAGGGCGTAGTTGATCTCCAGTTATGATAGAAGGGGAAAGAAAGCCTGGTAAATCTGCGTAGAGAAAAGACCCATTTATTGCTTGGAAGGAAGTGGCTAGAAAGTTTAATGCAGAATTATGACGCCAAGTATAGCGTCCTTGGTCAAGGTACACTTTGCATCCAGCAACAACGTGTAGAAGTGTTTCTGGAAGAAGACAGAATTCACAGTCAGATGTTTGACTAAGGTTCCATTTCAGCAGATTTTTACGAGTTGGAAGAGTGTTGTTGAGATACTTGATGGTAAAGTTAAAGATGTTACTAGGCAAATTGCTCTGTGTACTTGACCAAATACCGTTCAGCTTTTCCAGTGAATGCTTCAGTAGGAAGGTAATTGTGGCTCCCTGAGATGTTAAGTTTTGGGAGAGACGTTCTTTGTTGTCTGATTTGACAGCCTTTAATACCTCTTTAGTATTACGATAGATGTCGTACTGTAGGTTCGTGCCATGACTGGTGTTTTTCCATAGGGTTTGAATGTCAATATTAGGAGAAGATCTTAGGGCATTGCGACAGACAGTTTGGCATTGCGTAAATTTGATAGAAGGCAGTTGTAGATTTAGGCCGAACTGATTTTTTGAGAGGATTATTCCACTCAATGTTGCAGAAACAGGAAGATCAAGCCACTGGCGAATGTAATCGGAAACAAGATTGTCTAGGTTTTGGACAACCCAGGTCTTTGGTAGATCTGCAACAGTAAAATGCCATGAAACTTTTGACAGAATAATAATAATAATAATAATAATAATAATAATAATAATAATAATAATAATAATAATAATAATAATAATAATAATAATTCGTCCTGGAATAATTCGTCCTGGGTATGACGTAAAACTGCACCCGGTTGTGGAGTTTCAACGTGGGAGAATGAGGTTACCCTTTGCCGCAACTACCTCCAGGTCACCCTTGGGCAAGGTGTACTACCTGTTAGCTCTCCCCGAGACCATGAAATGCCGGGTTGACATCCGGCGGGGGCTAGTCTGTCTCATGGGTAGGAGGGACTCTTTAGCCTTGGTCGGCAACCCCCCCTAGTGATGGTGTCACAAAAAAAATACCAGTTGGGAACTTGCTACAAAGAACGACCTCTTTTATGAGTGAGATGAATCAAAACAGTGATTTAGATAACAGCGTAAAGGAGACTGGAACTGATGGTGAAGGTCTCTCGCTCGGCAGGTGTCCCATGGAGGAGCAGCGTGGGCCCGGTCGTCATCCTACTACTGCCAGAACTGGATGGTCGAAAAGTATGAATGTAGCAGTAATGGAGTGCTATTTTTTGAGTAAGCCTGTAAACGATGACGGAAAACCAGTGAGAGGCTATAGACGCAGAATGCATAACATTTGGAGAGAGAGACATAGCTTCAATCTGACTGAACAGAGATTATGTGACCAAGCTCGCATGATTAGAAAGAACGGTTGGCTGACTCATGTGGAATTGGAAGAAATAAAAAGAAGAGTTACAACAGAAGAGGAAGGGGTGATAGATGATAGTAGCGTTGGAGAGGAGACTGTAATTAATGAGATACCAGTGACTGAGCCTGAAATAGAACCTGTGGTAACTTTCCTGGAGAGAAGTGAGAGAGGCGAAGCGAATACAAAAATGATAGAAGAAATTATTGAAATCATGAAAGAAGGGAACATAAGTCAATCACGAAGTCTGAAAAAGGCAGACAGAAAATCTGTGAATGAGGCTGTTAAGGAGGTAAACGACGCCTTGATAAGCATCAGAACGGAAAACATAACTGACACAAACAAACTGATCAGTGCTGTTGCATTGTATGTTGCGAGGAAACTAGGCATAGGGAAACCAAAGATAGAAAATAAGACAAGAGAACCATGGTGGAAAAGAAGAATTAGCGAATCTATTAATGAACTTAGAAAGCACATTAACATACTTGAGCGCGAAAAGAGAGGTGAAGTATCGAAGAAAGGGAAATACCATGAACTGTCAAAAAAGTATAACATCACGAGAAAAGGAATCTCTACTGTAATTGAAGAGTTGAAACAGAGAATGCAAGCCAAGGCTTTCAAACTAAGAAGGTACGAGCAAAGGACGCGACAATACCAAATTAATCGAATGTTTCAATATGACCAAAAGAAGGTATATCAACAACTACAGGGTAAAGACAAAAAAGAGAATACAACACCAGATGCAGATGAAAGTAGAAAATTTTGGTCGAACATATGGGACAACGAAACACAGCACAATAAAAAGGCTAAGTGGTTAGAGGAGTTAAAAAACAACAAACCTAATCTATCACAAAATGACATTGAAATAACAACTAGAATGGTAAATCAGCAAGCCAAGAAGATACCTAACTGGAAAGCTCCTGGCCCTGATGGAGTCCAGGGGTTTTGGATAAAGAAACTTACATCTCTACACGAAAGAATTGCTGCCCAACTCAATGATTTGATAAATGATGAAATAGAAATACCCTCGTGGATGACCACCGGCAGAACTGTGCTATGTCAAAAGGATCCAAAAAATGGCAATGCAGTGGATAACTATAGACCCATATCCTGCTTGCCATTAATGTGGAAGCTGTTGACAGGAATCTCTGGAAATGTCTACACGTTCTTGGATGAGAATGAGATGTTACCTGAAGAACAAAAAGGCTGTAAAAGAAATAGCAGGGGTACAAAGGATCAGCTTCTGGTGGATAAGACGATTCTTGCTGATTGTAAAAGGAGGCATAAAAACTTAGCCATGGCGTGGGTTGACTATAAGAAAGCCTACGACATGGTTCCCCACAGCTGGATAATAGAATGTCTAAGGCTCTATAGAGTATCAGACAATGTTGTTAACTTTATAGAAAGATCGATGACCAACTGGAAAGTACAACTGACATCGTGTGGGGAAACTCTAGGGCTTGTAAATATTCGCAGAGGAATATTCCAAGGAGACAGCCTATCACCACTTTTGTTCGTCATTTGCATGATACCCCTTACCGAAGTCCTCAGAAAAGTCAAAATGGGATATACATTGGATGGTGCTAAGATCAATCACCTGTTGTTCATGGACGACTTGAAGTTGTTCGCGAAAAACGAGAATGAAATTGACAGTCTAACATCTACTGTCAACCTTATTAGTCAAGATATAGGAATGGAATTTGGGATAAAAAAGTGTGGTGTTGTGACCTCAAGAAGGGGAAAATTAACAGGAAGTGCAGGGATTGAACTTGTCAATGGGGAAAAGATCAAGGAGGTTGGTGAAGAAGGATATAAGTATCTGGGAATAACAGAGTTGGATAGAATAAAAGAAGAGGAGATGAAGAAAATATTTCAAAGATAATATTTCAGAAGGGTTAGACTTGTCATGCAGTCAAAACTCAATGGAAGGAATAAGATTAAAGCAACAAATACCTGGGCAATCTCCCTGATGCGCTATGGAGCAGGAATAATTAAATGGAGAAAAGACGAGCTAGAAAGTATGGACAGAAGAACCAGGAAATTAATGACAATGAGTAAAGAACTTCATCCTAGAAGCGATGTAGCAAGAATTTATGTTAGCAGGAAAAAGGGTGGTAGGGGGCTGATAAGTTGTGAGTTTTGTATTGAAAATGAGACAAACAACCTGGCTTGGTATGTGAAGCATGCTAGAGGCAATATTATGTCAAAAGTGAGAAACCTTGGGGCAATGAATACTGAGGAGGCAGTAGCACCGAATGAACATAAGAATGAGACAAAAAGGCGCTTGGAGAAACGATGGAAAGATAAGCCGATGTATGGGCAATTTACTAAGAATACTGACGGAATTGATTGGGAAAAAAGCTGGACATGGTTAAGGAACGGAGATCTGAAAGGGTGCACTGAAGCATTAGTGTGTAGTGCACAGGAGCAGGCGCTGCGCACTAATTATACCAAGCACTACATTGATAAAACAAGTGATACGCCTTTATGTAGAATGTGCGGTGACAAGGGAAAAACGGTTAGTCATCTGGTGAGCGAATGTGCTAAACTGGCACAGACAGAATATAAAAGACGACACGACAATGTGGCAAGGTATATTCATTGGTTGTTAGCGGAAAAGTGCGGATTTGAAAGAGCCACAAAATGGTATGAACAGAAACCTGAAGGAGTTTTAGAGAATCACAAGTTTAAGCTACTGTGGGATTTTATGATTCAATGTGATAGGGTTGTTGAAGCTAGAAGGCCAGACATTGTTGTCGTTGACAAGGAAAAAAAGGATGTGAAGATAATCGATATTGCCATTCCTGGTGATAATAGGGTAAAAGGTAAAGAACAAGAAAAAATTGAGAAATATCAACCATTAAAGGAGCAAATCGGAAATCTGTGGAATATGAAGAAGGTGACAGTCATCCCTGTTGTGATTGGGGCATTAGGGTGCATATCATATTGTTTTGAAGAGCACATGGAAAAGATCGGAATTGATGTAAAGTTACAGGTGATACAAAAGACAGCACTGCTAGGAACAGCCAGGATTTTGAGACAGACATTGTCTATGTAAACTTGAGATGACAGAATGGGACCTTTGTCAGCTTGTTGCTGATTGCTCCCTCCTATATTATCCGGACCAATTAACACCTAGGTGTCTGTGAATAACTTAATTAGCCATAATAATAAAAACACTTAAATTGCGCCATATATTCACAGGGCTCATAGGCGCATTACAATTGAAAATATTAAGTCTAAATTAAAATGTATGTTAAAAAGGGGTAAAAGTTTACAGTGTTTTTAGTAAAATCTAAGTTAACACAATTTATTCAATAAAATACTTTTTAAATAAATGTGTCTTCAAATAAGATTTAAACGTTTCTAAAGTGTTGCATGCTCTAACTGAGTAGGGAAGTCTGTTCCAGGGGCAACATTTGTGAAAGCACGATCACCAGTTGTAACTAATTTGGTCTTTCCTACATCTAATAATAGTTCGTCACCAGCAGATCTAGTCCGACGAGAAACCTTGCGTAATTTTAATTTCTTCAAGGTAGTTCGGCGCTAGATCTTTTACACATTTGAAGGTTAACGTGAGTATTTTGTACTCTATCCTGCTTGTAATTGGCAACCCTATCCCAATAGCATAATCACGTAAAATAACCAACATTAAAAACAAAATGAAATGTTGTGGAACTGTTTTTGGAATGAATGTGATTGGGAAACACCAATTTAAACTGTCCTTTAACAGAGATCTTTCTTCACATTAACCATTGGGTCTACAAAGAGGGGAAAATGGGACAATTTTGCCATACTCCAGTGACAATCACTAAAGGATTTTTTGGCTAATGCAGCTTCAGACTGGAGTTCTAAAAACTGCAAATCACAGCATTGGTGACTAAAACAGGGTCACTGATTTTTGTAGAGCTTTTGCTATGCAGGTCAGCACAGCATCTCAAAAAGGCACCTTACAAAACTTTAAGACATCCTTCAATAGAAAAAAAGCCACTCTCACGGACAAGAGTTCAGTGCTATTAAAATAACTAAGAGGGCAGGGCCTTGCAAAAGTTCTTCCAAAATGGATGATTTCTTGGAATATCGTTCAGAAAAATGGATAATTTCTTGGCATAAAAAGGGGCCTGAGTACCCATCAGCCCTCTTCACACAACACTCCTTTAAAAGTTATCACCAGTTATAAAATTAGCATGCTCTTGGAGATTAGCATGCTGTTTACAAATTTGGTGAAAAATATTGAACCCTGTTTGCTAATGGTCTTGAAAAGTCTCAAAATTAGGCCATAAGCTGAAAATCTATTTAGAAAAATATAAATACTTCTTCATCACTTGTTCTATTTGTTATTTTGTTCTATTTTGTTCTGCTTAAGAAATAATGAATAATCAAACTTACTTATTACAGGAACCATGCTGTCAATACTGCACTTTGAAAAGAAACGATTATTTCTTTTGGTCCCAGTTGTTGCCTTATCATACATAATATACTTGCCACCTTTCTGATCAGTTGGTTGGCATTCTACAGGATCATGCTATGAAGATAAAGCATATCGTTATTTAATAAATATATATAATGATTGATTAATAATTGTATATACAGCAGCGCTTCAGAGTATGGAAAGGGTAGGTGAAAATGACAGCTCACATGGGGCCCAAGCAGGACAAGCAAACAAGTAGGCATATGGCCCAATCAGACAAATTTACAAACAAAATCACAAGGTCAAAGGGTTTGGAAACCAAGAGTTATGGCATGATAATGCAATAATTGTTTTTCAGAAATTGGTCAGCTTGGTATCTATGAGCAACCATTTTTTCGATACTGTTTTTCTACTCTACTTTTGTAATGTTATAATACAGATCAATAGACAAGGAACAAACAAATATAAACGAATCTAATTTGAAAATCCAAACTTTAAAATAGAGTTTAGTATAATAATATTTTCCCTAGCATAGAGGGCTTCATCAGGCCAAAAACAACATATTCAAAACAATGGATTACTATTTATTTGTCTGTTTACCAGTGTGCATAAAAAACAGAGCACTAAGAAAAATTTGGAAATTGTAAGCTCTTTTATAAATGCTCTATCAAGCAAGAAGAAAAAAAACTGCTTGGTTTCCAAAAACTTGAGGTGGAAGCAAACTTTTTCTCTGAAAATTTCAAGCTTAGAAAGGTTAATTTCATAATCTATGATACTGGCTTTGAAAAAAGCAAACATTTGGACAACTATACTGGTCTTGTGCTTGCGTTTTTCTGATTGGCCTATTTCGATCCACAACTGGATATATATTTTTTATCATGTTCTTTCAGACCCTTATTCTGATGTTTTATGCTCTGAGGAGTGTCAGGTGAAAAACTTTTAGGCAATATGTTATAAAATGTTTGCTCTTTTCAAAGCCATTTTCAAGTTCTGTACTGCCAGAAACTGTTCAAATCTCTGACACACAAAGTATTGGTAAAAATTGCAATTGATCAAAAGTATTATGGTAACACCATATACAAAAAACAGAGATTCACCAACAAGATGTTAAATGACCTACATGTGCACCAAATGCATGACCAAGTTCATGAGCAAATGTTATTTCAGTAACAGCAGGTGGGAGGTCTCTTGCATACAACTTGAATGTTACTAAACCAGTGTTGTAACTTCTGAGTTTACCAGCAAAATTTGCATATTTGTCACAAATTCCACCTGCCTGACCCTGCGGATACCCAATCCAAGCCAAACCAATGACGCCTAGGAAGAGTCCAGGTAAACAATTTTACCTCCTGCTAGTAATTAATGGGTTAAATAATGAATTGGCCAGACCCAACTCTTAACTTGTGCTATAAGTGTTATAGACACCCAAAAAAGAAACTTCTATGATCCTAACATCAACTAGCAGTAACATAATGAACAAGTGCTTCAAACTTCAGAGGCTGGGTGGAATATGACCCTTGATATTTCTGAGTGATAAACATTACCGAGACTGTTTAGCTAAATTGCCTACAAAAATCAATGAAGGGTAAATAATGAAAAAAATTGGTGGAGAGGGAGTTGATTGATTGCCCTTCTAGAGCAATTTAGGAGGGAGCTGAGCACACCCAGGCGATCGCGTGTTTCAAACAGCTAGGTCTAACTAATGGACAACAACCTGGGAAAACATCAAATAGCGAAGCAAGTAAAAACACTTAAGTTTCCTGTGTGTATATATGCCTATGTATGCATGTACATATATACCTGCTTACACTTGATCAGTGGCGGACACTTGGGGGGGGGGGTGACCGCCCCCCAATAATTTAGAGGACAATTCCCTTTTGTTCTAAAACAATGGGAAATGTGAGGTCATCTTATTAAAACAACAGGCTTGCCCCCCCAATATTTGATCAAGTGTTCGCCCCTGCACTTGATGTATAGAACAGAACAGTTCTAAGCTGCTACTCCAAGTTTCATGCTTAATGGAATCTTCAGGGAACCCTTCAGTGGGTCATTAGTTACCTAGAAATGATCATTGTGTTCATCAGGTCCTGTACATCATCATGTCCCCAGGACTGTTGCCTGATTATCACATTAAATAAAGCCTGCTTCATACCTTAGAGAATAACCCTAAAATTGAAAAATTCCTAATTTGATTCATGGCTAAAAATTTCTATTTTAGCCAGTGCCATGGCATTTTTCCAATGCCATGGCTTTTGCTCATGACAATTCTGAAGATACAAGGAAAATAGACAAATATGTGAATAACCTGGCAGGCAATCAATGCATGCAAGAACTTTCCTAACAATCATGGCCAGTTTTAAAGAGGATGAAGCACTATCCATTGTCCATTGATATGCCTTCATTGACAAATCTTGTTTTATATTAGATTTCAAGATAGTAATCAACATCCAAGAGATATTCATTGTCTATTTGGCAGTTTAAGTGGGAGCTCCTTGGCAGCTCAAAAAATACCATATGTGGCTTTTGATTTTTCTACTAGTGTGAATGCTAGAAAAATTCCCATTTCTGACATCCAAGTGCAACCATAAATCAAATAAACACTTTTAACCGCTAAAATTCTTCTAAATGTGAACCCAGCCTAAGCATGAAACTCGGAGTAGCAACTTAGAACAGTTCCTGTTCTATACACCAAAAAGTGTATAAATCTCTGCCTATACAGCATCAAACACTTTATGACAGACCAGTAAAACATGGTACACCTTTTTAAAGATTCAAAAGATTTATACACATATTGATATTTATATATATATATAAAATGTAAGTTACCTACAGGACTTATCAAACATATGCTAAAATATTATATAGCAAATATCTATAACAAACCTTTATCGAAACTTCTGTCTGTGAACAAAAATGCTTCGCAAACTGCACTGTGGTCTTCAGATGAAAACATTTCCAATAAGTTTGAAACTGACATATATTCAGGCTTTAATTTGGCAGGCACACTGTATCCATCATACACAACAATTCTTCCAACCCTGAACCCGATACCTTGAGGATGATACCATCTGTCTGCAGGAGAGGTTATGTTAAATGTCTGATTCCTAAAGATGTATTCTGCAGCCTTGTAATGATTCACCATCTGATAGATGACATTTTCCTTGTTTAAGAATTTTCTTGTAAATTTATGATCTGCAACTAATTTCAATACACAAGTATTCTTGAAAGCATTTTTTACTCCTCTCTTGGTTCGCTTTTTGACCATCTCATGATCAATGGAATATCCTTGGCGATAAGCTTCTTCTTGCTCACTGGGTATAGATAAACGAGCCCATTAAGTATATATCCATATATATTAAAATTGTTTAAATAACTTAACTATAAATTTTTAAACATGCATAGCTTTAAAAGCATTGGGACTGCCTACAGTGTAATGTCACAAGATGCACTGTCCATTCTAGTCTACCAATGTAGCACTTTCTGCTGCCAAATTCTCTACATTTATGCATGTTATTATTACATTACCACAGATATTTTGTTCTAAATATGCTTTGACATCTAAGCCAAATTCAGGGTGTTTTAAAGTTTAAACTTTGGACTGGTTTGTGTAAATCAAATTTCCACACAAAATCAAAGGAAACAGATTTCTGCCTATGTGAATGTATAGTTCATGATGCCCAAAAAATAATTCACAGTCTGCCATAAAAATCTCTCCCCCAAAAGTCACAAAATGTCAGTAATTACACAAAACTACTCTAAATCTTAAGATGTTCAACAAAATGAGATTTTGGAATTTTTGGATAGACAGAATTACAGATATAAGTAGGTATATATTCCAACTTTTCATAATTGAGAGTCATGAAAAACAGAAAATAATATAAAAACATCAAAATTTGCATGGCCATAAAACAAAAACTGCCAACCATTCATGTAAAACACATTACTTTATATCATTCACCCATCACCTGCAAGAAACAGATTCACATTTTATCTAGTTTTCTCAAAAGCTTAACTATTATAAGTATATATATTGCATTTAAATTCTGTATTTTTCAAAGTTCCTCCTTACTGTGTGATGTCTGGTTTCAGGTTGTCTCTATCATTTTTCACTTTGAAGCTTGTAGGCCTTTTTTTGGTTCGTTCAGTGTCATGGGCATATGTATAATCTGCACGGACATCAGAATCTTTGTATATGACTGAATGAAAGCTTTGTGGTTTTTTAAAATGTCTTCTTGCTGGTTCAACATGATAAACATCTCCACCAAACTTTATTGTTCCTAAAATGGTAATATTTACTAGTTGAAACACAGGAAGAAGATAGGTGCATGCAATTTAGTAGCAAGTTTACAAAAAGTTTATACAAGTAGGTGACAATATGATGGTGAAAATAGAAAAGTAGCTAAAACTATTACAAGAAGGATAAATTTCACTACAAATAAGCATTACAAAATTTTCTGTTTTTTCAAAGCCATTTAAATCTTTGTATTATGTGTCACTTCTTTCATATAAGATATTATATACAACAAACAGACAAAAATAAAAATCAAAGATCACAAAGTAAAACAGCATTCAGGCTTAAATTTGGTGAGGACTGAATTTACTTTTTGCAGTAGCTAAAATTTATCTTCCACACTGAAAAAACGTGCAATGTAACAGGGGCCTCTTTAAGCTTTTAAGGTAACGAGTCGTATGACACATTGCAAGGCTAAAAAATACAAAAGGAAAGGTATAAACACATATGAAGGCTTAGATTGTTGCAGCCATTTTGTTGAAACGATACATCTAACTTTCAAAATGTCATATAAGTAGTGCAGTCTTATGCGACGGCGCGAGCTTTAGACAAAGCATGCAGCAAATACAATATAATAGGCCAAGGAAATTATAACGACCTTGAAACCTCCCATTCTTCACAGCACCATGAACGTAGCTTCCAAAGTGTCCCTTAACATCTCCTTCAACAAAATTTGCAGTGCTTATGTCGATTGGCTTTCCATGCCCATCTATAATGCTATAGTCTGACGAGAAGATAGTATGATCTCTTCTAAGACGAATGTGGAACTGCTTGCCAAATGCCTTGAATTTCAGGTCTGAAATTGTGAAAGGCGAGGAGACAACTGACCGTCTTACTCTGCTATGAAAATCTCTCAGACTGTAATCTAATGTCTCATGATGCCTGATGAAAGAGTTCAGAGGCCTACGAATGAGTCCAAAAGCAGAAATACTACAAAGAACGACGATGATAGCAGCTATCTTCCACATCCTTACTTACTTACTTACTGGGAGAATCTGGCGGCGCCCAAGCCTTTGCAAAATAAACCCCTCGTCTAAATAACATCTTTCATATCGACTGCAAAGAATGTAATGCTCCTTCACGTTTGCCTGTTTAGTTGTATAGCTGAAGTTATTTTTTAAAAGAAGCCGTCTGGAGCCTTAAAATGACATGAAATAAAGAAACCATAGTCCTAGAAGAAATTAATGCTCGAAAATATTTTCTTTGACAAATAGGATGGCATGGAAATGATCCTTTTCGATGATAAGACAATGCCTGTTCAATGGCAATAGTTTATAGAATGAAAAAACCCCAAGCGGTCATATGTATAAGGAAAAGTTAAGTCAAAAATGAAAGAACATTTTTAATGTCAATTTTTCGTTTCTTTTATGTCTTTCTCGTGTTTTCGCATTGCCAGTTAAGCCTGATTTACACGAGACGAATTTTTTCGTGCGAAGCGAATCAGGCTTTACCTGTCAGCGAACCTGTGAAGGAACAAGGCCCTGAGAAAGATGTGATATAAGGATCCACCTCATTTGCAGAACAGCGCTTTCAAAACAACTATTAGTCAGCTCGTAAGTATAAAACGAAGACCAAAGGCCAGAAAATAACATGTCGTGTAAAACACATCTATGTAGAATTTATTCTTCCAAAATGCAGGCCAATTTAATTTCATTAATGCATTTTAGCGAATTTTTGAATTTGAGATACGAAAACAAAAAGCTCCCAGGGATGATGAGTGAAACCCAGTCCATGAAATAGTTATTCCTCTTTAAGGATGACGTCATGCTCAGAGCATTTCTAGTGTTTACAAAAAATACCTGCTATCCCCCAATGCTATTAATCGTACATCAAGGTATGGTGCATTAATAGGGAAAAGAGCATGCCATAATAATCCGACACAGTGGTGGCGCCAGTGGAGGGCTAGGGGGGGCTACAGCCCCTCTGTAGGAAGCACCTAGCCCCCCGATTGGAGGAAATTTTAGGTTGTTGTCGGAGCAAATTTGACAAAATTACGTATAAAAACTGAATATTTTAGTCATTTAGCCCCCCTGTCGGAAGCTCAAACCCCTCTGTCGGAAGATTTCTGGCGCCACCTCTGGTCCGACATGGACTTTTTATTTTAGTTTCATACAGAGGCGAAACCAAAAACTATTCTTCGGAAGAATACAGAAATGATAAACTCTTTTATGCTGCTTTTAAGCGTTTCTATTACAAAATCCATACTGTAGTGTTATATTTTAAGGACCTTTAAAGGTTCAACTGCTTAAGAAATGGTAATACGCTACAATTGTTTCAAAAAGGTTACAACAGGGCCGACGGAGGCGCGGGAAGGGGAGTGTTGCCCACGAAATTGTCTGGATGTACTATATTTCCTTAATACAGTGTACTGAACGGGAAGCAATAGAACGGGCGGCCCCCCTTCCAATATAAATTTCTTTCCGACGGCACTGTACAATACTTAAAGGTTACAATTATACAGCGCCCCCTGTACCCCCCAAACGTTCTTGAAAAGTTTTCTTAAGTCATACAATGTATGCAAAGTCCCTTATAAGTCTATGTAGTTGTGGCGATGAAATTGTATATAGTTTTGTATTTCTAGGCGAGGTTGCGCAAATGAACAGTGCGACACTCCACAATTGTAGCTTCGAATCGGCTATCAAAACATTGTTGTGGAAAACACTAAGTAAAACATATTTTGCATACGTACTCTAATTCTTTCAGCCCCCTTTCCCCCATGTACGCAAACATACCCATTTGACTAACCACCCCTCCCCCCTTCCCTGCGTACGTATTTTGTTAATGGCCCCTATGAAAAATAACGTGAAGAATGAAAGCGAAAGCAATGGATATGCGAAAAACTTTTGTCTTTCTTTAAATGCTTCAACGAGTGGTGAAAGTTAACTTCGTGGATATAGAAAAAGGTAAAATACACGTGTTGTACAGAGAATAAATCATTTGATGTCATAATAAATAACTAAATTTCCAGAAGTTTCCTTTTAGTTTCAAAACATATTTTGAACAAGTTAACAAAACATATTCTGAACATTTTAAACAAAAAATTTATTTTCTTAACCAACACTAAATAAAATTTTTAAAAAGTACAGCAACTAATATTTGCAGGGTTGATGTAGTAAAAATTTGACTGATAAAGGAGGTACATAAGAAAACATGACGGATAAAGTAGTGGTCTGACAGTCACTGTTTGAAAAATTTTTAAGGAAGAGCATTTAAGGGTCCTTTTGCATAATACTCTTAAACTCCAATGATACTACACCCATATTGATACTCAAAAAATGAGAAATTGATATAAAATTTTTTTATAGTCGAAACAACCTAGAAAGCTTGAAAATACGTCCGCAACACCATTTGTTGAGTTTCCAATGAATTTCAGGCCCATTTTTCAAAAAACTCTCAAACGAACAGATCATTTCCTTTGGAGCCTTTCCTAGTTTTTTAAGATAACTTTTACTGAAATTCATACAATATTTTATTGGTGCAAAGAATCACTTTTCACAAAAAATAAAGTGATGTTGATAAAAACAGTAGTTTAAAATGTTAAGATGTGCATAAATTTTTGAAAACAAATACTTGCAAAGACAAATTTCAAGATAGAAATAGTTACCATACCAAATGGCTGCAAAAGTTGAGTGGCAAAGTAGTCAGGATACTTTCAGATGCCTCTCAGCTAACTGGAACCAATTGCCACAAGCAACTGCTTTGGACTTTTAAAATACTAGAGAAATAGTGGCCCCTTGATCAACATAGTTTATAGAAGACGCAATATTTTTTTCATCCTGGCAGTGGGGGCCAATTTTCATCTAATGCCATCTCAACAATAATATGTTTGTATTTGTTCTTCTTTCTTTTCTTTCTTCGTAGGAAGTTAAGAAAATGTCGGAGTATTTCAGACTTAACAATGAAGCTTTCAATGGCAAATGATATGACTGCATTGCATCCAGCCCAAAAAAGCAATGCAAGAATGAAGTTACTGTCATTAATTGGAACAAGTTCAAATATCTTTTCCAAAATGCCAGTTGGATACACAACTAAGAGCACAGTGAAGCTTATTAACACAATGAAGACACCAACAAATGACCAATTCTTGTACATCTTACCCCGGTATGGTTTTCCAATGGAAAAGACAACAGCAAGAAATATATACTGAAATGAAGAGAGATAAAACAAGACCGTGTTGTCAAAAGACATAATCTGTGTTTCTCCTTTTGCATTAGGTGAGTGTGCATGGAACCAATCAGTTGATTTGTAATAACTCCTTGATTTAATAAAGAAAAAGAGCACTAACTGGAAGGCCAACTGAGTGAAGATTTGTAAAATCAGCGATGCAAGAATCAATGGATGTACAAGAGAGCCAAGTGGGCGCCTGGAGACGATTTTGTGGTAAGCACCAGTTCTGCTCATTGTAACGGCAAAAGGCATTATAATAAATAGATCAATGTAAAGATACTGCAAATCACCAAGGTTAGAGCGGACAGAGTACAGCAACAAAACACTCATATACTGAACCATACTATACAGAGCCATGTACTTGAAAAGACTAAAAGAAGTAACAAGTGCACATCTCCCCTCTTTGACAATTTCTAGCACGCAACTGATGTTTGGAATTTTTGAAGTGAATGGAGAAGCAATTGAAGCTTCTGCCTCAGATAAAGAAACTCCGGCATGTGCAACTTTAAGTGCACCACAGTCATTTGCCCCATCTCCACACATACCAACGGTATAACCAATGCTTTGAAGGTCTTCAACAAGCTGAGCTTTTTGGTCAGGTAACATCCTTGCAAAAACAGTGGCACACACCAGCAGCCTATGGTACAGAATGGGCATCTCAGCTCTTACCAGTGCAAATGACTTTCCATTCATCACAAAGTGGTAGCCTCTTGTGCGAAAATCAAATAGGTTTTGAGTTAAGCTTTTACTAGACTGATAAACATTGCACTTCTTGCTATTGCCCAAGTAGGTGTAGGTTACATCTAGTTTGCTTGATCCAGCTGGCAAATTTGCTGACACTTGAATTACTGCCTCTGAAGAAGATACCATGTGACATTCTTTTGCAACACTGACAGCAGTTAACAAATTATCACCTGTTATCATCACAACTCGAATGTTAGATTGATATAGTCTTTCAATAGTAGGTTTTGTTTCACTTTTAACCATATTCTTTAAAACAAGAAAACCATTGAAATGCAGATCCTTTTCAACATCTGTTCTCACACTATGTTGCAAATGATGCCATTTGAAATTTCTGGCAAGACTTTTTGAAGCTAAACCAATAACTCTAAAACCTTCTTCTGCATACTTCTTTAGAACTGACTGAAAATCTTTGGGCAGTGTTTCTGGTAAACATAAGCTTGCAATCATCTCTGGGGATCCTTTTACAAAGACATCCATACTTTTCTTCCCTAACTTTCGAACAATGACACTACTTCTTTGCAACTCAGATGAAAATGTAAACTGCTTCAGTAGAGCTATTTCTTGTTTAACTCCTTTTTTGTTTTGTCCTGCTTTTGGTCTTACAATAGTTGGGATAAGTGATTCAAAACGTTCTGTCTCTTCGAGTCCCTGAGATTCTTCTAAATCCCAACCAGTTGCTTCAAACATTTTCATATCCAGTGGATCACCAGTTATCTGTCCATCAATAACTGTCAATGAATGACAGGATGCCATGCACTGAAGCCCATCACTTTGGTTATGACTAGACAGATCTTTGATACAATCTTTGAAATTGCCTGATTCAGCCAGAATGACCCCAAAATAATCTAAGCCATCTTCTGTAAGAGTGCCAGTCTTATCAAAGCAGAAAAGCTTTGTTTTGCCACTAATATTAATTCTTGATGGACTTGTACAAAATATCTGAACTTGTTTCAGCCGTTGAAGAGCATATATTGTTCCAACAGTCATTGCAGCAGGCAGTGCTGGAGGAACTGCAATTGTGATGACATCAAGAGCACGCAAAACAATTTCACCTGTATGTGCTCCTTGTTTCTTGAAAACATAGCAAGTATAAACAAACCCAACAGAGGCAAAGATACCTAAGACTCCAACAAACTTCATTGCATCACTAAAAAATCTATAGCCAACTGGCTTTGGAAACAAGATAGATCTGATCAGCTCTCCTTTTGTTGTGTAGTAGCCCGTTCTCAAAACAAAAGCAAGAACTTTTCCCTTCTCGTAAAATCTTGTTTGCAAGATTCTAGTACCACAGAATAAGGTATGACGCTTGTGCTTGATTCTATCAATAACCTCATTTAGTTCTTTCTTGCTGGCTGGTGGGTTGGGAAGGGGAGTTTTCATAACTGGCACACTTTCTCCTGTCAGCATACTTTCATTAGCAATTGCTGTGCCACTTAGCAATACAGCATCACAGTGTAACTCACAACCATTTGATGGAATCAAAAAAACATCACCTGGCATTAGATACTCAGATGATATTATTTCTTCTTGGCCATTTGGTCTCATAACGGTGACATCTTCTGACTTAGCAATCATTTTTCGTAATGAAGTAAGATGCTGCCTTGTCTGATAGATGCTTGTGAAAATAGAAATCAGAGATATTAAAATAATTGTGCCAGAATAATAATAGTAGTCATCGAAAAACCACATGATGCAGCTAAACAACTGAAAAACATAGAAGGGGTCTGCTGCTTCCTCCATAAATAATCGCCCATAAGATTTCACATTGACATCAATTTTGTTTTCAGAATAAACCACAAGTTTGTCGTTCTCTTGACTTGCAGTCAAACCCTGTGCATTTTTGTAAACATCACGAAAACTGATATCATTGTTGTAATTTGTTACTATTTCAAAACAGAACTTTCCATGATTCCAAAAATACCTATGGTGGTGGTATTCGAAGAATCTTAATTGTCCAGTGGCTTCTTTTTCTTCACTTTTTGTTAGAGGAGCGGTTTCTCCATAACTATCGGAATAGCTATCAGAGAATCTATCCTGGACATTTTCAATACCACAAAAATGATTAAGTAATTCCATGTTCTTCCCAAAATTTCTTCTATCGACATTGACAACTTCAACCTGTCCATATTGATCTTCAATTACTACAGCAGTAGCTTTGTCCAAGGAACATACAGATTGGGTCAACTTGCTTTTCCATCTTGGTTTCCAGTGCGCAACTAGGAACAACAGTCCTCCACTCAACAGAACAAACAAGTAAAAAGCAAAGACCTTTGCTTTGTTTGTCTTTACCCCATAGTATCCTGCTAGAGTATTGTCACCAGATAAAATACAACCAGTGTAACAATCCATCTTTGGCCTAATTTCATCTCGCTGGCAGAATCTCACAGCATGTGGATTGGACATCTTCCATGAATACGTCCTTTTCACATCTATCGATCAAATGAAATGTGTCAGGATCATAAAACTGTTTCTTGTAGTAAAATACCGAAGTAGCCAGCTGGCCACATGCAGCGAAATCTATTTGGGCCTAAGGTCATGGGCACGTCACCTCAAAATGTAATCTCTGCGAAGGAGCATTGCATATTTGTCTGGAAACCTGACAACTGAAAAAAGATGGCAGTCGATATTATAAACATAGCAACGCATGGAGAAATTGAAGATATCAGCTCTCTGTCTACAGAGATGGTGAAGTTAGCTTCAGAAGATCCTGAAATACTAGAGCAGCGTAATGAAAATGGCAAATCTGCGCTTGATATTGCCTCAATGCTTGGAAGAACGCAAATATTACAAGAATTAGTGAACGGTGGAGCAAATCCCAATAGTTCGACTGCGAATGGTTAGCTTTCTCGACCCTTAATATGTTATTTTCAAGGTCCGAATTTTCAAAGTTTTCACTCAATGACTGTGACTAAAGTTTCGTGTTCGGATTGGACATGCAGAAAATTTCGTGTTCGGAGACTTTCAGTCAAGCACTCCCAATTGTAGCCCCTGCCTCTCTAGTTTAACATCTGTAGCATTTGTACTTTTCATCTTTTATCATCAATTTTGTCAATTTAAGCAATTTTTTTCTATCACAGGATACACATCATTACATCATGCTGCTGCATGGGGGAGGTTAGATTGTGTCAAAATTCTTGTTGAAAATGGGTCTGATCTCCAACAGAAAACAATATACGACGAAAGAGCAAGAGAATGTGCAGCAAGATATAACCACCTTGATTGTGTGGAATTTCTTGATAAAGCCGGTAAACTTTAGCCATTATATCCATTTGAAGATAAATCTGAAAATGACAATAATAACAATAGTAAATTCTTCAGAAGATATCATAAGATCCAGTTATTCTTTCCAAATTCTGATAAATCTATTGAAATTTCTAACAATGATCTAAGTCAATGATTTCCAGAGTTTTGTTAATTTCAGGATGATTATACTGTAAAAGATATTGTGTTTAATCCTTTTCAGAAGCAAGAGCTGGTCTAAAATCACTGATTCAATCATTCAAAGATACAATTGCCGACCCTGAAAAGCACATGGGAAGACTCAGTAAAGATGACAGGGTTAGCTCAAATCATATGTTTTATCATAGCTAATGTAAACTGTTTATCTCAATATCTCAATTATCTCAATTCAAACAGGCACACACTTTTAAAATACAGCAACAGCAATTAAGCCCCTCTTAAAAGCATTTGATATGCATAAGTACAGCCAATCCAAAAATAACTTGATCAGAGCACACATGTTTGAAAGGAACATTTTCTGTGTGCAGTTTGATTGGTCAAGCCCTGGGGGTCAAGTGGCTGTAAGCCACTTTTACTGTGTCAAATGCCTTTAATGTGTATCATGAGCCCATCTGATCAATGTGAAAATTGGTAGTTAAATTTATATTATATACCCAGTTGTGGATCAAAATAGGCCAATCAGAAACATGAGCAAATGGCTGCTGAAGTTGCCCAATCAGTGCCACTTGCCTATAGAGAATATTACCAATGGAGCCCTAGGTGAAAACGAACTCCTTCTGTCTACACAATAGCGGTTTTTTGTGCTTATGTAGATAGATTCCAAAACTGCTAGTTGGAATTAGGAATTAGGAGCTTGATATATTATATGTTACTAAAGATATAAATGTTTCTTGTAGTAAGTTTCAACCTGATTCTAAACATCAATCAGTGTCAAGTTGTGGCAAAAGAAGCCAAACAGGGACCAACGAAGTAGGGGCTACAAAGCCTTGAAAGCATGTGCTCAAAAACATACAAAAAATTGTCTTGCTTTCTTATTAAGCATGATTAGATTACCCCCCCCCCCCAAAAAAAACTATTTAGCTCCCTCAATTTGAAGTATGCTCCACAGTCTTGGGTCAAAGTTACAAACTTCAGATTAAAGTTATTTTATATTATTCCAGTGTAACAGCACTACCAAATCATACAGAAGACACTTAAATATTCTGACAGACCTGAAAAATGTCACTGCAGTATGCCAATTCCCTTTGGCTAGCTACAACGCAAGTGACTAAAACATTGCATAAAGTAAAATGCCCTTTTATTTGCTTCTAGATTACAGGAAACAAAGCCTGTGATGAAAGAAACCACTGGATGGAAAATAACAAAGAAACATCAAGCCTAGATGAGATCAAGATGACAAAACAGGACCTTGAAGCCATCTTGCAGCCAATATTTGCAAAGCTGAAGGAACAGAGTTAGTTTTCTTTATAAGTTAATTATTGATATACCAGCAGGAAGTTTGGCACACTGCAAAACTTTGAAATATATATAGTTTCTGTTGTTCAAGGTGAATGATAGAATTGCTTCTGTAAGGGACATTGGGCAATTCATAAACAATTATCACTATCTTCTCCACAAATTCTGTCATTGTGTGGTCAATTAACTGCTTATAGCAACTAAGCATTTAAGTTATTTCGCTATTTGATCTATCATTTGTTAGTTTACCTTTTTAAACAAGTCACTTTTATAACTTGCTACTTGGAAATGTTTTGTATCTATCTTATCTGAAGCAATGGAACTAAAACCATATCTTTGGAAATAACAAAATGGATCTGCTCCTTCTCTTGCTTGACTATGAATTCCCTAAGACCCCAAAAACATGATCACATGTTAGCCTAATAGATACATTCCATGGAACAATTTTTTGCTCTTGCATTCTGTATGACATTAAAAAAAACTGAAATAATATCAAGTAATAATTTTCTTTCCAGTGGATGTGCCAGCAACTTCCAAATCAAGGAACAGGAATACCAAATCTCCTTTGCCATCAAAGTAACAGAACAAAGAATTAGAAGCTTACAGACTCTTAAAATTGTAAATATGTGCATAATGACTCAACTAGGCCAATTGAGAAAGGTGCAGTGATGCATAATGGCAACTTTACTTTTTTCATCCAGATTACTCTTTGATCTTTTTGAAAACCAATTTTAAGTGGTTAACAGGATAAACGTTTTACATATTCATCCAGTAAATATAAAGATGCAGTATATTCTTATTTATAAATAAACTATAACAAAATCCAACTTTACAATTATTGTCCAAGCTATTTTTGGTCCTTGAACCAATTAAAGTTTGCAGACCTCTTTCTGTGTATGATACTACCTACATAATGTATTTAATGACTTAAAAATAATAAAGCAGAACTGACCAAAGTGTCATTCTTTATTTTTGACAAGCATGTTTGATGCAAGGCTCAAAAATGATATTGTGGTTCCAATTTTTACATAGAATCTAAATGTTTACTTAAAGTATCACCGTCTTTTCACCTTGATTAAAAAAAATTGATTTCGTTTACAAAAAAACCCATTCTAAAAAACGAAGAAAACCCTAAGTTTTGACAATGAAACCAAACATCTTTTTTTCCCGGAGTGAAACCAGAGTGATTTATACAGTTTATTGCCAGCCAAACCCTTCACACTGTGGCAATGTCACCACTCCAACACCCCCACCAAGCCTTCTGTAATTCATCCCACTTTGCAACACCCATTGGTTCTTTGCAACATCAAAAACTTCAATAGTTTTAAGATAGGTTGTCCCATCAAAGCCTCCAACTGCTATAAGCTGGCCATTTACCACAGACAATCCTACTCCACTTCTTCTTGAATTTAAAGCAACAACTGGTGACCACTGATTAGTCTGTGGCTCATATCGCTCTGCGCTGCTCAGCTCTGTTGCATCATCCCTGCCACCAACTGTAATAGATAAAAAATCCATAAATTACAGTAACAATTTCAAGAATCAGTCTCTCCTCATTACCTCAGAACAAAATCCCATATTTAGCTATGACATTCAAACAACCTTTTAGTGGTACAAAATTTTTAAATGGCTTTGAAATAAGCAAGCAATAGGCAGATTATTGGTAAAGTTGTTTCACCTAGCAGTTTTAGAATCTATCTACATAAACATGAAAAAGACTGCTATTGTGTACACAGAAGGAGGTTGTTTTCACCTTAGGAATCCATTGGTAACATTTTAATAGGCAAGCTGCACTGATTGGGCAACCTCAACAATCATTTGCTCGCGTTTCTGATTGGCCTTTTTCGATCCACAATTGGGTATGTAAGCGTGGTTTTCAATCTATGTTCTGACGTTTTATACTCTGAAGAGTGTCAGGCTAAAAGCTTTTGACGCGAAACATCATTCCTTGATTAGCACTTTTCTGACATTCAGTGTTAAAGTTAATAAATAAATGTTTGAATCTTATCCAGCTCCTTGTGTTTGTTGTTGTGACAATAGTTGTTTAAGTGAATGCTCTGAATTGAAAGGACCATTCTACGAATAACCTTCAGTTCACTGCAATTCCGGCATGACCACGCAAGCTTTGGTAAAAATTGATGAAAGAGACCCTTGCATGAAGATTAACACATCTATATTTGGAACACAGTAAACGCTTGGAGAACTCCACTTTAAACTCAGGTCATTCACTTCAAACATTATTTTGTTTTCAAGCAATTGTTATAGTAATTAATTATATGTTGTATTGTGGAAATTCAAACCAATGTATTGAAGCGGCTTTTAGCAATTCTCCCCCAATAACTGGCATATACTTTAGCAGTAATTTCATTCACTTACCAACATATATGCATCCTTGGTAAACTGCAGCACCAAGATGCTTTCTTTTAGTTCCCATAGGACGCACAGGAATCCACTGGTTTCCTTTAGGATCATACTTTTCAACAGTATTTAAAGGAGACGTGCCATCACTTCCCCCTATTGCATAGAGAAAACCATCCAGTACTGCAACAGCAACACCAAGTCTCCTTGTACTCATTGGCGACACTCTGCTCCACTGGTTCATAGTGGAGTCATATTTCTCAACAATATTGAGGCAAGAGACTCCATCTTGGCCTCCAACTGCATACATAAATCTAAAACAGATCACAATAAGGTTGGTTGCAAACAAGTGTTTGTGATAAGGGAAGGTCTGAAAAATGTTTCCAGTATGGTTATCCCTATTGTCCCCTCACCTCTCCTCTATTCAATTCACAAAAACCTGCTGATTTGTCCAAGCCACTTTTATTGCTTAAAAAAAAAAGTTTTCCAGTGATAGCAGCAATCATCCAGGATTTCTACTAGCTAGTAACAGGGGAAAGTCTGCCACTTACTCACAAAACCTTTGTCACCTACTTTCACCCTAACTTTAGTAAGACTCCACAGCCTACTTTCCAATACCTTCTACTTCAAAATTAATGAAAACCCTGGTAATTGGAAAGACCATAAGGAAATCAGACTGAAGATTCTGGAATATTGAATTCCAGTTAGACTAATAACTTCCAAGGAGCGAAGTCCAAAATATGAAACATAATTATCTACTTGGATTTGGACCAAAATAAGGTTAAAAATGCTAAAATGAAAACTGACATAATGCTAGATATATAAGCTTTTGCATTTAGCTAATTTTTTCTTTGCATAGATAACTTAGCCTATAAAGACATTTGATGGTCAACAAAAAATCTACAATAAACCTCTATAGGCAGTGTCACTTATTTGAAAAAAGAACATGTTACTGCACAAACCCATCAAGGACAGCTACTCCAACACTTGTCCTACAAGTACTGGTTGGAGAGACATCTGAGCTCCACTGGTTTGTCTTTGGATCATATCTCTCAACAGAATTCAAATAGCTAGAGCCATCATGGCCACCAACAGCATACAGCAAATCATCTAGTACTGAAACACCAACACCACATCTCCTCTTGTTCATGCTTGCTACCATATGCCATTCATTTTTATGTGGATCAAATCTGTAATAACAAAACAACATTTAGGACAAATCATGTATTCAGAAGCAACAGTCACAAAAGTATTTTTTTCGTATTTGTTGCTACCTAGCATCCGAAGGTAGTTTTTAGGACACTGAGAAGCTTATGCTTATCGAGCAGTGCCCTGGTCCTTCCACTCAATGTGACCACACCTTGTGATTCCTATGCCTGGAATTACAGAGAGCTGGCGACTCTCCTCACTCTGGGTGAAAGTTTGGTCATGTCAGGGACTCGAACCACTGACCCTTGTGTCTCTAGTCAGCGCCTCTAACAACTGAGGCATCCTCACACCAATCCAATCCAAAGTCTAATCCAAAAAGATTTCTAGAAAGGCATAGCACTTGAATCATCATCATATACCCTGAGTCTCCTGTTTATATATTTCAAAAGTTGGCAATTATGGCGAGAAACAATTTTAAATCAAAAACTAACCTCTCAACACTATTGATGGCATCCCCACTACACCAACCACCAACAGCAAAAAGGACTTCCCCACTTTTTGCAGGTTGTCTTGGTCTAGTACGAGGCCCTTGCATTAGTAGTCTCTGTTCTGGCAACAGCAAATAATTTTTGGCTTCATCAACTAAGTCTCTACATGATTCATTGTTTTTGATGAGCAAATCCGCACTTACAACACCCACTAGAAACCTTGCACTTACTAAAGGTAATCTGACATGACTCAAGACTTCATGGAGCCTGTCTTTTCGCTCTGCCAAATTGTAATGGACCCATCGCAAACAAGCATTATAAACTTGCTCTTCTGAAACAACATTTAGTTCATCACTTGAAAGGATGTCTGTTAATTGTTTAATAGGGAGGTGTAAAAATTCTTCCCCTTCCATGACATCTTGGAAATTGTGATGTGAGAATACATTAGCAACCCTTAGAAGATCTGAACAAGCATGTGTGTCTGCAAATGCTCTTATTCCAAGGCAGTTGGTTGGGTCTAATTGCTTCTTGAGAAATTCACAACACGCTTCTTGAATTTCTGTCAGCTGCATCAGACAGGCAGCAGGGAGAACAGTTTGAACATTTGATTCATCAATTCGTATTGAGCCTGTATATGCAAAGTCAATGAGTTGCGCAGTTGCCTTTTCATCTACATCTTTTATCTGCACCTCTTTCTGTCTACTTTCAGTCATTTCGCCTGTGAACATAGCTCGGAAGTATGGACTACATGCTGACAACACAACTTTATGCGAGTCGATCTTTCTTGGACCAACAACTATTGTCACGTCGCAAAGATCACCTGTTTGGCGCAAACCATTGAGAGTCTCTAGCAATGTCTTCGGGTGTCGCTCTGACTTATGATAAAGAAACGGCCTAACACTAAGAGTCGACTGACTCAACTTCAACGGAATTTTACAATGAAATGAAGAGCTTGATTCTGTTCCTGCTCTCCCAGTTTCCGAACTACTACTTTTAGTAGCGTCAAGTTCCATTCTTTCACCGTATTTCGTTCTAACAATTATGTTTAGACTGTCCTGTACATCAGCTACATACTTTCTACCGACTGCCACGAATTAGTTTAGAAGTGTGTTACTTGAGCAACTTTAAAAATCATTCTAGCATTAACCAGCTAGAAATAATGTTAAGCAACCGAAAATATTAATCTTTTATTTCCCTTGACTGACCCCAGTAAATTCAATTTCGACAAAAAGACGATAAAACCTTCGACAGATTTTCAGCGGCGGCGAATTTGTTTGGACTTAGGCAGCCATCTTCCTTTCTGACAGTTCCTGCGGAGGCGCCCTCCAAGCAGATATGATAGGATTAAGGAGCTCATTTTGTTTTGAAGAACTTCACGATACACGGAAATGGGTAGAGTCTGGATGTTAGTTTATTTGTAGATGGTCTGAAATCGGTGTAGTTACTAGAGAATAATGTTTGCAGGGCCCGCACCACTGGGGGGGCCTGGGTGGCCATGGCCCCCCTACTTTTTTTCAAAGCAGGTAGTTTTAAAACTGCAATAAAAGTGGTAAGAAGCCTTGGCCCCTTACATTCTTAGCCTTGACCACTTTAAAATTCATGGCGCGGGCCCTGGTTTGGATATAGACAGGAACATGATGATATAAGAAAGGTGAACGTGAACGTCGTGAAATGTATTTAGAATCTTTAGAATAAAGAACGTGATAATTAGGCTCAACATATTCGTTATTACACAGAAAATCAAACACCCTTCCTTGTATGCAGAGAGAAATAAATTTATTCTATCTGCAAGGTTTTTCAATTAGCCTGCACTTTTGAAGCAACCCTTACTTCTGTTGAAGACGTGTGACTATCGAAGAATTATTCGGCAATGACTTTGATTCCGGGACACTCATTAGCTGTTAATTGTTAATGCCTCTAGTATAAAGCTTAAAATACACTATTCTGGTCTTATGTGTTGTTAGCTGGTTGGTTGATATTAAATAATTGGTAGGTGCTTATATGTATAAACATGCTGCAGTAGTTTTTAGAGTCAGGCATTTTGTTAGAAGCGTGTTCCTGTTTGGTCGCAGTGCTGACGAAAGAAGTCGTTGTCTCTCTGTTCCTATCTGCCACAAATCAAGTTGAAAAGGGCCGTGAGTTATTATATATATATTTAATTGCACTGTAGTTAAAGTGTAGTATTATGCTTTTTTACTAAAATTACTTATTTTTCCAAACCAATGCCAGATTTAAATATCAGCAAAATGAAAAACAAAATTAAAGATAGCTGCTTCTTAAACCATTTTGTTACAGTCATTCGCTTTTTTACTTCATGATATTCTTAATTCCCCTCAACGTTAGCCAAGGATTTTCTTCGCTTTACTATTTGCCTCCTACTATTCTCGTCTGTTCTTTATCAAAGCTCTTGCTCTTGCCTTAATAATGGTTTATTTTGCAAGCTTTAGGTAAATATAGTATATTTTGAAACTTGGCTAAAAACCCTTTTATCAGACTTAAACTGGCCAAAGCGAGACTGATAATTCATTCACTTCCATCGCAACGTTTCACTTTTGCACCACTTACTAGTTATTTGGCTCTCTGTCAGTGAGCTTTGTAAATGTAAGGTATCATGCAGTGGTGAAATCTCAATTGTTCTTCAAGCCACGTACTTTCTAACATTATTCAGTCATAACGTTAAGACTGCGTGCCATTTATTGACGATACTTGTGCTGTAAACACATTTCTTAAAAGCTTTTTTTTTGCATACAGACAACGCAGATTTTGTCAAATGGGTTATGTTAAACCAGATATAATTTACGCACATATGGAACAATATATTTGCTTAATGATCGCATTAAACGTGAAACTTGGAGTAGCAACTAAGAACCGTCCTGTCCTATGCATCAAACACCAAATGATATATTACATTGACTCATTTTGTAAACCTAAATCTGTGTTTTCTATTCATTATCCTGACTGTCTGTATTTTACTATTACATCTAAAACTGCCTTACTGGCTACCATCCCCCCCCCCCCGTATATTTGTTTTATATGCAAGATTTGCAACTGACTTTAAGGGGGTAGTTCATATACTTCCTGCGCGACGTATCGCCGGTTGATTGTGACGTCAGATTGCTCTACCTCATAAATTATCTTGCGAATCGTTCATCCTTTCATTCTTTGAAGTTATCTTCATTGGACAGGGTGTGTTCTCGTAAGAGATTCGCAAATAGTTCGCATTTTTAAAAATAAATACATTCTAGGTAATTTTTCACGTCAGTTGACTAATTTCGGCGCTGTTTCAGCGCTCGCCAACAGTAGCTTTCGATTCGGCCTGAAGAATCGAAAGGCTTCCGTTTTGGACGTCTTCGGTTAACCGCCGCTTGAGGTAAGACATTGAATTGTGTTAGACTTTGCTTTTAAAGAGTAACTACTGCATTTATTTGAATTAAATAGTTGTTATTTTATATTTCTTTTGACATTTCACTAAAAGTAAGTTCTGGCGTGCAAGCGATATTTACAGAACCTCAAAACCCCTGTTTAATGAAATTAATTTGCTCCTACTTTTTTGCAGGAATGGAGAGCGGGTGTAACGGCGAAAGAAACGGCGAAAGAAACGGCGAAAGAAACGGCGAAAGAAACGGCGAAAGAAGTGGCCAAAGCCAAGACAATCAGACTGAACAGTCGAATGCACCGATTCAAGGGTCTTTCGTGTTTGTTCCACGGCTAGAACTTGACTTGAGCAATGACGACATTCAGTTAGATGTCTCGACTGAGCCTAACTCGCCATGTGAAAAGCGTCATTCGACGGGAAGGAGCAATGTTGGTGACAAACCGATAACAAACTTTGCTCATTTTAACGCTACGAAAATTCCAGACAAAGAATGCTCCATTGAAGAGCAGATGATAGCCAAGCTTGAAAAAAGCTTGGTTGTATCAAAGAAGAAAGGGAAAGAAAAAGGCAACATGAAAATGGTGGAGGAAAGCACGACAAAATATGGAGGAGATGATAGGGTTGTTGTGATTCTTCACCATTTGAAATTTGTGCAGACATGGAATGCCAACAATCAAGGTCGCTTCAATGGCGCCATAGTACCTCTGCAAGGGGGAAATGGGCTGAGCAAATGGTGGCAAAGAAGGCCTAGAGTTTCCAGAAAGGAAATTCTTAAAATCAGTTTTCTCTTGCTAGAGAAATATCATAATCTTTTCAATGCAAAGTTGGAAGAAGTTTCTATCATCACTGAGGAACTTTTAACTGAGAAGAAAAACAGCAAAGGCTTCCACTTCAAAATTGCTAGATATGAAAGAGAGAGAACTGAGCTGATTATGGCTGTGGAAAAACTGACAATCGAAAAAGAGGAGATACAAGAGAGTCATGGAAGAGAGCTTGAGAATTTCAAGGCAGTCACTTTGGAGAAAGAAAAAACTCATTTGCAGAACATTGACGATATAAATAAGGCCATGGATGACGTGAAAAGGAAGTGGCAAGAAGAAGTAGATGTGATCAAAGAAAGCAGGGAAAAGGTATCGGAAATGAACGAAGCTAAAGTTGCTGAAATTAAACGAGAGAAAGAAGGAGAGCTCGAGTTGTTACAGCGAGAACTGGAAAAAACTGCAATCGAGAAAGATGAAACGAAGCATCAATATAAAAAGCTTGTTGAGAAATACAATGAGCTCAAATCTGCCAAGGACAAAGAGAAAGAGAAAGAGATCGACAGGTTAAAGTATGAATTAAGACTTAAAAAGGAGGAGAACAAGACACTTGTGGCGGGAATGAAGCATGTAAAGGAAAATTTTCACTTAAAGGAAAATAAGATGGAATTGGAAATTAGAAATCTTCGTGAAGAGCTCGTTCTTAGGGAACAACAACTGAATGAAATGAATGACAGATTTGGAAATCAGATTCGCATTGCTCGTCTTTGTGAAAAGACCGGTTTGGAGAAGGAAGCAGTAGATGACACACAAAACAGCAATTATAGCCACAATGTTGAAAATAACTGGAGTAATGAGAACAATAATGAGTATTCCAAAGAAAAGACATGCAACTGTTGTACCAAGGAATCAGAGAAGCATACGGCAAGTAATTCTTGCGTGAAACACGAGCATTTCTTAGATGCAATCATGCCAGGAGAACCTTCAGACAGCGGGAAACTAAAAGCATTTGCCTTTTTGAAAATTGAAGATGTATGGCAAGAGCAGATAGCTTGTCATGAGAGCAATGTCGAAAAGCTTAAAGAATTGCAAAGATTGCGAAAGAATTTGATCAGCAGTAGAGAGGAGTTAGAAAGATCGATACAAGAGAACGTGAAGCTGAAGGAGTCTGTTATCAAGGAAAACGCTGCTATGGAGAAGCGTTTAAAGGTATTGATAAAGCGACAATCATATGAAATGAATAAGAAAGAGGAAGAAATAGAAAATCTGAAGCTAGAACTGGTTGATCAGAAAAATAATGCAAGAAAGTTGTCAAAAGAGTTAACAAAGAATATGATGATTCAGAAATACAAAGACGAAGAGATCGAGCTGCTGAATGCAACAGTAAAAGCAGAAAATAATGACGAATATTGCATTGTTACCTTAGAATCCATGACCAGCTTTAGAAAACATATTGAGAAACTTAGGCACGAAAATAATAACTTGCTGAGTTACTGTGATCGAGTGGAGGAGAAAGTTAGTGAGACAAAACGAGAGTTAGACCTAACAAGAAAACTTGGCAGTGAGTTGAGCATCAGGGAGATGGACTCACAAAAGATCTGCAAAGAGCTGATGTCAGAAGTTGATGCCAAGAATCAGATGTTGAGGACTTTGAAAGAGAAGATGAGAAAATTGCATCACAGTTACGAAGAAGTTAAAGAAGAGGCAGTGGACAACAGGTATGAATTAAGTAGTGTCAGTGGAAAGCTGGCAAAGATGCAGAAGAAGATGATAGACATTGAGGGTGAAAAGAAGCAGCTTGAAGAGGTGAACTCAAAATTGGCAAAGGATTTGGCACAGACTGGCAGAGAATTGCAGAAGTCAGTTGATATTGTGTGCCAACTGAAAATCCGATATGAGCATGTTGAAGAGCAATTCAAAGAAAAAGAAGACAAGATAAATGACTTGTCAAATGATCTGGTTTCCAAGATAAAGGAAATCAAATGCCTCGTTGAAGAGATTGACGAAAAAGAACATGAAAATGTCAAAATGCGAAAGCAGTTGGAAGAATTAAATGTCGAGAAGGAATCTGAAATGATGAAGCGTGAAAAGTGCAAGGAGGAGCTGGATCGTTTGACAAGCCAACTGGAGATTGCTTTAAAGAACGTTGAAAGTGAAAGGTTCGCCACCGAGGGTAAGCAAAGAGAAATTCAGAAATTGATGAGTGAGGTTGAGCAGCTCTCTGAGATTGCACGAGATAACCAAGAAATCGAAGAAGTCAACAAAAATATATTAAAACTTGAAAATAAATTGTTACTTCTTGAAAACGAGAATCACGGTTTAAAGCACGAAAATCAAAAAATGGAGCACGAGGTAAAAGAATTCGAAAATAAAGTGGAGACATTGAAATCACAAGGAGAATTGGCTGGTGGTGAGAATAAGAAATTATTTGACGAAATAAAAACTAAAGAGAGTGAATTGGCAGAAAAGGGAAAGCTGATAAACAAACTTGAAAGCGAGCTTCGAAAGTTTCAGAGGTAATTTTATCCTGTTGCTAAGTTTATGATTAATTTTGTTGTTGTTATAATGTAAGATTGAGTTTATTCATGTACTTTGGACATACCGTGGCTTGTTGGTTAAGTATAAGTAAATAAGCAGCATTGGACGATTGCAGCCATTGTTTCATGACCAAAAAGTAGTCACAAAATAAGAAAACCTGGAATTGGGAATCACATGAAAAGGAGGATGAATTTTGTGGCTACTTGCAGAGTTACATTTGGGTACTTTTAAGCTTAGACATTCAAGCTTCTGTCTTGATCTTTAACATACATATTTGATGTTCCAAGAGAAGCATCCTACTGATGGAATCATTTTGACTTGTAGATCCGGTGCACCAGTCCAGGCAAAAGAGCAGCAGCGCAAGAGCAGCGTGTTTCCTTGGGAAGACGAAGAACTTGAAGTGTCGCCGGAAAAGGACACTGCCAATAAACCGTTGCCACAGAGAAGAACATTTGCCCAGGGAGATGGAATCAAGTCAACAAAGGAGACTGGGCAGAAATCAGGCCAAGGAAGCAGGGCTGCCAAGAAGGACACTGAAGTGAAGATGTTTTCTGACGAAGACGAAGATTCCTTGGACCTCGCCCCGAGTTACGTGCCTTCATTCTGTCAGAACCGAGGCAGCGCCGGTGGTAGTAAGCCTGAACAGCCAAAGAGCAATAAACCAAGCTGGCTGCAAGACTCAGTTCAAGATTCGCAAAGAAAGAAAAACGCACCAGCAAAAGGTGGCAAAGAAGATGATATCTTTGATTCGATTGATGATTTATTGCCAATGGGCAAAAAAACAACAAATGCGCCCAGAGAAAGTGGGAACCACGAGGCGAATACAAAGAAATCTGGTCGACGCAGTGACGACTTGTTCTTCTTGAGTGATGAAGGAGATAATTTAGCACAGAAAAAAAACGAAGGCAATGGAAACAGCATCGCAGGAGGAAGAAGAAATGAACCGAAGAACAGAAGAAGGGGACAGAGTGGTGAAGATGCAGCGGATGAGTTGAAAAGACTGGTTGGCTTCTAGATAAGCGCAATCGTTTTGAAATGAGCAGAACTTTGAAAAATATTCTAATTGACATTGAAATATCAGTTACTAACTGCTTTTGTGCAGAAATATTTGTAAATTTATTACTATCTATTTATTCTCAATATTTGAAATTTGAAAAACGTTATAGCCTTTTGTGTTTTATCCTGCATCTTACTTCATTTGGTGAGAAAAATGTTTACTGAAAGTATTAATCTATACTTTATATGACACTATGAATGGATTACATAAAATACTAGCATTTGAAATCCTCAATTCATTTCTTCAAATGAAGCAGTGGTCCAAATCAAGAGGCAAGTCACAGCATAGATAAATTTGTGTTGATTTGAATCAATCCCATATGATTAAATACTAAGTTTTTTTGGCAGGAAGAAACAAGAATCAATTTCGTTGTGATTGAGAATCAGTTCTTCAGCTTTTATCCAGGCAGCAGAGTAGGCATATCTACAAACTTTATGATGTTGTATTTTAATTAACTTGTCCTAATCGGAGTGCTTTTCATAGAGGTCCTGTGAAATTTTAATTGCAATATGTCAACAATTCAGTCAATTTTGAACAATTTCAACTGATTTTACATATTGAGACATATTCATGGTGTTTTTCTTCTAAAAATTCTAAAAAAATAGAGTTATTGATGCTATAATTTTGGCACTTTATAAACGATTTTGATTTTCCTCAACAACATGTGTCGCCCTTTTCCCCGTTCGAATTCCAGGGCCTTCGGAGCCCATTGTATTCCCCCTCTCCCAATAATGGTCAAACCGTAGCACACTTTCTTCATTACAGCGTACTGAATGAGAAGGAATACAATGGACAGCCCCCCCATCATCTTGCCAATATAAAGTTCCTTCCAAAGACATTGAATTCACATGGTTGTTCAACCTCATTGGTTGTTCATTGTTGTAAACGATGTAAGGGCAACGGCCCGAGGGGGGTATTGCTCCCATTAAGGCCCGACAAGGGGTGCAGTCAGTTTGAGGGTCTTGCCTAATGGCTACCAAATGGCCCAGTTTCAATAATAACACTACCACTTGGGGGTATTGAAATTGTTGCCAAATTTAAGGGGGAGCCTATAATCAGCCGCTTACTTTAGCTTGCGATTTATTGTTATACAACTAGTTTTGTCTGTCGTGCATCGTGTTTGTGGTTCGTTATTGTTAATGAGAATGTCTTTCGATGTTTGCGTCAGTAATTTTGTTTGTCATCGTGCCATCTCTATTTTAGTTGTTATTAGTTCATTTGCCGTTAATTTGTGTCATTAGGGCTTTATGTGCGTCACTCGTGTTGTTAAAAGCGTATGTTCTTTGAGTGCAAGTCCAGTCGAGTCGAAGTTTTCGTTGAATAAAGTCGTCATTTTGTAGTTGTTGGTTGCTGCTGATTATACGATCGCTATTGAAGAATCTTGGTTTATTTAAAAACGTTATTGCGAACTGGAGTCTGATTTATGAGCTTTACCTGTCCTGTAAAATACTTTATTTTACATTGGTGACCACGACGTGACAACTCGCGACCTTCATTTGGAGCTGAAAAAATGATGTCGTTGGAGCAATCGAAAGATATTTTATTAGAGATCGTCACAGAAGTAATCGCTTATATGGCTGAAAAGATAAGGCTGGCTGAAGAAAAAGCAAGAAACCCCTTCGCCAACCGCACAAACGTATACAGAGGGGAGGACGGACGGCCTATTTGTTACAGCTGCTTACGAATAGGCCACGTTTCAAAATACTGCTGGGACAGGCGATATGCCCAGGCTAGTGACGTCAAAGTCAGTATCAAGTTTGGGATCCCGCAGTATGTATCAAATTTTCAGAACGCACTAGATGGACTGGAAGCCAAAATGAGGGACTTGAGGGAATTAAATCGACAACTCAAGGATTGGACAATGCCCTACCAGTTTGATGTTGTTCCATCAGTGCCTAATCATTCTTATGAAACGCAAGGGCAGAATCAAATGGAATCTTACGAGCACGTTTCTTCGCTTGGAAAAGAGATTTGTCATGAAAGACAACAAATGGCTGATAAAAGGGAATCCCTCCAAGAGAAACACAAACTTGATTGGAAACATGGACATTTGAAAACAGACTACGGAGAACCGCTTAGAGATATTACATGAAGTAGCTGTATTGTGAACTAACTGTATTTTAAATTTCTTGTTTTGTTTGTTGTTCTATTTGCATTTCTCTCTCTGAATAATTCAAGCCAGGAGGCTTGTCTTTGAAGGAGGGAGTAATGTTATACAACTAGTTTTGTCTGTCGTGCATCGTGTTTGTGGTTCGTTATTGTTAATGAGAATGTCTTTCGATGTTTGCGTCAGTAATTTTGTTTGTCATCGTGCCATCTCTATTTTAGTTGTTATTAGTTCATTTGCCGTTAATTTGTGTCATTAGGGCTTTATGTGCGTCACTCGTGTTGTTAAAAGCGTATGTTCTTTGAGTGCAAGTCCAGTCGAGTCGAAGTTTTCGTTGAATAAAGTCGTCATTTTGTAGTTGTTGGTTGCTGCTGATTATACGATCGCTATTGAAGAATCTTGGTTTATTTAAAAACGTTATTGCGAACTGGAGTCTGATTTATGAGCTTTACCTGTCCTGTAAAATACTTTATTTTACATTATTACAGAAAATTAACAAGATCTTATCTTTCCCGAATCAACAACTGTAAATGGTGAAGAAATTTGTCAAAGTAAGACTAGTTGAGCACGAGGGATAGTTCCCAAAAAAGTCTACCAGTTTAGAGTAATGTTTCAACACTTTAGCTTTGGCCCTCTTTGACCCTAACTGGACCCCCTGTTAGGTCATAATTGGAGTACCCCCTGGGGGCCCAGGGCCCGCGCTACAAACTTGAAAGTTTAGGGCCAAGGCTAAAAAAGTAGAGGGTCAAGGCTTCTTACTCCTTTAATGCACATTTGAAACTACTTGCTTAGTAAAAATGTGGGAGGCTGTGGCCTCCCTGCCTCCCCCCGTTGGCGCGGGCTTTGGGGCCAAGGTAGCAAGAAGCTCGACAAAGTCTAATGGTATGCTTGCGGCCAGGCACCGCGCAGCCATCGGGCTGGCAGGGCTATAGCCCCCCCCCCCCAACTTTTTTGCAATAATTGTTTAGAAATTTTTAGAAAATTAACTCTAAGGCAACTTTGGACTGTTTTTTCTAACGGATCCCAAGTAGTAGCCGTTCGTTTTGACTAGGCACCCTTTTTGTTCATTTTCTCGGAGTCTTATTCTGTTAAATCAATTTTATAGGAATTGATATCTTCTCTGAATTGGACTGTTTATAAAAAATAATTGGAAAAAAGCAAGTATTTTCTAAAAGGGGCATTTTCCGGTGTTCTCAAAATTCTCGATCAGCCCACCCACTTTTAGAATGGTGCGCGGTGTCTGCTTGCGACGAAAGTCGATAAAATGTATAAAATAAGGAACACCACGACGTGCTGAAGAGAAATTTTTTCCTGTAATTTAATCCTCTTAGATTTACCAGTAGCTTGATATTTTCGATGCTAAATCATATGTACCGAATTGTTGTGGAATGAAATATTAGAATTTGAAAACAAACAACAACAAGCACAAGTAATGTTGTTGTTGTTGCTGGTTGTTGTTGTTGATGTTGGAGGAAATTCGAAAGAATAACGAACAGCTCAGCTGCTGATCTCGATGGCTTCAACATTTGCTTTCTAATGGAACTTCGCAGAACAGGTCCCATGGAAAATTTTTTAAATGATCTGGAATGTATAGCAGCTAAGGTATTTATATGTAAATAGATGTAATAAGAAATTTATTACAGCAGCATGTTATTTTGCCGCTACTCCGCGACGACCATACGGGTGGGGTGGGCCTGCACACAGATACTACAAGCCTGTATCGATCAAAAACCACATAAAAATCTGCCATATGTTGTTAAAGTTTGCGATTCCAGCTAATTTTATGGCCAATGTCTTAATTTCACATTTCTAATGGCTAGAAGCACCCATGAATAAGTTACAGTAAAAAGCCCGCCATAAATTTCAAAATGATTTCCACCACAGCAACATAAAGGCCCATAGTTAAATTTTTAGTCCGATTCAACAGAATCTGGCCCTAAAAGAGGTTTTTATGCTGGAAGCCATTAAATGTGGTAAATTCCGGCCACATCTCTAATTCATTAAAGTAAATGATTGGTAGGATTTCCAACAGGGGCGTTGTGGCTGGGGAGGCAGGGGGCCACGGTTTTAAAATTGACAGATTTTTTGAAAAATTTTGGTTATGTTAGAAAATTCTCAATCTTGAGCTGTGGGTGAAATGGAGAAGTGAGACGAACCTTTTAGCGGCATAAGTTACTCATCGTATTGTTGAGAAGCAATTCACCTAATTGTAAAGAAAATGCTAGATTTCCACAAAAACAAAATTATTTCTCAGGATTTACCAATTTCTATCATAGAGTGATTTGCTGCTAAGATTTTGTTTCCTAATCTAACGATCTATAGGGTTGCGAGATGTCAGGGACTTTCACAGGAAGTATGAAAAAATAGAGTCAAGATAAAGGTACATTTTGAATGTCCAGCTAAGGCAAAGGTTATGTGCTTTTCTCACCTCCCTCCTTACACGAACATGAAATTCTTCTATTTGGTTAAAATAAAACAAAGAAATTTTGTCAGAAAATTTTTCTTTCTGGCCCCCTCTAGAATTTATTTGCCATGACGCCCCTGATTACAGATTAGTTAAAATCAAACATACTTTCCTGCAAACCAGCAATAGGTAGGGACAGCCTTGTTAACTAGGACAAAAATTATTGTTTTGATGTTCCATTGCCTGTAGGTGAAGGGGATGTTGGGGCTTGAGGACCCACACATCAAGCACTGTGTTTTTATATGGATTGTTGATTTTAGAGATTTGGAACCAAAAGATACTAGAACCAAAATATTTTGTTTCATTCACAAAAGTGTCAACAAGCCATTTTGATTGAATCTTAAGCAAGTTATTAGATCAAGAAATTGCTAAAGTTTTTAAAATTTATAAAGCAGTGAATACTTATTCTGCTTAGGTTTCAAGAGCATAGGCAATGTTCTACTAATGCCTAAGATTGTAAAGCTATTTCATTGGCTCTTAACTTGTATCTCTTATCAGTTTTCAATCCTCTTTCTTAAATATGCTGAGGTATACTTTGAGATCTTAACTTTAATACTTGACCAGAGGTCTGTAAGGCTGATTATAAATGACTTATTTATTGGCTATCGATGGCAATGAAAATAGTTGATGATTGAATTTATAGCCACCCAGACTACTTTAAGCTTTTCATTTACTGCAATGAATACCAATTTTAGATTCCTCTGACCATATATACTTAGTGACCTGTCATCTTGTTTACATTTTCAGTATGGAAATGTTACTGACGAAGATGATCCAGGAAAATTCCTCAGTGAATATGAAGATGATTTACAAAATGACATTTCTTCTGAAGATCAACTTGATGATTCCGATTCTACTGAGGATAGCTTCTCAACTACCTATACTGAGGAAGAAGGACGTTTTCTTGCCAAGTTAAGGAATTGCCTGATTAAAATGGAAAAAAGTGAACCACCTCCTCCACTTGAAGAGTATCCCCGTGATATTTTGATTGAAGATGATTGGGGTAATGAAGAACCAAACCACGGCCCGTGTGAAGACTCACCTGCAGCTTTCCACATCACTAAGCTCAGTGATTGGTACCTCTCAGTAACGAATCAGAAATCTGTGATTATCAATGGGAGACGGTGGTAACGATGTTTTTTTTATCCAATCATCTACAAAGCGCTTTATTTGCAAAACATTGTGATGATCTAGACATTACCTTAAGGTAATCAAATCTTTTGTAAAGCATTTCCACAGGAGAAGTAGACTGAAAGAGTGACCACTGACTGTAAGGCCTAAGTACTGAACTTAAAAGATATACGAGTAATAATTAGCTCATATCTGTAATATTTTACTGTGAGTGATATTGTTATTCAAAACATATGAATAACTCAGGATGAGTAAACTTCCCCATAAGGACTGGATCATATTAGAAAGGAAAAAACATATTATAATAACTTTTCTTATAATAACTAATTTTTCTTCAATTTCGTACTGTTCAAGGTTTAGATGTAATTTGATGCAAATTTGAATGTCAGTCTTTGTGGCAGGTAACCACTGTGATGGTAAGTTATAAGCATTTCAAGATGCCATAAATAGTAATGGAAAGTATTTTAGTGACCTTATGTCACCATTTAAAGCATGAAAGGAATTCCCTATGAGGCAATCTTTACAAAAGTCCTTTCAAATTTTGCAGCCCCTCCTTTTACAAACTCGAAATGTAATTTTTCAGCATTTCCAACAGTGACACAGTGAAGACTGAAGATGATGATTGGCACACCACTGCCATAAAGACGCGGATTGGTAACAACCCCAAAAAACTTATGACAATTTCTGGGTCCATTTATCATCTTGAAGATGAAATAAATGAAAAAGCCATGCAAGAAAATAGTAGGTTTTAAATAAAAATTTATCAGTTATGATAATTTTCATTATCGTAAAATTTTCAATAAACACATTGTAAAAAGATTTTGGAATAAAAAACCATTATTGTTATTTAAGCTAACAGTCTCAATCAATTTGTTAGATAAGGTTTGCCGTCAAATTGAGTATATATAATGTAATGTTAAAAATAAAAATGATGGATTGTATTATGATATGTATTAGTCTCCCAAATCAATTCAATGCAGAGAAAGTTCTCAGTCTTTTAAAAAAATGTTTCTGAACAGCATTGATTATGTACGGTAGCTTAGATTTTATTTTTGCTGTATCAACTTCTTTGTGTTATTATAAGGGTTAGTTCAAGTTCTTTTATTATTTTATGTAGAGTGAAATGGTTTTTAAAATTTAAAGCTTTGTTCCCATTAGAACTAAAATGCTTTAGAAATACAATAAAAATAAAATAAAAAAATACGTCTGCCATTTGAAGTCCAATGTGCAGAACAGGGCAGTTCCACTCTGTGTTTTTTAAGCTTGAAGTAGTTTTTCCGTTTTACACTGATAATCATATTATGTAAATACTTTAGACTGCACCATTTTAGACACTTAAGCAAATTGTATTTTGTCAATATGTTCTGCAACAGAACGGTTGGCAGAAATTGTATCATGAAGTTATATTTTTGTAGACTTCCCCATGTCAGTCATTGAGCGGTTCAGATTTGGCTTTCCTAAAGACTGGCAAACTATTATAAAAGATCTGCTTTTAAACTGCAGCACAAGGTAACTTTTTTGTTTTGTACTCTTTATGTTCATTTTAAGTTACCTCCATTTCAATTTAAATTATGGATCCTATAAATATTATTAAGTGAAGACTTGAAGTGCATCATCCAATTGACTTTCTAGTTAATGTTAGAAATCTCACTACAGTAAAATATAACTTATTTTACACAGCAAAAGCCTGCTTTTTCAGTAAATGAATACAGTAAAATCTAATAGTGGACAGGCAAAAATGCAAAGAAAAAGTACACAAGGTGATCCCCCTGAATTTGCCGGTCTTATAAACAGGCTCCCAAAACTCAAAGTTAAGATTCATAGCTTACATATACTGAGACAAATGCTAGTTTACAAAGACCATTCAAAGTTTCAAGTACTGGTTTCAGCTTTATCTTTGAGTACACATTATCTGTTTTCATAGGCATTCAATTGATACAACAAAAGGAACATCAGTGACATATTCAGACACAGATGGTATGACGCAATAAATATATTTTGTTGTTGAAATCTTCGAAAAAGAGGGTTTGAATAAACAGGGGGCAAATAAACTGGAGAGGGGAGTTTGAATAAGCAGGATTTTGTAATCAACAAGGGTAAAAAAAAGGCAGGTTGGTAGGTTTTGAAGCGGGGTTGTGTGTAAGAAACACAACACAATAGATTTCAACTAGCATGCAAGTATGTCTGCCGTATGTCTGCAGTATGACTGGAGTATGAGTATGACTGGAATATTCTTTCATTTTCGAGCCAGTTTCATCTCTTTTGAATACTTTTTCATGCATCCTTATAAGCCAGGAGATTGCAGATAGAACAAAGTACTCCTATTGTTGTCTATGATTTTTTCCATAGCTTCTAAAAGTTTTGTCCTTATTTACTGCTCAATAATTGGTAACCTAATGAACAGACAGATTAGAAGAATTAAAAATTGGTTATAGGGGGGTGGGGGGCTGGAATAATAATGTCCATTATAAGAGAAAACAGAGTTTCTTCTATTGTTTGTTAATTTTCATTACAAATAATATCTTCTGCTATATTTTACTTAAAACTTTGCAAGTATTTAGCAAATGCTCTTCGTGATATTAAGATTTGTCTAATTCCTATAATTCATTTGGTCGATGATTTCATTTGTTAAATTGTGTAATGTTTACTGACTTTCTTAGAACTATCAGACTCTTTGGAGAGTTCAAGTCCTCCTAAGCGGACAGTGGAAAATTGGAAAGACTCCCATGATGAAAACCCCAGAGATCAAACTTTAGCACCAAATAAAAGACGCAAACTGGAATGGGAAGCAACGCCTGATATAATATTTGATTTCCCAGCTGAAACAGTTTTTGCGATACCTCAATTTGCACAATCGTGCACAGCTCTGGATTCAGGCAGGGGAAAAGTCAAAGATGATGTGGAAAAAAACAAAGATGATGACCTTCTCAGCAATTTTGCTGGTAATAGAGATTTGGGTGACAACTATCTTTTCGACACTGAAATCAAGATGAAGATAGCTGTGAAACACGAGGGCGGTGACACTAATGATCCAAAATGTGGCAATATTGCCACAAAAAGAAGAAAGAAGTACAAGTTTTACACTGGTACTTATAAGAAAAGAAAACAAAGGACAATAAGTAGAAAGGACGTACCGGCGAAAAAGGACTTTACAAAAATTGAAAGTATGCCTAGCAGTATCAATGAAAGTAAGTTCAAGAATGCACTTTATATCTGAAATATTTGCAATGTACTAAATACTTTTTGTCCTCAAAATGGGGAATGACATATCAAGGACATGTCAGTGTCTTCTTCGTCATTAACCGTAACTTTTCGTCATTAGCCGAAGCTTCACACTTTCCGGTTAGTTGAGGGAAGCATTACTTCAGTAGTTCGTAAAATGTTTCGGCAATCTTTTTAGTGCTAAAGAGAGTTGCATGTGCTGCAAATGTTTCTCAAAGTTTCCAGCACTTTCTGAAAAGGAATTTGAAGATTCAAGGAACCAGAATCTTTATAACCACCCTCAGTTTATCGTCATATCTGAATTTGTTTTATCACTTACTTTCTTGTTTCTCAGTTACATCTTTGTGAGTTTGTTATCTTAACTGAAAATAATTCCTGTTCATTTTTTGTTTTTGAAGAGAGAAGAGGCTCTGATTTCAAGGAAACGTATCCAGAGACAGATTTCAAAGGAACTGAGAAAGCTGATGATGTCAAAGAACAAGCAGATATTGTTTTAAAGAATGATTCAAGACCAAAGCTGGAAATTAGTTGTGAAATGGACCACGAGACACTACCAAGTGGTTTGCAAGAAGGCATTAGAATTAATGAAAAACAGAATGACACCAAAAGGGAGGTAAATACACTTCGTTTCCCCAATAAAGGAGAGCAAATAGAGGTTACGACATGTGACAAAATTTTGGCAAATAATCTTCTGGTTTATATACAGCCAATAAAGATGGATGATTATAGAAAGAAAACCAGCGAAAATTGCGTGTACTTAAGTGATCCTCTAATGCAAATTGCCCAATCTAACCCAAACATATCAAACAACGAACAGAATAAAAGAAATAGTATCGAAATCTCTGAAACAGTGCCTGGGAAAATTTTAATTCCAAAAAGTGCTAGAAAGGAAATCAGTCAGTCTTTAAAAATGCTACCAAATAAAAAGAAAGAAGTACGTTTCGTTCCTGAGCCAGAGCTCAATGCGCGTCGTGAAAAGAAATTCAAGGATAAATCGTTTACTGGTTATTATTCACAAGTTAGAAAGAATACTGAGAAAAATGCTTCATTGACAAAACATAGTTTGGTTAGAAATTACCAAAGACATCCCTCTTACAAAACAAACCGGGTTGACCCAATCAATAAGTTATCTCAGATACATTGTGCTACTGCCAATCCATCCGTCGGGATATTGAAGAGTCCAAGGGTTTACATAGAGCCACTCAAGCTGCAAGGTTACAGAAGGAAATCAAGCGAAAAAGATGTAAACACATTCGATGGTCGAAAAAGTGAGTCAAGAGAATCGTCTTTCCAAAGAAATCGGTCTGATCGTATCACAAGATTCTCTAAAACACCTCATGCTAGTGTAAACAGGTCCGATGTTATTACCGATTCGTCAGATGAAGATATCTTACCCTGGGCTTCAGCACACCCAAAAGAGTTGTTACTATCTCGAAGTAGATCGCAAAGGCAAGCTAGACAACAAGAAAACGTACGTTCTCGAAGAGCAGCCCTGAGAAGGCTCTCTAAAAACCAGACTAAGATGTGCGATAATGATTTTGTTGAAAACCAGCCAAGAATAACTGAAACATTGTCCATTGCACATGAAGGTCACATCGAGGGGGATATTGTGCAACACAGAAGAGCGAATAGTCAAAGAAATAGATATCCAATTGAAACTCTTTCCTCCAGTGATTCGTCTACTCAAAGTCCCGCAGCGGATGTTCCTAAGAATCCGGATTTATCATACAACCGAATGAGGACCTTGAGTAAAATTAGAAGCCCCACAATAAACATTCCACAACAGCCAGACCTTGGATTTGCCGGAATAATCAACACTAATGATAATCGAATGGATCTGGGTCATACTCCAAGAAATCTGGATCACTCGTCTAGCCGAGTAAGCAAGTTTCGTAGAGCATGGAATACCTTTGTCAATGTACCTCAATATCCGGATCCGGAATCTCCATTTGACCGAGTAGGGAGCCCTAATCTAAAAAGTGGCAGAAGGTATCAGCAAATATCTAAATGCCCCTCGATTCAAACACAAAGACCAACCAAGCAACAAATTTCCCCGCAAGAAAATTTTGTTAAAAGAAAATATAGAGACAATTCGATGACGTCCCCAAGAGACCTGACAGTTGCCCATGGAAACCAGCATGTCTCAGTTTTTGTTCCCTCTCGTAAATTGTCGGTGCGTGCAGGAGATTCAGAGGTGATGGTAGGACAGCCAAGAGGTTCATTATCGAGTCACCAAAAGAATTACTCGTCGCGTCCTCTAGGCTTAGATCATCAGCAAAGGGGTGATTCTTGGAAGAAACGGTTAAAATCAAGGGAAAGAATAACTGGACGATTGGTGATGGAAGAGGATTGGATGGATGACGAGATGGAAAAGTTGAAATTGTAAGTTGACGTTTTTCTGTATTTTTGTCGCTTTATCTTCTTTCTAAATTTTTAGCTTGTTATATGACTTGGAAAAGTTAAAGAATAAATTAAATTTAAAGGATTGGCGATATTTTTTCAGAGCTGTGTCTCGATTTCAACCTGATCGTCCATATTATTGGCAGAAGATATCAGATTTCGTAGAGTCGAGAAGTCCAGCTGAATGTCAGAGAAAATTTGAGCTGATTCGAAATCCTTGTAAAAGAGGGCCCGGACCTGTTAAAAAGAAAATAAAGAAAGTTGTCCATCCGCAAGTTGAAGCAGGTACGTAACCCCAGCTTGTTGTAGTGAACTATAGTTTCAAACTTTACTTTCTTGGTGTTTATCGTTGTTTGTTAATTGGTTGTAAATTTTTATATTTCATTGAATATAATGAAGCAAGTGAGGAGCGCCCCTATGCTTAGATGTGAGTCTGTTCTTTGTTTATGAAGTGAATGGTGATGAAAATGGAACATAAAAAGTCCTAAATCAATCGACTGTAGTTCTGTTTCTTTATTCTAAACGTAACAATAATCCTTATCAAAATTCGACTGCATTCGAGCTTTACTTCCATCTGATAGATCCTGCTACGTCTTTTTTCAGGGGCTAACTTCAGAGATGTTGTCACTGCTGGAAGAGGAACGTTGAAGCGAAAGAAACAAATGCGACAATTCCTGGAAGCGCAAGATCGAGATTACGAGGATGATGTTTTCGAATCAACGCCATACAGAAATCGAAAGAAGCGCATCAAGGTTTGATAAACTTTAAACATTTACAGTAATCAAGGTTCATTTAGTTGGCGGGAAAATGCGTGACCCTGTGATATTTTGTGACCCTGTGATATTTTGTAACCCTGTGATATTTTGTAACCCTGTGATATTTTGTAACCCTGTGATGTTTTGTGACCCTGTGAGACCATGTATCAGAATTTAGCGGGATAAAACTGCTTGAAAAAGAAGGTCCACGTGATTAATATTCAGGATCTCATTAGAAATTAGGCCATTTCTTTCAGCAACTAGATAAACCCTAATAAAACACGCAAGGGTGCTTTTAGCTGTTAAAGATTTATTTTTTGGTTGATTTGAAACAAATCATTAGAAATATATAGAAAATATAGTTAAGAGTATCACGGATTGATGATATCATAGGATAATTGTATTAGTAATACAGTGTATCACGAGTGATGATATCATAGTGATAATTGTATTAGTAATACAGTGTATCACGGATTGATGATATCATAGTGATAATTGTGATAGTAATACAGTGTATCACGGATTGATGATATCATAGTGATAATTGTGATAGTAATACAGTGTATCACGGATCGATGATATCATAGTGATAATTGTATTAGTAATACAGTGTATCACGGATCGATGATATCATAGTGATAATTGTATTAGTAATACAGGTATCACGGATTGATGATATCATAGTGATAATTGTATTAGTAATACAGTGTATCACGGATTGATGATATGATAGTGATAATTGTAGTAGTAATACAGTGTATCATGGATCGATGATATCATAGTGATAATTGTATTAGTAATACAGTGTATCACGGATTGATGATATCATAGTGATAATTGTGATAGTAATACAGTGTATCACGGATTGATGATATCATAGTGATAATTGTATTAGTAATACAGTGTATCACGGATCGATGATATCATAGTGATAATTGTATTAGTAATACAGTGTATCACGGATTGATGATATCATAGTGATAATTGTGATAGTAATACAGTGTATCACGGATTGATGATATCATAGTGATAATTGTATTAGTAATACAGTGTATCACGGATCGATGATATCATAGTGATAATTGTATTAGTAATACAGTGTATCATGGATTGATGATATCATAGTGATAATTGTAGTAGTAATACAGTGTATCATGGATCGATGATATCATAGTGATAATTGTATTAGTAATACAGTGTATCACGGATTGATGATATCATAGTGATAATTGTATTAGTAATACAGTGTATCACGAGTGATGATATCATAGTGATAATTGTATTAGTAATACAGTGTATCGCGGATTGATGATATCATAGTGATAATTGTATTAGTAATACAGTGTATCACGAGTGATGATATCATAGTGATAATTGTATTAGTAATGCAGTGTATCGCGGATTGATGATATCATAGTGATAATTGTATTAATAATACAGTGTATCACGAGTGATGATATCATAGTGATAATTGTATTAGTAATACAGTGTATCGCGGATTGATGATATCATAGTGATAATTGTATTAGTAATATTTTGTGAATGGCTTTGTACCATATTTTGACTGTTCCAATTCATCCCAAAATATTTCTCACGAGTTTTCCTAAATTGTATGCTAGACTCTATTGTCCTGCTCAGGCTACAAAATCCAATTTCACTTATGAACTTTTCATGTCTCGTTGTATAAAAGTAAAAATACCCTAATAATCTAAAATACTCTTAAAGCTGAATCGCGTTAATAAACTATTTTCTTTTCGTAGCTGCCTATTGACCCAAGCAAATTCTCGATGGTATTCGACTCAGACGATTTCTCAGACGGAAACAACAGCATGTCATCTTCGCCGGCATTTTCGTCATCAGATTCTGATATAAGTTTGCCTGCTGCAAGCATCCTATGTTCTGCTGACAGGTAATGCCGCTGACAGTTTTAGAAATATGATTTGAGCCCCATTTGATACAACATTCGTCTCTAGCTTATCTCACATGCCATCTATCCTCTAATAAGAGCCCTCGGCGCTTAAAATGTTGTGGATACTGTGAGAGGATTGGGGAGATGTACGTGAGCGATATATCCTCAACGGTAACATAAACTTTATTTTATGTTTGGTGTCGTTAGGAAAATCTAATGCATGGGAACGACGAAGCATGAGACTTAAAAGAAACTGCAACTGTTATGAATCTGTGAAAGACTCTGGCATCCATAGATTTTTACAATATTTGCTTCATAATTATTTAAAAATGCAGTTTACTTTTCTCGCTCATTTTAATGCCTCATCTTTTAACGCTAGTTTATTCTCCTGGTCCTTTTTTTAATTCCCAGTAAATAGATGAAAAATTTGTATATATTTAGTTTGCTAGAGTTTCACTGCTCTTTTTCATACGTTTGAAACTTAAGAAGAAGCAAAAATGTCAAAGAAATTATTTTCTGTTGTAGGGACAAGGCCGATGCATACATGCTGAGATATGAAAAAATGCGCAAGAAGATGCCACTCAATGCCGAGATGCGAAATGTGAGTAAAAGTGTCTAGATCACAGTTAGCTGCCTTTGGAAGTTACATGAGCTGAGGAATTTTACACCCACTGTGTTTTTGGGATGTTAAAAAAAGGATCAAATTAAAGGCCGGAAAAGTTTTCAACTTCCCTTCAAGAAAAATACATTGGAAATAAGATTGCCCCTTTCTAAATGGAAAGTAAATGATCGAAGAGCGTAGCAGAAATGAGATGAAAAATAAAGGAGGGATATTTGAGGCCCGGGGGGCTGGGCTAGTGGCGTGAAGGCTCGGTATAGAAAAGCTGGGCAGAAGATTGTGAAGTTTGGCTTGTAGATTGTGAAGATTGTTGAAGAACCCAAGATCCAGACTGCTATAGGCGATAACGTAATTGACCCAAGGCAAGATAACATCGATGTTTTTAGGCATGATACAAAAAGTTATTCTGGGAATTCTTCCTCTAAGTAACTGGTAATATAGTGTCAATAAAACCACATTTTCTACTCGAGCAGTGCTCTGACTGCCTTTTTATTTTGTTTCAGACAAAAGACCGCACAAATACAAAGAAAAACCAAAACGGCGTGCTGGGCTTAAGTCCATCTCAGGTCTTTTCTACCAAAGAAAAATATGATAATGATGAAGACAGCTTAGAGAACGATGACTACTTCGAAGATGAAGATTACAATTATTAAAGTTGAAGACTTGCAAGAATCGCCGTTTGAATATATTTATTTAGATGTGTTTTAGGGGCGTGGGTAGGATTATTCGGGGGTGGAAACTGATGATAAGGGGCACAAAATACTCCGCTTACATAATGTTGAGCACCAAAGGGGCACAATTCCTTCTGGAATTAGGGTCTGAGAAGGACAAGACCCCTCGGTAGGGGCCAGAGGGCAAAGCACCAGATGTCCCCAGGAGCCTGTTTGTGGCGAAACTTTCTTTCAAATTCTAAATCCAATTTACAAGAAATTCTCATGTTTCTCGCATAAAGTCTCTCCTACTGCCTATTGCCATGTTTTTTGGCTTGAATACATTTAATATTATGTATTTATCATTTCCTGTGATAAATTTTGCATTATCATTTTACTTAAACTCCACTAATGATATCTGTACAGATCTATTCGCTTACAAATATTATAATTTTGGCTTCGCTTCTGTTAATTCGCTGAAGCGAATAAAGGTGCTGATATTAACTAGTGAGTTGGATTTCTTTGGATAATCCATTCATAATAGGTCTTCCCAACATGTTCCCCAAATTCATTAAGGACTGAAAAATAAGATAATTATCAAAGAACGTATCTTGCAGACTGAATTGTGACAGCCCACCCTCTTCTCTATTCAAACGTGAATGAGCACTTTTTGACCAACCCTGTGTTTTCATTGTGACATTTATGCAGACAGTTTTTCCAACTTTACAAATTGATATACAAGAATCGACAAATGAACATCCCTGCTGATAAAAACGTTACTTGCTAGGAAAATTAGATGTTGCTCTTTATCGTTTTACTTTATATTTATATCTTAGTCTGTTTTACTCGTGCACATAACATAAATAAAAATCATGAATTTTAACTCATATTTTCAAAGGTTTGAATCAAGATATTTTCTTTGTTTAAAGAGTCCAGAATTGTATGGTTTCAAGTACATTTGATAAAATTATTCCCTTTAAGTACATTTGATAGACCCCTTTCCGCTGTCCATGGCCATGCCTTGACTTTGGTAGCTCGAGGTAACAGTTCAAAGATCCACGCTTTTTCAGTGAGCCAAATTATGAACAAGACTTGATTTTGAACGCTGAATCCCAAAGCGTTTGTAAGAGCCTCAAAATTAGTCAAAAGTTAAGAACAAATTAAGAACAAGCTGAGGCTGAGCTAATTTAAAATGCAATTTCAAACAACGTTTTATCTCCAAAACGAGGAATTTTAGCCGTGTCTTGATGACATGTCACTTTTTTGGCAAACGGACCAGAACACCTCCACAGAGCGCAATAGTAATTGCACTGCTTGCACCATAATAATTTAAAAACAGCCAGCTTGAACTGGTTTTTATAAAAAGATTGTTAATTGCAAAAATCATGTCACACTGCCAAGGTATAGCTTCAGTGCCATCAGGCAATAAAAACCGCAAGAATTGAGAAATGCTAATGTACCAATCCCAGAATCAAGTTATGTAAACTTGTAGCCTCTGCCCGATGTTTTCTTACGTCATTGCAGATGACCCGGAAGATTATCATGAGAAGAACTTCCGCTTTTGAAGTAGAAAGTGTTTTGTTCGCTCGAGTCCAAAATATTTGGAAGAGATCGTGAATGAGAATGGAGGAAGCAATTCATGCAACGCTGCTCTTCTTAGTTTTAATCACTGTTGCAAACTGTCATTTTATCGTGCCTGTACAGAAAGGTTAGTTGAATCGATTTTTTGGCTCTAAAAAGGTTGTCTCTGTTCTAGGAATGTATCAAAGACAAGCGTCAGAGCCCCTGTATAAAGTTGCGTATAAAATAATCTTTTTACAAATTCATTTTGATAAACTGTTTTTACCAACATTTCATGGATGCAGAAAAATGAGTCAGGAAGTCTGTTTGAAAAAGCAGGTGGCTTCAATTAACAATGTTGCATGGCTATGGAGCAGTTAACTTTGTGGAGTAGCAAGGCTAGAAGCTAGATTATAATTTTCAATTTACTTTGAAAATCTAAATACTACATACAATTTAAACCCTGGCCAAACGACTAAACATTTCACTCAACATTTGTTTCGTGAGGTTGAGCATAGTTTAGCGAGGGAGCAGGGGCGCCTGCACAAGATTAAGGCAGGAGGGGCAGCGTTGGTGCTAAAGGGGCGAAGAGTATTATTTTTTCCACTACCATAATCGATTATTTGTGAGGGGTTTGATATGATGGGTGCAAAACAAAATATTGGCATCGACCTGTTCCACCCATACAGCTGGGGTTTTTCCAATCAAAGACTCTAAACATATTCATAGGTTGACAAAATTATCCATGCAAGTGAGTATTAAATGGCCTCGTCATTATAAGAGAAGTTTGGTTTTACGAAAATCATGGCAATTGAAAATGGGCTGGCTGTAAGACTTTGATGTTCCGCTTATTGCCCCTGTGGTTGCAGAATCATTAAGAGTGAAGAATGGAAAATAATAATCACAATAAGCCGATGTCAATCAAATAATTGTTTACAACAGCATGTTTTTTATTATATAATTTTATTATATTATTTCATTATATTTAAAGTAAGCATGAACTTAGCCTAACATTCTTGTTCTGATGATGGGCAAAATAGTCAGTATCTTATAAGAAAATGTTCCTTTTTAAGTTTATTATCATTTTCTAGAAAATAATTTTCCGTTATCAATGACCGAATACAAAAAAGGAGTATTTTTATTTTTTTTTAATTTCTTATGGGAATTACCTTAGCGAGAGTGGCTAAGCTAGTCATGAATTATCTACAAGATTCTTTAATCTTTTGTTAGGAGTGAATATCTAAGGGCACTGCTTGCCCCCTCTGCCCCTCCTGGAAGAGGGGGCAGGAGGGGCAGCTGCCCCTGTAGCCCCTCCAGGGTAGGCGCCTCTGCCTGCGAAGGTGACTAAACCTTTCACTAAACTTTACTCAACATTTTTGAACTGTGATCTGTGTAGAACGCTGTGGGGTTGTAGGGGGTCTTGCATAGAAATTTTCTTTCTGTTTGTTTTGTTGTATGACTTCACAGTGCAAGAAGTGGATAAAAATAAGAATTTGATAAATTAAAGAGAAAAGAAAATACTTTCTAGCACATCGATAACAAAGTTGACTGTTGAAGAAGACACAGTTGCCTACAAGGAGACGAAGCTTATGTCTCATAAAGGCATTCTAGAGATTTTAGGTCACGTAGAGACAGGAAAACCGAGAAAAACCGTGGAAAACCTTTGGATTCCCAAAGCTACCGCGCCTGCGCTAGCACAACAAATGTTTAATTGGTGGCAAAACGACTAAACATTTGCTAAATACACTAAACAACGCTAAACATTTTTTATCAGAATAAAACATTGCTCAAAAACAGAAACAGCACTTGATCAGAAACAACACCCAACACGACTAAATAACACTAAACAGGGTGGCAAAAAGAATAAACTTTTCACTAAAGCCCTGGCATAACAACCAAACATTTCACTAAAAAAAGTTGTGTGAAATGTTTAGTGGAAAATTTAGTCGTTTTTCCAGGGCTTTGTTATCAATTCTTTTGTTTTCAATTAACAATCTACACTTTCAATTGTCGTCAGACAATCATGCCCTTCCGACCTCCCTGCAGTACTCACTGGCGGTACTGCTCCCATGTCATCCCGGATCATCATCCGCACATGTTATTAAATGAAGCTTGAAGGCTGGCAATAAAATAGACCTTTTATAAAGCTTGCTTACCTTTATTTGACATTAAACTTTTTCCTTGTGCAAAGTGAATGCAAGATCGAATTTCCTCATAAATGCGAAACTGTAATGAAAAACCACACAATACGAACTACTCAAAAGGTTTCGCTTATTGAAAGATTATGGGGATTAAGAAAGAGAAATCAAGAAAATAAAAGAAGTAAATAAAATGGGTGGAAAGTTTACTATCGATACGAATCTACAATGAAACGGGGAAACGACAATCTAGATGTCAGAAGATGGAGTCTCTGAAACGATTTTCAAGCAGTTGGAAAACAATTGAAAATTTGGCGTTTACTGAAATAGTAATGAGGCTTTGATCAACTCTCTCCATTCATTTGGACTGAAATGTCATGCATGCTTGGGGAAACTTGAAATCGTTTACATTCTTTTTTTACAAGAACACGAGCCTCAAAATTGGTCAAAAGCTAAGATCAAATTGAGAACAAGCTGAGGCTGAGCTTCTGCAAAATGCAATTTTGAACAACGTTCTTTCTCATAATCGAGGATTATTAGCGATGTGTGGGTGCCTTTTCGGTGATTGCTAAAACTTGTCAGCAAACTCATTCTCTTTGTTGGCAAATGATGCCAGATACTTCATTAACTTATTATTTCAATAACAAATAACAAATTACTTCACTTACATTACTTCAATAACAAATTAAGAACAATCCAGCCTCGGGTTTTCGAAAAAATTAGGAACAGTCAACCTGGAAATAAATATACTGTTTTTATATAAAAAAGTGCATCACATCTAAAAAACAACTTTCAACGTAAAATAACATAAACAGCATGATCCGGTTTTGAATCAATGAATAATCAATAAAACTAATAATGCTTAGAAACTAATGCTCTTTCTCTATTCTACATCTCTTTATATACACCCCTTCATAATAAACAAACAATATCAAATAATTACATAGAACATTTCGAAGTAGCTCCTTGTATTTCTTGCACGTTGTCCGAACCCCAGCGCCCTTTGAGCAGGGGAAACGAGTTTTTTGACTACAATAATTCAGCTTTTCCAATTTTTCTCTCTCAAAATTTCACGAAAAAGGTTCAAAACTATTTTTTTCACGTGGCTTAAAAGGGCACTGGTTAAGTTGATTTGCAATTCAAGGCATACTGTGCCTGTGGGGGCTCATTCACCTTAACAACCGAAAGTCTCCTCTAAAAAGGGACATTAGAGACAGGTTTAATTCTTTCCTGGCCTGCATGCAGACTCTTGATTTCTGCAGAGGAGAGGAAAAAAGCAGAGAAAAAGCACCAAAAAATGTATTTCTCCTTAATTTCTATTTTCTGCTCAACGTCTAACAAGAGTTGAAATTCACTAAATATCAGATAGAAACAAATTTAAAAAGAAGTTCGTTAGGATCAAATCTGTTTTATCACCTTGATTTTCAAGAAACGCAGAGCATAAAAAAACCGTGAATTGCCAATTTTCCTCGTTTTGCAATAGTCTTAACATTCAGTGATATGTAGCGACATTCAAGCGTTGTATCGATAAGGGCACACCAACTCTTGTTCATATAGCGCCCCCGTTGCGCCTCTGCTGCTGCATCACAGAAATCACCAACTCGACTTATGGCCTCATTTTCAGAAAATTCTCCAAATCTAATTATACGACTTTTTGAACTTAAATTTGGTTTCATCACCATCATTTTAGGCCAGATACAATTTTTCATATTGTTTGTGCTTGTATTTTAGATTATACAGGGAAATGAAGTTTGAAAACTTGTAAGGGATTTGACCGAAAAATCATTCTGTGTAAAACTTTACCCCCCCCCCCTACTCGCAGTGGCGTAGCGTCTATGTATGCTACGCTTGCGGCGCAAGCGTAAAAATTTATAGACAAATTCTAAAATTCTTGCAACACTTTCAATGCATAACAATTTCCGCAATAAACGGCTTCTCTTTTTTGTCATGAGCAGCATGCAGTGAACTCTAGCGCCAACAGGCCAATTGACCCCAAATTGGCTATTTTTCCAAGTTAACAGATCGCTAAAAATTATGAAATTCGAAAAATCTGAAAAACTGAAGCCCCTCCACATCACTCTTTTTGCCTGTCTGAAATAAAAGAAACATGTGATGCTCCAGTGCAGCTTCAGTGCAACTCGAGAGAAGCTTCTGAGAGAAGTGAGAATTTTCCGGACTAGAGCTTGCGGTCGGCGTGAGCGCAAGCCTTCCCAAATATTTGATAATCCACAACATTTTTCTACCTATAAGCTGCTTTTTGCGAATACTCTTTGCGTGATACATCATTTCAAATCCAATTATTTTCCTTTCTTTACTTTGTGACTGTTGAAAAGGGAAAAAGTTTCGTCAAAGTGGGGTCAGAGTCTATTTGTCATGATCCGCATTCCGTAATTCAAGTCAAAAGGCTTGCCAGTATAGTCAGAATTTACGGACCAGGGCATGCGGTAGACCTGAGCGCAAGCCTTGCTAAATACATGATGATTTGCCGGGACTAACTTTCTGAAACTTTACACATGGAAGCATCTTCAATTCTAACAACTCTCACAGCTCACTATTTTCATCTTAGTTAACTATGAGAGAAAAAATGAGCAGAAACTGTTGCTCCTGTTCGCTTAGGCTCTGCAGTGTGTTAACAATTTCGCAATGTGGAGAGCTCCTTCTTGCGGGAATCCCCAGCTTCATTATAGCATAAAAAATTCTTACATTAGGTGGGCATTAGGTGATGCCTTTTCTTGAGGAATATGAATAAAAATAAAATCTATTGCAATTTGCAAAGCAGTTTTAGCACTAGGAGTTATTCTGAAAAGTCTTGCTAAACAATTGAGCTTTTTTCAAAAACTTTCGCATGGGTGATAATTTTTCCCTTGGCCCCCCTTCACTTTCCAACCTCTATCGGAGCTTCTGATGCAAAGAATAGACACGTTGATTGGTTAGAATTAGAGTACAAATGATTTGTTACTTTGAAAATCAAAATTTGCTATCACGATTATCATTAATTACCGCTTGTATTTTTTAGAAACTGAAATTACCATTACATTTATTCAACATAGCCGTATATTTTATGTTACCGCATGCCTAAGTTCTGCGCTCACGCGTTGGGGAGATGAGATGCAGCAAGTTCTTGAGTATGAAATGAGTACCCCCGTTTTGGGGCCATTGCACATGCGTATTATATATTCTGAGTCAAAGAGGCATAGAACCCCCCGAGAAAGGAACAAACATAACTTTGCGATCGAATTTCAAAACTAAGTAAGCGGTTGGATGTGTTGGAGCTTATCATTCACGTTGACATGGGAGTTTGATCATAGCTGAAATATCTTTCATACTGAAAAACCTGCCTGGATTCGCTGTTGTTTCATGTTTATTGTTTGTATTAAGGCTCACTTTACTTCCAAAGGTAAGCAAAAACATCGAGAATTTCATGACGCGGCCTAAGTGTTTACAGAGAGTAGACATTCGATGTAAACAATACAACCTGATTTTAACTGACCTCCGACACTAGAGCCAGACCAAGGCAACTAAAACAACAGACACTGTACCTTCAATTCAATTATTCAAATTTTTAAGGCGGAAAGCTTCGAATTTTGATCTTCTCCCTATGACTACATCTACAAAAAGTTCCGAGGAAACCCCTAAATGAAAAATAAACGAAAATACGTCCTTAAATTATATGCGTAAAACTCCTCAGAAATTACTAAAATTACTGTTCTCGACATGTTTGCGAGATCTCGTTGTGTTCCCTGGCTTTTGTTGCTGAGGATGGCCCGGGATTTTGTAGGGATAATTCGTTAGAATACGCATGCGTCCCTACCCCTCGACGTTGATTGGCTCGAACAAATCATTAAGCCTTTTGTCTTAAACAATAGGAGTGAGATCTCATCTCCCCAACTCAAATCCTTTATAAAATTTTTATCTTTATGTCGTCATAAAATCAATATCGTGAGCAATACCATAATGAAAACTTTCAAGTAGACTAAAATCATTGATCTCAATCCGAATCTGAGGTCAAAAATTGGGTACAAAAGAATTTGAAGAATTTTTCAAAATAAGGCCGTAAGTCGAATACACTCATTTTTTCATAAGAAACAAAGGTCGATGTTGAGTACTCCAGTTTCATAATGTTCTGGAAATTTCAATACACATTTTTTCTTAAGAGTTTCTTAATTATGATGTCATGAATGATGTTATAAAATATTCGTGTTCTTTTTTATCACGTCAAGGGATTCGCTTCCGTTCCGATGCTGTATTTAGATGTGGGAAGTATATTTTTATCCCTTGTGTCTTAATTTCTAGGCCATCAGGGCAATCATGTCCTTGGATTTTACAAAATTTCGTTGTTCTCAGTTTTATCACGATTTAATAGTTTCTTAATTTGTTTGCTTCGAGTGATGAAGTTTCTTGATTTTTACTGACTGTCCAGTTTTTTATAAAAAAAATAGTGTAGGTGCATAGGAACAAGGCAGAATGGGGCAGAAGGACAGAAGGGGACATCTTGCTAGTAGAATAGGAACAATTCCACAACAAGGATATCTCGCAAATGTAAATAGTAGCAAATTAAATTTGTCTGTTCCTCCCTAGGCATCAACGGAACAAACTGTGGGGAACTCCCAGTGCCCCCTGAGAACAGCAAAATCGTCAAAGCTGTAAACGGCAGCTATAAAGTTCTTTGCAACGAAGGTTTCTATCGTGTTGGCTACCCAAAGTTGGTTTGTAACAATGTGAATGGCGAATGGAAAGTATCCGCAATATGTCGCAGTATGATATTGTTTTTTTTTCAATCTATCTTGAAGCCAAGTTGAAACGAGTTCATTTTGTTTAAAGCTATACTGATACGAACGGTTCCCAGACACTGATCAGTGTTCCCAGGCTATTCGCGTGACCTCGTTATCGCTGTGGCCGCGAACATTTCCTAAATTTATAAGCGCATTAATGCTTTTCGCTGATAAAATGATTGCAAAAATTTGAGGGCATTCCCATTTACTCTGATGAAGCCCTGTATGCCGGGGGCGGAATATCAGTAATCGTTTAATTTAACTTATTATAAAAAATTTTATCTCATCATATTGGGTTCTCGTTGTCGTATTGCTGTGTTCCTGACTCTCTTTAATATCACTCACTACTCATTGCAAGATTCATAGAATCCGGCGGACAGCCTACCCTGCGTTTGTTTCTTCTTACACATTTTGAATAAAGCCTCGTCTCTTATCTGACTCAGGTGGCAACTGTATTTCTACTATCAAATACCCCCGGCATCTACTTGACTTTCCTGTTGCTTTTATTAAGAGAGGTGTTTAATCGACGGAGACTTGTTTTGAAACAATGTAACAATAAACAACAGATGTTGTAAATTGTTAACTGATCAGTTTGTTTTCTATTATTGGGCATTTGTATCCCTTGGTATTGTATATTTTCCGAACAGAAAAAGCATGTGGTCATCCAGGTGAGCCAAAGAACGGGAAAATAACAGTGGGTTCGTACCAGGTAAATGCTACTATTTCGTACTACTGCGACGAATGCTTCTACTTGGATGGGCCTAAGGACAGAAAATGCCTCAGCAATGAAACTTGGAGTGAAGAACTGCCGGTCTGCAGACGTAAGTGTCACAGGTCTTGAGCTTTACCAGTCGGTTTGAAATTGCAGTTTATTAGTTTTGGTTACGTCAACGAGCGTAGCCGTTCGCACGCTGTTAAAATTCGTACTCGTACGAGTTATTTTTAAGCCGGATTAAGCGAATATTGAAAGTTGAAAATATTTAGGCCCCACCTACAGAGATAAAATGAGCAAAGATTCTAATTTTAAATATATTTTCAGTGAATTTTCGAAGTTATGTAACCCAGTCGCTAACTAATTGAAACTTAGTTTTTCTACACAAATAAAATGAAGGGCCGCTTATAGTCCAGTCATGTGAAATGGGCGGGGTCAGGTTTGAAATGCTCTCAAAAAATCATGCCTTTCCTTTTCTAATATTTCCAATGCCCGTAGTCATTTGTTACGTCATCAAAACTCTGTTTCATTTAAGCTATCGACTGTGGACATGTTGTGAAAGACTGGGTATTCGAAAATGGTGATGTACATGGGCAGGATTCGTATTGTGGTTCCTACATCCTATTCAACTGCAAAGAAGGATTTGAGTTACAAGGAGACCACAAAATTGTTTGCCAAACAGATGGTAAATGGAGTGGCAAAGTACCGGTTTGCGTAGGTAAGAAACTCTTTCAGATTTTATGGTTCGACTTTCTCTCCTTGCTTCATTGCAAATGAATTTTTCATAACAGGCTAACATGATTATGATGGAAACGATGAGGATGAAGATGATTATGATGATGATGCCGACGATGATGGCTCGAAATACAGTTTGTTATTGAGGCTATATAGAAAATTATCAGATTACAACTTTACATAATTATCTTGCTTAATTCTGATATAAAATAACAGTAGGTCATTGAATGGTTCCCTCCGAAAAAAACAAAGCAGAAAACTTCCGAGATCGGTCTACGAGGCTACGTCCGTTTCTTCGCCACTGAGAGCGAGGTCGGCGATTGGTGCCTCGGCCTAAGTAGCTAGCTTTAGGACATTTAGGACAGGTTGCACGTATCTTCTGTAAAATGGAAATGGGCACGAGTAGCTCTCTTTTCTCAACATCCACGCGGAAACATCAATCCTTCTCAACCAAGAAAAACAATTCTCACTTCTTTCCAACCCTGGAAATCAAACACTGAGTGGAAATCCAAATGATTTTCGCAAACAACGACATTCCTTGCTGATAGAATTTCAATCAAATGGTCCTTCCATGCCCCTTTTCTTACATACACTCCATTTAGTTCAGCTATATTAAAGCCCTTTTTATGGCCCTCTTTTTAATTCCCCTCTTTTCAATGCCCCTCTTTTTAATGTTCCTCTTTTTAATGTCCCTCTTTGTATGCCCCTCTTTGTATGCCCCTCATCTAACAATCCAGGGATTTGTTTTGGCTTGGTTTCATAACTTCATAACTGAAGAAGGTAAAACAACATACAAAGTCACGCTGAAGTCACACTCTTCATTTATTCCCTAGGTCTTCATAAAACACTCAAGCCCACCACTATAGGGGGGAGTATGGGGTGCTACACGCCCTTTGAAAAAAATTCCATTGCAAAAACGAGGAGTTTTTTTCCGGGCCTGTAAACACTGGACGAGAAACACCATCAACAACGAGAAACACTATCAACAACGAGAAACACCAAAAGTTAATGCCTTCATTGACAATTTGTGCGAACAAATTATCAACTACACACTTCTGTTAATGTATCCTTGTATTGACGCCCCTCCTTTGGAATGACAGAATTTAATATTTGATACATTAAACAGATGATTAATCCTAAGACTACATAAAAGGACAGCAAAACAAATGTTTGGAGGGGGAATGGATGTTCGGAGGGGAATGAATCTTCAGAGGAGGAATGGATGTTCGGAGGGGAATGAATCTTCGGAGGGGGAATGGATGACGGGAGAGGGGATGAATATTCGGAGGGGGAATGGATGTTCTGAGGGGAAATGGATGTTCAGAGGGGGGATGGATGACGGGAGGGGGATGGATGTTCAGAGGGGGGATAGATGTTCAGAGGGGGAATGAATGTCCGGAGAGGGAATGAATGTCCGGAGGGTGAATGAATGTCCGGAGGGGGAATGAATGTTCAGAGGAGGGATGGATGTTCGGAGGGGAATGAATGTTCGGAGGGGAATGAATGTTCGGAGGGGAATGAATGTTCGGAGGGGAATGAATGTTCGGAGGGGAATGAATGTTCGGAGGAAAATGAATGTTCGGAGGGGAATGGATGTTCGGAGGGGAATGATCATTGCACCTCTACTGAATCTAAGAACGGTTTTCTTAATTTCAGAAGCAGAAGTGGAGAAACGTCCTCCCATGACTTCAGAAAGCGGGAAATGTTATGGACCGAATTACCCAGAAAATGGATATATTTCGAAAACATTTCCAGAAGAAGTTTACAATCCTGGTCATATCATAGTATTTCATTGTTTAAGTCCATATGAAATAATTGGCAACCCCAAACTTGTTTGTTTGGAAAATGGAAGCTGGAGCCATAAACCACCGACATGCAAACGTGAGTATAATGAACACAATTCTAGGCACACTTTGGAGCATGAAATATAAGGCACTAGTGCCCTTGAAATCTTTGAATTTTATGAAAGGATTTTCTTGGCTTATGTACAAACCACAGTGTTATCTGTTCTCTCCACTTGCTAAAATCAAAATTTCCCAGTATCTATAACACTTTCTTCCCCTCACAATTGCCCCGAAATCTAAATTTTCGAATCCTATGGATGACTATGATCATTGTTGGTTTGGTTTTAGTTGCTTTCTGCAGAGAGAGCAAGGCTAAAAAACCTGATGGAGGTAAAGTTATCGGTGGAAACAGAATCGGGAACGTCCGTGCGTTCAGTTGCGATGAAGACAGACAGCTAATTGGCCCGTCTTGGATACAATGTCAAGAAAATGGCGAATGGTCTGCCAAGCCCCCAGTTTGTAAACGTACGTATTTCAGTATTCATGCAAACAACAGAAACGAAAATTAATTTATTTTGATTTCTGGAACTCTTGACTCCTTTTACTGTTCAATGATAGTTCATTTTATGAGGTTTCGAAAATTCTTTCAAAAAACCAGCACCTAACTTTGCACCAGTCCCTTTTTAGCCTATTGTGATGACAAAAGTTGTGATCTGGGCACTAAATGCGTGTACGATGTACCCCGAGCAGAAACGAAGTGTGTTTGCAAGGAGCCTTTGGACTGCACGTCGATATTCGAGCCCTTATGCGGTTCCAATGGTGGTACCTATAACAATAAATGCTTAATGAAGGCGGACAGCTGCAGAAGAAACATCACAATCGACGTTGTTGCAGAAGGCTTTTGTCGGCCAGGTAATATATTATAAATTATTCAGTATAATTAATTTGACATAAAAAATCCTGCATAAAAATTAGCTCAGTTATGCTTCTATGATGGTGTCTCTTGTTTCGTCTCGTTCTAAACAGAATATGAAAATGTGGAAATAGAATAGTGTTGCATGACACCATTTTTACAGTGATTACCAAATTCCTAAGGTATTTCATGCTGCTCTTTCAGGCTATGGGATCCAAATTTAAAAGTTCTAAAAACAGATTTTTGCGACGTCTACACTCTACAACTCTATACCATATTATTTTCTCTCTTTTACGCATTTTTGGCTTATTTTTCTTTGACAGCCTTTGCTCTCCTTCATTTTTTTGGGTTAAAAGAGGTTCTTGGCTACACAATTTTAGAATACGACTGGGACCAATCGAAAACAGTAGGAGCTCTCAGCCACCGTCAATTCCTCAAAACTGAACTAATATCCAGTTCCAAATTACAAATAAAACACACCGAGGTGGTTCTAAAAACGGTATCAGGAAAAGAACAGATTCCTCAATTCCACATAAAAGTTTCATTGTTTTCAAAATGCACCTGAAGATCCATTTTACATTGAATTTTAAAGAAACAACTGCAAATTGCATGTCTTTATACCACAGCTTAAGCAGTGCTAGGACGACTGAAGGGTACAGAGGAGGCAGCCTCTCACAGGCCCCTATTTTGTGATTTCGATGGACCTATATACTACTAGACATTCAGCTATCAGAGAGACAAACCTCTTGATCCTTATAAAAATAGCTTTATTATTTATGTTGACATGCTTGTGTTTTTGTAACCTTCATTCTTGAATCTTTTCGCCCCAACAAGCTGGCGTGTGCGGAATCAATCCGGCAAGTCTGTGTCGAGGATACTTTGAGATTTTCTACTTTAACAAGGAAACACGAAGTTGTGAGTTCCAGACCGTTGGTGGATGCCATAGGAGTGGATGGAATGGGTTTGGAACGTTGGAAAGCTGTGAACAAGCGTGCATAGGTAATTCGATTCATATCCACTAGCTTTTTATCACTTTATCTAAAGGGAATCACTTGTATGAAGCAACGGATTTACCGGGAGGTGTGTGGGTGCGACACCCCTTCAATATTTATGTGTCCTTTAGTAAATTTGCTTCGATTTGGTAAGAACAACTTTTTGGCAGTCAGTGGCGACAAATGCAAAAATTGCTTTATTTATCTTGTCTTCTTTTCTTGCGTATTTATATTAAAAGCATGAAAAATACATTATTTTCCAGTCCTTGTTGATAAAACCCCCCTCCAATCCTTGCTGATTAAATCCGTCCCTGCTTCCATGGCTTTAACAAGATATAAGGCAGGGAGTCCAACACAAGTTTGAAGAGGGAGGCGGGTGCAAATAGGAAAATTAGGTGTACTGAAGATCGTTATTCTCAATTAACAATTTGGGGCATGCCCTTACGCCGGAGGACCTTGAAGGGCCAAGCAATTCAATAAAGCTAAGTTTAGTTACTGAGAAGTCATTGGTGACAAGGCACACTCTAAAACACTAGTTGTAAATCTAAAACAGTACTTAATAATTTCACTAAAAGAAAAGCGTTAATGATGGAGCTTCACATGGAAAAGAGGGTCAAAAAGGTTTCATGCTCTGCAAAATACTCTTTTATGAAGGAAACCTCAAACATCAACTTCTTTAGGATACTTTGTGTATTGAAAATTTGTGGTACTTCATTTCAGACTCACCAAAACATGGCCCACTGTGCAAAAGACCACAAGAAACAGGACCTTGTACAGCCTTTCATACTCGTTGGTATCACGACCATACAGACGGCCAGTGCAAGCAGTTTAAATACGGTGGATGCTTTGGAAATGAAAATAACTTCGCGTCAAAAGAAGAGTGTTTGGATATCTGCTCTTTTTGTTAGTAGCCATATATTTATATATTTTTATATGTATATGCGTTTATACGAATCGTATAACGTCTATTGCCACCAGTCACTTGAAACTATGGTTTAGTTTATACTGTCTAAGTCTGTACAAATTTTTGTTGCCCGGTCGTCACTTTTGATGATGGGGCACAAAATCAAGAATTACAACTTGAAACGGCCCTGGGTACAATGTTAGCAGGGACTTCTGAACAACAAACAGCTTGATCTGCTTATACCACAAATTGAAAGTGCAACAGGATATCACCACTACTATCATTATCTCAAGGCCAGAGAGTTTTCCATTTTCTTTCATTTCCACTCATTCACAAATGTATTCAGTGTTGTCCATTATCTATATCCAGGAAACTTGAATCTCATTTCATTTTCATAATCTGAATAATCAATCCGGTGCCACTAAGCACTGTTTTAACCTTTCCAGGCATGCAAAAAGACATTATCTAAAATATTTTCATCAGATTACACTCTTTTTTATAAGAACCAGTAAATTTAAGTTCAGGCTGATTGTTCTTAATTTTTTCGAAGATCTGAGGCTGGATTGTTTTTAATTTATTCTTAAAGTTATAGGGTGTAAGCAGTGCAATTGCTAGCTTTTCTCCCTGGGCAAGTGGTAACGCCTAATTTGCCAACAAAGTGCGTGAGACAACCTTCATTTGCCGCTATAATATTCACCAAAAAAGCACATGGCTCGAAATCGTCGTTTTGGAGATAAAGCGTTGTTCAAAACTGCACTTTAGAGTAGCTCAGCCTCAGCTTGTTCTTTATTGGTTCTTAAATTAGACCAGTTTTGAGGCTCGTGTTCTTAACAAATTTCTCTTTAAAAAAGTGTAAGCAGGACAGGCTCACCTTGGTTGGTTCCTTGTCACTTCGAGGTGCTTTCAACCATAAGCTGCTCCATCACCCCTTAGCGCAATTATGATACCCCTGCGAACAGCGAACATGCAAAACGTATTTTCTAGGTACACATGTGTCAAGAATGTAGAATCTGTGAAGTGGTTTAATATCAGCATGAATAACAAGATGCTTTTAATAACTCGAAAAAAGGCTCTTATATTTGAGTACCTTGTTTGGTTTAGACAAATATATAATTAGGTGATTGTATCCTGTACCTACTCAGTGGCGGTTTTAGGGGTCCAAGGGGGCCATAACCCAAGGCCCCGCGCTTATGGTAGCCAAAAGGGCCCCGCACCTTAGAAAAAATAGAAACGCTAAAAACAAGGGCCCCGCAGATGTTTTCTGCCCCGGGCCCTGCAGTCCCTAAAACCGCTGCTGTACCTATTTAGGTCGCAAGCAAGTATGGGATGCATCGATCGTTAACTTAAATTATCATAAAGCTGGCAAATTCTACTTAAAAGCTCTGTTAGAATTTGTTTGCAGACAAAACTTTAATTTAACAAATCCCATGACAGGTATCATGTCTTATGGAGTTTGATGAGAATGAAATTATGTTTCAGCTAAGACAACAGAAGCTGCCGTGACAGACTCAAAAATGAAAAGAACGAGCGAAGATATAACAAAATCACCGCCAACAGAAACTCCAATGACAGGCTCAGAAGTCGAGAGAACTGACGCGGAAACGAAAATATTACCGCCAAGTGAATTACCACCCCTTTGTACGCCATGTGATCAAGCAGACCTTTGCACGAGCATCGAGAAAAGTGACTTCGGTAAGAAAAACTAATGTTTCCTGTATGGGAAATTTTAAGTGACTTTCGCAGTTAAAGTTTAGAGGGGGGGACATGCCCTCGTTTCTGAATGATCAATGTTGTGATCCACGCCGTAATTGCGCAATACGGCGATCAGGTCCAAGGGGGGGGGGGGGCTATTACATGTTGACGGCTCCTCGAACATGTTTTTTAATTTTGACTTATGGATTTTTGTGATTCTTTGTTGGATTGCGGCCATTGTCAGTTTTGCGGCTTTAAGCGTGTGTAGTGGGGCTACAGCTACGGCAAAACTCTTATTTTACTTACTCTTAAGACATTATCAGCAAAGTGGTATGTTTTAACAACTTAGGAATGCGGGTTTTTGCATGGCTTGCAACTTGTTCACCCTCGTATTATTAAGCCTCCCTTAAACAAGATGGTGATGGGTTACTTCGGGTGGATAACCTTATGTCATAAAGCATATATAGACTGGCCTAACTTTTCTATCCGCAAAGGTGCACGCTGTTTTGATGGTAAGCATTCTCCCCTTCGATACCCAGGCTATCGGAAACGCATCTGGCTTACTCTTAAAAAAATAATTTTTAACTGGAAAGGTTCACTGTTTACGCATACATATAAAGATCCACAAATGCACTTTTTGTAACAACGGCATTAACAGCCATCTGAAATACTATGATGTTTGCCAAAACATTAATTTCATGGTATTGAAACATTTTGCCGAAAAATGTAAAAAAACGTTTATACGGAGAAGTGTGACTCGGAGTATTTTGTATAGCGTAACCTAAACGCATTAAAGAAGAGTAAACATGCCAATTAAAAACAATTTTTCAGCTTGCGAATGAGGCGAATTTCGCTAGGTCCTTTTACCACAAGGTGGAAATCTGAAGCACTCACTTAGCCCACTACAAGGCACTTTTTAGCAAAGATCGAGCTCCGGTACAATGCAATTTTCCACCATTAAAACGTTTTGAGTGCCCCCTACTTACCCTATGATTTTAAACTCCTTTCAGGGCCCCTGAAGAGGGGGAGACAGTGGGGACAGGGTTTCTATTTTGCAAAAACTTGTGCTATTATTCTTTAACCTAACATTGGCCAACCCCCAGTTTTTCCCATGCATATCAAATATCAGCCTAAATAAATTCACTGATACCAGTCAAACATGAACTACTGAACCAAGGATAAAAAAAGTTTTATGTTTCAGCTTATGTTGGAAAAAGAGTGAAGGAAGATAAAGAAATGTTTGTTTTCAAAGTCACTTCAGTTATCAAGGATTTGAAGAAAATTTCTACTCGGAAAACAGATGTAGCAGTAAAAAAGGTCCCTTCAGATTCTGGGTGTTTCTGTAGTGCGAGCAAAATAAAAGGCTCAATCGTCATAACGGGAAATTACAGAGAATTTGAGAGTGACAGTGTTGAATTGGTTATGACCAACAACGATTACTTTGGAAAGTACTATGGACCTAAGCAGTTGAAATGTCAATAATCTTTGTCGCTGCATTACAATATAAACATTATTCTTTTCGTTTTCGAGTAGAATTTGAGACTATGAACTCAGCATACTTATGTATAAGTTTACCTTATTGTGTTAATAGCAATTAAAGCTAGTGATCATGATTTACACGATTATATTTGTTCATTAGTTCTGATTATATTTGTTCATTAGTTCTGCTCAGTGGCCTAACGCGACCTCTTCCAGACCAGGGTTTGAAGGGTCATCAAAAGTAAAATTTACCAACGAAGACATAGATAAAGAAAAAATTAGTTGCTATTTGACCTACAATCAGGCTATTTTACCAACTAACTATGGGTTTTGTTGATCAACTGAAGGTTTACCGACTAGCTCATGAATGGGCGATGCCACACTCCCAAACCCTGAAATACCCTTACCTACGCCTCTGGTTCTCCTACATCAAATTCAACTTTTAACAAGATCGATCTAGGAGTACAAGATACCATTTGTTGACCAGAGGGCTAACTATATCCTTTATGATATGATAAGAATAACTTAGTTCCCTATTGCCTAGGGCCGAGTCGTAAGTTCTTAAGTTGGAAAATAACATATTTAGAAGGGCGAGTCGTTGACATTGTTATAAGAATGGTACCCTGGGTGCCAGAGCCACAAAATTTCGAACGGGGAAATGAAGTAAGGAGCGGATGCTCCTCCGCTTCTCCGATTGGTTTTCCATTTCCGTGCTCGAAATTTCGTGGCTCTGGCACCCAGGGTATAAGGATGGATTATCTATGTAACATAGCGAGCGTGGTCCCGAGTTTTTGTTACTGGAAACAGTTCATCTAGCTTATCAAAGCAACCAGACACGTTGTGACAGAATGAAGTTTGATAGGGAAATCGATCTTGCCAATAAAACTCAAGATAATTTTATTAACTTGTGGAAGGATCTCTAGTTGATAAAAAGAAAAATGTTAGGGTTATGTGTTGCTGCATTCAATTTTTACAAAATAAGAACAACTGTAATTAATTTTTACCAAATTGCAGTAAATAATGTTTTTAAGAAGAATTTTAAATTATTCAACAAGATCGAATTTTATAGACATTAAAAAGCAAGCACTTGTGAAGGCTTCAGATGGGTGCTATAAGGAAGCTGTTGTCACTACATACATGCAATATCCACAATTCTAAACGAACTTCGTGAAATTTTTGGTGTAGCATATCATTGAATGAGTTGAGATGAAATACAAGTCATAGAATTACAGCCAGTACAAATCAAAATAGACGCCTTTTACCAAAAATTAACACATAAACAAAGTCTATGAGTGAAAAACACTTGCAACATGATAATTGGCAAACTGGTGGGCAACAAACTAAGAAATTGAATTAAAAGACTTGACTACTTTTTAATCAATTCTTTCTTTTGTAAGGCTTTGTTGCTACTTTGTACTAATAGTGTAGATGGATAATAAAAGGTGGTGCCTCACTTTCACAAATATCTACAGGAATGTCTAGCTTTCTGCTTTTCTCTATATCATGTGCTTAATTTTCAAGTTTTGATAAAAACACTTTGAAAATGCAAAACTTATCAGTAATAGTCATTTATACAAATTTGAATGACATTTCATCCTACAAGCCAATGATTGATGATGGCACACAAATTATCAATGAATTTTCTTATTCCTTAACAAGAGTATTTTAGAGTAACTGCCTATCAAAATCTATGACATGCGTTTCGACTTAATTTCAATTTTAATTTCATAAACAAAATAATAGTTTCAACCTGAGTTTTATTTACCAGATTAAGGATTATGCCTGTTTTACAGTAGCATTTGGGCTTCTGAATAAACAAGCTTTGTTTTATCAATAAAACCCAGTTAATCTTAGAGACAGTTCAGATGAGTAACAATTGCATCTCACACCAAAAATTTATGTTTCATGACGATTTGTCAGTAGTTTCAAGTAAATCTTTTGCTTCATTTATCTTGGATGCTAGATATGGTGATCCACCTGTTAACACGAAAACAGTAAATTCAAAAATATTCTTGCTTTTGTATAAAAAGCTGCCAAAATAATGCACACGACCATAGAAAAAGATTGGTCCATGAGATCAACAAAATATAACTATACCAAAAATGGTGCATCTAATGGTGTGGCAAAGACATGGTGTGGCAAAGACATGGTGTGGCAAAGACATGGTGTGGCAAAGACATGGTGTGGCAAAGACATGGTGTGGCAAAGACATGGTGTGGCAAAGACATGGTGTGGCTGGTGATTACTTTTGGTAATCTCCAGTTTAATAACATGACTACGGATATTAAAAAGCCTAGCAATAAACTGACAATTTTCCACTCATTTTGCCTCTTATACTAGGGGGTGCAGACCCTTTTGCAATGAAACCTTGTTTAGTGGATGCTGCGTGGATGCTGCTATTAGGCTATGTGATTAAGCACTTTTCTGGTATAATTGATCTTTAAAACTATCATCTGAGTCACCGCTTTTCGTGATATGGGCTAAATAATAATGTTATAAAAATAGATTCCCCTCACAGTAAAATTTCTTGCAGAATATCAAAATACCTTTGTCTGGATGGTTTGCCAACATTATCCTTCTGTGTGAATCTCTAATTTTCATTCGGTTGGCTGATGGACTAAAAATCAAATTAATGTGTTTAGCCATTTATACAACTAAATATGTTACAAGTTATAATTAAAACCAATTTCAAGCGAAGGGATAGCAAGAAAAGAGGAAAAATACCTGACACCAAGAACTAATGCTGCTTCCCTTTTTGTCATCTTCACATCAAAACCTCCTTTGTAGTAGCCGCTAAATGCCTAAAAAAATAATGAATTTAGAATGAAGTCAGAGCAAAATAGCGAAATTCATCAATTAATCAATGTAAACCATCTTTCAATCCAGAGTCAGGAAAACATTACTGTTGCACGGCCACTGACCAGAGGAAGGTCCACAAAAACAATAGAAGCTCCTATGACACACTCAAGCCACGCTCACCTTCTATTGTTTTGTGAGGAAGGTTTGCCTTCTGGGATGTTTTTGTCTGGAGGAAGGTTAACAACTTTTCAGGACTCTGCTTCAATCAAAAATTGACCAATCAGTGAGTCTGATTCCACTCATTTGCTAATTGACTGGCTAATATTTATTGAAAGATGTCTTAGGCTGCTTTATATCAGTAAACTTTCGTTAATACTCATATTTTTATGTTTAGAAACTTAATATAAAGATAAAAAACTTATCATCAGATCTTAAGACCTACTCACTAAGATATCATGCACACTCATCAGTTTTTCATAAAAATGGTGTCTATCCTTTTTGCTCTTTTTTGAAAGTGGAGAAACTACAAACACATTATGGTAGTAAAATAGAATGAGACAAATTGCAATTACAACCCAAACATGCAGTGTGAAAATAGATAGTGGATCATTTTTATAGTGTAAAAAGATAGTGTACTGTATTTTTCTTTTTATATTGTATTGGCAAAATGTGAACAGCCACCATTTCTGCAGAATTTTTGTTCAAAACCACATAACTTTGAACTGGATGAAAAGGTTAATCAAAAGTAAAAACGCAGTAAAACTCCCAAACATTACGAACATAATCTCTCATATTTCTTAGGACACTGAATTAGAAGAGTGGTCACCATGTTAGTTGTCTCTCCTTTTCTTATTATAATTTCAAATATTCTTATTTCAAATTATTTCAAACAAATAAATTATTTTAAACAAATGAGTAAGAATTTGAAAGAGAGCTGAAAACTCACCGAGGCATTTATCTTTGGTATCTGTTGTTGTATTGCATTGATATTCACTTTCTTAAAAGCTTGTATCAAAAACCGAGCTAGAACAAAATTGAATTCTATTTCACTAGCATGGTCCTGTATTCAGTATTTTCCCAAAAAACTAGAATTACTACTCTCAGTCTAAAGGAAATTTATCTGTAAAATGTTCTGACTAAATTGATACCCATTCGGTTCCAAAGAGATCTCAGGTGTGCAAAATCAAAATTTTAAGTATGCAAATGTGCACTTCAGTTGTAAACACTAGTGCCCACATTTCCAGACTGGAAACATTGTTTCTTGCACCAGACAAGTTCATTTTGAAAATAAGAAACTGGGCAAAACTATGCTAGAGCCCAAAGATGTTTAATTTTAAGGAGCAAAGATGAACGAAGATAAGAAAATTTACATTACAATATAATCCGGTTTTAACGTACTTTAAGGGACCAACATATTAAGTACAGTATCTACGAAGTATGTTGTGACCAGGGTAAGTAAAAATTGACTAAAACCGAGCACACTGTTTGCCAGGACCAAAAACACCAGTACGTTATATCTGAAAGTACATAATAAGGGAGTATGTTATAACGGGACTCTAGTGTACAACTTTATTCTTTATTTGCCCTGAGCAATATGACACACCCATGTCACATCCACATCTCAAAATGCAGCACCTTTGTCAGGTGTGCAGGGCCATTTTAGAAAAATATCTCAGGTGTACACTTGCCATACTCTGGAGAAGGACTCAAGGTCGATAGTTTATTTTATTTAAAAACCTGCATAAAAACAATTTTCTGCTTTAAATAAATCATATATGACTGACCTCCAAATGCAGCTCCAGCGACGCCAAGTCCAGCAACTATTAGGCTAGTCTACATATAAAAAACAGAAAGTAATCAACGATAAATGATAGACCTAGAAATGGATACGAAAGTTAATACTCCAGGTCTTGAAGAACCCATTTAGTAAGAATTATACATTTAATTGATGTTCCCTCTCGTTAAAACACAAATTGCAAAACTCTGCACGTGTTGAGCGAGAAGCAGGGAACCAAACAAAAAGCAACCTAGATTCGTTCCAAAGATTTAAACATACCCGAAAGCACATCTGTGTGCATTTAACAGTTTTCATCAAAGTTAATAAAATAATATGGTAGTAAATATTCAATACCATTATTTGGCAAGGCTTTTCTGACTCTAATTCATATTTCTCTTCTCGGTGGAAGCCGTTCTGTTGAAAGTGTGATGTAATTTCGAATACTTCATTTAACATTCATGAATTATAAGATCCTATCCCCCTATGGTTATACTGACGTCACGGGCTGCCTCTCATTAAAATCAACCACCCCTCTTCAGTCCAGGCACCGCACAGCCATTGGGCTAACAGGGCTATAGCCCCCCCCACACATTTTTGCAATAATTAGCTAAAAAGGACTTTGGAAAGTTTACTCTAACGCAACATTGGATAGTTGACTCCTATGTAGTAGCAGTTCTTCTTTAGTTGGAACGTTGTTTGTTCATTTTCTCGGTGTTCATCTTTTGTAATGATATGATTTATTTCCAAACTCGGTTAGCTTGGTGTTTTCCCAGGGTGGTACTTCCATTAAGGCCTGACAGGGGTTCCAGTCGATTTTAAGTCGTCTTACCAAATAACTACCAAATGGCCCAGTTTCGATAACAACACAACGGCTTAGTTTAGCTTGCGATTTATTATAGACAATGAAAAAGGTTTTATCTTTCCTGAATCAACAACAGTCAATTGCGAAGAAATTTGTCAAAGAAGGACCAGGTGCGTTCAAAGAAATGGATGCTACCAATGACATAATGTCCACCCTTATGCTACTATTTGAGGGTAATTGTTAAAAAAAGGCCACTTGAGGGTAATTTTTTTTACAATTTTAGCTTTGCTCCCCCCCCCCCGGAGGTTTTTTATTACCCCAAAGATAATTTTATCTATTTTCATATGTATTGATATCGTCTCTGAAACAGAGTGTTTATAAAAATTCAGGAGAAATAAGCAGGTATTTTCTAAAAGGAGCGTTTTCCGGCGTTCTAGAGGGCGTGGCCTCAAAAAAATTTCCGGTACACCCATTTCAGTCCCTCCATTTTTAGACTGGTGCGCGGTCCCTGCTTCAGTCATAATAAGTCTTGACATGCCAGGTCATATATACTTTTCACTGCTCCCAAAAAACATCTTCTGCTTAAAAATGCTAGTTTATAATTTCGAGTAAGTGTGTATTTATACAATTATGCAACTAGCTTGGTTTTGTAGTTAAATTTTAAACGGCCAGTTTGAACATCACGAAATTTTGAAATCTTATTAACTTGCATGAATATCTTTAAAACAGTAGCAGCACCTTTAAAACAGTAGCGGCAAACCGCAGCCCGCAGGCCACATGCAGCTCGCAAGGTACTTTGGTGTGGGCTGGAAGGCTCCTGTTAAACTAATGCGGCCCAATCTGAGACACGGTGTTGGCTCAATATCAGTTCAGTGATTCCAGCTTCTTGTATAGGTTAGCATTCCCCATACATTGACACTGTCAATAAGCCCATTGTAACTTTGTGCCAAATTTGTACTATGACTGTACCAAGTCTCACTTACGGAACTTTAACCTTATACAGTTCAGTCATTTTCTTCTTAATAGAGAAAAGTCTCAGCATTAGTGTTAAGTTAGATTATTCTCTGACAAAAATAAGCATTGGAGTTGTGACTTGGATTCATTACTCTCAAATTTCTGACTAATTTAAAGAATTTCAATGATTGGGGGTGTGAAACGATCCTTGCAAAAATTAAGAATTGTTTGGCCTTAAATTAAAAAAAGACCCAAAATATAAGAAATTTCTTAGGATAGCAGAGAAAAACAGTTCCTTATTTGCAGGGCCTTACTGTATTTCAAGCTGATGATGATATGCACCTTGCCTAGCAACATAGGCAGCATGAAGCTAGAAGAACATTGCTGACAACGTTGAACAAACTAGCAATTACAAACTTTTTTCATCCTAAGAATTGACCTTCCACCAGGTCCTCTCACCTTGACAGAATCTTCAGTATATGGTAGAATATGGATGGATACATAACATATTTAATAACATTTAGAAAATGAAAGAAACTTGGGTAGGAGAATAACATGTTTCTAGAAATTAATTGATGTTAATAGTTTCTACAACTTTCCAAACAGAAATTAGCAAAGACATTCTCAAACAAATTGGGCATACTGAATGTGCACCAACATATATTGCTATGAATTAACAAAGTAATTATACTAAGTTATACAAAAATTAATTCTAGATCAATAATACTGCCTTGACATTTATGATATATTCTGTTGGACCCATAACGATTCTTTGCATTGGAATAGGGTTTACAGTATTTCTAAATCAAAGTATTAGTACACAAACTAGATATCTAATTTGAAAACAAATAGTTCACCATAAAAATGTCCCTAGCGTACAAGTGGTTCTTGTTTCAAACGAAGAAGAATGCTTCTCATTCTTGAAACATCTTTTGTGTTTTTGTTTACTTTGGGATTGAAGTCACACAATCGCGCAACCTTTGTCCATTCATTTCCAGGCTTAGTGCTTGACATTTCCTCAATGAACTCTTCCTGAGCAGCTCTACAAGAAAAGAAAAAATGTTAACCAAACTCAAGGAAACAGCAATCAGATTTAAACAAAGAACATATTGGGTAAAATTAAATGTTCTTATCTACCTATTTCGACCTATCAACAAAAATAACAAACACAAACATTAAGGAGTTAACACTTCATGTTGCAGCTATATTCTTGGCTTCAATTCATTTCGCAGATATATACCTATTCTCATTTTTAACTTTTTCGAGCTGTTCATTGTATCTGTTATACCAGTCATCTAACTCTTTCTTTGCTTTTTCAGCCCATTTTTCTTGCTCGTTGGTTTCTTCTTCCTGCATGTCGTCCAAAAGAACGGCTTTATCTTCTCTCCATTTTCTAATGAATTAAAGAAATTCAAAATATCAAACATAACTAAAAATTTAAATCCAGCACAATTTAATTAAGAAACATTAGAGCTTAGGACAGAGAGTGAAGTAATAAATTTGAAAGTTTGATTAACTTTGTTTGGCCAATGTCACAACCAGTAAAATCAACGAACCACTAAATATCATATTACATTAGAAAAGTTGTATTACAAAGAAAAGATAATGTTATAGCTCAAACATTTCATATTCTAAGCAGATGTTACTAAAAATCACTATTGGAAGTTTTAGGAAATATAAAATTTGTAGTCTAAACTTAATTACAACAACTCAATAATTTGTTATGTCCAAAAAGTAGGGTGAGCTTGTGTGTTTCAAGAACTTTGAGTTACTCTTTTAGCAGCCAGGCACAAGCAAAGGACTTTTGGCATCATATTTTTCAAAAAGTAACAAATATACCTTGCATATTGAAAACTGAAATTCCCACCAATTTGGCTAACAGCTATCAAATTTTATTTTAGAGTACAAAGATACTGCAGTAACAAACAAAGACTCATCATACATATTTAAAGAAAATTTGGAATTAGTCACAGAAGAAATACCTTAATGACTCTGGTTCTTGGGCTTGAACTGATGAAGGCTGTATTTCTGCAAATGTTCCACTCTAAAATGACAACAGTTTTCAAAAAGTGAATCTATGGTAATTTTTTTGCAATAAGGGTTTGTGACAAATCTAGAAATAAAAGTCAAAATCAAAAACTTAGCACTCACAGGAATATCATCTCCAAACCCATTGACAAATGTATCTTCTTGCTGTGAAGGAGCAGTGTCTGTGAAATCTCCTACATCTTGTGACTGCAAAATAAAGATTAAATTTATCAAATGAAGCACCACTTGCAGCTGGTAGAAAACTAAAGACAAAGAAAACAACTTGAATGAGTACATTTTTCTTTGAAGATAGCAAAGAAAAATGGGAACATAGCATACTTAAGTACTTTCCATCCAAAGAGCATTGATGTCGAAAAATGACTTAAGGTCAATAGAAAATTGGCCCATGTGCAAATCATTTGCAAAAAAGGGGTGGTTATTCCCTGCTTGAAACTTTCCAGATGATGGCAGAAACACAGTGTTTAAATCTATCAAATCTATAATCACTGACTATTGCCTACTGAGCATCACACAGGCAAAAAAATTAATGATCAACTGTTTTCTTTATTGGTAGAAGGTTTTCTTTATTGATCAACTGATTTCTTCAACTGGGCAAGAGATTAGTGGTTGCCAATTGGGAAAAGACAAGAAAGCGATGAAACCTGTCCTTTTTCCTTTCATTTTACTTTTGATTCTTATCTCAGGGATATAAACATCTCTGTACTCAAGTACCCAATCTTTTTTAAACTATTGCAATATAAAGCTTATGGATTATTCACTTTCATGGGGTTATTGAACTTTCATGATTATTAAATATAAACTAAACTTTCATTATATCAATACCTTAATCAGCTGTAGTTTTCATTATTTCAAATCGTAAATCTGTTGCTACAAAACCTCTGAATTTTAATTATCTGTAAAGATTCAAATAGGAAACTGAAGCATTCATCTAGGCCAAAAAAGTGGGTTTGATAGTTCTAGTTGGGCTTCACGTTACTTGCAATGAAGATCACTTCATCTAAAATAATATTCTGATAAATGAATAGAAACCTGTTAAGCAAAGTCTAAAAGAAGGTTACTATCAAAGAAGAAAAACTAGACTACGAAAGACGTAGAGGAAGGCTTGGCTCTCATCAATTAACACACAGGAAATTCGTACGAGCAAATCAATTCTATGAAGAAGCAATGAAAATAAACGGGACCAAATCTCACCACTGGAATGCCGAGCTGGTCCTCGATTCCGAGTTCCTCGAGCTCGCTTTGCTCCCTTGCTAAGAATTCTGCAGCAGGATCAACTTCCCCTTCGAGAGCGCTTTCGAATTCATCCATTTTGAGATTCTTGTCAAATGACTGAGAGGGAGAGGTCTGGAAACTAGAGCGCAGATGACTGTGCTGACTTGAAACATAATCATAATCATATAATCTTGAGGTAGTCAAAACTGAACTACGAAGTTTTCCTGGGGCCTCAAGCGACGAAGAGCCAGTGAGCTATGCCCCCCATTCTTGCAAAAAGAGCCTCTTTTAAAATCGTTTGTTATGGGTTTTGAATTTGCCCTTTGCCATCCACGTTTCCCATTTTATTTGAAAAAATCTAGGCCTTGCTGACCTCTAACTTTCATAACAACCTCTTATTTTCGATAGTTTCAAAGCATTTCATAGTATACGCCAGGGGCGTTGTGGCCAAGCAGAACAACAGGAAATTCCCCGGTGGACCCCTTTCAAGTGAGTTTGTAAAACCCAGGACAAACAGGCCTCTGTAGAAGAGATGCGTGGAATGTGAACAGGGCCGCCGAGGAGGACAAGGAGGGGCAAACTGACCCAGGGCTTCAAGGTCTAGGGGCCTCTTAAAGCAAGGAATTCCAATTTAAGAACTTAATTTTAACGAAACGCAACAAAGAATGCCTAAAAATGGCAAACGACTGCAAATAACATTCTGAAATGTACTTGAAGCTAATTTTAAGGGCGTGGCCGCAGAAATTTTCTGCTCGCCTCGCTTGCAGTGCACGTAACTGCCCTGTCACGTTTGCGCTTGTATCAGATGTGCACTACAGCATTAGATTTGTTCCACATTTTTGCAGTCTCGAAGGGACCATGGCTGGAGAAAAGAGTACCTCGGGCAGAGAAGACAAGGGCAGAGTGGCTGTGGGCTCTACCCCCTCCCCCTCTCGAGCCCTGGGTTTGTTAAAAGTGTTTGCCAAGCCCTAACGCTGTCAGATTTTGAAAAATATCATTTGACTTGTTTTGGGTATCGAAACAATATCTCTCCGTGAAGTGTTTCTAAAAATTGTTTACCTAAGCTGCTTATCCTTTCCCTAGAAGAGCATCTGGCTGACAACAAATTACTGACAACTAGAATCTTTATTTCTTACCAAAAATATTGAAAAAATCTCATCAAGCGCTCATATGGAGATGATAACACATGTAAATATACCTTATACGAAATTTTCGTGTTCAATAATGAAATCTCTAAAATCAACGAAGATATTGATATAAACTATGTTCACAATCGCACAACAATTGAATGGTTAGACGTATAATCTACTTAAGTTCGATAATTGTAGTGAATTTACATCGAAAGTGGTCTTGGATTTACTTTCTGCTTAAAATAAATAGCTAAGTTAAAATTATGAAATGTATCTAAGGTTAAGATACAGTGGATTGACTTCTGCAACTGCAAGAGATTGGCTTGCAATAAATTCAAGGAAACATCAAGGATTGGACAGGATTCAAGTGAACAGGATTAAATTCTGTTCGTACAAGAAACTTAAGCTATCCCCATTCTTGGATTAGGCTTCAAGAGAACTCACCAGAGTGGATTACAAAGAGCTTGTTCTACAAACTGAAATCTGTATCAATCTAATTATTCTTATTTCAAATTCATGTTATGATTCATTTTGGGATAGTCATCTAAAATTTGATTATAAAAAAATTAAATGACGAAGAAAATATGAAAGATCAAGGAAAAATAAAATAAAACCACAGTGTGACATCATCGTTTGAGATTTTATACCTGGACTTGAATACTGTTCAATATTTGAGTGCCGTATAGGCATGGCAGCAAAATGTGTGAAGATTATGAATTTACGATGCATAGTCTTAAAGATGAAACTCTTACAGAGGGGCTCGGAGCCACGAAGCACTGTAACTAAGCTGACTTTGAGTCCGGTACCAAGGATTCATGACTCAGCGTCCAAAATGAAGAAAATTGACACGTTTAATATTTTCCTTGCTGGTAGAATGGGCTCGGTCAATTTTATGTGGTTGATTTGACATAGCAATTACCAAAATTAACGAAAAGATGTATATCGAAATTTGCAGTAACAGTGCTCTCGAAGTTGCTTTATATGTATATCACGTTGATTATAGTTTATTCCTATATCTTAAAGGCAATCTGTCTCGTTGTGGATTGGTTAACGAGAACAATAGCTGGAACAATAGCCTAAACACGATTCCAGCACTCCGCCATATTTTTTACAATGCGATAAATTAAAAGGGGACTGGAAACAATAGAAATCCCTTTGTTCTTATAACCAATCAATGTCGTGAGAGATTGCCTTTAAGTTGTTTTGTTTAGTTTAACTACTCGTTTAATTGCCGAAATCCCAAACAACAAACATCAAATAACTGAGCATATCAAGTTGGAAAAACATCAGGCTGCTGTTTCAAAACCTGTTTATTTAAATGCCTCACCCTCTAAGCTACGTCTTTGTTGTTCTTCTGCTAATATATGTTTTAAAAATAACATTGCAAAAAGTCTATCAGTTGTTTTGCAGTTTAGTCATAAGTGTACCAAGCGTCAAAAATCAACATTATCACGGGATTCAGTGTTTGTATTGTTTTTGTTGTTAATCGTCCAACAATTTTGCAACAAATCGCCGATTTAAAGCGAAATCCTCGAAAAATGATTTCAAGTCGTTGTAACTCCACTATTATTGTATGTTATTTGGTTGCCCAAGGTTAAACGTCTGGAGGAAACCTTTATTATACATGGCCGATAAATCAATTGTTCAAATTGGTTCAGAAATAGCCTGCACCAAAAATGAAGCGATAGGACCACCACCAAATTTGAAGCCTTGCTTGAGCCTCACCCTTGCTCTGGCCTCGTTAACTTTTGTTCTGTTCAGGAGAAGCAATTGTAAAAAACGCGGCTGCAGCAACAACAACTGATGATGTCACAGTGACCAACGCAGCATAAGATACGGTTGGTGAAATCCAGCTGATAATTTTCTTGAAAGGGTGATGTTTGCTGTCATCCATCCTCGGTTCTGGGGCCTTTTGCCGCTTAGAAAAATGGTTAACAAACCCATGCTAGGAGAAATTACAAGTGAAGAACTTACAAATAGTATTCAAAAAGCAATGGGGTTATGGCTTGGGGTGCAAGGGGGGATCCTTTCATCTTTTAACACCAGTTTACAAATCGACAACATCGGTGCTAAGTGTTAATTGCCATTCTCTCTACAGGCAATCTGCAAGCTATGAATGTATTGCCGTCCAGTCTCCTTTTACAGTGTACCTTCCACCGTTTGATTACTTCCCTTCTTGAGAGGGAGAAGAGTCTGGGGATGAAGCTCCAAAGTGATGACGTCACAAAAATATATTATTAAAACTAAAAATAAATATATTTTTAGGTTTTGAAATTTGATTGCATAGCCCAGAGACCAAAATGAATCAGCTAAAACGCTACTGAGATAGCACATTTCTAATGATAGCGAAAACCTATTGCGCTCGGCAATGAAAACCTGCAATAAAATTGCAACCACGCCTGATGTTATTTGCCTTAAATGAAAAGTCCTTCAAATTTGTACGATAACAATGGCTTTTTAGGGCATCTTGTCTTTCTTGTGTTTCCTCGATTACCAGGTTAGTTAGTCAACAAAATGATTCAATGAAAGAACAAGTTCTCTTCAATTAATTCGTATGAGCGTGTTTGTGAAGTCAGTAAATGTTTTTCATTATTCATAAGTTTGAAAGTTTGCTGTATTGCAGTTCAACAATCGTGGCATTTATCACCTATAGCCAAGTTTCTTTTATGCATACCAGGCAGATAAGAATGAATAGTTTGATTCACATTTATCTAAGGTGTGGATAGCACTGGCTGGCTATTCGAGTTGATAATTTCTTCCAATTTGCAATTGCTGTATTCAAATGCAAATTCCGCACCTTAGCGCCCAAACAATTTGAAATCTACCAAATACAGGCTCGTAGACTTAAGAGACATTGCAAACACCTCCATTGATAAACTTGGCTCTGTATTTATATCAAAGTCACACAACTTTTGTTTAAGGCGACTATAATGTTTCTGGTTTAGGGAATTTTCAAATGCAACATTAAGCTTGAATTGAATTTGCCCCATGTTTAAAAGTGTTGATATTATTACATAATAATCAAAATTTAGTGTCACAACTGTAAACAGTCATTATCTGAAAAGTATAGCCTTGATGTTCTTGTTCTTCTTCAGGGATACATTTTGGGGCCTATGGTATTCCCGATGCTGTAACCCCTTTAAATGAATCCCGAGATTTAAAGGAGAGTAAGTTATGTACCACAAAATGGACATGCTAACGTTTGAGTCAAAATAACGTTAAAACCTTTCTATAGTCTCCTAGCTCGTAGGAGTCGTCTGCCATTCTACGAGAGGCCTATATATGGTTGATTCAGTGTCGGGGGTTTGGTAAATTACACAATCCGCAATATTTTGTGATTGGTTCCTTATGCGTATTCAGGATATGAAACAATAATTCTTGTCTTTGTGATCTTGTTTACAATTTTCTTTAAGCCAATCAGAGCTTGCCAATCTTCCCTGGTCAATCTTTCTCAAAAGCACCCCTAGCTGTTGTGGAAAAGCACTACTGGAATTTTAGGTCGCTAAGAAAATTTACTTGAGATAAAATCAACCAAAATTAAAAATTTACAATGTTCAAAAAATTTACTAAATCATGGCGATATTGTTTAAGGACTAAATAGTGGAGATGACTGTTCAGCGCAACGTTATAAATCCTTGTTGAATTAAAAGATAAAGTTTCCTCGATTAAGTGCCGAGATGACGCCTTGCTGAAACGATTGCAACTACGAGAATTGTTTCACTTCATCTTACAAATAACCTCGTCCCAAGCACAGCGCGCAATCACGATGCAAATACGGTTGAATTCTGTACCCCCGGATAGAACGCTCAGACTTTCATTTAGTCGGACCGATTTTCAAATCCCATTGAATTTTCCTACCTCATTTAAGTCAAGAGTCGTGCCCCGGATTTGCTGAGTCGGACTGGCTGAACGGGATTCAACTGTAAATATATGAACACGTGGTTTATAATATTGTTAGGTCCGTTAGAAAATATATTATCAACGACTTTGTCATTACTCGTTGGCAAATAAGCGGATAATATGATCAAACATGATTTGTCTTTCCTCGAAAAACATTTGATCAACCTTTAAACTTTTCTTGAATGTAGACATATCACTCACAAGCGGATATTCTAGTCTTGAAGTAATGCTTTTGTTTGATCGTGAATCTGTGCTACAAGAGCTAAACACGTGACAACTGATAGCTGCAAACTGCAGTGAAGTGTCACTGTATATTTAAATGCATGGAGCACAATTGCATAATCGTTGCCCCCAACTCTGATATTGTTTCTAAAACTGGACTGATGTAAACAAACTAGCTAATTTTCACATATCCTACGTTTCAAATTTCATGTATTATTATGGCCTTATATTATGATAAGAATTTCAGTCTTACCCAGCCATTATGCTTTTGTATCCATCTGGCAAGATTTTTTGCAATAAACGCCGCAAGCCAATACCCGATTCTACCAAGAAAGATCGCCCTTCCATGCGCCGCGCAATCGACTGCCAAGCCACCAGCGAACGCAAATAGCGCAACGATCCGCGCCCACGTGATGCCATCAATGAACAAGTGTGAGGCAAACTTATTAAAGGCCCCCCAAACAACAGCTTCGTTGGTGTATGTCACTCTCAAATGCACAGATATTTGACTGAAGAGCTTTGGGTAACGCAGTTCGAGAATCTGTCCCATGCTCTGCAACATAAGTGAGCAGTCTGTTTGCGCTAGAGTCGACGCGATGTCAAAATCAGAAATGCCGGAGCGACGCAGCCGTGCGTGGATGTAATCTTCGCAAAGCCGTTGCGACGTAACTGTGATTTCCTCGATCGAATTCTGTCCTAATGGCTTTTTAACTTCTTTTACTGTTTCCATTCGATTTTGGTCTAGCTCCTTGCTTGCTTGCTTGTTAGGGGTTTCCTTTGCGATTGGTCTTGAAGAAGAATTTGAAGGCATTTTCCAGTTTTATATAAGCAGGCGTTCCCCAAATGCAAAACTGTCTTTGATACTAGGAGGTTCCCAAGTAGCAGACTTTCGTAAACAAGTTCTCCGAAGCAAAACCAACAATTCTGAAATAACATCATTTTGAGCTATATCTAAATCATATTCTCGTGAACCAGCTGCTTTTCAAAACTCTCACTTTCTATTGGTTGGTTGCAATAATAGTTCTCGACGAGGCTGGGCAAATATGCTTTAAAAAGCGATTTAAACTACTTGCAGGTGGATTTCGCCAAGACAACTACCCAGAACTCTCCTTACAAGACAGGCCGACGTTAACACTTACATTGTCTTAACCAAAACTGCAAAGGCTACGTCCACTTTCTCAATTAATATTGACGTCACAGCAAAAACAGATCAAGTCTTGAAGGTTGTGGCCTCTTTTAGGGGAAGTGAGTGAATAGAGGGGGGCGTGGTTCAAAAAAGTCAAAAGGACTGGACCAATGACGGAGCCTTGGAGTTATTGACCACTAGCTTTTCAACAGACAGGTATAGCAATTTAAACACTGGGCTTCAGGCAGTACTTTTTTCCTATAAAATGTTTCATTTAAAACTATCGACAAGTCACAGCAATGTGAATAGTATAATTTCTAAGGAGAGTAGTCTTAACAGCGTCGAAAAGGATTCTTCGGATATCGGTACTACAGAGCTAAAACGTTTTGGGAGGGGGAGGGGGGCTAAACATGCTAAAAACCAAGAACAGGGCGATTTTTGGTATGATTTTAAGTATTATTGCGGGGGCTAAATCAGTGTAGAAACTGTGTGTAGAAACGTGGTTAGCTGAAACAGCTATTTCTCAAAAGCATAAAAATGTCAAAAGGGACGTAAATTGCGACAAAATAAATAATGAATTTGAACGAAACATTTTAAATGGCAATATTTTCATCCTTTATCATGCATCTAAAATTATGAATTGAGAAAATGCCAAATTGTACAGTGTTTTGCTTGCAAATTTGTTACACAAATTACTTTACACTGAAAGTCCACCCTTCATATGCGAAATCTATTTTTACATAATCTTGCTATCATTCAAATCAGACGCGAAGGCAAGTATAAATAGCATAAAATATCTAGCTTGCAATTAAAACTATAAACAAGGATGCTATTAAAAAAGGCTGGTTAAATTCACAATTTAAGCTATAAAACATGTTACAAAAAGCTTGCATACCTTGGGCTTTGGGCTAATGACTTTACAATTTTCTAGAGCCATGCAATTTTTTGCATCCTATATATACATATAAAAATGAACCCTTCAGTTCTCTGGGTCACATTCTACACTGTATAACTATGCAGTTTGTGAATGTGAAGGAGAAAAGGTAAGTCGCGTGATGTAGCTGTCAAGGAAAAGTGAAGGGTATTAATGGTAGGATTAAAATGAGTTCGTGACGACAATGAGGCAATTTTCATTGGAGTTTCTGTTCTATTCTTGCCATTGTTACACAAACAAATCAGTATTTTAAACAGGCATATCAAGTATTTTTGATGCTTTATTATTTGCCCCCATCTTTACTGCACGAGCTTCAAATCTTTGATTGGTTGATACAACAGACACACTCCCAAGTTCTGACCAATCATATAACGTAAACCTGTAAACAAAGGCTACTTTAAATCGTTTTTAAAGCCACTCGTCTTCATATCCATTCAACGTGGACCTTTCTATGGTACAGTCTAAGCAGTGGCGTGATATGATAAAAATCAGCGTCGCTATCTTTAAATGATCAGCGGCTATTCTGATCTAAATATCATCCATTTAACTAAATACTAGTTAACTAACAATCGGAGAATCATTCTTTTTCTTATTTTCAAGCTACCAAAAATTAAAGATTTAAGCAAATGAGACTTACACAATATTATCAATATCTTCATGTTCTTAATGACAAAAGTTGCTCGATTTCTTCAACAGTCTTTGGACAGTTGGCACTCAGAACACGAGGTCCATTATTTGTGATAAGAACATCATCTTCGATGCGGATACCAATGCCTCGAAAACTGCAAAGAAAAAATGTTCCTGAGCCAACGTCTAAAATTCTCTCATATATCAAGGTGCAGTAGTCAGTTGACAAAGCATAACGTTGGTACAGCAGACATTTGTTATGGTCACACCATATGTTGCCTAAAAAGCTGTGACACAAAGCGGTGTGTGACTGAAAACGGGGTTTAACTTAGTGGTTTTGCGCATATTGGTCGAAGTTTCATGTGTCTGTAAACGGTAGTGTGATTTCAAGCAAAGTGACTTTAAGCGGAGTCAACTTCATTGCCTGAAGAAATTTAAAGCTTAAACTTTCACTGGAAGATATCAGAAATCGATGTGAAAATCACTGAACAGTTACAGAAAATTTTAAGCAACAAGCTGGAAAGTGCTAAATACACGTATGGGGTAGTTAATTCGTAGTTTAACGGCTATTTCCCCGGGCTGGAATTCTTATATCTGATCAACCTCAGTTGCCTAGTACCTTTATCTTTAGCTATCTGGTCATATAACTACGTGTTGTTTGCTACAAGACATATCAGACACTGTGGCTTGATAACAGGTTGAATTATCTTGAAGAGATAAAATTAGATTAATCTCCACAGAAACTTCTTGCGAATTGTCCTAAACCCTATTATGTAATTACAATTAGCATTAACGACAAAGAAGACGATCATTGTAATCACCTAAAGGCTGGGATTATAACTTTAAACTTCTTGATATTCTTGGAGTTACTGATAAATTGATAGGATAAACGTTTTCCCTAGTATATTGAAAAGAATGATGTTTTAACCAGATGAAATTCGTTAGCTGTTAAAATGTTACTGTATTGTTTGCAGAGCCCTTAGAAGATCTTATGAAAACCTTTCTTTGTAAATCAAAAGAAAAACAACTTTCCAAAAGTTTTGAGGGCTGTCATCATAAAGGAAAGCAGCTTGATATAAAATACCTTTCAGGTAAATGATAGAAATGCTTTGGTATGTATAGACCAGGTTCGATTGTTATTACCATCCCTGGCTGGAGAGGAAGGCCACGGTGAATGAGGGTGTGTCGTGTGTGTCCATGCCTAAATAGTGACCAAGGTGATGTGGGCAGTACTCAGCTACCGCCTATGGAAGAAAAATTTCCTTCAAAAAAAAGGATTTTGTATTCTTAAAATTCCTAAAGAGATTAAAGTAAGTGGGCCAAACGTATTATGAACAAGACATCTGGGAGAAAATATATCACGAAAAAGTCTTTTAAAACGACATAAAAACTGATTTTGATCTATGGTTTTGAACGTTTTGAACTAGATTTTGAAGTGAAAATAGTGAAAAAAGTATAACAATACAATCCAGAAAGTGGTTGTTGCGTGGCTGTTAATCGCACATACTGGTGTGAGAAAAAAGAATATGGTTCTAGTTACCAAGCCTCGACCAAGCCCAGAGATAGCCTCGACCAAGCCCATACCAAGCCAAGAGATAGCCTGGACCAAGCCCAGACCAAGCCTAAAGATAGCATGGACCAAGCCCAGAGATAGCCTGGACCAAGCCCAGACCAAGCCCAAAGATAGCCTGGACCAAGCCCAGACCAAGCCCAAAAATAGCATGGACCAAGCCCAGACCAAGCCCAAAAGTAGCATGGACCAAGCCCAGACCAAGTCCAAAAATAGCATGGACCAAGCCCAGACCAAGCCCAAAAATAGCATGGACCAAGCCCAGAGACAGCCTGGACCATGCCCATACCATACCTAATCATCAAGGGATTCTTGGAAGTTTTGGCTTACGAGGCAAAGGAAAAAAGAACACTATTCTGAAATCGAAAAAGTAGCTTTACCAAAGAGGATGTGAATTGGTAATGTCATAGTGCCTGTCTGAAGCATGAAAAGTAGCCACGTACCTTTTTTAATGTATTATCTGTCAAATTTTCGTCAATAAACCCGATTCCTAGAAAAACAGCTAGGCATTAATACGGTCAAAACTTGCGAATAAAAGAGTTACATCATAAAGAAAAGTTGCAAATAACGGAAACCAGAAATATCACTTGCTGATAGCTCAGTAAACTAAGTTCTTGATATCAATATTTTCACTCAAAAGTTGCTGATATTGAATCATAGGTAATGGGAATTTGTTGGCAATTAATAATTCAAGTTGTTAAAATGTTTTACAATTGAGCATAAAACATACGTTGCAATTCGGCTCCCAGTGTCAGCAACATCCTTTGGTGAAGTTGGTCAAGTGACACTCCAACTTTGCAATGCTAAAGAAAAAAGGCAGTTGACAACATATAAGATATCATCATCATCATCATCAGGTACCATCTTCTATCAGAAGGTTGGCTACCATGACCCTCCAACTATCCCAAAATCTGAGATTCGGTTCGTTGTCATGGTCATAGATAAAACTAAGGGGCTAATAGTAGAGATGGGCCCCCAGAACCACCTCTACAGTGTTTTTAAAGGGACACCATTACTCTTTCCCAGTGTCAGCAACATCCTTTGGTGAAGTTGGTCAAGTGACACTCCAACTTTGCAATGCTAAAGAAAAAAGGCAGTTGACAACATATAAGATATCATCATCATCATCATCATCAGGTACCATCTTCTATCAGAAGGTTGGCTACCATGACCCTCCAACTATCCCAAAATCTGAGATTTGGTTCGTTGTCATGGTCATAGATAAAACTAAGGGGCTAATAGTAGAGATGGGCCCCCAGAACCACCTCTACAGTGTTTTTAAAGGGACACCATTACTCTTTCCCAGTGTCAGCAATATCCTTTGGTGAAGTTGGTCAAGTGACACTCCAACTTTGCAATGCTAAAGAAAAAAGGCAGTTGACAACATATAAGATATCATCATCATCATCATCAGGTACCATCTTCTATCAGAAGGTTGGCTACCATGACCCTCCAACTATCCCAAAATCTGAGATTTGGTTCGTTGTCATGGTCATAGATAAAACTAAGGGGCTAATAGTAGAGATGGGCCCCCAGAACCACCTCTACAGTGTTTTTAAAGGGACACCATTACTCTTTCCCAGTGTCAGCAACATCCTTTGGTGAAGTTGGTCAAGTGACACTCCAACTTTGCAATGCTAAAGAAAAAAGGCAGTTGACAACATATAAGATATCATCATCATCATCATCAGGTACCATCTTCTATCAGAAGGTTGGCTACCATGACCCTCCAACTATCCCAAAATCTGAGATTTGGTTCGTTGTCATGGTCATAGATAAAACTAAGGGGCTAATAGTAGAGATGGGCCCCCAGAACCACCTCTACAGTGTTTTTAAAGGGACACAATTACTCTTTCCCAGTGTCAGCAACATCCTTTGGTGAAGTTGGTCAAGTGACACTCCAAATGTGCAATTTTAACCTGCATATAAATCAAGTGCTCTAATTCGCTGGGAAAAGACTGTAATTTCTTTCATTAGGTTTAAGACAAGCCCCATATACGAGTTTCGAGGACTGTGGACATGTGAGGGGCAAAAAAATAAAAACTTGACAATGTTGTTGCCAACAGATTTTAAAGGGTATTTTCTTTTTCGTAACCCTTTTCATTTATGTCCTGGAAAAAGACGTGAATTGTGAATGAGAATCACAAATACAAACAAGCAGAAGACAAGGATTTGCGCACGATAAAGCTGTTTTCATTCTAGCTTTACTAAATAATAATGCAAATTTGGTTGTCAACAGATTTTTTAGCCGGCCAATTTTTTAAATAACAAGGAAAAAATAATCATGTATTGTTATCAAATGTGTATGAAAATGTTGCTGACGTGGAAACTCTAAACACTATTAACAAAGATAATTTAGTTTCTTTGGAATTAGCAGCTTCTTGAATCTAGTTAAAAACCTATAATCTAGATTTAAACAGATTCAAAGCTGTCACTGAATATTATTTTTGCTGTTATTGCTAAATTGTGCAGCTAAGAACACAAGACAATTTGTTTACTATGCGGTGATGGAAGACGATCAACCCACGTCAGTGAATTTTCCTTCAATCGAAAATATCAGGCTGAAGATAGCACAAGACAGGCTTGATTCAAAGATTTATTCGGGTGTTTGAGGAACATGATTTAAAAAACCGAGAAAAACAAGATAACATTCTATGCTTTGATAGCAAAGACGTCACTGACAAAACTGCCTGGGAAATCGTGACGTGACGTAATATGAAGCTGCAGGACTGTGAGCAACCAAATTGATTACAAACTAAAAGCTATTGGCAAGCTCAGGATGATAGGCAAAGTGTTTTAATGCTGAATGCAATACAGAACTTGGCGAGTGCTTGAAAAAAGGTTGTTGGGATGGAGTAGACGGCCAGCCCCCTACGTCAGATTTTGATCTACAGGAACTGCCCGTACCCCCTGTCTGGTTTTTGATCTACCAGGAATTGCCCGAATTGCTTTTGATCATACCCGGAATTAAAGCCCTGCTAAACATTGCAGGGTTTCCAAGTTCCTTCTATTTAGAGCCCTTATGGTGGTAAGAAGAAACTTTAGGTGAGTGAACAGCAAGTGGCCAAAGATCATGAAAGAGACTTGAAGAAGGCTTGCAAACAAAATGGATATATATAACTACAAAAGTAGATGTAGTTACACAGATACAACAAGTTGACAAAAGTACTGATTTCTTTGAGAGTTACCTCAATACAATGGTTTTGAACCTTCAGAACGACTTCGTACAACTTTCGCTGCTCCGTTGTAAACTTTCCACTGACAGGCCAAGTTCGAGTGATATCTGATACATAGCCGTTGTATTCGCACCCTGCATCCATTAATATTAAGTCGCCATTCCTACAAATAGAAAAAAACATTCCTTCATTCGTCTCTGGGCACGTGCCTGCCTTGTTCTAAAAAAACAAAAATGATTCTTCAAAATAAAAATCTACCCGGAAAATTACAGACATTAAACAGTGAGACAGAAGGCAGTTGAAAATATTGCGGAGGCGCGGTAAATCTTTCATTACCCTATAAATTACAAAAGAAGCAATAAGGTAATTTGCAAACACTCCTTCACAGCTAAAATCGGGAATAAACTCTACTCTTACATATATTTGCTTGCATGAAAGGCAATTTAGAATTCAGCCAATCCACCACTTTATTTATCATATTAAATCATAGTTTGATACACGGTTAAGATCTTGAAGCAGGACTAAAAGACAAGCAAAAGTGCTTCGATACAGATGAACGATGTTTTATCACAAAACCCGGTTTTGATACACCCTTAGCATAATCATATTTTGGCAGCTGCTTGGTTACTGGACTTTGGACATAGGCAGAAAACAGAGAAGATCGGGTAACCTACCTAATGATATGTGAATTGCTGACATAATGGAGTGTATTTGCTGATAATCCACTAGCGACGACCGGAGGGAAGGCCAGAAACTGGGCGCCTTGAATTTTGCATTCGTATTCTAACATAGCATGAAGGACGCTTTCTTCGAGGCCCGGCCTCGTACTCAGCATCACCTGTAAACAGAAACAATGACTTTCAGATCACAAGTCTTCTTGCTGGATAAAATTAGCCCCCCCACCCCACCTTCTCATTTAGAGGAAATTTTAACAGAAATCGAAAAAGCTTAAATGCCAGAACAAAAACCCGCCTTTTTCATTGAATTTCTGGGAAACTTTCCAAAGGCCATTCTCTACAGGAAAGATTATGTTCTGGACATCTGATATTGCATCCCGTTTTAAGCTATGAGGGTACTAGCTATTCAAAATTGCCAACATAAAACGGCTTCGTATAATGGCAATAACTCTAAACAAATCATTCCCTTCATCAAGTTTTACTTGAGCTGCTAAACCACCTTGACAAACATTTTAATTCCAGTAAAGGCAACGAAATCTTTCATAGACGAAAATGATTTATTCAAATTTAATGACAAGCAAATAACAAATTCTGCAATTGCATTCTAGTCGTTCGTCTACAAATATAATGGTTTTAGATAATTTCTGTTAAGGGAAACATAAAAACAGATGAAAAATGTGTCTGTATCGAAACAAGATGTTTTAGTTAGCGAATAACGAATAAAAAATCATAATTTTAGAAATAAAACTCAGAATCCAACTAAAAAAGTGTTTCTGAAATTTGGGCCATGTTTTGAAAAAGACAAGCTCTCGTTGCGTTTACTGGCAACACGTTCAAGAATTCTAAATTTAGGCACTTTAGCCCAGCATTTCAATTAAGGCATTGAAAAACAAATCATTACTGACGAAGAAGATATAGAAAGAAAAAATTGATTTTAAGGAAGAAAAAAGGGCTGGTATTGAAATGCTGGGGTATTGGCTCGAATTGTAACGGCATGCTTGTGAAGGTCTATTGTGGAATGCCTTAAGTGATAACCTACTCTAACAAGTCCCCTCATGATATTCAAAACAGAAGTACGCTTTGTGGATTAAAAAAACTGCACGTGTCACATTTGAACTTAAACTAGTTTCTTTAATAATGATTTTTATATTGTAGATAGGTGGCATGGATTGGTTGGAATTAACTAAAAAGAAAACAAATGTTAAAAAATTTAAAACTATTATTATTGCGACTGTCTGTTTCAAACTAAAGAGAAAAACTGCAAAGTACTCACACGACTAAATGCTTTGCCTGCTATCTCAGCTGACTTTTTCATTAGTTCAATTTCGGATTGCGACTTAATCAATCTAAGCATCTGAGTGTTATGACTGAGTGAATGGAGAGCTACAAGAAAACGTGGAGAACTCAGTTAAGATTTTTGTGAAAACTAAAAAGCAGGAATTTAAGATTCAATCGGAATGAAAAAGATAGGAAGTAAAGATATAATGGGAATGGGAAATTCCGTTTTAAATCGTCATGTGGGAATAAATAATATCGGTATGCATTTTGCAAAAGAATAGGGCATGAACAAGCTTCGATGAACTGGTGCATCGGACAGTTTACAACGACAGTACCATTTATCTCTTTATGTCACTAAATGAATATGATAAATGTTTAGGTATCAAAATCCAGCAAAACATAGGGTAATGATCACCTTAAGATTTTTGAGACACGGGGCACAAAATATGATGGGAAAAAGATAAGAGCCTTCAGAGAGCCTTGAAGTTCTCGCAAAGTTAGCATATCAGGCCCTTAAAATAGGCCTTACAATAATTTCATCACACCAAAATAACGAAATGCTACAAAGACTTTCTAAAAAATAATCTACTTATTAATACGTGAAGGCAATTTATTTGGTAAGCTTGAACAATCTCGATAAAAAACCTGTGATATAATCAGGCAACTCACTTTTATGTTGCAGGACGGGTTCAGTGTAGCAAAATGATGACGATATAACACCAATATTATTAAACAAGTTATAAGAGCATTTTCTTCACAAACCTGGATAGCTGAATTTGTCACTATTAAACAAACTAATAAGCTCGCTATGAATTTTTGGGTTGGTACTGTTGTCGGCAAGGTTATACCACATGCAGTGTGTGTTGTTGCCGTATTTTCGTTGTATGACAGCAATAAGACTGCTTATTGGATATGACTGGAATGAGAAAACATGCCAAGTGAACGGGTTTTATCTGTCGCTAGGAGGCAAATTTTCAACCCTGGGAAATCAAGAGGAAATCAAGGTAAAAACTTGGCGCTTAGTTGGTGCGTATTTACCGACTAAGCATTGACAATTTGTTAGCCAGTTTCTAATTTTGTACAAGTTTGAGAATCAGGATTAAATTTCGACGGCATACTCAAAGCTCGAGAAGAAAGCAGTGTCGTTAAGATAGCAAAAAATAAATAATCCCCTCCAAGATCTTTGGCAAAAGACTTGCAGAGGAAAATAAATGCATAGAGAACAAAGCAAAACTAAACTCAATTTGTCAGAAAATCGCACAGGACTGTTGACAATACAGTGATTCCAAAATCAATGCAATGAAATTATATAGTAAATAACGAGAAGGAATGGAAAGGGTTATGTGACTTCCAACAGGAATGGGAAGGGTATGAAAATTTAAAAAAAGAAAATCACGGGCAAAAATATAGGGGTAAAGATATGCTTCCTGGTGACTTATGGATTTATTTTGTGAATTTGAAAAAGGAATTAGCAGATGAAGAATTCACAGAATTCTTCAGCTTACGTAGAGTGGACGTGAGGTTTTTGGAACAAGCTTACTTGAGGACAAAAAGAGATTGTTTTCTGCACAAAACTGTTTTTTTTGGCAAGTGGTATTCTCCAGCCAACCCAGAGTTTAAAGGACTGGTTGCGCATTGTCGATTGACGCATAAAAACGTCCGTACGGATGAATCACTTTGTTCATTTCCAACTGCAGAAAAATTCACCTCATGATTTTTTGTCAACATTTACAAAGGCCTTATTTGAGCAACTGTGGCAAACCTGCCTAGAAAACGTCAATATTCCAAGGTCATTCAAATAATAAAAATAAATGAAAAATAAATCAATCTTGGTTACCTCAGTAGCACCAAAGAAATCTTTAGCAGCATCTAACCCGGAAACTGGTCCGTCCCAGATTTCCCTGATAAAAAGTGAGATCATTAAATAACAGCTCGTATTGAATAGCCCGGTTGCACGAAAGTCGATAATTTGAAATTGCAACGAACAAAGTTAATACCTCTTTCGATCTCTTGGTTTCACGAACATGATCATATTATGGTCAGGAAATGGCTGGTTTTGTTGCCTTTCTGCAAAACAGAATTTCATTTAAACTTGAAAAATTGCGATGTAAGCTTAACTCAAATAACTGCGATGTAACGACTATAAGGGCAATGTAACAATGTAATACACAGTGATTCTGACAGCGAAGCTAAAACGTTTCATACATAGATCCAAAGATTCTAACATAGATCCAACGAATAATCTTCAAACTTCAAAGTTATTTCTGATGACTTAGTTTTTTGCAAAATAATGTCCTGGCAGAAACATTTTCAAAAGTATTGTTTTAAGCTTGAAAATACAATATTGTTTGCAAAATGTTGCGTGTTCAGAAAAGAGCATGGTGATTTTTTAATTTTCGGGATGCTAAGGACTATACTACAACCCAAAGAGTATAGTAACATCAGCTAAACGCTGTACTGATGTGCTGCCGTCTATATCGCATTCATTTTCTGAAGACTAGGGAGAAGAATCCCAGAATATACGTCACGCACTTCACTCGACCCAGACTTTCGGGGCGCATATTCTTTTTACAGTTACTCACCCAGCTTTGTAAAACGAAACAAAAAGTAAACAAATATCGCATTGATTTTTAAATATTTCAGCTACAGACAAATTCCTACCGAGAATCATAACCGCGTCCGGTTCTTTGAATCCGGTCATGTACAAGAAGTCCGCGTTTTGATGGAACGGGTACCTAGCGGAAAAAAAATGTTGCTAAAATTTGTTGCAAAGATTCACCTACGATTGAACATTAGAAAGGTGTCTTCAGTCAACGTATTTCATAAAAATATCTTAAACTAGGAATGGACTGTCTTGTATTAATCATGAATTTAATTTCATCATCAAAATGCTCTGCAGAAACATTCCCTTTTCATCAACTGAGATTCTGTTACTTTAATCGACCTCGTCGTTTAATGGTCGCCCCGTCTTCAAGGATATATGCGAGCGTAAATACATTTGCATCCTTCCCATGCTTAGCTGCAAGGATGGCTCAGTTTTTAAAGGCGCTGACTACAGACCCAAGGGTATGTGGTTCGAGTCTCTGGCATGACCAAACTTTCACCCAGAGTGAGGAGAGTCGCAAGCTCTCTGTAATTCCAGGCGTAGGAATCACGAGGTGTGGTCACATCGAGAGGAAGGATCAGGACACTGCTCAATAAGCATAGCTTCTCAGTGTCCGAAAACGACCTTCGGATGCTAGGTAGAAACAAATACAAATGCCATAGCATAGCCATAGCATGCGTCTATCAGAAATGCTGTCGCTGTCAACGTTTAAATAGAGGAATGAAAGTCTTGTGACGTTAGAAAACAGTGAAAACTGAGTATTGTTCATTGAAACAAACTCACGGTATGTCTCCTGACATTATTTTCGATGGACTTCCAATCATTATCACCGCATGTTTTTCAAAATTCTGGCCTGTTGCCGTGCTTGATAAAAGCCTAGAAAAGAAATACTGGACCTTCAAGATAATGGATGAAACCATCCAAAGAATAAAGTTGAAAGTTATGAGTCTTTCAGAATTCTTTGGTTAAATTCTTCGGTTTTGTGGCAAAACGTGGTAGCGAACAGGGGTAAATAAGGACAAGGTTGTGTTCAAACGGAAACGACTGTGTACTGTTCTAAAACGTAGCTTTGCTTTTCAGAAATTTGATAATTGTAATGGAAAACCAAATTCAAACTACGGACCAAGGTAGTTGGTACAAAATAAGAGGTTTTCAAAAAACAAACAGAAGCTTAAAAAGATAAAAAAGATAAGCAAAACAAAGAAAATAAAAATCATAGATAAAAAATTTTCTACCTTAAAATGGCAATATAATGGCAATAGAAAGTTTAAAGCAATAAATAAAGTCCAGAGTTATACTGGTGAAAAAATGATCAGAATAAATATGCAAGCTGGGACCAATTTGCCCTGGCTTGGATTGCAGAGTTCAGTAAATAAAACTCGATATATAGCGAATTGAGACAATTTCCAAAAACAACTTTTCGATTTTACAAGCAAACGAAACGAAGCAAACAATAGCAGGTGTATTTCCAGCAACGTGTTGTCACTATAGGAGTGACATGTTGTCACTGTAGGAGTGACAGCTAGATAATACAAACGTGATTAATGTTACAACTATAGATTAAGATTGTTAGGCTGTCAATTTAAAGTCACCTTCTCACAAATAATGACAAAAAATATTTATTAAAATTAAAAATTTGATTATAAATGGTAAACGGAAATCAAAGTGTCGGGTGCACTTGGAGAAATTTCCAGTCTGGCAAAGAGAGTTGCCATTTGGCCGTTTTGACGGCCACATTCCTCTATTCTGGCCGTTTTTCAAAGCTATTGGCCGTCCAAAATTGATTTGGCCGAAAAAGTAAAAGTTGGCCGAATTTTGGCCGCATGTTGAAAGACACAAAAATACAAAGAAAACGACAATTTTTGCACAGAAAATATTCAACATTTTGTTAAAACAATCTCAAAATTGCAAATAACAAAGCAAGAAACAAAGTAAAAGATAACAGAAAATTGAAAATGAAAGCAAGTGGGAGCTTTGGTAACAAACAAAGCCATTTTTGATTACACTATTACTCCACAGAATTCGCAAAACGTAGCTTTTTTGTATATTTTGTTTGGCTGGCCGAATTTGGCCGCCAACCATTCCAAGCAACTGGCAACCCTGCTGGCAAAGAGATGTCTTGACGCACACATCGATGACAATAAATTCAAGATAAGCATGGGGCATATCAATTTGGAAAAAATATTCTCTTGCAGAGCTTGCCAGCGACAAGAAAAGGAAATAAATGAACTAACCGCAATAGTTTGTTTCGTCTGTCCTTATACTCTATCTTTGTAATTCCAGGAGTAACTATGAACAATGGACAGCAATTGAAATCGATAAAATAAAATATGTCATTATGCTTCATCGTTGAACTGTCAAAGAACCGATCACCTACCTATACTCACATGATTTACCAGATATACCGTAAATCCTCGAATTGCCCTGCCCCCCCCCCCTCGAATAAGCCCCCACCCTAGAACTACAAATTGTCAATAAGCCTCTTCTTCGACTACGCCCCCACTGCTACCGTAAATTCTCAAATTGAACCCCTCAATTTGATGATTTTTGCCATCTGAGGTTGCCTATGGCGTTTTATTGAATTACCACAACAAATTCATACTTTTGGTATTAATCAATTAAATGCTCATAAAGAAATTCCTACTAAAATAAACGAGATCTTTCAATATTGTCTTTTTAATGTCATCAATGATTCTATAAGCCCCCCCCCTCGTATAAGCCCCCCCCTCGAATAAGCCCCCATCCAAAAATTTAAAAAATAAATAAGCCCCCAGGGGGCTAATTCGAGGATTTACGGTATGTAGGAAACTGGGACGAGGTCTTTAAACATCAGACAATAACTATGTGTAAATTGGTACTTGACAATAAAGAATAGTCAGGGTAATGTGAAATAGTCTTGAAATTAAACAGGGTAATATGAAATTCAAAACTGCCTTACTTTAGAAAGTGTAATTAATTTTTAGGATGCCTTTTTATTTATAGATTAACATGAAAAAACTACGAGAAAAAACAAATATACGATAACTAAAAGTGCATTTGCCTGTTTTTTGAATCTGTTGGCTTAATTAACAAATCAAGCGTTAATTAATTATCCGGGATCAATTAATAAAACTTTCAAATATAAAGTTATCTTGTAAAGGACAAATGAATGGCTTATTAAGGATATACTTTATGGTATCAAACTTTACACGACGTTATATCTGGTTCATTGCACATGTCAGTACTTTCCGTAGCAGAAACGGTTAACTGTTATCAGTGTAGCCTGCGTGCAAACGTCAGCCCCCACGAAGGAGTGAATAACTCCCTTGACTGGGGCTAAAATCTGTCCGCAGGCTTGTATCAGTGGTGCTTGCTCAGCTTCAAGTTTCACCAAAGAAACTGTTGCACGGAGTCCCACCGCTTTTGCATTATAAAATGGCCCTACTGTAACGAGTGCAAAACTCTTAGGGGTATGGGCGTAGCGAGTGCAAAACTCTTAGGGGGGGGGGGGGGGGGTGGGCTTAGTATGGTTTTGCCCGAATATTATTGCTTCAATGAGATAGAACGGCCTAAATTGAGCCTAAAATGCGACAAATTTGGTCTAATCAGGGGGGGGGGGCTAAGCCCCATGTCTCCTAGGCCTCTATGACTAACATTTCGAAGTTCCACCATAGTCTGGTTGCACCTTTTGCAAGGCTGTCGTCTACTGGTGATTCTTTAAAAAAACATGACCGATTCTTTCCCAAAAAAATTGTACCAAATTTCAGAAGAATCACGTAAAGTACGCTTTTAGGAAAGTAAGGCGGGGGTAACTACCCCACAACTCGTTTGGTACCACCACTGCACAACTAGCAAAAACGCTTAACATTTTGCTGAGCAATTTGATGCATGGCTTCCTTCTATTAACCATAATTCGCCACACGCATTGTTTCAGCCAACTTACTCTCAGTTTTACCCTTTGACTTGGTACGAAATTTCCTGAGCCATGCTGGAATCAATACTGGCTCCTCTGCTTTCTCAAGCACAACGCTAAACTCCTCCATGCGCAGTAGCTCTTCAAACATCTTTTGGGCACTTTCTTCGTTTTCGTGGCTTGAAGATTGTTTATTAGTTGCTCCATGTCGGTATAACAATGTCTTCAGTTCCTTTTTTACACTATGCCAATTTTGAAAAACGTAAAGTAAGAGGAACATCAAACATAATGTGCAAATTGCCTCAAATAAACTTGTTTTCAGCCTTGGGAGCATTCTATGATAAGCTCAACTTCTCATTAGGAAAAATATGCTTATATCTTCAGAAGCACGGAACATCGGTTATTTGTGATCATAGGAACTTAATCACTAATCGGCGTTCCAAGATGGATTTTGGTTCACAGAATCACAGAATCAATTCCGATACATGATGTATCATAAATCATGCAGCATTGTATAGATACGAACAACTGCGAGTGAAGCAATACAACAATCAGTGATATCTCTACCATTTGTTTTCTGTGTACAGGATTTCTATCATTGTAGTCATAATACCATCACCATTTCAAGGGCATCAAAACGGAACTTGCCACATTCTGCCAACAAACACCCGACACCAATGCATATCGCGAATTTTCTCCAACAGGCAGTTCTCCAACAGATTAGACAATGAACATCAAATTTATTTATGACCACTAAATCTGAAAGAACCAAGGTTATCGACAGGCCTGAGGGATTTCTATCTTGAAGGACAAAAGTTCGACTTTTGATCCTCAAGCTCCATACCAGCGCAATACCAGCAAATCAAAAGCGCGCGGAAACCAAAGCAACGACAGTGGATTAGAATTTTCATCAACATTCGCTGCCGGTAATTTTCCGCCTAAAACAGGTACCTTTTAGTTGGGGATGAGCACATAAAGTACTTCGAGGGTCATCACGCTTCGGAACGCAGATATTGAGCGTGTAAAAGCTTTCGTTCTTTATTTCTTTTGCTTTTTACAGTTAATGGTTGAGGTTTAAAGCTTCATATAGAAAAGCCTGTATAGATTCAGCCAACAACTTGTTTAACACTGTTCGACGTTTGCCGGGCATTGCTATGGAAACCTTCGCAATAATCTGGAAGTTTATTTACTCAACATTTCAGTAGCACGGACATGGGGAGAAGTTTAGTGGGGCATCATACCCTGCAAACCTGCCTCTTAAACAATTTTACTTTGTAGTAGGCTTGAATTAGCTTTTATTTTGTAGCTATTTTTATACGCCTACTTTAAATAAATAGATAATAATAATAATAATCCTCTCCAAAACGTAATTGCTTTTGCAGATCTTTAGATTCATCAAATCAATCTACATGTTATGGTCCATTCCAAAGACATTCCAAAGAGATATGTACCCATATCATGGTCTATTCCAAAGAGGGGTCATGCGTCCCAAACGTTTTTACTAAATAACTGAGTTGAGTTAGCCTAAATTTTCATTTAGAGCGAAATGTAGATTATAACAAAAATAATAAAGAGAAATCTACAATTACTGGAGGGACTAGAGAAACTGGAGGAGGTAGAAAGAGAATTGTTGCCCCCCTAGCTAGAATCAGTGGCATGAGACCTATATAATACATAAAGCTCTGCTGATTACCTACAGAGCAAAAGACAATAACCAAGTTTAGTAGTTACAAGTACCACAATACCACCAAAGCATAATCTTAGAAAACAACTTACTTTCTAAAGGCTGCAAGAGATGTGGATGGGATTCTGGGGTGGGCTGTCCAATAGTTTGAATTGTACTTAAATCTTGAAAACTATTCCTCGTGTGACACAGGGATTCCAGGCGCTCTAGAAAATAAAATAAAAGTTTACAAAGCCCTATTTCATAATTATTTTTTGTTGTCAATTAGTAAATGGAAAGTAACTTTACACAAATTTGACTTCCAAAGGCCTCAACCAAAATGTGGGTATGTATGCTTACCATCAGTGGGTGTGGCAGCTGTTTCAATGCAAGCATTTCTGACTGTCTGTGGTATATCTTGTAAAAAACCTGCAATAAAATTACTGATAGGTCGAATAAAGATCTGATGAGAACAGAAAGGGGCTGGGGGGCTAGACCCCCGAGTTGGAGAAAAATACCATCGTTTGGACATACACTGTGTTACTGGCCTTTGAATTGCTTAAATCTCTCAGTAACCAATATTAATAATAATCACAATCATAAAGGGCTTTCAATGTTCTGAAATAAGATAAGATAAAGGGATAAAGGAAGGAAAGAATAGAAATCCAGCATTGGGCACCTGCAAATTATCTGGAAGATGACAAGCTTCCTATTCAAAGTAATAAATGTACTTGCTCAATAGTTATGTAATAATATAAGGGTCCTATATAAGGGCACAATGCAGAATAACCAATCCACAAGCAAATGGATGGGATAGGCCAACAGACCTAGGTCCTAAATAACCACACTCTTCGCTTGATGCTTTCTCTCTTATCAAGCACTAAGCTCAAACATTTCTTTGGCAGCTAATCAACAAACAATATCAAAGTCACAATACATGTTTACAGACATTCACACTTTTTTCATAGTTTTTACAATCCTTTTTGGCTTTCAATCAAATCGAATGTCAAAATCTTTCATTGCATAAAGCAAAATTGCTAGTCTTGTGTTTAGATGTGTTACAGGCTATGAGCCTACATTTACATGACATTATTATTATTATGTAAAGGAATTCACTAACATAACAGGACTTAGTGTGACGAGTGATTTTAACATGCAATTGTATCATTACTATATTGATTAAAAATAAAAGCCAACACATTAAATTTATGATGTAGATTCAAAGGATAAAGTTCTACTTCATTTTCAAGTTTATCACCTACCCACGTTTTTGAGGGGATTAATTTATGTTATGAGCTGATGTTAGTCTAATTTATCTAGAAAATTTTTTGACTATTAATTTTGCAGGATTACCAAATTCCAATGTTTCACAAGAATTTATTGAAAGAAAATTCAGATTTTAAGTATTCTTAGGAAGGAGTATATGTATGCCCTAAACAACATTACAATGAGTTCCCATTTGTATGTGGCCTTTGACTAAAGATAACCAAAAAATGTTTAGCCTCAGAACTAAAGGCCAGTAAGATTCTGGGCTGGGGGCCTAGATCCCATAGGCCGCATAGGTAATCTACCACTGAGCCTAAGCCCTGAATAGATAACACCAAGGAACTCTTCACTTGATGTTTTATCCATTATCAAACCGTAAGAATAAGTAAAACATGATCAACACACTAAGAACATAAACAGAAGCTAATTTACAAACAATATAAGTGTAACCATATATGTTTACAGACATTCATACTGTCATGTAATGGCATTCACTAACATAACAGGACTAAGCATGACAAGTGACTTATTATGCAACAGAAATGAAATTATATTGATTAAACATAAAAGCCAGACCATTAAACTTATGAACAGAGCATATGCTATGCTGTTCTAAACTTGAAGAAAAATCAGACATGCTACAGCTACATGGGCTAAAAAATTCTAAGACTTAAAATTCCATTGCTCTCAGAAGTGATCTCAGGGACATCTAACTGAAGCATCAATTTCAGGCTGATAAACAATCAGTTGAATGTTATAAAATGGTATAATAAAACTAATAAGAAACAAAGAAAGTCCACATGCTTGCATGAAGCACACATGTTGATGCTTAATATAATTATATGGAAAAGGTTTTTAAATTTTTCATTGGTGTTGGTTTGAAATCTTTTTCAAGCATAATATCAAAGACACGCATTGCAAGTTTGCTTAATGATTGAAAGTGTACAATCATTGTACAATCTATGATATCAATAAAAGTGCAAAAATGATAACCCTATGTTTTACACAGGTAGATATGTTTCTTAAAAAATCAAATAGAATTCCATGGATCCACAGGACTTTATACCGAGATTACAAAAATTGAGAACAATTTCAGAGGAAAAAACCACTTCTAATTTATAAATGAATGAAAAATCCATCCACATACTCTGATTATTGTTTCGATAACTGGGCACTGCATCTTCCAGTTTCTCATCCTTTGACTTGGTGTTAGGTCCAAATGCTGAACTGGATCCTTTAAACCTCTTTAAAAGTAATTGTGATGATACTGACTGCCACCCGAAGATCCTGGCTAATAAAGAAATATGAATGAAAAAAAATATTAAACCATGTAAAGAATCTCATTCCACATTCAGTCAAATTTCAATTTTTTATTGCTAGATTATTCATTACACACATTTTGAGTATGGTTTTTTAAGTTTTTGTCTGCTTGAGATATCGAGCATTGTGTTTTTATTGATCATAATTTAACAGCCGTTGTCGCTGACTTTTGAGTACAGACGTCTTTGACGACAAGGCCTACCAATTTATTAAGTGCAGGAAACAGTTTGGATTCAACTGGGGCATGGTTTTCTAGGTGGCAGATTCGACTAGGTTTTCAAGCTTCAACTATACTCACCACAATTGCTGCGGATTAGATGCTTCCCCATTTGACAAGACATTGGTCGATGACTTTCACACTACTTTTGATGTTTTGAAGGCCGCATGTTTTTTAGCCATCCCTCCAAAACATCACAGCCTCAATATCAATATGGTAAAATCATATCGAGACAGGGGGCGATAGGGGTATGATGAGGGACGGGTGTGCGTGGGGATCAATCAGAAAAGGCCCTGAGGATCCCTATATCAGATCGGACATCAAATCAAATGACTGTGAATGAAGCTTCTGATGATAGACCCCCTACGGTGTAGGCTAGGAGCATCTCTCTTGCAGAACAAAAGAGTTTTTTGCAAAATATTTTGCTACAAGTCTGAAATTTGCCATCGGCCCTCCCACTCCTAAATTGTAACGGAGTCCCTGGATCACTGCAATTCTTTACATATCATGGACGGAGCAATGGATATATTTCTAAGCCTGAGGACGGGCCAGTTTTTTAAAGAAACTGTCAGTTTTTTGAAAGTCTCCGCATAACAGCTTTCTTTCTCCCTAGCGCATCGGCCAGTCTTCCTCCGTGATATCCTCCGCAGAACAACCAACAGGAAACGCCCGAACAAATCACAGCATCTATTGTTTTAACTGATCATATTTTTTGACGCCTTTGGAAATTATTTGAACCTTATGAAAATTGGCTAAGCCAAGTTAGAAATCTAAAATCGAACAGCGTTTGAACTCAATTCTGAAAAGGCCTAGTTTATCTCTTGATCGCTGGAAAACCTGTGTCAAAGGGCGTTGTTCCTCGAATCATAATCGGGCTGGAAATTTACAAATCTCTTTCCGCAGAATTTCAATTATTTTATCAGTGGTCAGGCTTCCTATGTTCTCCTCGCTTCACTTCCGCTCGCCGGAATCTTTGGCAGCGCAAACAATAGCGGTTTAGTAGGACAATAGAGACGATTGGTGAGGTTTCACTGTTTAAAATCATCGTGATAGTAAAAACCAATGAGACGGGGAGATTGTGGAAATTTGGCAGCCGAAACTTGAAGGCCAGTTCTCTTTCGAGCGTAAGATGAAGTCAGGTTGAATGGGAGTCATCAAAACACATTTTGTTCCTACGTCCTGAAGTTTTTTCATCTGCGCCGGCTTTAGGACGAGTGCCTTATGTACTTTGCCAAGATGGACCAAGCATGCCACATTGCAGTAGTTTTATTTGTCGTTGTTTTAGGTAAGACTTTGGCCCAGGATGGCACAACTCAGTTTGGCACAGCAAAGAAATGCTATCAAGACGATGGAAGACCCTCACGGTGCATGCCAGAATTCGTGAATGCAGCGTTTGAGAAAGACATTTATGCGAACAATACTTGTGGGGTGAAAAAGGCCAGTCATTATTGTGTTCAAAGTGGTCGCATTGGACTTCAGAGGGCCTGTGAGAGCTGCGATAGTCGTAACAAAACTCTCGAACATCCAGCTCGATATATAAATGACAATGTTAAAGAAATGGTCACCTGGTGGCAAAGTGATACACTTTTCGATAACAAGTACCCTGTTAGGATTATTCTAGACCTGGGCAAAACTTTTGATATAACATACGTACGGATGACTTTTCACTCGCCTAGACCTCAATCTTTTGCCATTTACAAGAGGAGCAGTACTACCAAAGATGACAAATGGATACCGTTTCAGTATTATTCACAATCCTGTATCAAAACCTATAGAGTTTCCCCTGATCAAGTTGTAACAAGAAGAAACCAAAAGGTTGCCTTGTGTTCAGAAAAGTACAGTGGAATCTCACCCCTCAGTGGGGGAACTGTGGCGTTTTCAACCCTTGAAGAACGGCCTGAACGCTATGGTTTTGATAGCAGCCCTGTTCTACAGGTAAAATTTTCGCTTAAATTTTAATTTAGATCCTTTCTGCATATTTGTTTCTACAGTCCTTTTCAATTACCTTACCTGTCACGCCATATTAGAGAACGAGTTAACAAACCAGAAATGTTCAATAGTGTACCCCCTTGAACACCTTTCTGAGCTCTGTTGGAGTGATGTTTCCAAGTTCCTGACCCCCTGTTGAAACCGACCTTGGGAAAGGTTGCACTTTGCAGGAGTAAATTGGTTGTCGGCTTGTAAAATGGCGCCATGACCTTCCTTAACCCACATGTGAAATCCCAGCGACGGGGGTGTATACTACATTATTCTCTTTCTACTGACGTACTACCCTTCAATTACCTTACGGCGATTTATACGGCGATATATTAAACATTCTCACTGCATCTGAGTTTTTTGCTAATTCTGACAATTTTTTTTCTAGAAGCTATGTGATTTTCAGAAATTTTTCATATATATTCAAATATTCTTCTAATTTGAATTTTAGAAGACTATAAAATTTACCTGTTTTTGTTAACTTGGTTTTCAATAAAAAAAAGTAGTGTAAATTTTTCCATTACTTTCGACTGGATATAGACTTTTGCTTACTTAAAATTTTTTGTATTCAACTTATAAGTATGAGGAGTGTGGGGCGAAAATTACCACGTTCCTGTTTTTCCGTGCTATCATAAGAAAAGTGTAATTCCATAATCGGATTAGAAAACTAAATTTTGATGCTGTTACATTTGGAAATGACAAAGAAGGACTTACATCCACTTCAGAATCTGGAAAGCTCCACAATCTTACAACACACATTTTTGATAGAATAAATTTTATAATTCTATTGAGGCTCTAAATTTCTTAAATTTGAATATTATAAGACTCATTCTCACGAATGTTTTTACTAAATTTGATTTAAATAGTTTTCATGTATTTCTCTCGAATACAAAATGATTTTTGGCAAAATTGTGCGAGATTTTCTAGAGTGATGTGTCCCTCAGTTAGTCTTAACGAGTGAAGAAGAAAACAGGCAGCAATAGACAAACCATTAAAAAATCACCTTCCCATCTCTTACTGGCAAAATATTTTTAAGGAATCTTTCTTTTCCTCCCTCAGGACAGCTTGCATTGGATAGGATTTATTTTTCAGATTATGATTAGATAATCAAATAGGAATATAAAATGATGAAAACTTTGCTTTGAAAAAACAAAGCTGTTTACATTCGACAAGATAGATTCCAAAACTCGATATTACTTTTAAGTCGGTAGATGTGCAATTTTTCCTGCTTAAATACTTGTTTTTAAAGAAAGAGGTACAAAACCATCCAAAGCGCCTTTAGTTAGGCCAAAAAGTGCTAAGTTTCAATAAACAGTTGGTCGATACCAGGAAGGGTTGAGTAATATCCTCGCTTGGTTTGTTTGTGAGAAAGGATCAGTCCTACACGGAAGGGTGCGGCAAACCAATGTGAGATTTCCTTTTTTGATAATCATTTCCTTTTGACGCGTGATTGATTAAAGCATTCAAGCTCCAACTTATTTTGGCAAATAATATAATTGGACGTGGAAGGTTTTGTAAAATTTTGAAACTGCGAGGCCAGCCTTAGCGTTGTAAAGCCGCTGGACACGGCGTGACGGCGTGGAAAGGGATGATCGTGATGAGGATAAGGTCATCCCGCGGGTAATGTGCGAGATCTTCCACGTTTGTTTACACATATCTGTGGGGATTGCACTACCAGGGAGGAGGGCTTTCTTACTTTGCATTTCCGTAGCCAAAGAAAATAAAAATGAATATGATTCTTCTTTCCAGTGCCAATGTTTGCTTTATATATTTCTTCTGGTTCAAGTTAAAACATTCTCGTTAATAGTCTTAAATATAAAAGTGGGATTAGTATTTTCTGGTACTTAGTGTACACATAGCACTACAAAACATACGATGATTAAAAGGGTTTGTTTATACTTCTGTTATTTGGAGAGTAGCCGCTATGTCAAACCCCAGATCATAAAATAGTATGTTGAGAGGTTGTTAGTGTCCATCTTCGGTCGCCCTTAAGTATGAGATGTCGTGATCAGCTAATACAGTCAGAGATTAATTGTCAAAATTGCGGAGAAATCTATGATTGCGTTTTTGCGAAGCATATTAAATCCATTCCTTTTTGGCCGAGATTTACTCAACGTAATCTCTAAAATCACTAAAGAGAATTTCATTTTTGCCGCTTCCTTCAGTAAGAGAAAGATGACAGGTTCAATCAATGTCCAAAGGATTGTCCAACTAACCTATTTTATTTAATCTGGCGGCAATGATATGAAGGCGCAACCACCCTTGGAATTTTTCTATAACAATATCACATTGTTTATCTTTTATAGATTAAGTGCCTCAGTAAGAAGAATAACTTCATTCCGTAACGAGGGAAAACTGCTTAAGCCATTAAATGGCATCTAGGCCTAAAAGCTAGCTCGAACAACCTACATTGTTAGAAGTTTGGTAAATATGATAACAATCGTGGATATGCAACAAAGGTTATCTTTTACTGCACTTTGCTCGTGTATTGATAATGTTCTTTTGGTAACTTCTTTACTAACGCCTTTCGAAAAGCTCACTGGGTTTATAATTTTGTAAGCCTGCGTGCAACCCGCGTGCAGCCTATACGCTCCCTGACGAAGAGGTAGATCCAGGAGCGTAGATGATGCATGCATCCTTCTCCCCCCATGTACCGTAATTATTCGATCCAGTGCTGCGGTGCTAATTTTCTAAATCAACGTAAAGTGCTGCTCTTATTATATTTCTAAACTTCACTTTAAATTTCATTGACGAAAACGCCTTTTAGGAATGGGTCACCGTTGCCTCCTTGCGAATCGATTTAGACAGACTGAATACTTTCGGAGACGAAGTATTCGGAGACCCCGATGTGCTGCGCAGTTACTACTTCGCAATTTCCAACCTGGTGGTTGGTGGTCGATGCAAGTGCAATGGCCATGCATCCGAATGTTTACATCTAGGAAAGGAAAAGACAAGGCTCAAATGCAAATGCGACCATAATACTGACGGTGATGATTGCGAGAAGTGCCTTCCTCTTTACAATGATACTCCTTGGAAGAGAGCAACGCGATACTCGGCTAATCCATGCTCACGTGAGTGCTTTTTGTGCTTCCTTTAAAGCCTAACGATAAACAGTTTGAAGCATGTTCACTCATCCGGCAAATAACTAAAACGTCTTTCTGAAGTTTGAGGGTTATTCTAGAAAAAGTTTCGGCAAAATTCAAATTTACCTTGTATAAAGCATGACATAAAATCGCGACTTCAGTTTAGGGCTGGAGCAGACTTCCTAGTATATCCCATATCATGTATCCCATGTTAGTAATGGCTGCGCTAATGGTAACACATGCCACCTATCACGAAAGACCCAACCACTGTGCACCATTCTGTATTAACAGTAAATTTGATGCGTATTAAAGGTCACGAATAACTCGTTGCAGCTGTCTTGTAGAAGGAATTTTGGTTTCTTTAAGAATGTGTTTGTTCAATGCGTTCAATGGCCAAAGTCTAGGGAATGTGGTCCGAATGGTCTCTGGTTACAGAATTGTAAGATTAAAGAAGACTCTATTGGGTGCCTCAAAACTAGGTTGTTGATCATTCCATCTTTCCATGTGTGGATTTGCAATCGGAATTCTTGTCATTATTTAAGTTAAGTATAGGTGCATCTTTTCTAACAAGCACTTTATCACCGTAGCTAGAACCAATATTTATGCAGAAAAGCTAATTCAATTTTGTTATAAAGTCGTTAATTTGTATCATTTGTTCGTTAGTCAATGTGTTTCATGATAGTCAATGGAATGAATTGATTTATTTTAGCTTGCAATTGCAATGGCTTGGCACAGTCTTGTGTATTTGACTTGGATTTGTACAAATCAACTGGCCGTGGGGGGAGGTGTATTAATTGCAACAACAACACTGATGGAGTCAACTGTGAAAAGTGCAAACTATACCACTACAGAAAGTTTACAAACGAGGCATGCAAACCATGCAACTGTGACCCCGTCGGCTCCAAGCGTGCTCAGTGTAATTCTGATGGACAATGTGCCTGTAAGCCGGGGGTTTTCGGGAAAAAGTGTGATACGTGCCGACCAGGATATTTCGGTTTCTCGAACGCTGGATGCAAGTACGTGTTTACTTGTCTTATTTTGATTCGGATGATTGTGTCGTGTCAATAAACAGTTAAAGGACCATTGAGGCCAGACTGGGACACCTTACGGCCCGGGGGCGCAATTTAGACGTTCCTGTCCGGTCTGCGTGTGTGTGTGAATTTTTGTTGGGGTAGTTTCTCACGCGACCTACAACACAATATCATCCATTTATAAACATAATCATGTAATGTCTATATCTTTTCAATCTCTGAAGTATGTTAAAATTTATTGCTTTTTACATTTGAGAAAATGAATATTGTGCAGAATAAGGTTGTCATTAGTTTGGCCCTCCAACACCGTTCAGGTTTCTATTGTAGCCGCTGAGAAAAGTTAATTGCTTACTTTTGCTCTGAATTAGATTCTTTGTTTTGATCTATATACATCTTTTTGTTAGGCCGTGCAAATGTTCCAAACAGGGAAGCTTAAGCGAAAATTGTGATGCGACAGGAAAGTGCAAATGCAAAAAGAATGTTGTTGGACAGAAATGTGATCAGTGCAAAGCAGGCCACTTTGATTTGGATGCTAAGAACCTGGATGGGTGCAAGCCGTGCTTTTGCTACGGACATGGAATCTCTTGTCAGGCGAGGCCAGGGTACCAAAAGGCTGTCATCATGAGTGATTTCGAGAATGGTCTTGAGGGCTGGAGAGTGGAAACATATGCTGGTGACTACTTTGTTATTTAGCGTTTGTTGGAGCATGTTATTGCTAAGGGGGCTTGAAGTTTATTACTTTAATTGCCAATAGTGCTTTAACTGAGAAGTTAACTCATATTATAAGCTGGAGCAACGTAAGTGTGAGAAAGTATGTAATCAGAACTCTCTTATGTTTCAAAAGTTAGTTTTATCCTCTAGTTATCCAGGCAAAGCAGTTGATTTTCGTTATAGATTTTCTTGGGAATTTTTTTTTATTCTTAATGTTATCGGGCCCCAGGGTCCCTTTTAATGTTGTTTTGGACCCTTTTTCTGACGTTTTATACTCTGTGGAGTGTCAGACGAAGAAGCTTTTAGTATGCTGCGAAATGTTTGCTTCTTTCAAAACTCTGCATCGCCAAAAAATTGTTCAGAATCCCCGCTAGTGAACATCGTTCTTCTTTTGTCACCTTTGATCAACACCATTGAAATTAGCTGCATTGGTTTTAATCGTTTTGATGAATGCAATGGTTGCCCTTCCAGGAAAACGTGTTCAAATAATCTTGATTGTTTATCTAGGAGTCGATTATCAGTCGAGTGCTGGGCTCGATACCCGCGGCAAATACGTACGCGTGAATGCGCCAGCTACTGGAGAAGTCCTGTACCTCGTTGCTCCCAAGAGGTATCTTGGTGATCGCCTTAGCAGTTATGGTAGAAACTTCTCCTTTCTATTTGGTGTAACTGAAGTCCAAAGGGGTTGGAATAACACGCAAAAGGATTTCATTCTGGAAGGAGCCGGTCTAAAAGCAGAGTACCCTATAAATGTTGGGAGTAACGGTGAGCCACAAACACGATTTGAATCCTTCACGTTTACTCTAAAAGAACCTAAAAGTATGAGCCCATTCGAGTTCCAAAAGCTGCTGAACAGATTGACTGCAATCAAGATTAGAATGACTTTTGGCAGAGCAACTGGTGTAATTAGAAGCATCGGCATGGATACAACTACACAAGCATCGATCAACTCTTTGGAGCAAGTCAATTGGGAAGAAATTTGCAAATGCAAGGAGGGCTACACTGGTGTCCAGTGTGAGAAATGTGACAGTGGGTACACCAGGGAAAGCAGCAAGGACGGGAAATATGGCAAGTGAGTATATGCGCATTTCACAGTTTAGGTAGCAGTCCATGCCAATGTTTCTTGGAGCATCAGCGATGGTGTTTTGATTTTGTATTTGTTGTCTCCAACACTACGACCTCCGCCACCTTTTCTATAGAAGAAGCGCTGACTGTTGAGGTAAATGTCATATTAGACACGTAAAAACGGACATTGTTTAACGGGGGGGGCATGGCCGATATGACCACTTGAATCGATGCTACAGGTCCGACACTTTTATCAACAATTGCAGCTCAGGAGAGTAGCCAAAGGGTTTTTAATTTAAGCTGTATTTGTTTTTCTTTGTGCTTCGTCTATTGTTTAGATTAACGATGCAACTCTGCTGGCAAAATTCAAACCTTTCTAAATGATTTGTTCGACATTGAGTGGCTCGCTTCTTGTCTGATTTACAAGCTTATGCGTCCGTTTGATGTTCAATTCAGCTTAGGCGTACGCAGTGGCTTGGCCAGTTTAGCGTGAAGCAAAGATGCAAATTAACAGACTTCAATTTTGTGTTTGCCCCCCAAAGCCATTGATCTTATTTAGCAAAATCACTTCCGTAAAGCAATGAAATCGGTTCCTACCGACGCTCAGAATATAATTGACAGACGACAGTGACCGTTGCTTTGCGAAAAGTCTGTAACACAAAGGCGGCATCGTTTAGAGATTTTTGTAAGAACATTTGAACATTCTGAGATTTCCTTAATTCAGGAAAAACAAGTCGTTTTTAATTGTTTTAGTAGCAATTTCAGTGGAACATGCGATGAGAATGAATGGCTACCTTCAAACTGTCTATCAAGGACCGCTTTTGTTTAATTTTCAATATAAATAGGTCTTCAAACATCCCAAGGCTCTATGCTTTGTTTTCCATCTGCTGGCCCTGAAGCCAAGGAGATGGGTTTTTTCTCTGCGAACACTATGACCGGATCTTTTGTCAAATCACTAATGCTCGCTGTGTTTAGTGTTGACGTTCTGATCGTTACATTCTGTTATTATACGAACCGGATAAGTTCAGCCAAAGCTCGAGTGTTCTTAATGCAGTTCTTATTGCAATTCTTATTCCAACATTGGATTTTCCAATACTGCATACTATCTAACATTTCTAAGACCTATAAATAACAGTTTCAGCATTTTTCTTAGGAAGGCCGATAACCTGAAAAAATCTGATCCGTTTTGCTAAATTGAGAGTAAATTTTCATTGCTTCTTTTCTTCAATATTTTTTCTGAGTCTCGGCATGATCTCGCCCTGCTTTTATTCTTTTTTGCGAATCGCGCTTCGTTGTTCTTGTTGAATGTGCTCTTATAAAGAAAGAGCGTATAGTTACGGGTGGCTGTAACTTTCCAACCTCAGTTGGGCGTTCGAGGAACAGCCTAAATTTACATCTTAGAGGAAAATAGTATGTTATCTTCAAAAGGTCATCTGCCCACATTACTTCAAGTATTACAGAACTTCCAGAACGCAAGCCATTCCCTGCTTTCTAACAGCAAACATATTCTTACAAATAGTTGTGTTTTCCACCCAACGCGATTGGGGCTGTGTTGTTACTTGTTTATTATTCGATGTTCGCTAGCTTTTAACTCAGATTCTGTTTCTTCCACAATCATTTAAATCTTGTTCATCGCAAATCTTGTTCAATCTCCTGTACCGATTGATGGGATAAATTATGACGTCATAAAAATTTTTTTTTAGAATTTTGATTTTGACCACATGAGCAGAAAAACACGATAAAATGCATCTAAAAGTGCAAATCAGTTGAATCTGCTACAGATTTCCTGAGGTATTGCCAGTCGAACATTTGAAGTTTGCTAGAGGATAACTGTTATTTTGGCTCGGTTTTCATGAGTTTTAGAACCAGGGTATCTAATCCATGGTCGCCTACGTCCACAAGGGACATGGTACTTAGATAGATAGATCTAATCACAGTGGTTTGATGATTATGGGGGGGGGGGGTGAATGTACTCAATGCGGGCACAGTTGGAGGTTTTTTTGCCTCTTTAGGCTATATGCTCAATTCTAAATTCTAAAATATATATTTTTGTGACATCATCACTTTGCTGCTCTATAATCATGTACAAATAAGCAAACCCGTGTCTACGTCACAACTACCAAGTGAAAATGTCGTTGCGAAAATTTCTCAGCTATCAGCCCATTAAGGCAACCACCATGCTTCCATATCGGCATTTTAATCTCGGTTGTCACTTCTTAAACACATGTGATGTGCATGCTTAACTTGCGGTAATGCATGGGAAAACATGTAGATAAATAAAATTTGCGAAGAATAAGCATCGCTAGTTTATGTGTCTATCTCTTTCTATTCAATTTTTTTGTATTCCATCGAGTTATTCTCATGCATCGTTGATATTTTTGTACAGGTGCGTGCTGTGCAACTGCAACAACCACGCCAAAGAATGTCACCCGGAAACTGGTGAGTGCAAGTGCCAAGATAACACAACTGGCAAGAATTGTGAGAAATGCAAGCCTGGTTTCTATGGATACGCAACAAACGGTCAAAAGGATGACTGCAAGCCGTGTCCTTGTGTCTTCGGGAGTCAGTGCATATACTTGGCAGGACGAGTGCATTGCACAGACTGTCCGGAAGGCCACGAAGGCGATCGCTGCGAAAGATGCAAAGATGGCTTCTTTGGCGACCCTGAAGGGAAGGTTGGCCCAAAAACAGGGTAAGTAAGATATAGTTTTATTGAAAAAATACGTTTTCGGTTGGTTTAGTGGCTAATTTGAATGGAAAAGATGCACAAACAATTAATGTAACTTAGGTTCGGGTTAAATTGCATAGTAAGGCCCGCAAATCAGTAACGGTCTGTGTTGGTAGAGGTCTGCCGTTAGAGAGCCAACAAGTCTATCAGAAGATATTGTTTCATTTTTCTTTGCTATGGTTAATGACAGTAGCAGAGTGCGTTTATATTTGAAAGATCTTGTTCGAAGTGACTACAGTACTTAGACCTAGGTCACACCTTTTAACAAAGATATAAAAGTCTGGCGCATAAAATCTAGACACGAGAATATTTTCGACTTTTCACGGTCACACCTCTTCACGAAGATATAAAAGACGGGTGTATAAAATTTAGAAAATAGAATGTTTTCGCCGTTTTTTTAAAGGGTGCTATATGGGAAATATTGGAACAGCGTTTAAAAAAACAGTTCTAGCCTATTATTTCATATTTATTACTTATCTATTATATATATTTATTTGACGGTTCCTTATGTTTGCATGTCTCTTTTGCTATATTAGGTAATTTTGTTTGTTTTGATCCTTTCACAATATGCTTAGTATTGTTTTATATCACTCACTGGCAATTCGCTTTAGAAAATGTTTACAGATTCGTTTAACTTCCATTTTTTCTTATAATTCCAAGATGTAAGCCATGCAACTGCAGTGGAAATATCGACAAAAATGCTCTTGGAAACTGTGACAGGACCACTGGAGAGTGCTTGAAATGTATCTACAATACAAAGAATGGGCCAATGGGCAAGTGTGAGATGTGCAAGACAGGATACTATGGGGATGCTTTAGCTTTGCCCAAAGGGCAGTGCAAACGTAAGAACAGAGCCAGAAAATGGTTACTTGTCCCTACATCAATTCTGTAATTATTTACAGATTTTAAAGTCTTAAAATTTTCGGAAAATATATTGGCCGAATTTTATAGCAAAATACTTGTTTTTGTAGAAATAACCTTTGGAGAATCGCGTGTTACATTTTTATGGAAGGGTTGAGACGATCAGTTTTCTAATTCAATGTTTTTGATCAACAGCTTGCAACTGTTTTGTGAATGGAACTGTTTGGCCTCCAGGCCTTGTCCCTACGAAGGACCTTCTTCCATGTGACAAAAACGGACAGTGTCAATGTCGTGACAATGTAATTGGAAAGAACTGTAGTCAGTGCCCACCCAAATACTGGAACGTAGCTGCTGGGAAAGGGTGCATTAAATGCAAATGCAATCCAGTGGGATCAGTTGACGACTTTTGCAGTTTGGATAGTGGTCAGTGTAACTGCAAAGAAGGCGTTGCTGGGAGGCAGTGCAACCAATGTGCTCCGGGACACTACAGCTTCACAAAGGCTGGTTGCACAGGTTTGTTTGTAACCTTAACCTAAGTCATAACTTTTCATTGCTTACTTCTTTGTGACACAGCCTGCTATAGCCAACTATGTTTGGTTTCTAAGACTTATGCATACTTCTTTTCCTTTTTACACTACCTCCCACATGCATTGCCACTGACAGCCTAATTGCTAGCCCTAGGTCGGCTTTAGGTCACCATTCAGTCTAGCTGTACTGATGAGCCCTGATATGGGGCGAAACCGGTTGACAGCTGACTGTTTGAGGTGTCAGTGGCTTTCTTTACTTCACACTATGTTTGATTTGTCTCCCTAAAGTTGTATGCTTTATCTCGTAGCTTGCAACTGCAACAAGTTTGGTTCAGTGAATGAGAACTGCACAGACCTTGGTGTTTGCTATTGCAGACCAGGAGTGCTTGGTGTCAAATGCGATCAGTGTCCAGAAAATAAATACAATTTGTCTGTTGGATGCATATGTAAGTAAACGGAATATGATCTAAAATTTTCGATAAAGCCAAATTATTAGGGTGATTCGCGTGATTGCAAAAATGATTTGTTTGATTACTCAAGTGATTCATGAACAACTTGTATCGTTGTATTCCTTGATAACGGGCTATGCTCGAAACGTCGTTAATTATTTTAATTAAATTTTCCTGGCACAATTAACTTGCATTGATCGTTAACTTGTATCGTTGGTTATCATCACCTGTGTGAAAGATTGAATTTTCAATTTTTGTCTGACTATATTGAAATGAGTGCCTTGTGCGTTTTTTTCAGAAACTAAAAATTTACACTAATTTTTCTAGCATGTCCACAGTGTTACTTCCTTGTGCAAAGAAAGGTCCATGAACTGAGGCAAAAGCTAATACGATTAAAGGCTTCAGTAGGAGAAGCAAAATTGCCGCAGAACTTTACGATCAAAAACAAAAACTTTTCAGTTGCATTAGGAAGAATTGAGTCGGAGGCAAACGAAATTTCAAACAAAATCAAGGAACTTCAACTTGAAGAAAAAGACTTGAAGACTTTTTTCCAGAAGCTAATGGACGATTTCAATGGTTTGAAAAGAAATCTACGAAAACTGGAAGCTGCCCTAAATATGGCTTTCAACAGTTCGATAATGGCAAAAATGGATATAGGAGACGCTGAGGACATGATAGAACAAATAAAGAAGCTTCTTGATGGAGCCAAGTACGACTTAGATGTCAATGGTAAAAGGGCCTATAACGAAGCGAGGAAGTTGGCAAAGGATATTTCAGATCTGGCGAAAAGGATGAAGAACATTGCAGCAGAGGTGCGTCACAATTTCCTCTAGATTTAATATCGATATACAATCACTGCCAAAAGTCTTGGAACACTAACGTCAGTTTTCTATGGCAAATTCAGCCACCCCCTCTCCCCTTAGGAACAATGTTGATTCACTATAGAAAAAAGAAAGGGGTTATGGAGTACGCTTTTTCTTGTGGATTGTTTGATATTTTTCTATATTTTCAACATTGTTTTGGGAGGAAAATTTTTTGGGTATGTTTTGCAAAGAGAATTTAAGTTGGCAGTAATTTCTTTTAGGCCAAAAAACTAGCTGATCAGCACGAGGAACAGTCAAGGAAAATCGAAATGACTGCAACTATGGCACTCAATATGTCGAAAACTGCTTACCAAACGGGCAAGAAGGCAAGGCATACTCAGGAAGGTATGTTTGCTAGTTTGTCGGAAATGACTGCCAGTGCCGAAGAGGCAATGAAGCTGGCTAACGAAACATCACAGAAAGTCCAAGTGGCCATGGACGTCACTAAAAGAACACTGGAAGATGCTCAAAAGGTCTTGGATGAAGCAACCAAGCCAATTGTCGATTCAGGGATCGCACTGATTCGAGGTAAAGCTCGTTATTTCTTTTTGTTGGGGATTAAACTGGAAAGGGGCAGCTTTTGTCGAGTAGTTTTTTTCAGATATTTTTTTAAATTTGCATGCATATCATTGTTGTTGATAAATTTTGAATCCGGCTTTTGTGGATTTTCATAGTTTTTTGTAAAATTAAATCGTACAAAGGAACACCAAATTTTTTGACCATGAAAGAAAAATTGTGTTTAGACGATGTTGCTTTTTATGATTGCAATTTCTCCGAATCTTTGACTGAGATCGAAGCCAAATTTACAAGGAAAAATTCTTCTCCCGTTAATCACGATTGCTAGGTTTGAGTTTATTTAGCGGCTTGTACTCTGTGAACAAATATTGTAAATAGTGGAAGTTGTAACCCAGACTGACCCATCATAATTGCATTTCAATCTTTCAAATATTACTTTAAAATGTATGCATTCATATTTGGTAAGAAAGACGTTAATAAAATCAATGTACGATTTTATGTGTGAGATCAGTTTTGCAGTGGTAATTGCTGTTATTTTGAGTCAGTTGCATTCTTTGCACAGAAAAAGTGAAAAACCTGACGTCACATGCGATGGAGATATCCAACAAGTCAATGATGGCACTTCAGGATAATAAAGTTCTTCTGGATGAATATCATGCAAATGAGAAGGAAGCGAGAGAGCTCATGAGAACGGGTCGTGAAGAGTATGCAGTTGCAGACAAGACATTTGAGAAGGCAACCAATGCATACGAAACAGCGAAAAAAGCCAAAAAAGATGCTGATAATACCGCTAAAGAGGCAATAGAAACACTGCGATTGCTCACGGTATGTTTGGGGCCATTTTGATGAATACTTGATGTTATTTTAGGCCCAATTTATCCTGGTTGCGAAGCGAATATTGGAAGTTTTAGATAGCGTTGGTATTTTTCACTGTTTTCAAACTTAATAAATTATTTCGTTTTTCTACTCAAGTTTAACGACTGAAAAGCGAACTACTTTTTTCCCTGTGACAATTTTTTTGTAAAACATTGCACCTTTAGTTGTTACATGAAATGTTGTCACCTCGATGCCTTCCTTTCTATGAAATACAGCAGATATTGATATTAGTTTTATATATTTCTTGCTAATATGCGAGCATTGCTAATGTTTTTGAGGACCTTTATGCAATTTGTACAGGTTTTTATTTCTCGCCTGTGGTCAACAAAGATGGCACTTCCATTGCCATTAATTTTCTTACGTTTTTATTTTATCATTACCGCAGGGATTTAACGAAGAGATCGAGAAATCAAAAAAGAATTTCACCGATCGAAAGCAGTTGATACCAATCATAAAGGAACTTATCAAGTCTGCAATTGATTCTGGAACCCGTGGACAAAGCCTAGTTGAAATGGCCGCTAATGCGATGGATGAGTCTCGCTCTGTTTTGACTGGTGCCATGAAAACCATCAATGGTACTACAGAGGTAGGCTCTCATCTATTTTACAACCATTAAGCCTCATCCAAGTAAAAGTTTATTGGGTTCGGTGCTGATTGGCTAAAAGCTAGACCAATTAGATGCAACTGCTTTCCTTTTGGTTTTTTTCTATCCGTATTTGGATAAACCGTTAGGCTATCAATCAACTAATCAACTAAACACAGTTCCATACTGTGTAGGATTAGTTACAGGGTGTAAACAAAGCCACATCTGATCTCACTTCTAGAGTCTTTACTCCTTGCCCTCCCCTGTTAAGAAATCCTGTTTTAAAAGCAAGACATGTTTTCCTGGAGAATCTATGAACTTCCTTTACTTATTTTTTCTGTGGTGTCTTTTTGGTTTACACTTGGAGGTTTGTTGTTTTTTCGGGGGGAGGGGGGGGGGGGGCTAATGGCCTAGAGAAAATATAAAGCTGCTTTCTGCCGATTATGTAGTGTCTATTAGTTTAATTCTTCAGAAAAGGTATCAGTTCCTATATAATACATTTATGTTCATACAACACCCATAGATTGAAAAGTGGCAGAAATAGTACGAGACACATATCTCGTAAATGGCTTTGAAAAAAGCAAACATTTAGTGAACTAAAGCTTTTCGTCTGACACTCTTCAGAGTTTTAAAACGTCAGAACATAGATCGAAAACTCTACGCTAGGAAATATATATACCCAGTTGTGGAACGAAATAGGCCAATCAGAAACACGAGCACATGACTGTTGAGGTTGACCAATCAGTGCCGCTTGCCTATTGAGAATGTTACCAATGGAGTCCTAAGGTGAAAACGAACTCCTTACAAATAATTATCATATCTCCTTAAAATTTTTTTAGATCTTTTCAGTACAGATCTTTTGACTTCTTAAACTGAATTCATTCTGACTTTTTAGACCTTGGAAACGATAAATGGTAAAGCGACGAACAGTTCTGATGAGTTTGAAAAGCTGAAAAAGGAGGTTGATGAGACAATTAAAGATATGAATGCGTCTGCCGTCCTTTTGGAAAGCTACAAAAAAATGGCTGAAAACGATTCAGTTGCTGTGAAAAATGCAATGGATGAAGCAAAACAAGCACAGGTCGATGCCAAAAAAGCCGAAGGTAATTTATTTTCTGGATTCATTTTACGGTGAATAGGTTTTAGGGTCAATATATTTGCTGTTAGTTTAGATATATTCCTCGCTTTGTACACCTAGTGGAAAAATTTTGCATTAGATTCACGAAATATATAATGTTTTTAAAGGTTTTCAATTCTTGGTCCTGAATGAGAGGGGGTGATATCACTTGGGACTTCGAAATGAGGACACAAAATAACCTTAAGGGTCGGTGCCTATATCCTACTCAAGGGAAAATTTTGGACCTACACAATTTCTTTATCATTTGGGATTCTTATACTCAATTAAAATTACATGGCAAAATTTGAACAAAAATAAAAATTTTGCATTCTATGACATCATCACTTGGGCACTCTTTTGCAAGAAAGTAATTGAAATTTTTGGAAACCATTTTGTCCTGAGGAACCAATTTTGGTCCATCATAAATTATATCCATCCTTTCTGTGGGGCTTGAATCTAAAATTGCCATTTAATTTTCCTAGGAGATCTAATGAAAGCATTAGATGATGTGGAAAAACTTATTGCTGATCTTGGGAATCTTGGTAGCATCGATTTGGCGAAATTGGAAGCAGCGGAAAAACGATTCGCAAGTGTTAGTAGAGTGATTCAGGGCACATTGGATGTTGAGGTAGAAAAGCTAAAGAAGGCCTCTGAGTCGCAGCTAAACACAATCACACAGTACGAGTTGGATTTAGGCCCATTGAAAAAAGAAATCGACCATGTAGAGGCCATTTACAAGGCTTTCCCAAGGAAATGTCTAAAGAATCCCACTGCTATTGAAGCTGGCTAACGTCTTTTTATCGGATTTTTAATTTTGTTTTGTTGTAGAACTATTTAATGGCTGGAAAACACTTATTAGAAACTGTTATCAATGGCAAAGTGCAATTTTAGAAATCAACGCATGATGTACTAATCTCGTAACCGTATAATATATTCTAAAACCTAAAAACGAGGCTCAGTTTATAGATTACTGCAAAATGGCTGCTTAAAAATATTCCACCTGTATTTAAGTCCAATTAAGTATACATCTTTTTAAATGTTTTCAAGGACAACTTTCCTTCCTATGCTAGACTTTCCACCTAATGACCGGCAAGGAAAAACAGCCAAGTGTATGAAAAGAATATTTGTCACCTTGACATCAATGCTTTGGGCGATTCCTCGTCCTTCGTGTATTGTTGCACACTTAGTAAGTTGATTTTTGAATATCCTAGATGCTATGGTGTTTTTTCGCATCGAATTTCGTGTTCCTAAAGATCTGTTATCAAAATAATTCATCGCTTTACAAGTGTTGCTAATTAGCTGGATTATTCTTACGTTCACGAAGGGTGAAAAATTATAATTAAAGCCATCTTAACTGAGGCTTCTCGACTTTGTGGCCATTAAAATTTGTGGCCAGAAAGCAGTGACTATTCAGAAAGGCAATACAGACATGACGAGTGTCTGTGATGAGAGTATTGATTGAAGGTCACTCTTTATGCTTAGGTTTTTTACACTGAACTGTACTGAAGGCGAATTGATTCACTGCTGTGATTTTGATGTCTTGATTCTAGTGCGCGTGGCGATTTTCTAGCAAGTTACTCTTTCAGTTTGGAAGGCAAAACCCCGATTAGTAATTACGCGCTTTTAGTGTTAACATATGTGAAAATATATAAATATATAATTTTATCTAGCTGCTTGTATTGGGTAGCTTTTCTTAGAATCTTATCTTAACCTGTTAAATTTTTATGACATATTAACGTTTTGACTTTGTTTGTTTTATATAAACATTCTAATTAAAATATACATTTGTGTTTTCTATTCTGATTCCTATTCTCGGAGTTGACATTCTTCTGGCTTATGATTTAAAAGCTTTCACAAAAAATTGGGTCAAGGATACTTTGGGTAATTTAGCCGAAATTGTTTGTTTTTATGGATCTTCTTCGATAGGGGCGTAGCTTCTACGCTTCCTTTGGGGAATGTATTGCTCTGCCAAAAACTAAAAAATCACTTAAGATTTGAAAAAATTGATTTACAGTTAATGTTAATTTTGAGGCAGTCCCAAAGTTTTTCAATGAAGTTATTGACATTTGCATCTCCCCCTCTCTTTAAGGAAGGCAGTTTTCAGAAAGCACCAGTTTTCAAATAGACATCGTTTTGCCAGTATCCCACATACATAAAGGATTTCAAATTCATAATTAAATCACTGAATACTTAAATCCCTCTAGGCTGTTTTAGGATGTTTCATGTTACTGACTTGCCTCCTTTTCATGAACTACTTGAATATTCAGAAAGGCAATACAGACATAGGCTGAATAATGTATTAATCTTAAAGATCTGGGCCCTAGTGTCTGTGATGAGAGTATTGATGGAAGGTCACTCTTTATGCTTGAGTTTTTTTATACTGAATTTTACTCAGACACCGCGGAGCAGGGGGGGCTGGGGGGCTTTAGCCCCCCACTTTTTGCAAAAAGTGCCAAATATTAAGTATCAAACTACCAGAAAAGCCTCTTTTTATACGGTTTTAGCCCCCCCCCCACTTTTTAGACCCCCACTTTTCTCAACGCTCCGCGGTGCTTGACTGTACTGAAGGCGAATTGATTCACTGCAATTGATCTGCTTCAACAACTGATCTGCTCATATGTTGGGATGTATAGTCGTTATAGATGTGGCAACAGAACAAACCTGATATACAGGAGGGCGCTAAGAATAGCATACAGCAGACCTCTTTCGAAGACCTGCAGACCAACCACAGGGCATTTTGCACAGATATAATTTGAGGATTTCTCAAACTTCATATATTGTAGGGATAACTTATTTCTCGTTAAAAACTAATATAGTATTCAATTTCAATGCCATTAGGGGTCTAGAAAAAACTAAATTAGCAAGCACCTTAAATAACGATGCTATGAAAATACAAATGACAGCTTGCAGCTGTTTATCATGCACTCCCAACATTCATGGAACAAACAGCATTTTGATTATCCTCTAAATGAAATACACTATGAAACAATACCGAAATACACTACTCGAAAATAGCCTGTGCTTTAGTTTAGAAACTAGGATAATTCAGGTGCATTTCTTACATTGCTTGGGGGAGGAGGGGATTTCTATAGGCGTGAATTTGAAATATAATTGACAGATACTTCTTGAGTGCTCCACCCAGGTCCTATTGATTTTGGCAAGCATTTCACCTCAATGTCAATTTTTTTTATCTTCCTGATCTAACTTAGACTAAGAACTTCGGCATAAATACTTGCTTTCCCCAAAGATCTGTACGTATACAAGATTATACTGTTTTTGTTGGTTTTGTTTATTAGTATACCACCAACACCAACATCAAACAAAGAATAAAAAAGCATCAGATTGGAAGAATACAGAAGAGCTAGCCACAAAGTGAAATGGAACCCAATTGGCATAGGGCAGACAACGTGGGCCTTTTAAATAGTTTTCTCCTGGTGAACTTTCTTTTAAATTCATTACCAAACCTTAATTGCACGTTGATAGTGCGATGATGGTTCTGCGGTCTGAAATCGCTCCACGACAAAGACACGACTCCCATGTGCTTCTTCTCGATGTCTAAAATTTATGAGCTATTTTGCTTGATAGCCGCCCATTTGTCTTGCAAATGAACTAATTTTGACGTATTACTATTGATTCAGGATTGCAAATGGGTGCACGCCTAGGATGCCAGCGAAATAGGCATCCTGGCATTTGTGTCAACGTGGTGTCACGGAATGTGTGGTGGGTTATCAGGAGCCTCGGGTCACCCCATTCTGATAGAGACTCCCCTTTAAAACCAGAAAGCAAAATTATGTTTTAGGAAACTGGGTGATTAGAAATAACTAATATATAAGTTTTTATATTGAAGAATTTGATTAACATTTATTTTACATTGTCTTGATCTGAGCCATATGCCTGAATATGAATCTTTCTTTGATGACAAGAAGCATTCGACACATGTCAAGGTAATCAGGAGAGAATTCAATAGCTCAATTATCTCAATCGATTTCACCGCCAAGATTGATTGTCAGAATACGGAAAACCCCACGATCCCTTCCTTGAACATTGAATGGGTGTATTCGTTACTATGAGAAACTTCTTCCTCTTTCACTTGCTGTTGTTTCTCAAAGAACCATCTGCTCCCTTGAAGAGCCAATCAATGCAACTGACAAGGTCACGTGGTATGACTATTTTATCACATCAAAACTGCAAGTTGCTCTGCTAATATGTAAAGAGGAAAATCATTAAGTTTATCGCTAGCATTGCTCTCTATGGCCAAGACAATATTTCATTGGGATGGATAAATTGTTGCTCGTGTTCACAATATTATTGTCTTGTGTTTTGAGTGGCTGTATTCCGTTCAACGAAGGTGAGTTCCCACTTCGTTATACTGGCCTAGCCGCCCATCGATGCTGTCTTTTGATCTCAGTGGCTTTGATTTATTTGTCTTTTATCGATTGCATGAGCTATTTCGTTCTCATGCTTTAAAAGTAACGAAGTATAAGGAATGAAAGACTTGTTAGCTATAGTTAGACTCTTCCGCCGGAATTTAATTTGTGATCAGTATGGAATATGTTGACCCAAGGCTTCCAAGGGTATCGGATTGTTTTCGTACGTGGAATTCAAGTTATTGGTTTTTGAAAAACTCTGGGTTATTATAATGGAAGCAAATAGTTGAAAGTTTAGATTTTATTCCAGACCTGTAAGATTTCAGCTGAGGATTGTTTTTCTCCCGGTGCTGCATTCCTTCGAAGATTTAATGATTTGTTACACGGCCAAATGTACCATCCTGCACAATAGGGACTCTGAATGTGATATGCTAAGTAGTTTGGAAATATTTCTCGGAATATCCCTGTAAATGCCGGCCAATTTAAGTGTGATCTGCCACAAACCTTTGGTTATTGCACACAGGCGAAGCAGCTGCATTTCCAGGATACTGCACACATTCTCCTAGATTATAGCTTTGCTCCCCATTTTATCTTGATTGTTTCTCAATTTTTGAAAGAAAAAGCTTGTTGTTTTTCTCCAGGAGTAGGTAACAAAAATCCTCACCCCAGTTGCTTGGTACAAACCAAAGAGACAGTTGTTTGGCACATACTTTTTATCTATTTGCTTGCTGCTGATGAGCAATATTATTTACATTGATGCACAATGAGCAAATTAGACTGGCTATCCTCAATTCTGAACCAGCTTGTTGGTTATCTTTTGTGTTGCAATACTGAACTGAAGTGAGCCTCGAGACTTTTGCTTAATCAAGGATAGGGCAATTTCCAGAAAGGATATGAAAACAGCTTGTGAACTTTTTGGCACATTTTTTTTGTTGCACGAAAGCATGCTGAAATTACAAACTGCATGTTATTTTTTATAGGAAATCTGCAGGTTTAAAGATATTGTAAGTCAAACCAAGACATTTCTCCAAGAACTTGAAATTTCAAGAACAGAGCATATTTTTCTGAAATATTGATTACTTGATGTTGAATTATATGGCTGTAAAGGAACTGATTCTAGGACTAATAGTCTCTCATCTTTATCAATTATTAATGAAAATTATCAATTTTTGACAGATGTTCACTTCATCACCTGCTCACATTTGTGGGTCACAGATTCAGTCTTGTTGTTCTCTTAGAAAGAGCATAAGATTTTGATAAATAGATTCTGTTTTTAGATTTAATGTTCAGAATTAATATAATAAAAAGCATGGTGGATCCTAGATTTTTCTGCAATTTTTTGTAGGAGAGCATTTATTACGGCAGCTGTGACATCCAAACATCTCATTTTTCCTTTCAAGTTATCAATAATAAATTTCAGTCTGTTGTTTGTCATATATGTATTCAAGTATCCATTAGCAATTTCTTTCTTTGCATAGAATATAGAGGTTCTACTTAAGTGAAAAACCCTAATCATTTTACTATCTTTATAAGCACTTTATCTTACCAAAATTGTTACCTGTAGTTCCAAAATTGTTGAAATACATACAAACAAAAATCTGATAAATCCGAGAGGAAAACCAGAGAATTGTTCAAATGGAATTTATTATATATTCATCCTGCGCTTTAAATGTTTGTTGTTTGATTTTGTTTCATGTTAAGATTCCTTTTAATTGTAATTTTTGGCGGGTGCTGAGGGATAGGCAATGGGCACAAGGCAAACATTCATAAAAGCAGTTTTTAACTAGTTGCAATGGGCACAGGGCCAACTTCAAAGTAAACATGCTATGTAAAGAAGCCTATTATTCTTAGTGGAAGCCTATCATTTAGCCTATCCATGAATTTGAATTAATAGACGATTTTTAATAACCTTCTTGCTAACTGGATTTAATCCAAACTCAAGTCATTTTTGCCAGATGTTTTTATTTTGTTTTTGCAGATGATTGGCCAAACAGAGATAGGGAGTCATCAAGCTACCTTGATTACATCAAAGCAAGAGAACAAGCATATGAAGATGCCTTGCGCTTGAGAGATTCATTCCATTATAACCAGGAAAGGTATCTAGGTCCAGAGGATGACGATGATGAGTCTGATGATTATGATGATGAAGACTCCAATGGCAGAAGGAGTTCAGATGCTGAGGAAAATGATGAACTTGGCAGACGAGACAGAGCAAAGGGCAGAAGAAATTCTAAAAGAATTGAAAGATTGAAGCAAGAAATAAATGATAGAAATAGCCCAAATCATATAGCAAATGATAAACAAAAAAATGCACAAGGGGTGTCAGCAGAAGATAAAATTTCAATTAAAAAGGTGTTTTCATTTTTTTTAGATTTTAATCTGCTTTCTTATTTCAATATAAATATGTTGCAATTATATTCTAAATCATTCACCACTCCAATCATTTTCAAAATTAGTTCTTTGTGTTCTAACAAACGTTTTGAATTTCTGTTTTAGCGCAAGGATTACATAAATTTAAGCAAGAAAAAGAAGGTGAAATCAAAGAAAAAGGCAAATAAAAAAGATTCGCTGAGAACAGATATAAAAAGTAGCAAGGATGAAACAAGGAAAGATGAAAATTATGAAGCGAAAGAAAATACTGCAAACAGAAAAGATGAAATTGAGAAAACAACAAAAGTGCATGCAACTTTAAATGAAGCTAGTGAATTGTTAAGTTACACTGATAGCAGGAAACACAACGACATAGTAGATAATAAAGGAGAAGAGTCTGATGACCCAGGACAGAGCTCATCAGTTAATAATTCAGCAACTAAGCCACCACCTGTACCTCCACCCCAAAAGATATCAAGCAAAAAGAACACAAAAAAGCTGGATAAAGCATTATTCATTGGTGAGTGTATTATAAGCCTAAATTTCATTTGTCTCTATTTGTTGCTTCTTCAAATTTTAGTAAAGCATCCTTTTCTGTTATTGTTTCTATTTGTAAACTTTTGTGATTGAAAGAAGAACAATTTGGTGTATATATGGATATATAAACAGAAATAAAGACAACAAATAACTGGTTCCAAGCACAAGATGATTTCACTTTTCTGAATTGTTTAGATTGAGCCAGGTCCCCTTAAGCATGTGAGGAGAGCTTGGAAGGAGCAGGAGCTATGGCTCTCCTCAAATGGCCATTCTTGAGCAAATCATAACAAAACAAAAATCAAGCCTAGTATATGTAATTCTTACTAATACCACAGATAACATGGAAGTTTAAAACTAATGACTCAAGCATAATTTCAATTCTTAATATTGTGTTGTGACTTGGGCGGGACAAAAGTGTGTACCACAAAGAGACGCGTGCTTTCTAACAAGAAGATATATATATATATATGATGATTATAAGTAATTATTTATACTCAAGAGAGAGAACCTCTCTCCATGCCTCGTGCATCTAACTCTAATCAATACTGGCGACGGGAGGGTGTAATGCGAAGAGATGCCGGAAATGCCAAATATGGTAAGACCTTCTCACCGTGTGTCCCAAATGGAGGTTTTCTGTCTCCTTGGCAATATATTGCAACCGATATAAAAAACAGCAAGCCAAAGCTTAAAAAGGGATCTATTGGTCATTTTTTCAATGCTGTATGGTATGTTGTAAACAACAGATTCATTGGGCCCCTATACCTTTATACAAAGCTCTATATAGATCTAAAAAACTCTCTTTGATAATTATTAAGACTTTGAAAATCACCTGTTTGTAAAAGTAAAATAAAGTATATAATCCATGATAAAGTCCAATAGGACACTTAATTTCATTCCCTGCATCAGTTATTATTTAATTTATATCTTATGTTCTAGTAAACTAAAACTTTTCGTCTGACACTCTTCAGAGTTTAAAACGTCAGAACATAGATCAAAAACTCTACACTAGGAAATATATATACCCAGTTGTGTATCAAAATAGGCCAATCAGAAAACTTTCCTAGCATAGAGTTTTTGATCTATGTTCTGACGTTTTAAACACTGAAGAGTGTCAGACAAAAAGCTTCAGTTTACTAAATGTTTGCTTTTTTCAAAGCCATTTACAAGTTTTGTACCACCAAAAGATTATCTTATGTTCTCTAATTTTACTTTTAGTCTTCAATTCCTCTGTTTTGCTTGTTTTTCCTCCCCTATTCAAATTAGTGACCGTCTTTCCTTTTTCAAAATGATAACTCCATTGCCAATTATTCATTTAGTAATTTAAATAAATAAGGGACAGCAAATAAATTGCTGGGGGTGCAAAACTCAACATCCAGGTCCTAATGTGAGAAACTGAATAATTTTACCTATATAATATAGTTCCTATGTAGTATATATCTAAACTCTTCATCAAGTTGCAGCGACATACAACCTGTTGACAGTAACTGGGAATTAATTTGGTTTTGCGCCCACACTCTGATATACAGTAGTCACATAAGCAAGAACACTTTTAGATTTGAATACCATCTGCGACAAACAGCTCATGCGCGTTGTTGGCAATTTATCTACTGCCAGCCTAGAATAGCCCCATTTGCGGTTTTAACTAACTATAAAATTTTGGCACCAAGTAGACTGGAAAACAGGGAATATTCGTCTTTTTTGAGGCTATTAGCATGTTTTCCATGTGGAAAGCAAGCGTCAAGTTGACTTGTTCAATTTGCTTTGCTGTTGACTGTTTTCATCATCTGCTTTATGTTTGCATATGCACCAGTTGAGAATTTCTCAGAATAACATCTGTCAGATTTCGCATCTGCCCATGATCTTTGTCTAGAGATGTAGCAACGCAATATTAACCTCTGAGCGTCTTTATTTCTGATCAGCGGCACTGTGGCTTGGGGGCAGAGGGATCTCGTTTCTAGCCCCCATTCCTCCCCCGAAAACCCTCGCTGCACCGCCGTTTCTGTGTTGATCTATGATTCGGTATAAACCTCAACATCTTCTTGTGCTTTTGCGATCTTTGATGGTTTAATGGCTGTCAGTCTAGTAGCAGTGTGCATATGAAATGTTTCTGGTATGCCCTGCTTTCTGAAATGAAAGCTTTAATGTCAACCTTTATGTAGCTGGGGTTTTCAATGAACGCCAGCTAAGGAATCTAAGGTATGGTTTCCATGCAATAACCGGTATTCTTCGATGAGCATAAAAATTTGCATTTCTGAAAAGTTGTAGCATGCGCGGCATTGTCATAGCAACACATGATGTCGACGAAACATTGAAGATTTTCTCAATCATAATATTGTTAACAGGTAGTCTTTTGTTAAAGGCAGAGCGCTCAATCTTTTTGGATCCTTTTGTGAGCTCTTTTCGCAGATTTTCGGCTCTATTCTTCGTTATTTGAAGTAATCGCAATATTTACTATTTGTCAGTCAACAGAAGCTATGATATAATGGAAAGATCCCTGCACATGTAGCCTTTTGAGAAGTACTTTAATTTCAAATTGATGAAGTTGATTCGCTTTGTGAGCACTGTATAACAAATATTGTTAATCTTCCATTGGGCGTCGAGTTCTGCTGCTTGAGAAAATGACATACGAATTGCAAATAAGAATTGTTCTGAACTAAGACAAACAGGTGAAATTGTTATTGAAGAAATGAATGACAAGGAGAGTTTCAATGTATTTCGGATCACTTTGCTGTTACTGGACGAGTTTTTGGCAAACGTTTTCAGTTTCGGAAGTAAGTATTTTTATTGTGACAATACTCTCTCAGACGTTCTCTTCCAATATAAATTGGTCTCTCAGAACTAAAGCCAAGCCAGTTTGAGCTACTGACTTCAACTTAAAAGTGCTAATAAGGAATTCAATGGCATTCCATAATCCTTTTTAAAAAGAAAACCGGAGACCAGAAACAACATTGGCGTGCGCAGAATTGATCATGGCCTAAACCAAAGCTTTCTCGATGTCATAAAGGCAGTAAAGAATTTCATAAGGGTGTCAACCATATGGGTGTTCTATTTACAAGTTGAAAGAACTATTTTTCTAGGCCAGCAATAATGAGTCCAGGCTTCATCCACATTGCTACTATTTTGAAAGATGTCATTTTGAATGTTTTTTCATTGTAATTCATTATGTTGCGATCCTAGTGTACTTTTTGTTCAACTACAGCTCAATGTGTTTCAGTCGATAGGATTTAGAAATGTCAAGTCCGAAGGAGTATTTAGAAATAATGCTTGTTTTTCTTGACATAGTCCCTGCAAGGGTTATTCCCCGATCAGGGACCGCGCACCAGTTTAAAAGTGGAGGAGCTGAAATGGGTGTGCTTGAAAATTGTTTCTGGCCATGCCCTCCAGAACGCCGGAAAACGCCCCCTTTAGAAAATTCTTGCTTATATATATTCAATTTTTATAAACAGTCTGGTTCAGAGAAGATATCAGTTACTATAAAAATATATAAAAGTAGCTTGAGGGTAACAAAACACCAACCTAACAAAGTTAGAAAATGTTTCATATCATTAAACAAGATAAAACACCTAGAAAATGAAAAAAAGGTCCCCAGTCAAGAAGAACTGCTACTACATAGGATTAAACTATCCAAAGTTGCGTTAGAGTAAACCTTTAAAAAAATTTTTTAGCCTATTATTGCAAAAAAGGGGGACTATAGCCCCTGTGAGCCCAATGGCTGCGTGGTGCCTGTCCCCGATGCTGCCTGACTCTTGCAGTTCTAAGAGTCATTGTGAAATAATGAAACAAAAAACGTTGACAAAAACGACAAATTGCCCTCGTAGAGGGTGTTACTTATTAAATTTGATAAACGAAGATTTTTTGGAGCTTGTTCAATGAATTCCATACATGCCTTTACTTAGTTAGGTTAAGTATCAAGCCCCAAACCAATCAGTGCCCGGTTCGCCAAGTGTCACATGCAAAAAGCGATTGCTTTGTCACCCTGTGTATCTTATCGTCGTTCGAAAAAGCTCCTTATCTTCTTTCTATCTTTCTATCTATCTATCTATCTTTCTTTCTTTCTATCTTCCTTTCTTTCTATATTTCTTTCTTCACCCTGTTTAGCTGAGACATCGAATGACTTACTTTGCAAACATTATTTCCTTTTTGTATCATTGTACAATTACATTACAATTTTTCCATTTTCCAACCTTCCAACTTCCATAATTAACTTCTTTTTTTATTAGTGGTCGTTGCTGCGTGCAGTGTAGCTGGTGTAGCAGGACTCATTTTAGCTGGATACTGCTGGTACAGGTAAGTTTGTCACGATTTTCTGTTCCTTTAACTATTGTACTAAACATATTGAAATCTATAGATAACCATCAATGTTTGAGATTCGCCTGATTCAAGGCCCTCTTTTTTCATCGGATTGCAATAATATCAAAAAGAAAAACATAAAACAGTACTGTAATCGTCTGAATAAGCGCCCCTCTCAAATAAGCGCCCCCTTGTTCTAGGGTGGGCGCTTATTCGAATTTTCGAAATTCGCGGAAAAAATCGATTGAAAAATTCTATATCTCGCATGGAGAGAAGGGAAGACCTTGAAAATGAAAGAATAACACTTTTTCTTTGACAATTGTTATTCTTTTTTGTTTTTCTTATCAGGAAACTTCTTAATTTCACCATGCACTATATCAATATTAAGTATCTTCTTCTCCTCTAACTTCTCTCGCATAATGTTAGCAAATCGTTTGTCTTTGGTTGTTGCTCTCTATTTGGCTGGTACGACCAAGCCGATTTCTGTTTTTTCTTTTTCGGAGAACTTTTGCCTCCAAATAGTTTTCATCAACTCCAGTTGTTAGAAAATAATTTAAAAGTTGTGAAATTTTAATCGGTACATGTCCAACTAGAGCATCGTTACCATCTGTCCTTTTGAAACACCTAAAGCATACTTGTCAAAGTTAACGCTTCATCTCTCGGGTCTGGTTGACAATGGCGTCCAGCAATTTTGATATTTTGTAGAGTACTAACAACTAATTGTTTATCGGTTATTTACGTGTATAATTTGAAAAAGAGAGCTGAGATTTGAATTTTCAATCCTCATTTTTAAAGGAATATTTTATAAGCGCCCCTTTCGAATAAGCGCCCATCTAGAATAAGCGCCCATCTCGAATAAGCGCCCGCCTTAAAAGCAGAAAAATTAAATAAACTCCCGGGTCCTTATTCGAACAATTACGGTATATATGTTATTACCCTTGACTTCGCAAAGACCGATTCTTCCAAAACACAAACCTGGGAACACTGTGGAGGGATGCTTATAAACTCGTTATTTTTATTATGTCACGAAAGAGATCGAAAAAAGAAGGAAGAAAAATGAACTATTGTTTTTTTAGCAAAACCCCGCTGCACCCTTTGTTTGGGGGATTCGCTCCGAATATTGCATTCACTACATCTTGTGACAGGATTTGATTTTTTTATTTGCCTAGCTTCCAAAGATATTTTTAGGACACTGAAAAGATCTGCTTATTGATAAATGTCCTGGACCTTCCACTCGATGTAACCACACTTTGTGATTCCTATGCCTGGAATTACAGAAAGCTGGCGACTCTCACCACTCTAAGTGAAAGTTTAGTCCTAGCAGGAACTCAAACCCCAGACCTTTGAGCCTGTAGTCCGCGACCCCAGCCGCGGAACCATTCTCACATCTTCACGTTGTAACAGGGGGTTTGCAGGCAACTGCCAAGAAACAACTGCCACTGAAACCTGAACCAGAAGCAGTTTGATTGCGTTTGCCTTCTAGGGAAAGCTCTACACAATTTCAGCATTGCGATTAGTGGTTCCCTAGATTACGGCTAGTTTAAAGCTCGATTTACTGGTGCTCAAGATGTCTCAGTAAATGACAATGATTGGCAAGACATCTGTTTCATAAGGAGTCCCAGCTCGACCTTTGAGACACAGCTTCATATGGTTGAAGCTAAAATAAGGGACTGTTTATTGTGTCCCTTGACTTCAAAAAGCTGTTTTTGTATCTGAATTTACTGTGCAATTTTGTCAATACCTTTTATCGGCCGACCAACCTAATAAAAGTTGAAACGCAGCGCAATATTCCATCCGGTTTTTTACACAACAAAATGCAGTGGATCCTTGATTTTACGATCACTAGCAACCAGAGCTTGTTGCATTAAAATCCTGTGGGAAGCTGCAACAAAATCTCGGCTGCGTTAACAGAATCAGAAGAACTGACAAAACCTTTTGAATCCTGCTTGCATAGCCACCTGTTTCTTGTGTTGACAGTACACTCGAACTAGCCAGTTCATTGTACAGCAGGTTGAGCGACTCTTTGATTAGAGAATTTTATCGAGCAGAGATGTGATTGTGTTTTGCCTGAAGACTTTTTCTGTTGTAATTCACGTTCGAGTGCAATCGACGGAACAAAACTGTCATGCCAAGCAACCACGGTTTGTTTAGAAAATACTCCTTCTTGTTTTCAAGCTTCTGTTGCTTTTCGTTCAGATTGCGAAACGAGCAAGAAGACGTCCCGGAAGAAGATACAAAAAAGTATGTGAAGAAGAAAAAGAAGAACAGAAAGCCAGAACTGGTAAGTTTATTGTGAATTGATAAAACACCATGATGCTGGGCATTATACAGATGACTTTTTTCTCCCTACACGTTGTTGGATTACTTCACTGTTTTGAAAGGCTTTTTAGCGTTGTGCAGTGACAAATAATTATGAAAAAGGTATTATTATTGCTGTTGTATTGTATATATTATGTTATTGTCTATCGACGAGCTTTTCATGAAACAGGTTGTCTCTTTTTGCTATTTTTCAAATGAAGCATCTGGAAAAAGTACAGCAATTTGTATTGATTTTGCTGTTATTTAGACACACAGTAGGCCTTAGTGACTTGTTATTCATTATTTTTTCCTGCCATTTCCAGACAAATGATGAGAAATTAGCAAAAAGTGCCGAAGTATTTCATTACATGCACACCAAGAAGCAGCTGGCTGCAATGGAGAAGTGAGTGTACTTGTCCCGGCCTGAATCAATAATACATTGCCTTGATTTCTCGCGAGATGATGTTGTTTGTCGCTTTCTAGAAATTGCTTTTGTTTGCCTTTTGTCAAGGAGATTTTTATCACATTGTCAGCCACATAGCTAGTGATTCTTGTAGAAAGTACAGATAATTATTGATACTTCACACAGTCGGCTGTACACCGGTTTCACTCCACATTCGGACTAGACTGAATGAGGACCTAAAGTTGACCTAGGGCCAGGAATAGGCTGTCAGTGGATTGCAATGCATGTGAGAGGAAATGGTTCTATGTTGATCACAGAATCAAATAAAATTGCCCTGTTCTCGAGCTGTTTCATTTAAATGTCTTTTTCTTGTCAGGTCTGGTACCGATAAAAAAGCAAGCGTTGTTGATGACAGTGACAGTTCAGAAGAGGAAAGTGACAACACGGTTTATGAATGCCCTGGACTTGCACCGGTACGAGTCTTATTTTTTTTATCACCAAATCAAACACCATCTTGAGTTTAGTTTCGACTGAAGTGCTTGTATTCACGTTTTTGTTTTGCAATGAGAATTGTTTTTTCCTAACGTTTATAGATATTTTTTGTGTAAAAAAGTGTTGGGGCTGTAACCTTATTAATGTTTCGTTATTATATTGAGAGGAGGAAAGAAGCCATCTTGGCCAAATGCCTATATTAAATATATTTTATGGTCCCTATGAAAACGTCATTGCATTTTCTTCGTACAGCACTTTATAAACAAAATCATAGCCACAGTACGTAAGGTACCTTTCATTTTTCCAGTGAACTTTCTTCTCTATTTCTGTATCATTTTCCGCAGCCTGGGGACATGAAGGTCATCAACCCGCTATTCAGCGACACTGAAAGAGAACATAGTGACGTCAGAAGTGATGGAAGTCACGTGTCCAGCCCTACAAGAGAATTATCTCCTCCGAAAAAAGAGCAGAAGGAAGATTTATCTTCAAAGTAAACGAATCAGGCACAAAAATGCGAATAATGTTGGCTAAATTAGAAAATTATTTAATTTTTAACAGGCAATATCATGCTAGGTTTTGATTACAAATGAAAAGATTATTTAACATCTTTAAGTATTTAGCTGAAGTCAGACCGCGTCCGTCAGGTTGAGCTAGGGCCTTAGCTTTCAAAGCAACCAAAGAAAAAAACTTCATTTTCATTTAGGGTCTGCACCACAAAGCGCCCCCCCCCCCTCACTTAAAGGTTGCGTTATAAATCATGGTTGTATATTGAAAATTTTATAGTAGTGTTCATATTTGAATCAGGGGTATTTTTTAGTTTTTTTTACAGATTTGGTTACAGCGTTGTTTTTTTCATTTTACCTTCGAATAAGATTGATGTAAAACACCAAAATATGATCGGTGCAGTAAAACCTCTATGAGCGGACGCATCGTCAAAAACGGACATATATTCTTTATAGCAGTCTTTGTAAACAACCGCCAGATCATGGAATCATGTCTTTAACGGACAATAAATCTACTTCGAATGTGTTGGCTTTATCAAGGTTTTACTATACTGTGAAAAAGAGTAGGTGGGTGGGTTGAAATCCAATAGAAATAAACTCTCGAAGTATTTGTGGTTTTTATTTACTAATGTGAAATGCCCGGATTATCGAATCTTATACAAAGTGTTACTACAAGCTGGAAATCGTCTTATTAGTCTTCGCAAGAATTACTTAATGGTGGCATCACCAACAATTTATCAAAATGGTTCTCACGATTAGCGGACCCCGTGCCAATTCCGAATTCTACAACAAATTGGCAAATAATTGTACCCCAGATTTCTTTCTTTCTGTCAAAGGTTTGTATACGTTCTCCCCATCCCCCTCTAAAGCAGAAACCTATATACTGCTGATAATATTCTGGTCCCACGTGTCTCTGTATATACCCTATAGTAAGTTTTTCCAGTATTATATGCTTGCTCTATAATCATACTGTTTACTGCCGTTCAATTTGCAGGCATGTTTGTATGCGAGTTTGAGAATTCCCCCCTTTTTAATTCCTTTATGTATTGAAATGTTTTCTTCAACATTTCCCTTGTAAGATCCCAACCTTGTTTACGAATACATTTAAACCATGAAACTGTTGTGTGGATAAAATCAATTAAGAGATTACCAATACAGCTGCTGGATGTTATGAAGTAACAATGTTGCGTCTGTAAATTCACATTATTACGTAGTCTTGGTAAATTATTATTGCCTGAATATATGAACCTTCTTTACGTTCAGTCTATGTTCATTTTCGTGAATGATTTGCCCTAGTGTTTGCCAGGCCATTTCAGTGACCTATAGCAAATCATTGGCCGTTATGAATAACACATAAATTAATTGCTCACTAACGCATCTGTAATTTTTTTCTCCTTGGGTAATTATCTTACTTAGAGGTTGCAATGTACATCTACCAACAATATTATGATAGCTCTCTGTCTCTTTGTTTCTCTCTCGTACCAACCCAGATATTTGTATACAATACATTAAACGCCAGATCACAGTCAGATTTCAGATCACTTCATGTGGAACTTGCTTTAGACTTGACGCGACTTCATAAGATATAGCCTGCGTCACAGACCAAAAACTTCCGTGACGCAGGCTACCTTAAATGTGACCCTGATATGTAGTTTCCTTTTCTAATAAACTTTGTTAAGATTAGTTTCAATATCCCCAGAGATGGAAATTTTGAACTGCCACAAAGAAGAGCTATTGTGTCCAATGGCGTAGCTTGACCTTCCAGACTAGGGGATGGAGGGTCGTAAGTAGTAAAATTTACCGACCAAGACATTACCGAAAAAGGAAGCTATACATTGGATTATTTATGTTGATGCCATGATTCACAAAGCTTATTTTGACCAAAACCAAAAAAGATAAAAGTTCGCTAACGGTCAAGTTTTTACTTCAGTTAAGTCTGTTAGTTGCTTTAATATATGCTACGGATGCATCTAAAATCTTTTCTTAGATTACTGATAACTACTAGTATAATGTATCTAGTTCATCGATACTTAGTAGAGATGGAGCTGTTATAACTTTGTTGTTAAGGACTGAACTGTTCTAAGTTGCTACTCAAGTTTCACAGTCAAAATCAAACAACGGAAATTAATCCTGGGGCCAAAATTGTTTCTTTATGATTGTGGAACTACAATCCTTGACAAAAGCCCTGCGGCCAATGAAAGATTTTGATGAAATAAAGGTTTCCAGCCGTAAGATACAGAAATACCCCCTCCCCCAAAAAACTGTGTTGATTGAAAAGCCAATTACTTACCCTAGCTGATAAAGTTACACTGGATGAATTTCAAGCTTTGAAACAGTTGTTATTCAGTGTTGTTTTAAGGGGGAGAGTGGGATGCTACTGAAGTTATGCAAAATTGCTGTACCAAGAATTTTGGCGAGGATTGCATGTCTCTATTAAGCATTTATAGATGTGCAACTGGCCAGTTTGACGGGTTGATGGTAACTGTCAGGCAGTACATCAGAGAGAAAAATTGGTCCCAATTTGATCCTTTACTATAGAATCTATAAGGTTTGGGTAAAAAGTCTGTGAAGATATTCAAGATATGAAGATCAGCAATTTTTTTCAACAAGGTACAAAAATGATGGCAATTTGAAGATATCATCATAATTGAATGCGGAATCTTTGTAAATTGAAAGATTTACTCACAACATTTTCCACAAGTAATCTTGTTTGAAATCGAGGTTATACTTAATTTCACGTGCAAAATGGCGACTGAACGAAAAGAGATGCAGTTGGTTTGATTGCTATTTTGTCGAGATGCCAAGGTACGGACAGCTCGTAATGGGTCCTGCAGGAAGCGGGAAGGTAATTAACTTCTTCTTTGTGCTCACAACTGGTGCACTCGCAGTTTTCTCTGTAGGCTGCAGCAGTTGATTCTTTGTTTATTAGGCCTTTTTTGATACAATACTCAGTCCAGACTGCAAAGTTTGGGTATGCGCGGGGAACGCGTTGTAAATTTAGATTAATCCGCGCAGTTGGAACATGGACTTTTGTGTGAATTCCCCGCCTAGCCTAATCTCGAAATTTAAAAATGCTATTTAAAAATGAAATCCCGCAGCTTTTAACCTGTCATTTTGCAACACAATTTGTTCCCGCGCAAGCGTTAGTGACAGAATATAATTCCACGCGCACAAAAAATACTTTGCACTCTGGTACTCAGTCTGCATGCAGAGTATGGCAAGTAAACACCCGACAGATATTTTTTCTCAAATTTCCCTGCACACTTGGTAAGGGTATGGCATTTCAAGGACTGGGTGCAGCGTGGGTGTTTCCCAATTGCTTATGAAAAAGGCAAACAAAGAATTTAAGTTTCCTCAAGGACGACATAATCTTGCATTGGTTTGATAAACGCCACCCTCTGATAGATGCCGCCCTCTATTGAACTCCACACCTGCAGCCAACCATTTGGAAAAAACGCCGCCCTCTATTGAACGCCGCATCTTGAAAAGCGCCTACTTTTCGAAAGCTATGGAAGATTTTTTCATAGACGAGGACAGACACCGGGGTATTGACATTCCTTGACCTTTCCAGAACGTAAAGACTTCTTTTGTGAACTTTAAACATTTTTTCATACAATCTGTCTAAAGTCTGTTTTTATCTTTTTCATTGCACTTTTCTTGTCACTTTTTCATTTGAGAAACTTTCACTTTCTATTGGATGCCCCCCTCTGATAAACGCCACCCTCTATTGAACGCGGCACCCAAAATTTCGAGTTTGCAATAAACCCCACAGCGTTCTTTAGAGGATATATGGTAATCAAAGTGCATACTTGAGATTTTGCTCTTACTCACCTGAGTTCTGTGCAGTGAGATTTTTTATTGAATGGTCTGTTTTCTTTGTTTTAGTCCACATACTGTAAAACTATTGTCGAGCACTGTGAGAATATGGGTAGAGCAGTGTATGTTATCAACCTCGACCCTGCAGCAGAGCAATTTAGTTATCCAGTTTTAGGAGGTGAATTTTTAAAATGATTTTGTTAATGGTTTTTTCCAGTAAGATGTTTTGTGTAAATTTTGCTGCCCATTGCAAAAATCAAATCTTGTAACCAGTGGCGAAGCCAGATTTAATGGGATGGTCAGGCTCAAATACAATATGCCACGCCCTTTTTACCACGCCCAATAATAAAACGCCTACTTCTAATTTGTCAAAATTTATTCATGGTGGAACAATTTTCACGGATTATTCATGGTGGAACAATTGAATTGAAACAATTTTCCAAAAAATATAGTTCATTTTGTGAGCTACCAGCAGTAAGCGATGGTCAAAGAACTCTGTAGAAAGTTCCATTTACATATTTTAATGTCAAAAGTCAACCAAAAGTATGTAGAATTTGCAGAATGCTTGGCTTCTGATTATTGGCTAGAACAGCAATTTTATCATTCAGCTTAGAAGGAATTTTGAATTTTTCTTAGAATGAAAGCAAGAAAATCGCACAGAAATAATTTTCATATTTTCATTACTTTTCCCTACTGGCTCTCAACAGGAGTACACAAAAGAGACCTTTTGTTTGTGATGATTCATTAGCCAACAACTTACTATTCACACTGTTTAAGTTATTTCCACACATTAACTTAAATCAACAAAATAAATGTTATTGTGAATTTTAAAATTCAGTACACTGCAGTGTAACAACACATTTAGCTCCGCGTTAAACATGATAAGCCTATCAAGAAGGTCCAAACACTGTTAGAAAATTAATGCAATTCACTTTGATTGAGGGGCAAATTTCACCTTGATAAGCCTGACAGTTAGCAAATATATCAACAAAGTTCCTTTCCACATGACTGAGGTTGTTTGAGGGCCATTAAAACACAGTCGTTCATGGCATTCTTGTAGCAGTCATCTTACAATACCTCACTCTGCATCTTCTGAGTGCAACATGGGCCTATCCTCCCGCTCTCCTCGATTGACAGCCTAACACTAAAAGGTTTCACAGTCAAATGAGCGAAAATAACTTGCACTGGAAATGCTTCCATGCCTTGACTTCCCTCTTTGCAAATTACAAAATTGAACCACGCTTCACCTCAGATTTGCGAGCCATAACAACTTTTTGACAAAATGTGCATTGAAGTGAATTCCAAAACAAGGTCAGGCCATTTCGAATGAGCCTGACCAAATTTATATTTTTGACTTAGGTATTATTTCTGCCAAATGCACAAGATTGTATTCCTAGCCAATAAAGTAAGACACTTGATTGTTTTCAAGACAGTGGCAAGAATAATTACCCTCAAACTCATTGTTTCCTTAGCAATTGGTCAGGTTATTCCGAAATAGCCTGACCAAAAAGTCAGAAACAATGCGTCCACGTTAAACATGTGGCCAATCACTTAGCTCCATTGAGTGAAAACTATGACGTTGGTCTGGCGAATTTCATAAATAAAAGCACTCCACCGGAGATTAGCGAATATCTGAAGATGATAGAGAGGGACATAGAGAAGGAATATTTTTCTCTCTTAGAGTTATTTTTTCATTATGGGAAAAACATATCACTGGAAATTGTTGGTCAGGCTCAGCCTGACCCGCCTGCCCTCTGGCTTCGCCACTGCTTGTAACAACTATGTTGATTAAATTCTAATTTTGATTTATCTTTAAATGTTAGATTTGTTTCAGATTATTAGGAATGTTAAGAATTATATCATTGCAACTTGTAAAGTTTCTGAGTGATCTGTTGTGAGCCTTACTGAGCAGATAATATTTCTGTTTGACATCATAGATGTTAGAGAACTTGTTGAACTTGAAGATGTCATGGAAGCGGAGGATTTAAAGCTTGGGCCAAATGGTGGGTTAGTGTTCTGTATGGAGTAAGTATTCTTAGTGAAACTTCTAACTTATCAAATGTCTTAATCTTGGTCTAAATTTTGCAACACACTTTTTTTTGTATTTGTTTCTACCTAGCATTCAAAGGTAGTTGTTAGGACACTGAGAAGCTTATGCTTATCAAGCAGTGTCCTGGTCCTTCCTTTTGATGTGACCACACCTCGTGATTACTACGCCTGGAATAACAGAGAGCTGACGACTCTCCTCATTCAGGGTCAAATTTTGGTCATGCCAGGGACTCGAACCACAGATCCTTAGGTCTGTAGTCAGCATCCTAACAACTTAGCCATCCTCACACTTAGGTTTTGTGCGAGGATGGCTCAGTTTTTAGAGGATGGCTCAAGTGCAACACACATTTGGATGCCCATGAATTTCTTTTGCATCCCTTTAATTTCTTGAGAACACAGGATGCTTTTATGATTTTTGAAGGCCTGACTTTTGGAAGGGCATTTATGTAGTCCCCAGTCACCAAGATATTCTGACAAGAAATCACTGACAGTAAAAATTTAAAAAATAAGAAAAGCACTTACTCCTTCTGGAAGGGCAGTTGTGAAAACTTGTGGAGGAGCATGGTACCCCCTTGTAACCCCCAGTTTCTTAAAAAATGACCAAATTTTTTTAAAAGGTATTTTTATTGTTTTCAATGCCAGTATCAAAAGCTCCTTTTGAGACATGGATCCAAATATAACGGTGTGAAAATATAAGGTTTTGAACTTTTGTAACTTGGATTCAAATGTAAACCTCTTTGCTTTTCAATAAAATATACTTCAACAATCTCAATTTTATCTCGTGAAAGAGATAAAAACTATATGCCAAGAATTCCTGAGAGGTAATCAGTCTCAAATACTGGTAATGTGAACCTTCTGCACTAAGTTTTGTTTGAATTTACTGAAGCATTTTAATCATTCAAGCCTCTGTAACAAACAGATTAGTATCTTATTATCCCGATACTACTGATAATGATTCTTTCTCATATTATTTCAAAAATAAATTTGAGAATTCAAGAATGTAGAGTTTTTGTTGTCTACCATTATATAACAAATTATTTTTTGCAGATATCTTGTTGAGAATTTAGATTGGTTGGAAGAAAAACTTGGTGAAGCTGAAGATGATTATATTTTGTTTGACTGCCCAGGTATTAAAAGATTATTATATTCTTTATGTTCACAGTTGCAGTTTTAAAAAAGTCCTCAAACAAGACACAAATACTTTAATTCACCAAATCAACACTTTTTTCCAGGTCAAATAGAGTTATATACACACATCCCAGTAATGAGGCGGTTGGTTGACACTCTCCAGAACTGGGATTTCAGAATTTGTGGAATATTTCTCATTGACTCTCAATTCATTATCGACGGTCCTAAGTTTTTCTCTGGTGTTATGTCTGCTCTCTCGGCAATGGTCCAGTTGGAGGTGCCACATGTCAATATCATGAGTAAAATTGATTTGCTGGACAAAAATGCAAAGAGGGAACTCCAAAAGTGAGCTAACATTCTTTTCCTTGTAGGCTCGTTGCTAGTTGTTGTGGTCACGGGGGTGTACAGGTCCCATTTGCCAACAATTAGGTGGACCATCCTTAATTTGACGACAAGTTTGAAAAAATTGACAAAGCAGCAAGCAATTATTTGACGTAACAAGTATTTTGTCAATATCCAATAACTGTAGGTCTAGCAATAGCAAATTGTACAAGGCCTTCATTATGATAACTTAGAGTGGCATTTCTAAGTTGTTTAGATAGGCTCTTAGTCAACTTTGACAGCAAAAAACTTTGATTCCCCGTCAAATTTTATTTCAATCGTCAAAATTATAAAATTGCAGATTTCTATCAGTATCAAGAAAATTATAAAGAAAGTTGAAAGACACAACAATGGCTAACTTTTTAATAATCTCAAGAACGAATATTTCTAGGTTTTATTTTATTTTCCTTTAATCCAGGTATTTGAATCCAGATGTAGATCTGATTCTTGATGAACTCAAATCTACCATGACCCCAAAACACAGAAAGCTTAACCATGCTATTGGGACACTGGTGAGTTTTGAAAACTTAGCTTTTGCTTTAAATTTACCTGATTTAAAAATTTCTATTTTGATAATGAATCTATGTGAGTTGTTGTGATCCTCACTTCTTCCTTTAACAATTTCAGAAAATAATTGATCGAAAGGCTTACTTAATTCTTAAGAGTTCTTCATCTTTTATACTTCATGTCCACTTCTTACAAACTTTCACGGCAAACCATATTGCTACTGCACAGGTTTTACATCTTTAGATACAGTGGTTAAGTGTGTGATACTCAAACGAATTCCCTTCCGGGATATCTTGTGTTAATAAAAGTGGTGAGATTACCTTCTCTTTCTTAGATTGAAGATTACAGTCTGGTCAGTTTTTTACCCCTTGACATCATGGATGAAGAATCTGTCACGCTGCTGGTTGCAGAAATCGATAATGCAATCCAATATGGAGAAGGTGCTGACGTTAAAGAAACAAAGGTAAGACTTAGGAAAACTTAAGATTATATGAAAAAGCCCAATATAATAGCAAAATCATATGATAGGGGTGTAAGTAGGAATTATACAGGAGAGGCTGGGAATCAAAGAGAGGTGGAAAGAGGCGAGTTGCAGTGGTAATGTCCTTGAAAGTAGTCAGTTTAGTCTATTTATGGTAAATATTCTTTAAATTTCAAGAATTTTGAAGGTTAAACACATATTTATCCATAAGTAAATCACCATTCTCTTTGCAGGATAATGATGATGCAGATGAAGAGTTTGGATTTTAGGAATTGCAAAAATGACACTGTTCGTCTCTCTCTACATTCATACCATTTATCGTCCCAGTGTATGTATGTACCAGATGCTGGTCTGAGACTGTAATTTGGAACGATTTGTGCAGCTTGGCTGTTCAATTGGATTGTAAAGTTACTGTTTTCAACTGTGTTTTCAAAAGTGTACACATATTTTTTATAAGAAACTGCTAATGAAGAACTCTAGCAACCATTTCCAGACGTTATGACTCAGTTTCTAGTCATTGAGTAGACAAAATAACCTCTCTGGGGATAAATGAGTGGTGTTGAAATAATGATTAAACACATACGCATCCAATGAATGCCTCTGGGCTTTGAAACCCCATAAATAAGATGCCTATATCCAACTTAAATGCCATGCAACCCCTGGTTTCTAGTGAATACCATTGCTTAAGAGCTTATGATACGAGAATGTCAAAGTAGTGTATGAAATTGGCTTTATTTAATCTACATGCCATTTATCATAATTGATGCCATTTATCGTATCCAGATTCCTTCGTGTGTGAACGCTATGAGCTTCTTTCGCCGATTTCCATGTTTTGTTTCTTGGGGTTGCAGAGCATCTCGTCCCTGAGACGGGGGCTACACAGGCACGAACTCGGCTACTACTTTTCGCGAACTTGCCGAAAGAGTCCCAGGGATGCCATGGTGACCGAGCAAGGGGGCCAAATAGATTTTATTTCTTGGGTTGTTAGCATTCAGCGCACAAAACTTCGGAAAAATTTCGGACGCGAAAACTTTCAAAACCAGTTCTTATGCCCTGGCAAAACGACTAAACATTTCACTAAACATTTCACTCAACTTGTGTTTAGTGAAATTGATCGAAGTTTATTGAGGGTGGCAAAACGTGACTAAACTTTCCACTAAACTTCACTCAACTTGTTTAAACTGCGAGCAGTCTATGACGCTGTTGAGTTGTAGGGGATTTTGCATAGGAATTTGCTTTTGGTTCATTTTGTTGCATGCACAACCAAGCAGTGGATAAAAATATCGATTGCAACAAATGTTTAATTGGTGGCAAAACGACTAAACATTTGCTAAACAGCACTAAACAACACTAAACATTTTTGACCAGGATCAAACTTTGCTCAACTACACTCAACACGACCAAACAACACTAAACAGGGTGGCAAAACGACTAAACTTTTCACTAAACTTTTGGCTAAACAAAAGTTGAGTGAAATGTTTAGTCGTTTTGCCAGGGCTTTAGGATCGAAAACTTTGTTGTCCGAAATTTTCTTTATTTCAAAAATTTTATAGGCACAATAATCACTGTATAGATTGAGTTTATATATGAACTTTAAAAAGCATTTATTCCTTTTTTCTCCAAATGTCTTCGTGACTTAAATTAGCAGCTCATTGAAGAAAACCAGGAATGAAGAACACTTCCTTTTTTATTGTTTTTCGTAATAGTTATGATAATTAGAGTTAATTACAAATGACTTCAGGCTATGAAAGTCTTTCATTTGTTGAGTCATCTCCGCCATAAATTATGATAACATGAATGCTTTCCTGATCATCATCATCGTGATCATCGCAATTACCATCTTCAATCATTATTATTATTATGGAAGATTATCATTTCCACCCCCTCGACACTGCCGTCAATGGACTTGCTAACCAATTTTTGTTTAGCAAATTTACATATTACGTAATCGTTCACATAAACGTTATGGCTATTACAAATATTGCCGACTTTTGATTGCGTAATATGTGCATATTTCTTGTGCTGTCTCTCTCTTGAACAATAGTCCATTTTCTGTGGGCCATCAACTAGCCGTTGATAGTGAAAACTGCTCTAGGTATAATAAAGGACAATACTTTCTGAACGTCCTGTCCGTGGCGAGCTATTTTATTTCTATTCTACTTTATTCAACTAACAACTCATAGTCATCTTGCTTTTTGTACGTTATAACCAGGAGTTTCGTATCAAAAAGAAATTATGACTAACTGAAGCCAAAAATCATGTACAATTTTTGAAAATCTTTGTGCAGAAATTGTGGAGGATTGATGTCCTTATGTAAGAACCTTCTATAAAGCTTAATGGAAAATTAAACCGGCTGTTTGGAAAAAAACTTGTTTCAAATTTACAACAAGCAATTAAAGTATTCCAATCTTTCTTCAAATTTAAAGAATTTTTGTCCCGGAATAGAGACTGTACTTCTTCTTAAGAAAATTGGTTATCCTTTTTACCATGTCTACGCACAGTTACTCATACAGAAGGAGCCTACAAAATCATCAATTTGCACAATAGGACGGCAGGATCTCTTAAAATCCATTTTTTCAAGAAATGTTATCAGATATCTTTCAGACAAGTCTACGGTTTTAAGCACATGTTCAATAACTGATCATAATTCCGCGTGCGGATGTACTGGCATCATATCTTTTGTAAATGATTTGTAACTGTAGCGTAGAGGCAGGGGCAACATAGTCATTAGGCTAGCAGGTGCTGAGGCGTGTTTCTCTGTTCAGTCCAACATAGAGTGCAGAAAAGTTTGGGATAACAGCATTTTTCCTCAAAAGGCCTCCAAAGATAATAGAGAATGGTTCGAGACAGCGACTTCTCAGGACAAAGAGCAATCAAGATATAAACTGCATTTGGAAGTAACGAGCTATGTGGCTGCAATTTCCATGTAGTACAACCAGGACCGAGCTACGCGAAGACCAAAATTTACACTAGACGTGCCATTTCAGAAAATACTGGATAAACGTGCCTATTCTACCTAGGGCCTAGAATATGGAATTGTCTTCAATCAGCAGCAAAATCAACATCTAATACCAACCCCTTCAAGCATAAGATCAAAGAGAGGTTTTTCCAAAACATAGTAAAAAGAAAGATGGCAGATTTGTCTTCTATCAATGACCGGCCTGTAACTAATAACAGTAACAAATTCCTGTATCATACTTTTTCCCGTCGGCTCTTTTCCTGTTAAACCAACACCCCTAGGGGGACCATTATGGCAATAAGGTCAGCTCAATGAGGTGGGTCAGCTAGACCTGTTAATGCTATCCTCATCACAGAGTCAGGAAAACATTACGGTCGCACGGCCACTGACCGGAAGAAGGTCCACGAAAAACAATAGAAGCTCCAAGGATACGCCCAAGCCACGCCCATTTTCTATTGTTTTGTGAGGAAGGTTTGCCTTCTGGGATGTTTTTGTCTGGAGAAAGGTTAACAACTTTTCTGGACACTGCCCTATCACTGAAAATACTCCCTACCACCGAATAATACATACATACATACATATATAATTTTGTAGGAAGTTCTATAGTGTATTCCCAAAAGTGACCCCTACCCACATACCGAAATCTGCAGGCTTCGTGATCACATTTTATTCGAAAAGGGCATGGCAAGCAATTATAAGGGTGCAATTTAATATTATCATCATTTCGTTGGAAATTATTTGACGTCTGTCTAAAGTGACACCCACAATAAGCGATAGCGTCACTGCGGTCTCGTGGAACTCCTGGCACCCCAAAATTGCCGCTTTGCATCATGGGAGCATGCTTGTTTATAAATCGCTTATGGTGTACTGTTTGGTGGAACTGTTGGCGCCGTATAGCCAAATTTCACGACCTGCTTTTCTGTTTACCAACTTTCTTATCCACTTGCAGAGCATTCGGAACCAAGAGGTAATATATCGTTATAATTTTAGTTGCTAATTTGTCGCATAATAACTCCGATATTAGTTTGGTAGTGCCTGCTTGTACAGCGGTTAGGCCGTGCCTCGCTCCTTAACCGTCAAGGTCATGCTTCTCAAATATATAAGTTTAAATTTTAGGTATAAGGAATGTTTATCATTATTCCGTCCTAGCAGTAAAAGTGGTAAGAAATAATATGAAAGAGTTATTTCCAATATAAGTTCAAAAGATTTGTTCATTTCTCCATCACTTATCGACCTAAGGAGTATGACATCAGGCAATCCCTACCAAGCAACAAGTTTACTTAAAGCTGGAAGAGGACCTGTTTCCAACGACTGGTTCCTTATTGTGTAAGGTCGAATACTTCGCAAAATTAAAATTACAAACAGTTTTCTTATTGTTTAGAATTTTTTATTTCTCTAATTTCTTGAAGCCCCATTGGTTAGCTCAGCACGTGCCAAACAGTATCAATTTACGTTTTGACATCTCAATAACACGATAGTAAACCGTGTCATGCCTTTGCATTGGGTATTTACTGGATAGATGCTTTTTGAAATGTAGTTTTCTTTCCAAATAATCCATAAAATTACATTTTATATTTTTCGGATTATTTTGCCTGTTCTTTATCACATTCAAACAACTTTTCTCTAAACTATGTTTGTTGTAAAATCACAGAAAAAACCACAAGTAAAATAATCTTGTTGAGTTTCTTAATTTTGTTTAGCAAATAACCTCAAAACCTGCCATAAATTTATTGAAAATAGTTTAGTGTTCTGCTAGGCAAATGTTGTACATTCAAAGATGGCGCAGTAGTAGGGGTGCGAACTAAAGATCCACAGGTCTGGGGTTCGAGTTCCTGACATGACCAAATTTTCACCCAGAGGAAGGTAAGTCATCATCTGTGTGCAATTCAAGGCACAGGAATGAAAAAATGTGGTCACATTGAAAGTAGGACCAGGACACTGCTTGATAAGAATAGCTTCTCAGAACAACTCTAGATGCCTGGTAGAAGAAAATACAAAATATTTTTTTAAATTGATCCTCATAGCTATCTGGAATATTTCATCTCTTTTTCCTCAAAAAGAGCTTTTAAATTTTTAGGAATAGGCTGTCAAAATTTAAAATATATTTATATATATATTTGTTCTTATCATATTTGGTCAAAGGCTAAACTGCTCACACAGAACTGTATGAATTTGTTCAATATGCTTGAAGCCTTTCGGTGCAGTTCAACGATGAGCACCACAGTAAAGGCAATGAAAATGTCTGAGTTCAGTGTCTTTGAAATGGTTAATTTTTAAATGGTCAAAAAGGCTTTTGATTGTTTACAAAAAGATAAAAAATTTCCAAGGACATGAACAATTAATATTTGATCTGGATTAGGCCCATTCAATCCTTGATAACCATGATTCTCAGGCCATGAATGTTTTGCAGGCTCTACAACTTAGATGCAGCAGCCTTTTCTATGGAAATGTTCCATTACTTTAGCTATGGAACAAATGTAAACTGTTCTACTGAGAATATCATGTGATATATTTTTAGAAGATACCACTGGTAGTTACCCTATTATCCTGCTTAAAAGCAATGCACTTATAAATGGAAATTCACAATTTTGTCATTTTCAGGGTAGGAGAAAATAATTAAGGTACCCGCACATGCACCTATAAATAAAATAAAGTTTTAAACAATAAAATCTCATGAGTAATATTTGAACAGTTGAAACTAATGACTACAAAAATATCAGCAGCAAGAAATTAATGTTCACAAATACTATGATTCAATAAAATAAAATCTAACAATCATATATATTTTGTCCCTATCTTTTTACTTGCTTTCTATTTGTAGGCGGATATCGATGTTCAAAATTCATTTCTTCATCATGATTATCATTATGCCTACTGTCATCATCATCATCATTAAAATCTTCATTGAAATTGAATCAATCAGAATTTGCAAATTTTTTTTTAATGTAACAAAAATTGACAGATTAAGAGCCACTTAAAAGCACACTGTCTATATCTGGATGTAACATTTGTGCCTTAAAATGAGGTCATATGCGCCTTTGAATGAGGTGTGCCTATAAGGGGGGTAATAGGGTATTTATAAAGTGCCCAGGCCCCTTCATAAAACAAATTATATCTTTATCATTTGTCCTTAAACTTTTGTTCTGTTTTGCCTTATTTGATCTGAAACTTTATTTTCTTGAATTATGCAAGTTGAATGACACAATACTTATAGTTCTTTTAACATTACACTTATGGAAAACCTTAAATTGATTTTGATTTTTTTATCTTGTATTTTACAGAGTGAAAAGCACATAATGTTGGATGAAGATGAAATTATTGACATCAATAATGCCTCCCAAGAAGAATGGGAATTGCTACCTGGAATAGGCAAAGCAAAGGCACAGACAATTTCAGAATTCCGTAACAGCATAGGAGGCAAATTTTCTGCTGTTGAAGATTTGAAAAATGTTCCTGGTATATCAAGTGTGCTGTTTGAGTCTTTGGTCCCAAGACTGATTTGCCGTACAAGTTCAACACGAAAACAAGTCTCCGAAATTATCATACCTACAAAAATGGCATTAAGGTCATCTCCAAACCCATCGCCTTCTTCAACTAAGGGTAAATTAAAAAGGAAAGCATGGACAAATCATAGTAAAAGTGTATTACCTTCAACTGAAAAGAAACAGCGTGGCTTGAACTTGATGCAAGAAACAAAATCTAACTTTGAAAAATCTTCAGATGGAATTTACATGACGTATCCACTACCTTCCTGTGCTGTTCCATCTGAATCTGTACGGAAGCGTCTTCCCTCAAAAGTAGCTGGACCACCCATCTCTTTGACTCAGTGGTTGAATGACTTTCAGGGCTGGAATAATGAAGAGAGGACATCAGCCTTAAATGCGCTTGTAGAGCTGTGTGACATGTCCCTTGTTAGACATCTCATGGCAAAAATTGAGCCATTATTTCAAAGGGACTTTATCTCACTTTTACCAAAAGAGCTTGCTTTGTATGTTCTGTCATTTCTAGAGCCAAAAGATCTTTGTCGAGCTGCACAAACTTGTAGATACTGGAGAATATTAGCCGAAGACAATATGTATGTATTCATTTGACAAACTCGTTTTCATTTTCCAGATCCAGCGCATGAAATTTCTCATGAAAGGTTTTGTTCCAAATGATTAGAATAAACATTTACCCCTGTAATCAAGCAAGTCTATTGCAAAAATTTCAGAAATGAATATGATTATTTTGCTGTATTATTTGTAATTTGTTTCCTTGTGATGTGTTATATCCACTGTGTTCTTTATGGAGCAAAGGCATGGAATGACACAACTTGCTATGATACAATTGGCTATGATAAATTATATATTTGGATTTTTTGATGAAATTTGAAGCTCTGGTTTGCTTTACTTCCCTATTTTTTGAATAATAACTTTTACTAACTTGTAGATTATGGAGAGAAAAATGTAGAGAATACGATGTGTATATTGAAGCAGAAGATTGGATAAATAGACCTTTAGCTACAGAAAGTTCAAAAGAAGATGGGAAACCTTGTCTAGAAGTGCCCCACAAAAAGATGTTTTTGAAGCAGTACAAAGTTGAAATGAATTGGCGATGCAAGCCAGTGCGGACACCAAAACACCTCAAAGGCCACGATGATCATGTCATTACCTGTTTGCAATTTGATGGAAAGAGAATTGTGAGTGGATCAGATGACAATACTCTAAAAGTTTGGTCGGCAATTACTGGAAACATTATTCGAACACTGGTTGGACATACTGGTGAGTAAGATTTTAAAAAAAGTTTTATAAAATGTTATAACTAACCCTGAAACTTGCATTGCCAGAATTTCTTTTGTTGTATAAGTGCTGGATAATATCAGTAATTTTGTATGGCTATTTTACTTAGGCCTTCATGTCCCTAGATATGTTTTCAGGCCTTGCCCGGAAAGGCGCTCGATCGAGCGCGCGCGCCTAGAATGCACCCAAAAAAAGCCTTGGAGAGCGATTTATAGAGCCCCTCAAAACGTAAAAACAATATTAACACGGGGCAAAATAAATTTTTGGAATTTGATGAATCAACTTGATCAAGCATAAACAATCTTCCCAACAGACCGCAATATTATGATTTGCGTAAGATTACCCCTTGAGAAAAAATTCAGCAATTTCAACGTTGGGTTTTCAATATCATTTTTTTTCTAATAACCCTCTAATAACCATCAAGGACACAGGCCATCAAGCGTATTCTCCGGCAGATTTATTTGATTTTCGAGCAAGCGTTAATCTTCTATTGAGGTATATATTATTTTCAGTTTTTTTAATAACTTAAAAGCGCCTGTGCAAATCAGCCATCACGTTTCCGTCCAAATTATCGCATTGCTTTTCATTTGCTTTTGCGAGTAGTAGATGTTCTAGCGTTTCTTATAGAATGGATAACATGAAAAAAGGAAACAAAGTTAAATGTTCGATTTAAAGCCATGCGTTTTGATGAAGCAATATGTGAAGCTGAACATAACAGTAGTGATACTGACACTGATAAAAGCTCACCGAATGATGGCAACTTACATATCTAGAAAAGTCTGAACAATTTTGCGACTTTGTTTTATTATATTTCTATATTTATATTAACATAGTGTTTGTTGCATATTTTGTTATTTCATATTATGGTGCTCTGTGGTATCACCGTTGAATTTCATATTTAACATTCTTCCGAAGCTTTCGATTTGAAGCTCTCGATCTCCTAAAGCTCTTGAAGGATGCTCTCAAGGAAATTTACTTAGAGGTGCGAAATAGAGCGCCTAGAGTTTCTAAGGGGCTCTTTTTATGGAGCACCTTCATTTTACTTAGAGCAAGGCCTGTGTTTTGATTAAGAAAGCTAAAACCATACAAATCGTATATATTTCTTTATTTTCCAGAAACTGGCGATAAGTTTCCTTTTAGAACGTATCTGTACATTAATCAAAATGGAAGTAGAAGAAAAAGTTTATATTTTAACAGTAATATAGCAGATTACAAATTTTAAACCTATTTGTATTTTTGTTTCCACCCAGCATCTGAAGGTAGTGTTTAGGACACTGAGAAACCTATGCTTATGGAGCAGTGTCCTGGTCCTTCCTCTTGAAGTAACCACACCTTGTGATTCCTACGCCTGGAATTATTGGGAGCTGGCGACTCTCCCCACTCTGGGTGAAAGTTTGGTCATGCAAGGGACTCAAACCACAGACCCTTGAGTCTGTAATCTGCACCTCTAACAACTGTGCCATCTTGGCACAATTTTAAATCTTGAAGTAGCACCAAAGCAGAGTCATTTGTGTTATTATTAAAATTGTTTTTGCCCAGTCTGCTTTTCGATTATTCAAGTTTATGATCACTCCAGTCTCAATTTGTGCAGCAAGTGCCCTAACATTTGGTTACATTAGCTTAGACTGAAAGTTTTGTAAAGTTTTTTCACCATAAAGGCACAAATCAACTAGTTTTTGCTACTATGCAATGAATCTGGAAAATAGCAACCTTTTTTGTCTTTGATTTTTAATCAATTAGACAGAATGTTTACCTTAATCAATTTAACATTAAGGTGGAGTGTGGTCATCTCAACTTAAAGATGACATTGTTGTTAGTGGATCAACAGACAGGACTCTTCGTGTTTGGAATGCAGAGACAGGAGAATGCACCCATGTTTTGTATGGTCACACCTCAACTGTTCGATGCTTAGCCCTTCATGGGGACAAAGTGGTCAGTGGATCTCGAGATGGTACTCTCAGAGTTTGGGATATTCAGCAGGGTCAGTGCCTACATGTTCTAGTTGGACATGGTGCTGCTGTTAGATGGTATGTGTTTGTTGTTTTGCCCGAAAGATGCAATTAACTTTGATTTTTGATACTGAAAGTTGAAGAATTGTATTGGTGGTCTTGACTGAAGCATTTCAGAATCAAACTGGGTGTTTTTGTTGAAAGACTTTTTTGTAGGGAATCATCCTACCTTGAAAGCAGAGTTCAATCTTCAAGGGTCTGAAGCTTCATTCTTCAAATAAAGCTCCTTACACAATTTCCCCAAGTTTAATTTGCTTTTTTCAGCCCTTGAGATAGCACCCTTGGCAGTAAAAGATACCTAGTCGTTTTCATGTTATGGAAAATTTAGAATCAGATTTAAAGCCTATTCTCCTCATACCAAGGTTTGTAAGCTATAAGTTTTCAAAGCACTACAGTCAAACCCATGTTTTAACAGAAGAAACAGGCATAAGATATATGTTTTATAATTAGATTATATTTATAATTAGACCAGTAGATTACTGATGAAGCGAAAGCAAAACGTCTTACGAAAGTGTTGATTTCATATACTATCGTTTAAACATTTTACAATTATGAGCTTTTGAATACGTAAAAATAAATATAAATATCAAAATATCAAAATATCAAAATATATATTTATATCATTTGTCAACACAATTTTTTGTTGTGTGTATGCACTGTAACGTTTTAGCAGCTACAATTAATTTTTTTCTCAGCGTTCAATATGATGGTGAAAGGGTTGTCAGCGGTGCCTACGACTTCTTAGTGAAAGTTTGGGATCCTACTACAGAAACCTGTCTTCATACGCTATCCGGGCACTCCAACAGAGTATACTCACTGCAGTTTGATGGGTCACATATTGTTAGCGGTTCACTAGACACATCAATCCGTGTTTGGGATGGTGAAACCGGACAGTTGCGGCACACTTTGCTTGGGCACCAATCACTAACTAGTGGGATGGTACTGCGTAATAATATACTAGTGTCGGGCAATGCTGATTCCACAGTGAAAATTTGGGATATTGTTACCGGACAATGTCTGCATACTTTGGCAGGGCCTAACAAGCATCAAAGTGCAGTCACTTCGTTGCAATTCAACAGTAAATTTGTTATAACCAGTTCTGATGACGGATCAGTTAAGTTATGGGACTTGAAAACAGGGGAATTCGTTCGGGACTTGGTGAAACTTGATAGTGGGGGCAGTGGGGGAGTTGTGTGGAGAGTGAAATGCAATGACAAGAAATTAGTATGTGCTGTTGGGAGTCGCAATGGTACAGAGGAGACTAAATTATTTGTGTTAGACTTCGATGTTCACGAGTAGCATTTCCACCAATGTATAATTGTTAGAAAATAAAAGAATTTTGAAATAGCCAGGCATCTCCAGAATTCGTCATGAAAAATTTTACCCCCCCCCCCTCTCCTCCATATTGCTAGAATGACACCTCCTGTATCACAATCACTGTTCGCAGAGACATCCTAGCCGGGAAACACCAGAGACCCTTGCCTCCCAACTTTTTGAAAAATTGCTTTTTTTATCGTTAGAACTTTTATGAAAATGCCCCTTTTCTTAGCATAGTCCCCCTTTCTATCTTTGCCCCTCCAACTTTGAAATGCTTTCGACATCCCTGGGTATTAATAGTTCAAAAATGATATTTTTGGTGACCTGTTCTGGTTTGCTTTATTATATCGTAGTATTTAGTTGCTGTCCATACTAATATTTATCATTTGATATTTTAAGAAAAATTGAAATACGGGGTTAATTCTTCCAACATTAAAGAAACAAGAGCATGAAGATCTATACACTTCGAGGCGATGGGCTGAGCTGATCGTTTCGAGCTGATATAAGTTGCCAGTTTACTCGCATACCGTTGTTGAGCAGCACTGCAGTAACGGCTCTTTTCTACCTAAATACCTCTAATTAATCAAATATTGAGTAGTAGAATCACCTCTCACATTTCCCTCAATTCAACTGATTGTATTATAGGTCGGTCGCAGGTACATTGCTGTGTGTCAAGCATTCTTCTCTTACCAGGGGAAGTTTTATTCCCTTTTATATGCACCCTGAGGTCTTTAACTTCGAATTACAAAGCTTCCAAATTTTGTTGAAATTCTCGGTTGCAAATTATTTACATATATTATTAATTAAGCACAGATAAAACCTGGCTGTTCGTCTAAATTTAGTTCTTAAGGTTATCGTCAATCTTTTTGACTTCTTTTCTTCGTTTGAGATGTTTTAGTTCATGCCATCAAAATTCAGACAGAAAGATTTCATGCCCAGTATTAAAGCAGCGTTGTTTGCGCACGCCAGCCTCTGCAAACTTCTGTCATAATCCTGCAGTGAGCAAAAGAAAGAAGCTTTTGCTAAACAAGACCTATTCTCAAATTTATACTAATTGAGGGTCAAAATAATAAGTAGGTTTACTTCTACTATTTATGATTTGCTTTACCCTCTGCCCTTCGTCGAAAGCTGCTTGGATTTAGCGCGTGTTATAAAATCTAAGCAGGAATATGATATAGGCCCATAACAGGCCTAAGTTTTGCCTTACCCACCGAAAGCTTTATTAGCCTTTCTGTTATTTAAGAAAGATTTTGTACATATAAAAACATAGCGAGCCTCTGTATTAGGACGAGACTTAGTCACCGGCAAATGTCCTATTGAAAAAAGGCGTTTTAGGCAGTCGTTCTTTTATCTTACCCAAATAATAAATAACTTAACTGCGCAATGATAATCTTATTTCGATTGTAAATTTGTTGAAAAACGTTTAATAAATATATTTGGAAATCTTTACCAAGAACTGTTCTATTTTATTGAGGTATCCTGTATTTCCTTTTTCATCACCGCAACAATGCATTTGAACAATTCATTCAAATTACGACTCGTGTCATAATTTATAAACAAGGTATTTTTTGCACCAGACCATTTTGCGCAATATATTTTGCGCCACATTTCTTCAAAATACTTTTTTGCTGAAGAAGTATTTACTTAGGAGACCTTTTCCCCTAAATTTTGCAAAATTGATTTTTGCAGAATTGATTTTCAACAATATTTGAAAAACTAGCTTTTGTAATTGAAAGTTTCTCTTGAAATATTGTGGGTAAAAATTTTGCCGTTGAAAGGTTTTTCACTGATGATTCAAAAAGGTTTTTTGTAGAAATTTTAAGAGGACATGGGATTTTTGCAGCTTACTGATTTTGAAACTTTTGTGAATATAGCCTTAACGTTGAAAAATATTGGTGAAACACAATGTTGTGTAAAAGCGTCAAGAACGCAAAAGTTCTTCTGCACAGATTAGTAAAAATCTTTGAAGGGTGTTCAAAAGGTTTTCACCAAAAAACTGGATTGAAGCTGAAGGGAATGTCCTTTGGTATGTGATGCCGTGAATAACGTAAGGGGATGTCGTGAAGCCATAGCCTATTCTAAGGGAAAATAGCTGCAGGGGCAACCCTTTGTTTTTATAAAAAGAGGAGGACACCAGTCTGTTGTTTAAAACAATGGAAAGTAATTGGGGCTGCAAGGGCAATTGCCCCCTAGTTAGTATGTTAAAAAAGGCTCTGTGTGACCAAAAACATATGTAGAAAATTGTTATGGACACCCTATGACTTCTTAGCATGTGATTGATGGGTGTATAAGCTCCGGTGGGGTCAGAAAAAATTAGAAAAATTAATAAGCGTCCCCCCTTCTATTGAGGACCTTAGAGTAAATACATTTCCATACGAACTTTTGCGGGGCCTGGAACTGAACCACATCCACTATTCTGTGCTATAACTGTTTCAGCCTTGAGTCAAAATGGCGGATCTACTAAAAATAACTGCACCATCGCTGTTGGTCACAACGGGGGTGGCTGTCGTTTCTCTAGGCGTTGGGTATTATTTTGGTTCAATCAAAAATAAGAATAAAAGCCGAACTTTGAAATCGAACATGAATAAAGAGGATCCATTGATGAAATATATATATGATCATTCGTTAAGAGAGCCATCGTTCCTTAGAGATCTTCGCGAGGAGACTCAAGTGAAGACTGGAAGCCAGATCAAAATGATCATAGATCCGCTGGAGGCACAGTTTCTAAGACTTCTTTTGAAGTCAATGGGAGCTAAGAGGTATTTTGTATTGATTGTATTGCATTTAATAATTTAATCATTGCATAACAGAAGCACATCATAGGACGTATATATTGTAATATATGGATAGGCCTCATGAATAATATTTTTAGAGCTTTTACGGTAACCAACTTTCAACAACATATGGAAAGAAAACCTCGTCAAACCATTTCATTATATACTCTATTACTTTTCAGCTACTGATCAAGCATCTAAAAATAAATATATTTGCTGCCAAAAATCTTGTTTCTCTTAAAATTTCGCCAAAATAGATGCGGTAAACATAGACAGAGACACCTTAATTTTGCAACATTCACTGGCAGAATACGTTATCTGTTATAATGCATCTGTTATAATGTGTCCTGCTTCAGTGGCGGATCCAGGGGGGGGGGCAAAGGGTGCTTGAGCACCGGTCAGATTTCAAAGTACTGTTTCTTGTACCTGTTCCTGTGCGTGTTTCCGAGAAAAGCTAAAGATTTCTACTGATTCGATGTTTTCATCTATTTTGCATGAAAAATGTCCTTTTATCTAAATAATTTTCTTTTGTCGCATTAATGTTTACAATCGTGGCATATTCACTGGAACGAAATTCTGGTAGAATGCAAGTGCTGACCAATTAGATTGCGGATGACAAAATCATCCTCCAATGATGAAATCCCATTATTCCATGCTATTCCAAGCACCGGTGGGTTCGTAAATTAGAATTGTCTCGAATGCATAGCCACTCCTGTTTACCGTATTCTATCATATTTTTGGCCCCCCCCTCTAATTTTTGTTAGCCAATTTTTTTGTTCAGTCTCAATGTAGATCTAAAATAATTCATAATTTAATTATGTAGTGTTATTGGTTGTTTGAAACATGCTAATTTGAAGCAACTGGCAAGGAAAAAGGCAAGGGGCAGAACTGATGGCCATTGACTGAAAAACCATTTCTTATTTTAACATATTATGGGCTGGTCAAAATGGGTTGGATAAACCAAATGTTATGTTTCAACTTTAACATGGTTGAAAGTATTTGAATTAAAAACTTTTATATAATTTTAAAAATATAAACATAACTTATTAGTTCTTGTGAGGTAACCTATAGCACTTTAAAAAATAGTTTATGACCTACTTAGCTTTTAAAAATTGCAAACAATGACATACTTCCACATTCTACCTTTCTGGATAAGATTGAAGCCTTCTGTCATTCTTATTTTGAACTGGTGTTACAGTGCTGTTGGAGGGAGCTGCCTGTAGTCTTACTTATATTCAGTTCAGTTCAATTCAGTTTATTTTAAATTCCACTGGATACATACACTTGTTGCAAATTAGAAATAATTCAAGCTTAAAAGTATAAACAATGTAAAAGGAAGCTAAATAATATAAACGTAACATAACAAATACAGAGTAGAGGAGAAACAAGCTAGTATTGTAAACAGGGAATTATTTAAAGGAGGAAACTTTCTCAGTAGTTTATAAATTAATCAAGGAGAAAGCACCCCCTAGTAAATTAGATGCGTTCTGCTTAATTTTTTAGTTCTAAAAGTAAAAAGAATCATCTGTAAGTTGCTATCAGTCATCCACAGAAAAATATCATCTATTTATAGACTAAGTTTAAAAACCATCATTGACTGCTATGTTGTTTTGTAAAAATATTTCAAGATTGTTTTTAAAAGAATATTTTGAAGGAGAATTTCTAATTTCTACTGGTAGGTCATCCCACATTTTTGCCCCCATATATTGTATGTTTCAACATCATTTTTATTGTTTCAAATACCTTAGTGCTATTAAAGGGGATTAGCTGGATGGTTCAAAGACACTTTACTTGCAAGAATATTACCTATTTGAAATAGGGTCCTGTTGCTATGATATAACTTTTGTCTGCTACCTTTGCTTTAAAAACACACAAGAAGTTATAATATGCCTTTAGTATAATATAACTTTGCTCTTTAGTCTATAAAACGAAAGAGCATTCAAGTCAGGTAAGGATTTATGCTTGCAGAAAAATTTTATGGATTGTTGAAAGATTTAAGGACTTAGTGTTAACAAACTTGCTAGTTTTTGTTGCAAATAAGGAAATCAACATAGTGTCATAGCTCAAGCTTGCTGCAGTAAACAGACAACCAGTAAAATGAACAATAGTAGTTTTAAAAAAACAACTGTTAATATCAACTTACTTCCAATCAATATTGCACGTGTGGAATTACTTCCAATCAATATCCGTCGTGACTTTTCGGACAACAGCCTTGTAAAAGAATAGCCTCGTTTCCAATGCCCTCCTTTCCCGCCAATCAAATCATGCAATTCAATTCACTTCAGTTTTCATTTTAAAGGGGCCTGTGTCGGATAGAGCACTTCCAGTAATGCATAGCAAAAGCCAAAAACACTTTATGTATGTTCAAAGGCAGAAATCTATTTTTCAGGTAGGGGTGGGGGTAGGGGGAGGCAAACCCACAAAATAAGCAAATTTGCCATTGGCATAGTTCCATAGTAAGCATATTTTTTAACTAATTAGTTTAAAAGCTCTGTAGCAACAGGGAAGAATATCTTTATTGATTTTATTCGGTTTTGAATCGTATTTTGTGTTAAATGAACATTAATTTAATTGCAAGTTGTTTAAATTTGATTGCGCAAGATGCTCAAGCTTTAACAGGAAAATCTCAATGATGAAAAAGAAGCTCACAGTAAGCTGTTCATGTCACAATACAATGAATGCAAATACGACATTCTAAATTGTAAGGGTAGAAATGACTTTTGAGAGAATGTCGACATGTAGCTTTAAACTTAAGCTAAATTGAGATGAAGTGTTGTTGATTGATGATAAATGATTTTGGATAGATTCATGATAAAATGAAAAAATTCGAACATTCGTCCGCATGATTAACTTCAGAATTGAGAATTTCTTCGAGCAGCGAAAAAAGCCTATTCCTTCCAAACTTGAAAACTTGAATTCCCTCCTATCATAACGCAGTACCAGCCAGCACATTTCCTTCGTACATTTCAGTAGCCTTGAATTTTTATATATCTTGGATCAAAGGCTACATAGATTTCCTCGAATAGTAACTGAACTGTCTTGATTTGCCTGCAAGGAATAAAAAACATGGTGTTGTGACGTCACACGCACTGGGTATCATGAAATGCCGACAATGGTCGACTACTCGACGATAATTTCATGACATTTAGAGCGGAATTGCGTCAAAACGGACAATAATAATCAACCGAAAACTTGAAATTAAGATTCCATGCATCGTTTTTTTGCATTATATCAAAAAATAGTTTTGCGTGTCAGTTCACCTTTAAGCAGCATAAACTTTTTATTTTTTTTAATAACAAGCTCTAGGTTTCTGACAATTGCTATGGATGTATTGAGTTTGCTACTAACTTTAGCTTTGAGCGAAAGTTTAACATCCTATTACAGTTAAAAGATAATTGGATAAATTAAGGTTTATCAGGTATCAACTCACTGAAGCTTTATTCCGTTACTTTGACTATTACGTCAATGTAGAAATTTCCAGCTCGATGGACGGGCACAACACGATTTGGGAAGCGTATTGCTCATAATACCTGCTTTTGCATTTTCAGATGTATAGAGGTCGGGACATTCACTGGATACAATGCCTGTAGCGTTGCACTTGCGCTCCCTGACGATGGAGAAGTGGTAGCTTGTGATGTGTCAGAAGATTTCATTAATATTGGAAAAACATTCTGGACGGAAGATTGTGTGTCAAAAATAAAGATAAACATCAGGCCTGCAATTGAGACCCTTGATGCTCTGATAGAAGAGGGACAAGAAGGAACATTTGACTTTGTTTTCATCGATGCTGACAAGGAGAATTACGGAAGGTACTATGAGAGAGCTTTGGTATTAATAAGGCAGGGAGGTATAATAGCTATCGACAACACACTATGGAGCGGAAAGGTACTCGAGGAAAAGACTTCATTTGACGAGAGCACCAAGTCAATCTCTGAGCTGAATTACAAAATCAGGAAGGACAAGCGAGTTGATGTTTCAATGTTGAGCCTGGGGGATGGTACAACACTTTGTATGAAGAACTAATTTTACCAGTTCTAACATTATCCATTCTGATTGTACCTGGTACTGGTATAGTTTGCACATTGAATGAATTCGCAGAGAATTTATGTTGATATCTAATATTAGCAAAGATTGTAGAATAAGAACAGAAATAGTTCTTATGTTGAGAAAGAAAAGTTTCTTCTTTGCTTGGCTGCCTTAGATCCTCCTGGCTAGTGATCGAAGAGGGAAGCTGCTTTCAACAAGCACCAACAATAAACTTGCAGAAAAAAACTAAACATTCATCTTTTCAGGGGAGAGGGGTAACTTTTATAGGCAGAGGACGGGGTGTGCCATTATGAAATGCATACCCTTTGTAACGAATGATGTAACAAGTAACGAGTCACGTGATATTAGATCTGTCACTTCCGTTAAAACGCATGTGCTAAGTGTTTCTGAAGTGGTCAGTCTTTGAGTATCTAAATGGAGTGAAGTATTGGTGACAGAGGTACAAGGCTGAGTTCCAAGAGTATCACCATCATGACTTCTATATCAAATTTGCAAAAATCCAACAACATGCCAAAATCAATCCCAAAATTTATGACCATGTTTGTTTCTAACCCAAAATTTATGACCCAAAATTTATGACCATGTTTGTTTCTACCGAAACCCCAAGAAGGTACCCCAAAATATGGCACAGCCCGTCCCAGAGTATGTAGAATCCTCTCTCCACCGGGCAGAACAATTGAGTTCTTGAAAATTCTTGTCTGTGTCTACCATCAAAGTTGTATTATCTGCGTATCTCAAATTATTGTAATTTCTTGTCCCCAGTTTTAAACCATCACACGTCTTGATTTTGTTTAAAGTCTCTTCAATATAAATATCAAATAAATCAGGAGATATAATACAACCTTGTCGGACTCTTTTTTGAATTTCAATCCATCCACCCACTTCTCTATTTAATCTAAATGCAGCTTTTTGGTCCCAATATAAATTCCTTATCAGCCCTAGATCTTTTCCATAAATTTTGAGTCCTTCTTAAAGAATTGAATTGGGTCAAACATTTTTAAAAGTATATTTATTGGTCTTCGTATTCAAATCTCATTCAAAACCGAAATACGACAAAGTTTATGGTTTTGTGTACAAAACATCTTTCAAAACATCACAATCTTCAAAACTACAATCCAGTTCTACAGACTGGGGGAATGGTTCTTGAACAAGAACTTTTAGTGACTTGCTTGCTGCAATATTGAGCGATCATCTATGATGGGACTACCATATAGCTAATGTAACATCTTCATGGATCTATACCGTGTCCATAATAGCAAAAATCAGAGAAACTCGTTCCGTTAGAATCATAGAGACAAGCTGCTGAGGTTCTCGTTATGTCCAATTTGGACTATTCTGACGTTCCTTTTCAACCTCCTCCGTTGAGACTCCTAAAATGATTGCAAAAAGTTATAAAATACAGGTTTTCTACTAGACCGATACGCCAAAGAGAAAGAACTGGTACAATTGACTAGTTGCCAGTGAAGGAACGTAGAAACTGGCATCTGATGAAGCATTCATTTAAGTACATACATGATCAGCAAAAGCCCGAGTACATTGACATATGGCTGAAGGAAAATACCAGAAACGTAACAGCCATTTCTGTGAGGCTTATTGCCTCGTCTTGTGCTTCCAGATAATTCCAGGAAAGATAATTCCAGGAACTCCTCGATGAACTGCCGACAGGAATTACGGAAGCTACGGCTGCAATGAAATTTTCATTACCAAGGCGCGCGTATTTATGCATAGAAACAAAGAGAAGACTTTTGGCTCAACACTGGAATGAAATTAGCTTTCAAACAATTTTAACTAGATATGTAATCCTGTTTCAATGCCTGTAAAAAAGCTTGCAGCGGCCAGGTGTAGAGTCACTCTATAAATAAACTGCTTTATCGTCATTGCTGTTGCACTACACAAGTGCATTATGATGATTATTATGACTTCGTAGTGTCAAGAATAGTCAAATAATGTCAAGAATTATCAAACATATTTAGATCAACATAGTTTTAGCGCATTTGTAGTGAATTCCAACTCACTTAGTTATCAGCACAAATGTTGTGGCAGAACTTGGGTAAATCCACTGATGACGTCACAAAATAAGCAAAGGCCTCAAACCCAATTAAATGATACATCAATTGAAAGCTCTTGAAATGCGTATTCACATAAAACCCAGAATTGCTAAATTGTACAACTTATTTTGAATAAATAGCGGATTTATGACTGTTTCTGTCGTTATCAATTTCGTCATCAGTCACGTGATACTGATGCAAAATCTTATTGGTCCCATCTTGGATTCTGAATCTCCATGCTTGGAAGTATACAAACCCATCGAGATCATCTCGGTTAGTTGAGAAATCAGATTTTCACAGCCATAGCCCTGCCTAGAACTCCTGAAGAAGGCCTATGGTTTCGACCCGGAACATAAATTTCCCTTGACTTCCTTTTTACGTCATGAGTTTGCTTCCGCTTGAATTGGTTAAAGCACAAAATAGATTGAAATCGCATCTGCTGCAGCAACATCAAGTTGCCAAGTGCGAGGAAAGAGGCACAGTCATTACTTCTCAAGAAATATTTTAAGCGTTTTCATTACGATGGCCTTTTTGTGGGCCTTCGTTTTACTCTCCGTTGCATCTTCCTCATCAGCTCAGAGGTGAGTGTGTCGTTTTGCCTTAACAAAACATCTCTATTGATTTATCCTTGAGGTGAACATTGTCAAATACAAATGGCAGAGGACTGATTTTCCTTTCTTGTGATTTTCCAGAAGCTGCCTGTTTTGCAAAACCCAAAGACTAAAGTTTTCCATAATAACGATCAATGTGAGTAAATTGTACCAGGCAGTGGCGGCTCCAGCCTGGGATAAGTGGGGGGAACAAAAGGTGTGTCAGGGACAACGCCCAGTTGGACCACGCCCTTTTCCTACCCATTCCCCCCCCGTGGCTCCGCCACTGGTACCAGGAGAAATCTTTTTAAATAATTAACGACGTTTCGAGCATAGCCCGTTAGTCTTGATAACTCAATTGTTGGGAAGATGAGATGCAGCAAGTTTCAGCTGGAGTGTGAAATGAGTACACCCGTTTTTGGGCCATGGCACTTGCGTATTATATTTTTAGATTCAAAGAGGCATAGAACCCCTAGAGAAAGGAACAAACAGAACTGCCAGCGATGCCACAATGAGCCAGGTAATTTACGAAAAAATGTCGATTCAAGGTACTTTTTCTTCCGATAATGTTTTCCCTTTTTTCCTATGTTTTGTTTACTTTCCCAACTAATAAACTGCTCAGGCTCTGTAAAATTATTCCCTGTTTACGAGGTCCTGACTTTGCAAGGTTGATGATATTGCCTTCTCGTATTTCACTGAGATCCTAAGCTTTGAAATAAACGGTATAACGTTGTTCGGGGAAATCACTTTCTTCTTCTATTTCTCTCTAGTGCGAATCCATTCCACTTGGAGACACGTTGACCCATGCAGTCTGAAAATTCATTGAATTCTATGGCTAATGTTGTGACCAGGGACGGATTTAGAGAGGGGGGGGTGTAGGAGGTGCGACAACCCCCAATAGTTCTGTGTCCTTCGGTAAATTTTTTTCAATCGGTAAAAATCATTTGTTGGTTGTCAATAGTAAGAAAGTAGCGCCAAGATTTTACTTTATTTATTTTTATCAGTATTTATCTTCTTATCAGTAACATAGCGAGGGGGGGGGGGGGGGTATTCTCAATGTATTTTTAGCTAATCTCAAGGGCATCGTCGCAAAAATTGGACTTTGCTCCAAGGAAAACGGAATTGGCTTAAAACTTTTGAATACGGTTAATTTTTTTAGATATTTGATTACAACTTTGAAAAATCACTTTATACACGTAGAGATTCCTCGCCTTACACAATTCAGGATTTAAACGCTAGTGGAACTGTGAAGGAAATAGCCAGTTGTTGTAGAATATGGTCGCCAACCTATGACGTTGAATAAAGGGGAATTGCCACATACAAATGGCATGACTTTTTCAAACACACTTACAAAAGGGATGTTTTTCCAAATTCTTAGGGGTGTGCTCAGCAAAAATATCTTCCTCTTTGGCTACCAATCTTCCAAATCTGGCTATGCCACAGTTAGAAACCAAATTTCAAAAATGGGCCTTTCCATCATTTACCAGTGACCTAAAGGGTGTGGCACCAAAATTAGTGTCTAGTACTCTCCCCCAATCATTGTTGCTTAAATCCGCCCTTAGATTCTGACAATCGTCAAAACTCAGTTCTACTTTTCGTCAAGATAATATTTTCGTCGCGACGATATGCTCATGTCACTGCAAAACCGCTTCCTGTTGTGTGCTGATCGATTGCTTTTCACGCAATTCTTGCGATTTGTGCAATACGACCAGTATTCAAGTCCTTTGACGTTCCCTTAAAACCAAATCAAATTTGTCAAGAATAAGAATTCTAAAATGTCTTAAAAATATCGAGGCTCGAAAAAAATTTAATAGTTTTCTTATTTAAAAAAGTGTACCTATGTTCTCTTTTACAGTTACTTCGTTGTTGCACCAAACGTCTTCAGACTGAATGTGGAGGAGACTATTTCTGTTCAAGTTGCAAGTCCTTGCAATGTTGAACTGTACTTGCAGGCCCCAGGTCGCGCTGCCATGATCAGCAGGGTTACGCAAAATTTCCAGCCAGGTGAGACTTTTTTGTTTCCAAATCACCTAATGCCTAAGGTGCTTCTATATCATTGGCCTAATGGGAGTGTCGTCAGAAAGAGATTCAATTGGAAGAAGGGCTTTTGAGAAAAAACGAGGGATATATTGCTTTCCATAAATCATATGTTATAGAGATGGCATGAGATTACTTAGCATTTGACGGACAAAGGCCCTCCCAGAGCCGGATTAACCCCAGTTTGGGCAAATCTGGATTAACGGCCTATTATTATTTGGCCTATTCAGTGTCGGTTAAATTCCAGTGTGTTTTCATCCGGATCTATTTCAGTACCCTGGGTGCCAAAAACTCCATCATTTAGTCCCAGAAATATAGTTCGAAACTAGTCACTGAAATATTTTTCGAGCAAGGACTCATTCTTTGCCGCCGCAGCTGTCTATTGTACTTTATCCCTGGGTTCATCAGGCTCTGGTACCCAGGGTACTATTTTAGCTATGGGCCTTGTTACAGCATCTTTGCTAATCACTTTGAGTAGGCCTTGGGCCTTTCCGATTCTGTCAACAGCTACGTTAGTGCATTAAAATCGTTTCAAATTTCGAAATCTTCACTCCAACAAACACTTTCACGTGGGCGAAAACTAGGTTTTTCTGGACTGCTGTGTACAACCTTTTTCAAAGGACAGCAAACTAAGAAAAGTTTTCACCCATTCACCGGTCACTATGACAAAACTTCGCGGCACTTTTTGTAGCAATAATCACGAAGCAAATTATCTTACCATCCGCATGAAATCATCCATGTTTTGACTGCCGCATAACAACTCTGCCCTCCTTAATTTCATTTTTCTTTTAATTTAAAGGTGAACCAAAAGTCGTGAAGCTAAAGGTTGGTGCACTTTTAGCAGTTCCAGTGGCGAAGCATACCAAAAAAAGGTGGTCCTGCCCAAAGGGAGTCTGGGGTCACGCCCTAAAGATCCTCGGAAAATTGCGTAAAGGCACGCCCCAAAGACCCTCGGAATAGGGGGAAACACCCTTCTGGATATGTTGAAATCGAGATTGCAGAGAAACATTTTTCACTGCCACATTTTGGAAAAAAGGGGACGAGGGTTCGGATCCTTTCAAGTTCCTCCTGCCTTACATTGAAGAAGTCAAAAGAGCATCACAAAAATTCTTTCTAAAATAAGTAACATTTGAAAATGTTTTCATTGATTGAAATTTTTTAAATCATCAACTAAAGAGAAATTGCTTGTACAAATAGGCATATACAGTTGTAATATATACGGGAAATATAGTTGATGCAAATTATTTAAAAAAGTAAAAATATTTTGTCACAACATGGGTAGGTCTGTAGCATGGTAGATAGGGTCTTGAATTAATTTATTTTGAATATCAGAAGAGACCCCTGACATCTTGCCAGTACAATACAATCTGAGTCACCGAGTACAAAATCTCCCAAGAATTCCCATTGTTTAAGCAGACGCCTTTCTTCGGGACCTTTCAATTGTATGGTAGTTCCTGTTAAGGCAGGATGACGAACTGATGAAATCAACAAATTATAAAATACCGAAACATAGGGCTCCAAAAGTCTAGGTCCTGCCTTCATGAATGAGCAGGGCCTGGGGTCCTGCCATTTCTGAAGGGCAGGAATGCCATTGTTTTCTTCTATTGTGAGGCAGGGCCAAAAACAGGGCTACGAGGCATTTGCCCATTGTTGGGCAGGACCAAACATAGGGTTTAGTCCTGCCTACGAGAATTGGGCCGGACTGGCCACAGGGCTAAATTTTCGACGATATCAACTTATGTACGGGATACTCGAAATTCTATCCCAGTCACCCTGTGTTTCAAACTTGAAAAAGGGCACCGCCATGAAGTATAAGTGCAAAATAAGACAAGAAATACCTTTGAATCAGGCATATAATGATTTCATAAAGTGAATCAATTTTCTTATTTTAAAAATTATTATCTTTGGAAATTTGTGGTCCTGCCCAGCAGGACAAGCAGGACCTTTGGCTTCGCCACAGCTCATTAGTATTACCATTATGCATCATCTTCTAAGAAAAACTATTTCCTAATTCCTGCTGCGTTTTGCTCGAGACTGATGGATATAGAAGGCCCAAACACATTTTATGCTCTGGTAGATACAGGCATTTGATCTAAACTAGATTAAATGGTGTTCAGTATTCATGCTATAGCGCCCCGATGAGTCCAATATCTTCTATTCTTTTCTATGAATATTTTTAGACTTTCGTGACATGAATTACACGTCTCTTGATAAGAAACATGGATCAGCACTATGTACTAAAAGTTTCTTAATTTGACATCAAATTTTTGGCGTTTTTGTACTGAAATGTTCTTGGTTGGTTTCTTATTTTCGTGATCTAAAATTGCCTTATCGTTTTGAAGTTTAGCACTTTTGGAATATAAAAACAGATAGTGACGAAAAACCCACGCAAATGAAAATCCAAAGTATACTATCTTTTCCAAAGAAAAGTCAACAAAATAAGAAAATAATAAAAAAGTTATTAAAACTTTGTGCAAAAATAACTAGTTCAAACGATCTATAGTGACATCATCTCTACACCACTGATATCGTTAAGCCTTCTCTAAATAGAACTCAATACTTACCATTGACTCTTTTAAATTTTAATTATCATTAATTTTTCTTGAGCCTACAATGCCTGCCAAAAGTCTTGGAACACTGACATCAATTTTAAAGGTCAAAATCAATCATCCCCCTCTCCCCAGCAGAACAATGTTGGTTTACTATAAAACTGGTTAGGATTTAAGGAAGCACTTTCTTTTGCGCTTCTTTTGTGATATTCTCTAAATTATCAACATTGTTTTAGGGGGAAGGGGGAGGAAGTAGTGATTTTTTAGGAAAAGGAATAAAAGATATAAAATGCAATGCACTGCTGGGTGTTCCAAGTAATTTTCGCAGGCATTGTAGCAATAAAGATTCTAAAATTTTTGCCAATCCTATTACTAGTTTCTTATAAAACAGTCTCTTATAATAAGAAACGTGTAGGCCTGGGGTGCTTTTGCAAAATTTCAAAAATTGAGCAATTCATCAAAGTATCCGATCATTTAGTAACTTGTGTATTTTTTCTCTATACAGATAACAGAGAAAAATCTCCCGAACTTATTTGGGACAGCTAAGATATACGTCAACTTGGTGGTTAAAGCACCTGGCTTTCATAAGGTTGCCCCCGTCCTGGTACACTGGAAAAGCGGTACAGTTTTTATTCAAACGGACAAGCCACTTTATTCGCCGGGGCAGAAAGGTAAGCTAATTATAATTTCTACGCCAGGTTTAAATGGCCTACTTGGTAATTTTTTTAATGACCATTCGAGTCATTTAAAAGACTTATGCTTTCTTCTTCCTGGTCCTGTTCCTGTTCCTCATCTTCTTCTTTCTTCTTCTTCTTCTTCTTCTTTCTTCTTCTTCTTCTTCTTCTTTCTTCTTCTCCTTCTTCTTTGTTCTTCTTCTTCTTCTTTCTTTTTCTTCTTCTTCCTCCACTACTTCTTCTTCTTCTCCTTCTTCTTTCTTTTTCTTTTTTTTCCTCCTCTTCTTCTTCTTCTTCTTTTTCTTTTTCGTCTTCTTCTTCTTCTTCTTTCTCATCTTCTTCTTCTTCTCCTTCTTCTTCTTCTTCTTCTTCTTCTTCTTCTTCTTCTTCTTCTTCTTCTTCCTCCACTTCTTCTTCTTCTTCTTCTTCTTTTTTCTCGTCATTTCTGCTTCTTCTTCTTCTTATTATTATTATTATTCTTCTTCTTCTTATTACCTTTTCGCACTATTGTCTTCCCTTTTCCTTTTCCAACGTACTTTGCCATTCTCAGCTAGCCTGTGCTCCAAACCCCTGACTTGAAAGTAGAGGGTCCATACTTTCAAGTTAGGGATCTAGAAAGCAGGCTTTTTACAGCCTGATCATTGGTCCTGGGCCAACTGTAAGTCCATATTCAGTCTAGCACTACTGATGAACTCTGAAAAAGGGTGAAACTGTGAAACTGCGCTACTGCCGATAGTGTAAGACACCACTACTAGAATACTTCTGCAGCATTTTTTAATCATTTTTTAATCAACATTAAACTTATTTTTTAGTTAAGTACCGCATTATTCCAGTTGGTGTCGACATGCTTCCATTAAAAGAGAACGTAAGTTTGTCGTGTTATATTATATTATATTATATTATATTATATTATATTATATTATATTATATTATATTATATTATATTATATTATATTAATTATAATTCATATTTATAACATTATTATTATTTAATTTTATACATTATATTATATTATTTCATATTACTTTATATTATATATATTTATATTATTATATTATTTTATATTATCATTAATATTATCATTTATATACATTTTCATTTTATTTATATTATATTTTTATATTAGATTAATTATATTATATTATATTAACATTACATTATACTTATATTAATTATATTATATTATATTATATTATATTATTATTATATTAATATATATTATATTATATGTATTTATTATGTCGTTTTATATTATATATATAATCATATTATATCATATGTATATATTTATATAGATTATATTATGTCATTTTATATTATATTTTCATTTATAATTATTTATTTTATTATATTAATTAATTAATTATATTTATATTATATTATATATATACTTATTATATTATATGATTTCATTATATTAATTATTTATTATTATAATTATATTATATTATATAATTAATTATATTATATTAATTATATATATTTTATTTATATGTCGTTTATATTATATTATATGCATATTTTATCATATTATATTATTTTAATTATATTATTATTTATGTCATTTATTTTACATTTTATCATTTTTAATATATTATATATAATTTATGTATTTATTTATATTATATCTATATTATATTATATTATATTTATATTATATACATTATATTATTATATTAATTATATTATATTTATATATTATTTTTCATATTATATCATATTATTATTATATTATATAATTTATTATATTATATTATATTATATTGTATTATATTATATTTTATTTTATTATGTCATTTTATATTATATTATATTATATTATATTATATTATATTTTATTATATTATATTATAACATATGATATTATATTGTATTGTACTGTACTGTACTGTGCAATACTGTTCAGTACTGTATTGTATTGTATTATATTATATTGTATAATATTGTATCATATTATATTATTTTGTATTTCATATAATTATATTCTATTCTATTCTTATAACATTCACTGTACATGTCCCTTAAACTTTCTTGATTTTACATTCGTAAGTGCGAGAACTAAAATCGTGAGAATTGCATCGTGGCTTCAGACAGGATTCAGACACTTTTGCCGGCATTTTGAGGGGAATGCTTTTGCCGGCATTTTGAGGGGAATGCTTTTGCCGATGCGTTGAAGAATTTGGCCAAAAACGTTTTTTTTTGCATTTTTGAAAGTTTCGACCATGTTTAACTGACCTTTTATCTTAATTCTAACCGTTGCATTTTAAAAAATGAGTTATTGCATTCTTTGCTTTTACATATAAATTATGAAAATGCAGACAATGCTCATCAAAATTTAACAATTCGTGCTGCTTACGGGGTGTTATTTCAAAATTTAAAGGGTAATCTGCCCCCTCTCCATGACACCACAGAATGCAACCAAGAGCTTGACACCTTTCATTGTATAACTATAAAACTCAAAGTCAATCCCTATCTCTGTTATCAAAAATAGTTTGATCGAAAATACAAATGTAAGATTGGTTTTCTTTTCTTTCCTACTTAGGTGACGATAGAAGTAAAGGTATTTGTCAAAATTTATAACAATTTTGCATTTTGATGTACAGAGTTTATTTTTTAGTTTAGCGATTGTAATTGTTCTTATAAACATTCACACAATCTTCCAGTTTCTATTTAGTTAACGTTCAACTGCATTGAAGTTGAATGATGTAACTTTTTAACTTACTTTCGCATCTAAGTGACGAGTCAATAATTGTTTAACCCTAATAAGATGCATAATTGTCCGCTTGCACTTTGAATATTTTGGTTGAGTCCACTTCTTTTTACAGAACCCACAAGGAGTGAGGGTAGGAAGAGAACGGAACATTGCCGCTTGGAAGAACGGTATATAGGCATTCATTTCTTCCTTTTTAATTATGACCAACAGGAGATCTGATAAGGCAACATGCTAGCTGAGATGCCAATGCCACAATATCTAGCCTAGATGCCAATGCCTCAAAAGCTAGCCTAGACGCCAGTGCCTCAATAGCTATCCTAGATGCCAATGCCTCAATAGCTAGCCTAGATGCCTATGTCTCAAAAGCTAGCCTAGATGCCAATGCCTCAATAGCTATCCTAGATGCCAATGCCTCAATAGCTAGCCTAGATGCCAATGCCTTAATAGCTAGCCTAGATGCCAATGCCTCAATAGCTATCCAATTCTTGAATTTTTGAATTTTTAACTTTGCGTTTTGGATTCAGGGTTTGAAGAAAAAGAGTTGGAAGTTGGAACACTGCCTGTGTTGGGAACATGGACAATTACTGCCATATTTGGTTATCAGGTATTGTCTATTCTGGTATCAACTTGTAAATATAGGCACCTATCTTATTTAATGTACTAAAGTATTAGAGAAACCTTCTGTATTACCTACATTTTTAGTGCATGCACTGTTTAGCGGAAATACATTTTAACGGACATTTGATTGGGAATCAGCCAGTGGTCATGATGTTTACAACTTTACGGCCAAAACCCAGTTTTATTTAATGAAAATGCCATAATATGTATTTAATACCCGTTTAATGCAAAGAAGAATATGCAGCTGCCTGTTCAAAGCAAGCTACTGAAGGATAATAAATATATTCGTCTTGTGTGTTTGTATCGTGATCATCGGTGGAAAGGCAAGTGATTATTAAGTACGGGCACAGCTCTGGTTATAAAGTAAGTATGAGCTAAAATGCTGAGATTATTGATGTATCTAATATTCAATGATTATGATGAATATAGCAGTTGAAAGAATATAAACAAATCAGTGAAAAGTACTGTGAAATTTCTATGTTTTGGCTTGTGTCATTCGAAGTTTTAAACTGACAAGGCTCAATTGGTCCCGTTTTTCATTAATTTCGTATGTTCTATTTCAGAATAAGGTCAATTCTTCAACAACATTTGTCGTCAAGGAATATGGTTAGCCCTAATGCATAACATTGTTGTCTCTCAAATTCCTTTTTAAATACTATGAAACTTGGAAACAGAGATGGAAACTACGCTGACAACCTCTTCCTTTCAAGAAACTTTTGTCTGATTTTGTCAAGAAACTTTTTTCATTATATTTCATAGCAATTTGACAAGCAAAACGCAATACCCACAGACGTAAGAACTAGGGGCAACGGAAGAACCTGCCCCCAATTTTCAGATACAGCTAACTGTCTTTATGCCTGCATTTCCCCCCCCCCCCACCAACCTTTGAGATGCGTTCTACGTCGTTGTGTGTAACTCAGTCACATTGATTTACCCAATGTTTTTTTTCTTTTAAAGGCAATCGACATCAGCTTATCAACAATTAGCCAATCAACGAGCCTTATACGACTGGCACGGTATTTGATTGGCTAATATAGATTGACAGGTGGCTTAAGCCTTGTTAGTATTTGTCGATTGCCTTTAATTCAGATGCATATATTTATTGCACTTTCTTTCATTTAGTTCTTCCAACGTTTCGTGTTGAGATTCAGCCCCCATCATATATCACTGAGAGACAGAACAGATTCAATGTCAAGGTTTCTGCTAAGTAAGCCACGTTATTGTAATTTCATGTCCCTTTGCCTTATGATGTTTGCATGCGAGGTCTAAAGAACCGCGGTTTACTAGTCTGCTTAAAGACAATCGACAGAAACAAAAGTCGCGTCAGTCAGCCTTTCAGAGTTAACAATAGAACAAATTGCCTTTAAAGCACATTGGTTGGAATACACAATAGACATATTGTTGAGTATCCAATCGGCAAAAGGATTGCAAAGCTTATGGTCAACTCTGAACGATTGACTGACAGGATAAAGCGCTTGTTGATTGGCGAAGAGTTTCTGTCGATCGCCTTTAATGTCTGACTGTCAAGATGCGATGTTTTGCTGTATTTACTTCATTTGTTATATTTAGCTCTTACCAACCAATAAGAAATGCCATTATTTCTCTCACATCAGTTTCCTAGCATCTGTATTTAGGTTCGGCTCCTGTATTTCAATTTCCCTTACCGCTACCAACAACTTTCTAATGTGTATACTCTGAGAATTAAGTATGCTTTTTTGCTTTTCCGTGCTATTTTGATTTTTCTTCTTATGCGAATGTATGCGTGGTGAGAGATCACCCCGTCTATGTAGAATAACATTTGTTTATCCCTAATGCTGTTGTTGTTGTTTCTGTGGTTGTTGTTGTTGTATATTTATTTCACTTCGATTAATAATACAAATAGTTAGTCTACAAAATACACCTACTAATCTCAATTGATGGCTAAGGTGCATTCAAAATATGTTTGCTAAAACAATACGTTCGTTAAAGTAAAATTTAAATAATCGTATAATTTTCTTCGTGGTTTTTACATTATTCACGATAAAACGACAGGCATGGCAGTTGCACGTAAGACCATCCCATTGTTTTATCAAACTTTTGAACGTGTCTAAGTCATCTGACGATTTTAGTTCATTTGGCAAACAGTTCCAGATCTGTGGTCCTGAGAACTTCAGACTGTTGTTGCCGAAAGCAACCTGATTTGGCCGATAATGAGTTTTAATATTAGGATTTCGCAATGAATAATTAGAAGATCCAACTTGAAAAATATCTTTCATGATGGGTGGATTCGGACAATTCAGAGACTTAAAAATTTCAAAAGAGAGATCTCTAAGTCAGGAAATATAGCTGAGACTTTGTTAAACAGTCAATATACATTGTATCTTTTCAATCTTTTTACACGAGACCTGGACCAGATCGGATCCAAAAGTATCCGGATACTTATAGATCAGATCCCAGGCGTTTACACGGGATCGGATCAAGATGAGATCTACAGATATGTAAAAAAGGAAATCTGTAACAGACTATCAAGTTGTACGCTACTGAGCAATATTTGGGAGTTTGAAATTGAATGTGTTTCATAATGATTGAGATTTAAAGAGCTGTGTACGATGTCGACTAATCTAGGAATGACAGTTGTAAGCAATTGTCTCACTAATGTCTGTAAACGAAAATTTCTAATAGTTTGTGCAAAAAAACTTGAGCAGAATGTGAACATTCATTCATTGTTCTTATAAGATGTTAAACTGTTACCGTTTCTTTTTCTTGTTTCTATCAGGCGCGGATCTAGACCGGTTTCACAGGTTTTAAAGAACCGGTCAAGTTCTAAGAGCTATGTTTCTCTGTAAATCTTGAATTTTTGATCTAAAATTTCAATTGTAACAATTGCTGCATTTCTCGCTGATTGACTTAAGTTTACACACTGAATTGAACACCCACAATATTCCGACAGAGAAGTATCCGAGGAATTCAAAATCAAGAAAATCAGTCGCCACTCGAAATGACAGTTTTGAGTATGCTATCTATGTGCCAATGCTGAAACCGGTAGCTATTGACTTGTGAAAACCTGTGAAAACCGGTACCCATATGTTTCCCTTATGCGAAAAGCCGGTGCCTAAAAAGCATATTCGACATCGATGTCGATAGCGCGAAAGTGTGGACGCTTTGATACAAAATGATACAAAATGGAATACGGATGCAAATAAGAATCTGAGGTTTTGTATTGAGGGACTAGACATCCTTTCTCGGAAAATGTCAAGAAAATTAGAATCGAAGTCGCAAGAAGAGCATCGAGATAATGCTGAATGGAGTAAAATTGTGACATTTTACATAAAGTATGGGCAAATTAATCACATCTTGCTAACCTTATTAGCAACTTTTAGCAATATTTATGGGCCAATAACACACATGGCTGGAACAGGGTAAACCACGCAGAAACCGGTCAAAGATTTGGCTAGATCCGCGACTTGGAAAGGTCTGTTGTGTTGTCCCAGAAATCGATTGGATATCCGGTATTTCATGGTGTTATAAAAATCTGCATTCAATCGACTGATCCGCTCTAATCTTCCAATCGAATTTTTTTTACAGGTACAGTTTTGGTAAACACGTTAAGGGTACACTTCGAATCGAAATGCTTGTTGTTTTCGAAAACGGCAGAGAGATAAAGGTTGAAGATCGATGGCTCCCGGTATGTCAAGTAACGGTGTTCTTAAGTGTGACGTCATCAACAATATAATTTTTCCTTTTACAACAATTTTCCATCATCAACAATTTTTTGCTTTTTGCCATACACCTTAAAGAAAATCAAAAATACCTGTGAGTAAACAAAGCCAATTGAATATGGTAAAAATGGGGTGAGATATAACCTATGAAATCCAAAGTTTAGTTTATATTGGCTTAGCACACAAAGCTTAGAACCGAGACCAAATTACATTGACTTTGTGACCCCTTTTACAGATTTCACACAAATTTACGATGATCCAATGATCTTCTTGTCCAAATCAATCCAATCCAATTCAATCAAACGTAATTAATTATACTCGCAAACATTTTAGGTTGTAGCAGCGCTAAAAATTTCGTGAATTTTATTTCGTTTGCTTTCATCAACTATTTTTTTACAGATACGTGGAGAAAGTGTTAGCTCCGTCAGGGTTGGAAAACTTGTGGCTCCAAAGGAAATACCTTCATTTCCTGCCGGACAACGATTGAAAATCAAAGCAGAAGTCACCGAAGATGCAACTGGAACAAAGCTTAGAGCCAAGCCTGTATTTGTTCATATCGTAAAGAGTCCATACACAATCAGTTTTGAGAAAAGCCCAAGATTCTTCAAGCCATCCGTATCGTTTAGAGTGACCGTAAGTTGATTTTGTAGTTATTTTTGTTGCCTGTTAAGTACCAGAGAGTCAGTGGTCCATTTTTATTGACCATGTTTAGAGAATGTGTATTTTTATCAAATGTGTTTTAATTTCGCTGCAGAATTGAACAAATCGTCCACTTTCCGCTGACATGAAACTGTAATTTGAGGAACTGTCTCTTATTAAACGGGTTTAGTGCAGATTTTTCAGAGAAAGGCCTGTCTTATTGCCAGTGGCTTAATATTGGGTTTATATTTGCCCGTCATTTTTCAACATAAAGCAAATGGGATTTTTGTTCCCAATGCTTAGCAAAATAACAAAATTACTCAAATTAATGAATTCTGCAAATGATTAAGTATCAGGTTTACTTTCTCTTTTGAAATTTGTGATTTTGAAATTTTCTATATCTTATTTTCGAAGTTAGCTTACTGGGTAGTGACCAATTGCACCTCCCACTACCGAAACGGCTCATCAATAAATTGTTTTATCAATTCTTGGAAGACTTGAGCTATTGATGAGTCCCGTTTCTTAAAAGTTTTTACAAGAGTGTTACTTGGGAAGGTTGATATGGTCTACTCTTTATGCAGGCTGTAATTCGTTATCCAAATAAGGAGCCAGCACCAGAACTAAGGGTTAAATTTGAGGCCACGGATGGAAATAGGCAGCTACATATGGTGAAAGAGTCATCAAATGCTGCGAAAACTAACAACCGAGGAGAGGTTGTCTTCACATTTGATGTACCGCCAGATGCTAACCAAGCCACGAGAATCACTGTCAAGGTAACCCAAAATTTGCTAATTTCAATTTTTATGGAAGTTTTAAGCTCAATCTCCTGAAGTTTAGTTCTCTTCAGCTCCCCTGCGTTTTATTTCTCTTCTTTTCTCCTTCCTTGAGGCGATATGTTTTTACAATTTTCATGTTAGTGACGACTACATTCGAATGTACAATTAAATGATAATTATGCAAATCGCATCTATAATGTCTTTGTATTTTCTCAGGTGAAGACAGATGACAAAGAACTCCTTAATACTGAATCACAGATGACGCTAGAGCCTTACATATCCAATGCCAACAACTATATTTTGGTTAGGCCTCCTTTACAGAAACCGAGCGTGAGTGTTGTTGTTTTTGCTTCTGTTGTGATCTAGCCATATTACCGGCTGTGGTTTGTGCACAATTGGTGAGGTTTGTGTTAGGGTAGAATAAGGTTAAAGAGAGAGATTGATGGACTTTCAAGTTCTGAGTTACAATGCTTGTATAGCGAAAATGATAGGCTATGTTATTTATAAAATTGAAATGAGTTGATATCAAGTCTCATCGATCGTTTCAAACTGCAACCTACGAAAGCAGCATATGGAGAAGGAAGCAATGCTTGTCTCTAAGGTCGTTCTAAGATAAGTTTGGCTTTATGATTGCTAGATAAGTTGCGTTTAATAGGCTGACGATTGAAGGTAGCAATGCTTGTCTCTAAGGTGATTCTAAGATAAATTTTGCTTTATGATTGCTAGATAAGTTGGGTTTGATAGGCTGACAATTGAAGGAAGCAATGCTTGTCTCTAAAGTGATTCTAAGATAATTTTGGCTTTATGATTGCTAGATAAGTTGGGTTTAATAGGCTGACGATTGAAGGTAGCAATGCTTGTCTCTAAGGTGATTCTAAGATAATTTTGGCTTTATGATTGCTAGATAAGTTGGGTTTAATAGGCTGACGATTGAAGGAAGCAATGCTTGTCTCTAAGGTCATTCTAAGATAAATTTGGCTTTATGATTGCTAGATAAGTTGGGTTTAATAGGCTGATGATTTACACTGTTTTTCTTTTGTTTTAAGAGAAACTGGTGTCGTAGAAGCTAGAGAGGTCATTATTGCATTTTGAAAAACCTCTGTTGAGAATTTGTCATTTTAGCATCCAGCTAAAAAGGTTTCTCTTTTAATTCTAGATTAACCAACGAATTTCCGTAACTTTTCTTATTCCAATGCAAGCTGGCATAAACCAAATAAATTACCTGGTAAGTTTGAGGTTTAACATCTGGATGACGTCTGCAATGTTATCAACTGTCTCTCAATCCTAGAAAAAAAGGTCATTGTGCGAATCTTATTATTGTGCTGAATGCAGTTAATAATACTTTGATAATCAACCTGAACGTAAAATGATAATTTTCAGGGAAGACATTAGCAATGGCGCTAGGGGAACATTTGGTACCTTCCTGCTATTTTTGATATAGTAATTTCATTAAACAGAGCCTTATCTAATCGCCACATGAAAACCTTCAAACAAAGTTCGAGAAGATCAAATTCATCGTCATCTTCATGATTAGGAAACAGTTGAGGAGGTTTCCTGACACCAAAATTAAACTCCGGTATTTTTTCTAGCTCGTCCTCATCGGCAACAAGATCAAGATTTCTTTCAATTGGTATTTTAAACATTTAAGACTTATGAGAGACCATTAATGAGCGAAAATGAGATGTTTGCGATAGTTTTCAGCCACTGGTTTTCCTTTTCTACGGAAAATATGTCACCAGTCACACCAAATGATCAAAAACAACAACAACGGTTTTCAATTTATGATCACTTACAACATACTACAACGTGCTTGCTATAAGTGAATGCAGTAATTTACAATTATAAATGCTTCGAAGAATCGATGGACATTGGTATCAATGCTCCAATCACAACCATCATGCACCCTCCCTCCCCTTTCCCCTTCCCCTTTCTCTTCACTCTCCCCTGTCCCCCTTCCCTCCCACCCTGACAAAATTGCAGCGATTCAGTAGCTGAATACATGAATAAAAACAACATTTTTCCTTTAGTTCTTGTCTCGTGGGAAAATCGTTAAAACTGGCGTCATCCAAAAACAAATTGGAACAGAAACTACTTTGAATGTTGACATTACAGCAGATATGGCACCTAAATGCAGAATACTGGCCTTTTTCGTTAGAAATGGAGAAATGGCCTCTGACTCAGTTTTGATGGATGTCGAGAATGGTTATAAAAACGAGGTAAGCAATGCTTTCAGACTTTAAAGACGCGTAACGTTTAGTAACAGTTTCGTATTTCTTGCAATGCTATACTAAGTCTTGGTAATGCTAATCGCTACCGGTTCCTTTCCCGAATATTTTGAAGAATTGTTTGTTGTTGTTTATTGTTTATCGAATATATGAAGAATTGGTTCATTAGACCATTTTGCATATTTATTTCAATCTCATTTGTTATTTTATAAAAGAGTTGCAGGTTCAAGCTTCCCTCGTTTTGCAGGTTCTTCTTAATACAGACCCAGCTCCAGACCAAACATATCACCCTGCGCAAGACTTCGTTGTCAAAATGAAGACCAGCACAAAATCAGTCGTTGGCTTATTAGCAGTCGACCAAAGTATTTACTATCTAAGAAACGAGAGCAGAGTTACAAATGAGAAGGTAATCTCTCTCTAACAAAAGTATACGCGACCCAAGTCATCTTTAGCATTGTTTTGTGGCACAGAGCCCAGGGAAATGCATGAAAATATTATCTGTGGAATCTTTTCCCACAATCTCAAGCCCTTTTTAAGTGTAAAATCAATTTTAATGAGATTGCTGGCAGCACTAATAACCTGTGGATTGTAATTGGCACGGTTTCCTCAGTCAATGGTGTACATCCTTGAGTCCACAGTCCACACTATCTCTGGTAATGTAAGCAATACCTTTTATATCTTTGTGATTTTCAAACCTTTAGCTGAATACCTTTGATGAAAGATGATAAAAAGATATGTTCTGCACTTGTTCTGACTTTCAGGTATTCAGTGATATAGGTTCATTTGATTTGGGATGTGGACTTGGTTCAGGACGAAACAACAAAGACGTTTTTGATGTGAGTTGTATCACTGATAGCACCTTTAATCTGCATTTTCATAGCCGATGCCAATTAGCAATTATCTTTAAAGATACTAAAATTTTAGAGAATAACGTAGAAACTGTTAAGTGCAATAAACACTTCGATAAACGACACAAAGCAAGTCAGACTCAGAGGAACTAAATATGCTTAATGCTACCTACTTCCATATTTGCTACACGTTGTATTTGTTACTTTCTAGCTTCCGAAAATATGTTTAAGATCACTGAAAAGCTATGTTTATCGAGCAGTGTCCTTCCTTGTCCTTCTTCTTCTCATTCCTCCATTGCTCTCTGAGTTGCAACCCTAATCATTGAGTTATCCTTGCACAAACGAATATCATTTTGAATTTAAGACACGTTATTTGAGTGCCAGTGAGTTGCGTATATGTTTTTCACTGTATAAATGCGAGTATCGTCTCTAAATATCTAATTTCAGAGAGCTGGTTTATCGATGCTAACAGATGCAGCAGTGCCCGTCTCAAAACGTGAAGGTGTGTATGTAACAATTCATTCAATATATCGCGCAGCTGTCTGGGGCCACTAGTAATGAACTCAATGACATGAGGAATACGTTCTGTCACGGTACACTTCACACTCTGTTCTGTATAAAGGCAGCACCAAGGAAGGAAAGGGGGGAATATGGTTGGAAAGGGGGGAATCTGGTTGGGTTTGTTCTATTTTCCTTCTTTGCAGTAAATTGACCGTGGGGTAGGGTAGTTTATCGCTATGCTAGTACCATTAACACGGAAATGCCCCCAGGCATAACTAGAAAATGGTTTCAGTTGAAATTTATTCGATTTTCTCATTTAATAGATTTACTTTGCGGTGAAGACCCGAAAAGAAGAAGAAGAAGAAGTGTTGCGGGAGGCATCAGTGAGTACTGCTTGGCTTTTGAAAGATTGAAGCGGGCAGCAAGTGGGGTTTAGGGGAGAGCTAGTGGCTTAGGCTGGAATCACAAGACGACGCCAAAAGACCTAAGATGAGAGTATGTCCAGGAAATTTAACAATGGGCTCACAATTAGCAGTTACCAAGATCTGTTACTGTCAGGCCAAATAATTACAGACACCTTCTTATGATGTGGGGGTCACATTCGTTACGGAAAATAAGATAATATTGCAATTTCTAAAAAAGGGAACCTATGGTTTGCTCAAAAGTCAAATTTGTGTCCTTGAACTGGAGAAAAAGAGATTCCAGTCACCAGTAAGGAAGGGGGGCGGAGGGGATACTGCCGACTATGTGCAGAGACCCTTGTAATGTCAGTTCCGTCTGGCCTGTTAGAATGGACGAGGTTTACCCTTGTTCCTTACTGGCTTTGAGATCAGAGATTTTGTCCTTTGCCTTTTTGCTTGTACTACAAAACCCTGCGTTACTGACGAAACTCAGTAAAAAAATATTAAAAAATCAGAATAAAAATAAATTATCACCGTATAATTGATTTTGCTGACAAGTTTTTTTTAATTTGAAAGTTTTAATTACATTTTGTAAATGTTTACGTTACGTTTTCTGAAAGACAGCTGCTTATTGACTATTTTATCCCTTTCAGGTTTGCTTGATAAGAAATGTTGTCAGGGCATTTGCTGCCAAAAACTTCGAAGCATCGCCGGTACACTGCCAAAAGGAACGAAATGCAAAGAGCTTCAAAAACACATCCCCTCAGTTTGTTGGCCTGACTTCTATTCATGTTGCCTCAGGAATTTTGCATGTGTGTATTTCTATCCATCTCTGTATAGTTGTTTCTTTTAAAGCGTCAAAAATGGAGCCAGGCGGGTTAAAACAGGGGCTCAAAAAAGTTTTTCATACACTCTTTTTTATAAGAAACAGCAAATATAAGTTCAGGCTCACTGTTTTTAATTTTTTCGATGGTCTGAGGCTGGATTGTTCTTAATTTGCTCCAAATTAAGTAAACAGTGGGATTGCTAGTGTTTTCGACACATGAGACAACCTTCATTTGCCAACAAATTTGAAAATACACCGAAAAACCACCCACACATGGGCAAGTATCCTCGTTTTTGAGATAAAACATTATAGCTCAGCCTTAGCTTGTTCTTAATTTGTTCTTAATTTTTAACCAAATTTTGAGGCTCGTGTTCTTATAAAAGTATTCTTATGAAAAAGAGTGTATGCTTCAATCAGATTGGTTGCCCTGGATGAAATTCTACGTTGCTTCAATGTAGTAACGCTCTCTATAAAAATATTCAAATAATGATTTGGTTGTGCTATTTTTCTGATTTTAAATAAATGAGTCAAAATGACCGGTTTTTGTTATATATTGACAATTTACCGGACCGAAATTAATCCTTCGTTCAGATTGCCTTGCCTAATTCGTCTCTTCGCATGCTCTATCTAACTTCACAATTTTCTGAAATTACTACCCAGCGAGTGCAAGTTGCTCAATTCCTGTCTTTGTATATGGATTTGAATGTATTGCTTTCACTCGCAAATATGACTTTTTATAGGCCTAGAAAACATATTTTACAGTTCCTTTATTATTTGTTTTCAAATGTAAATTATTCATTGCAAAACTGTTCTAAAGTGTTGCTTTGTTGAAATCATTGCTTTCTCAACTGAATACCTCTGTATCTTTAAGCTCGCGGAAGAAGCGCCATTGGTCCAGATGATGAATTTGAAGTAAGACCTGATGATATTGACGATGACGTCACACAGCTGACAACACGAGAGTTTTTTCCAGAATCATGGATTTGGGTTAAAGCAGAAACAAAGTGTGTACAATCTTTTTTATAAGAACAATTTTATAATCTGAGGCTGAGCTACTGTAAAATGCAATTTTGAACAACGTTTTATGTATCTCAAAAATGAAGATTTTTAGCCATGTGCGGGTGCTTAATATTCAAACATGATGCCAAATGTTTCAGTCACTTTGTTGGCAAATGAGGCCTGAACAGCTCCATAGAGCGAAAACACTAGCAATCGCACTGCTCACACCCTATAAATTTAAAAACAAATTAAAACAATCCAGCGTAAAATTTTGGAAAAAATTAAGAACAATCAGCATGAACTTAAATGTACTGGTTCTTATGAAAAGAGTTTACTTCCAATATCTTCTCGAAAATTTGAATTTATACAATTGTGCCTCTAGTGGCTAAGAATGCCAATGACCGTTCGTGAGGAGACCATTATCGGGAAGTATCCTTTATTGGGATGCAATCAATTGATGCAAAGTCAGGGCCCATGGCACAAATTAGAAAGTGGGAGGGGGACAAGGCTTCGTTCGCTTTTCATTGCAACTTTGAAATTACTTGCTTTGCAAAAAGTGAGGAGCCAAGGCCACCCCGGCCCCTCTCCGGTTTCGTGGGCCGTGAGAGTTTCATGTATCTCCTGCAAACATGTTTGCTAAAAGCAGTTGTAACTGTTGTGCTTTGAAGGGTAACTTTTTCCATTTATGTCGTAGTGATGACGGGTTTTTGGAGCAAGGATTCACTCTTCCTGATTCGATTACAACTTGGGAAATTTCTGCAATCGCAATGAACAGTCAAACTGGGTTTGGTTTATCGAACACGGTCAATATTCAAAGCAGAATGAATTTGTTTATCCACCTTAAGATGCCACCTTCTGTACAACGTCATGAGCAAATTACAGTGTACGCTGTTTTGTACAATTTCAATGCAAGGAATACACGTGTAAGGCATTTGATATCTTCAATGATTTTTTTGGCGGTGAGCCACGTGCAAAATAACTGTATATGATGAAATCAACTTTACATGATGAAATCAGCTTTACATGATGAAATCACCTTTACATGATGAAATCACCTTTATATTATGAAATCACCTTTACATGATGAAATCACCTTTATATTATGAAATCACCTTTACATGATGAAATCAACTTCACATGATGAAATCACCTTTATATTATGAAATCAACTTTACATGATGAAATCAGCTTTACATGATGAAATCAGCTTTACATGATGAAATCACCTTTATATTATGAAATCACCTTTACATGAACAAATCACCTTTGAATGATGAAACCACCTTTACATGATGAAATCACCTTTATCTGATGAAATCGCCTCTAAATGATAAAATCAACTGTAATGAATAAATCACCTAGACATTATGAAATCATTTTAGATGAAAAAATCTTTAAAAATCAATTTTATGCATATTTGTCAGATTTAAGACAAGTTTCTCCTCCCCCTACTTTTGCGTTTATGTCGCCCACAGCCCTCCCCGTCTGGGAAACAAGAAAGACCAAGGAAATACATTTTAGGTCAAATGTCTTACATTTTTTTAGGTGAATCTATTCTTCATTGGCCATGCTTCATTTTGCTCGATTGCAAAGCCAGGTGAAAGATCCGAGCGTCTCTCAGTTGTTGTGAAGGGAAATGACGCTGTTGCCATCCCATTTACAGTTATACCTCTTCAAGTGGGTGACAGTCCCATAGAGATTCAGGCCTTCACCGTAGATTTAGGAGACAGAATACGGAAAAACCTTCGTGTTGTGGTAAGTGCAATTCATATATCTTAAATTTGAAAATGTCTTTGAAAAAAAATAAATCAAGACGGACATCGCTACATCGGACGCACAGCCAAAAGATTGGGGGATAGAATAAAACAACATGTTCCTTTCAACATAAGAAACAAAACTGTCCCTCAAAGAGAAAAGCCTCCCCGATCTTGTAGGTGTAAAAACACTGCTAAAACAAGTCATTTTGCCATCGGTCAACATCTTTTAGACAACCCAGATTGTGCAAAACTCTATAATGACGACATGTTTCAGATAATCGGCAGAGCCCGGTCGTCCTTCCATCTAGCAGTTTTGGAACCGATCTACATACAAACGAAAAAGCTGCCATTGTGTAGACAGACAGAGTTCTTGAACTCCAGTGATAATTTTTCTTTAGGCTCGCGGCACTGATTGGACAATTATACCGGTATTGTGCTTGCGTTTTTCTGATTTGCCTATTTCCATCCACAACTATTTCGATATATACTTTCCATCGTGTTCTTTCGGACCCTTATTCTGATGTTTTATGCTCGAGGAGTGTCAGAAGAAAAAGTTTTCAGCCAATATGTTTTAAAATGTTTGCTTTTTCCAAAACCATTTTCAAATTCTGTATCACCAAAAAACTGTCCACATCTTGAATTGTTGAATTTCTTCTCAGTATAAAAGATGATCTCCTGCAAGACTGTTTTTATAATATTTAAATGAAAATATAAAACATTTTTACACATGGTAGAACAGCTCAATCTACCTATTATTAATCGATTCCCAGCCAAAGGAAGACAGTCACTTTGCCGTTTGAATCACCAAGATTCTGTCTTGGTTCAAAACTTTATGAACTTTTTTAATTGTTTGCACATTAAAAAGTATTCTAGAACCTAATATTAGATGGTGTAGTCTAAAAATAGTCTAAAGATATATTTTTGATACACCATTAGCTTTTAGGCTATAGATTTATATGCCTTCTATTAGTCTTTTCGTTTTGCCTGACAGCCTCCTAACAGAAAACCCTTCTTTATTTTTGCAGCCAGAAGGTCTTCAAAAACAGGAAACAACTTCCATAGTTCTGGATCCACAAGGTTTGCTTTTAAACAACATTAGACATTTCATCCTTTTGTGAAATTTCAATCGATAAAGCCTTACTACTCTTGTAGAATAACAAACAATTGCTTTCCTACATAGATGATACTTTCTGATGAATTGTTTCAAAAGTTTCGAAATGATTTGATTGTCATTTTTTTAATTCCTTCTATCTCATTTATTTGATCTGGTATGTTAAAATTGTAGTGCTGATTCCAGCGGGGCGTGTCATTTACTGTCAGATCCAATTTTTGATATACTGAAGTTGTTTTGCATATTTTGAGGTATTCCATGTGTAATAGGACTGAAACCTAGCATAAATTACCTTAATTATGCATTGATCTTCTCCCTGCTTGTATAAATTGTAATCGGCGCTTAGAATTATTAGTCAATGAAGCCCCCCTACGAAGCCCGCTACACGAATTCCACGCCATCTCTCGCTGTCGCTCTGTAACTGCCCAAAGCCCTATTACACTTACCCCCCCCCCCGGGTACTCAAATATGTATCGAGGACAGGGGAGCTCAGGCTGGGGTTCAAACCATCATCCAGAAAGAAATTCTAGCATAAAAATTGGCCCAAAAAAAAGTTCGTGAGAAAGTTTTCGATTTTGCTCTATTTCTTTAAAGGTTTCTCATAGTAAAAGCCCAAAAAATTACATTTGCTCCAATTCAAAGCCTAAAATGTAGCTTTATCCTTGAATATATGTGAGTCCCCCCCCCCCTCCCTTCTGGAATTCCATGTTGTTGTTCCAGTTTTCGTGGCCAAACGCTGCATTCGTCACACATGGTTATGGCTACATTTATAGAATCATAGATTTTATAGAATCTCCGGATATTTATATGAATAGAAACCATTTAAAAGGAGTTTGGTGTGAATACCGTTAGTTGAAGAAATTGCGTACTGCAAGAAAATTTTACATTGGAAAGGTCGTACTTGAAAATATTGTTTTTTCTGACTTCACAGGTATTATGGATAGCGATGACCCGAGAGGGAAAAAAATAGTTGGTATGTTGCTGCTTTATTATCAAAGCATTTTTCAAAAAATGTTCTAATTTAAAATTGTTTATAACCACTTTTACTCTTTTAAACAGTTTCTATGCTCGGTGTCATCTCGGTTTCAGCAAAAGTTTAAAAAAAGTCCTAGTATTTTTTCATTCCTATATATGATTTTATACATTGTACTGTGTTTGTTTAAAGAGGTCAAAAGAGACGGCGTGCAGCTTAACAGTTTGAAAGTGGCTCTGCCGGATAACCTTGTTCCTGGCTCTTTGAGAGTCATGATCTACGCAACAGGTAAGCATTTCTGCAAATCAGGCCAGTTTCTAACCCCCATTCATCTTTATCAACACTTCATGATAGCTTGTACTTCATTATGAAACAACAGAAGTTTGTCTAAAGACACTTCCTGGGGACGAGAAAGGAAAAACTTTAGGGGCTATACTCCTTTCCTGTGATATGCAAGCACAACTCTATTTCTCTTCTTCTTTTTACTTACTAGAAAATTGGCCTAGTTGAGGAGTTGAATTTGATTCATCCTGAAATTTGTCCACTGGGGTTTGTCAAAACAGTGGCAATCACCACTGCCCAGCGAGCTTTTTTATGGGGGAAAGCAGGTACCCTTTCATTGGGTATTGTTTTTACCTGACTTGTAAAACAGGCTGCTGTTAAAAGTACGCTTTCAGATGGCGTGATTAGACAACATTTTTGTTTCTTTTCAGGGAACTTAATGGCACCAGGAGTGAAAGATATGGTTGAAAATGGCCTTAATAATTTAATCGTTATGCCTAGTGGGTGTGGGGAACAAACAATGATTTATATGGCACCGCTTGTTTATGTTTTGAAGTACTTGTACACAATAAAGGATGGTGTCACCGATGAAATAGAAAGAAAAGCCTATAACTTCATGAGAGCAGGTAAGACTATCTTTACTTGTGGTCCGAAACGAAACGCATGCTGCAAGTTAAATTTGCCTCGATCTTTTCTTTAATTTACTCAAGTCCGAATTGAATTTTTTTTCTTTAATTCATAGTCAATAGATTAAGACCCCGTTTACACTACCAAAAGATGAACAAAACCAAGAGTTCCGTGGTTTCGTTCTTGTTTTGGCACCATACCACTTTTTTCATTGTGTTTGCATTGAAGCAAAAGGGAGCTGAACCAAATTGACCCTGTTTAGACTTTAGTAAAAAGAACATATCAAGTGGTGCGACAATGACGTCTGACATTTTAAGAGAGCCTCGCTTTAACGCTAGTTTGAGCCGCGTTTTCAATCGTGACCAAAAAGTACCATTCCGGACCATTTACACTAAAAAAAGCAAGCACGATTTGGGAATGGAACCAAATCGTGCTTGTTTCTTCTAGTGTGAACGGTCAGGAACGGTACTTTTTGGTTACGATTGAAAACGCGGCTCAAACTAGCGTTAAAGCGAGGCTCTCTGAAAATGTCAGACGTCATTGTCGCACCACTTGATATGTTCTTTTTACTAAAGTCTAAACAGGGTCAATTTGGTTCAGCTCCCTTTTGTAGGTTAAAATAGCGTTGAAGCGAGGCGTTCTGAAAACGTTGGGCTTCGTCACTGCGCTATTGAGCATGATTCACTGAAAGTTCCGTTCTTTTTACTAATGTGCAAATTGGGTCAAATTCTTTTTGCTCCATTTTGGTTTCATTTCTTTTTGCTTCAACGTAAACGCGATGAAAAAAGAACTATCGTACCCAAGCAAGAGTGTAATCCTTGAAGTTTTGTTCTTTTAGGGTTTGAAACCATTTTTTGTTTCTGTTAATTGCTCAAAGTAATGTAAATGCCATTTGAAGTGACTAAATGACCGTGTGTCTTTTCCTGCTTTGATTGCCACAGCATAATGTGATGTTTTTTGATATTTTGAAAACTGGAACAAACTCATCCAGCCTCGAGTTTTATTTCGACTTCTTGTCCCGGGGGGTCACTTGCGCTTTACATTTACGGGGGGTCCATCCGCAACTATCAAAATGCACCTAAAAGTCTCAAAAGCAAGTCAAACAGACCCAGTAGTATCCACTTAAACATTTTGATGAGACCCAAAAATATCAAAATACAAAAAATTGTTGCTTATCACATAAAAAACTACCAATCATTATAACTGAGTGGTTCTTTTATGACGTCATTCCTTAGATTAGAGATACACAAGAGTACCCTGATCAAACCCATGCATTCTGTGTAGCAACTGATTCAAAATATTTATATTTACTATTTTGCTCATGTGTCTGATTTTGCTTTGTGTTGGTTGAAACCGTAAGTGTCAGAAAGGTAATTTGTAAATCAGGTCAAAAGTATCAGATCACAAGGAAAATTCTTACCCATGATTATCGCATGGATGCACCGTATGTAAATGTTCACGTGACCCCCTGGGCTTTATGTAAATGCAGCCGTTGCTTTTGACCAGCATCCTAAACAAAACACGTGTCCGTGTCAAATGCGTTTCTGCATGGGCATGACCCCCCTGAACTTTAAAGAAGTGCTAATATAGATTTCGTAATCCAGTTGTAAGAACCAGATTCCCTTTGCATGGTTGCCAAGCATGGTCTATGATACAGTATACGTTTGTTAAAGTTGTACAATGTAAAGCTCATAAAAATTCATAACATCTACCTTCTTTATAGGATACAGAAATGAACTGAGATACAGAAGAAATGACAATTCGTATAGTGTTTGGGGTCAAAAAACTGCCCCTATGACTTGGTATGTACCTTATGCCTTTCTAGAGAAACGTTTTACGCAGAATTCTTGATACGTTTTAGGAAAATGAAATTGCAATGTGTTATCAAGGAACTTGGTAAGTTGAAGGTTGTGGGAGAATCATCCCCTAACAATTCATCAAGGTAAGGTACGGTGAACCACCCTAATTATTTTGGCCTTAAGTTTTTGGGATAGTTAATATAACGTTTGCCCAAGTCCCCGTGTTTTATGAAAAAGACTTCTAACGACCCAGATGAATCAACTTGTAATTTTGAAATTTGTTTGTTCCAAAAGGAGAATAACTCAGCAAACGTCTCATTAAAAAGGCAGCTTGTTCATTTATTCGACACTGGTCCCTTACATAAATGTTTCGTTTTCTCTTTCCAGGCTCAGCGCGTTTGTGAACAAAGTTTTCTGTCAGGCCTCTGCTTATATCAAAGACGACATTGATAGCAATCTTATCTGTAGCACTTTCAAGTTCTTGGAATCGAAGCAAGTTGCCGATGGCTCTTTCGCTGAAGCCCTACACGTTTATCACAGGGAAATGAGGGTATGATATAGAATACGATATTTGGTCATTGTTTCGCCTTTTTTCAAAAATACCATTCGGCGGTATTCAGCATTTTTTGGGGAGGCAAGTCTCAATGTTCATTGCCTAGGATTATTATTCTATCCATTTGTCCGAATCAATGAGAATGTGCATCACATGCACATGCGCATTAGGGCGATGGCTTGTGGACAAGATTTACATTTAATTGCGCGTCTAAGCATATAATCTATTATAATAAAGGGCGCCTACACAGCGGCAGAGCAGACTCCACAGTTTTCTCTGTTAATCAGATTTCTTTGTCTGGCGTACAATATTTACCGTTTGACTAACTGCTCATATATTTAGCGTACCTAAACAAATGCCCCGGAAGGCCTTCGGTAGGGGGATGGGGGAGGTGTCCGTACAGTTGACATGAAATCCACCATGAATTGATAGAGAGAGTTTCACTTCCTTATCAGAAATGTGCACCTTCTTTGTCTCGAATATTTTCAGTAGGCCTACTTACACTTCCAAAATGCAGATATTGCACAGATACAGAATTTTATCTACTGAATTGATAAAAACAATCGACAAATAATAGAAATATAACTAAAAAAGTTAGTAAATAGATCGAATAAAATCAAGCAATATATAGACATTTGAGTCCCTTTTTATTTCACACTCTGTTTCTAGGCCATGTTTTAAGGAAACATAACACTGCCCTAAGCTTGTGCAAGCGTCCCGGATGATAATTATGTGAAAAATGTAAGCCAGAGTTTCATTCCGACTGTTCTTATGACTCTTTTGATTGAGACTGGCTTACACCCATAAGAGCCACGAATGCTCCTACCACAGAATATATTATACGATGTGAAAATGACAACATTAATTTAAACTGTGCAAGTGATTCAGAATTTCGAAAGCCAACGGACCTTGGAACAAGTACTGGTTCGTCTCCGCAACAAGTATACAAACAGGGCTGCTGACGCCAATAAATTCAAAGTTGATTTTACGATGCAAAGCAATCGGGAGCCTTTGTCAAATCGCTTCGTCATGCAATCAACACACTACCCTATCAACTGTCAAGTTTCTCGAAATCGGAAGATACAAAATCTTCGCGACTGTGTGTTGCTTCGTTGTTACGTTATGAAAAGATGTACTTTGAAAACGATTAAACAACACGAAACAGGGTGGCAAAACGAATAAACTTTCCAACAAACTTTTCACTCAACAAAAGTTGAACGAAATGTTTAATCGTTTTGCCAGGGCTTTATATTATAACAAGATGTACTTTTAAACGATGTGTCTCTCTATTTTTTAGGGTGAAGTCGATAATAAAGTTGCATTGACAGCTTTTGTTGTTATATCTTTGACAGAATGCAGCTCGCAATGTACAAATACTGTAAGTTGCTACACTCTTTGCGAGTATTTTTACTTTTGATCAATGTCTGATACATTTTCAAGAGACCTGTTCACACAATGTTCACATGTTATTTTGATACCAGATTTTAATATCGAATAATGCATGCGGAGCTTTTTCAACACATTAACTAAGGAAGCCATGGCTCTTTTAGCCTCTATAGAATATTGCCCCCTTATATAAGAACAAAACTTTGATTGCACCACCTCCCCAAGTTAAGCCCCCGCCCCGTAAAATATCACATTTATAATTATATTGGCCGTAAGCACATTAGAATTGTCAGTTTGAAGCTGTAACTTTCCCCTCTTTTATTTCAGGATACAAAAGTGTTGTCAAAGGCCACTAGCTTTCTCGAGAAGGCAGTTCCTGGCATCAAGGCTGGCAACCTCATGGCAATTGTTGCATACGCACTTGCTTTGACGGGTAGTCCGGGCAAAAACAACGCTTACAGTAAGCTCGTAGGGATGTTGAAGCGGGACAGGAAAGATGGTATGAAACTTTAACAAACACTACTTTATTTAGGTAGCCAAATTCCTTTTAGACTTGCGAAGTTCTTTAAAACACAGAAAGGCCCATCTGAATGCTAAGATGCATACTAAGAATGCTATAAAGCTCGTTAAGTGTGCTTTTAGAGCGTTTGAGCACCCTGCCCCTAGTTGCCCCCCCCCCCTTAAATCTGCCAATGTCTTCAGTGATGTACTGTACTCTTCTCTTTGTTAGGAGATAATTCAATGGGTTTAGAATTCTCAGTCAGAGAGCTCATTAAAATGGTCAACCTGCGCGACTGCAATGTGAAAAGATCTGTTTCTTCTTTTCTTGTGTCATGGCATCGAATGCCGTAGACAGGTCTCGGTGGTGCTTCTTCTATATCTTGCAATCTAGTCTAGTTGTTTTTTTCTCTAATATGCAACCTCTTCATCCTTCACTCCAACATCTTCAATCTTTGCCTTCTTCTTGCTCGCTTCTCGGTCATCTCAGCCTCTATGATCTTCCTTTCTATCCCCTCTTCTCTATCCCCTCTTCTCTTCACAGCTCATGTCCAATGAAACCCCGTTGCACTTCATGATAGTGTTCAACAGTTGTCTTTCCACTCCCTTCTTGGCCAAAACATTTTCCACCCAAGAGATCCTCATCATTCTTCTGTTTAGGCGCTAGAAAGCATTGAATAATGCGGGGCAAGTGCTTGCGCATTGAAGTTTAAGCCACTGCTCTTTGATTGAAAGGGGGACGAGGGCTAGTACACTCATAAAAGAGTTGCGTGCCGTTTTCACAATAATTCATTTGTTAACTTGTTTGGTGTTTGATTCCAGTACTGAAAATATTTTACTGTTTTAGGTCGCAGTGTCGCGTACATTCCGGACGGAGGTTTGGCATCACAAGTTGAGGCAACGTCTTACGCACTTCTCACGATGATCGCCATGAATAAAATAAAAGACGCTGGACCTCTCGTCATCTGGTTAACTTCAATGAGAAATGCCAGAGGATCCTTCATTTCAACTCAAGTTAGCAATCCATCTTATTTTTATTAGTACATTGTTGGCTTGATCAAATATATCATTGTCTCGGCATGTTCATTCTAATGTTATTTCAACGCTGCCCCCGGTCGATTTTCTTTTTATTTTGAATATTACATCTTAAACATTCTTTTAACATTGTACCATATACTCATTTTATACTAATTCTTCACAGATGGCTGGCCTTAATTAGGTTCATTATAGCTATTAGAAAGCTAGGGGCAGGTCCTCCCCACCATTAATCCCCATCTGCAGGAGTTTAGTGCTATGAAAAGCACAAAGGGGCCTAGTGAATAACTTCGCAAAAACATTACCAGAAGTAGAAATGACTACTTCTCGGAAGTACGAAGGGGCTCTGACCCATGCCTTTCACTCTACCCAAATATGGGTACTAGTTGATTGTTACGCACGCTCTGGTAAAGAGCTTTGTTTTTTCTAACTTATAAGAGCCTCGATTTCCTTTCATTTTTCTTTTACAGTAGATTTGGAACTTATGGGTCTAAAGAGATCTGTCGTGAAACCAGGTTAGCAAGCATGGTACATTGGAAAAGATTGTATTCTAACCAGTTCCCTTCTTTCCAGGACACTGTTGTTGCTCTGCAAGCCCTATCAGAGTATTCTTCAAAAGCATCTACGGGAGAAATGGACCTAAGAATCACCGTAGCTTCCTCCAAGATTGACAGAAAAATATTTCGAATTCAAAAGAGTGACGCGCTTGTTCGCCAGCAGCAAGATGTGCGTATCTTGTTCGTTTTTATGTCGTGAACCGATTTCGTTTTTCAGTATCAACCACATCCCAGTCATCCCAGCTTTCCAAATCATTCTGGCTTAAATATTTTCACTTATAATTATAAAGGAGGTTTGAAACCATTTAGGCAAATTTCCAAGAGTAGCCATTTGAACATGTGTACATCAAAAATCTATTTTTAAATATTTGATGTTATTCCGAAGTATTTTAAAATTGTTGTGTATCAGTAACTCATATGTTATTTGACTTCGTGTTGGATTTCAGTATGCATAAACAGTTAATTTTTTTTAGATAACTAAAGCAGCTCCTGGGGAAGTTTCAATAGAGACCAAAGGCACGGGTGTTGCGCAACTCCAGGTACTCTCTGTTTCGAGCAATTTTTTATCTTCGTATTTGCCAAAAATGGATCATAAAATTTGAATCTTCATGTTGAAATTAGAGACATACAGAATTGATGATATCAACCCGTATCGGTGAACTGAGACTTTCTTCACTGCCATTGTACCAGATCAACTATACTTTGTTTGCTGATGTTGATGACAGTATCAGTGTAGTCTAGCTCAAACATCTGCTTGGCTTCTGATAAACGCATTTCAATGACTCATCTTCTTAAGACAAAGTATCCTATATAAATTCATTTCCATCCAGAATTATACTCTTTTTTATACAAGTTGGTTTCCCTCATTCAAGGCCATGTGTATAAGACCTCATTCGAGAGCTTAGTCCCAGACTGATGGTGCACTCTCGTCTCGCATAACGATGTTAATATCTCTTCTATTGAAAGTCGCACCAACTTTTTTCAACGCTATGACCTAACAGAGCTGTGACCAAAATTAAAGGATTTAGTATCAGATCACTAAATCAGACTAATAGTAAATCTTTAACTAAACGCTTGCCTATGATGGGGTTTGCCGACATAAATGATGGATATATGCAGTTTTGAATGCTAAAAATTCAAGTTTGATAAAAAGGTTGCATAAATAGTTGGACTGGCACTCAAATTTCATCTAAAGCTACAAAATTTGGCCTAAAAATGAACCAGCAAATGGTTTGGTTTAATAGAAAACGATAGGAAAAGCCGCGAACTTTGCCACTCAAATGACCTTGAATCGGCATTCCTGTTTACAGGCCATCGGCATCAATCAGCCCCCAATCACTTACTTCATTCTCTTGACCGATCGAAAGTTTTTACACCAACCCCACCATTGCTTTCTGAGCTTTTCGTCAATTACCCAAGCATCTCTACTTCTGAAATATCACTCTACCATCTTTTTTCGATTAGCAGTTTGTTCAATTTGAAGCACTGCCGGGGATAGCTGAACCCTCCTAGTAGATTCCTAGGGGCTCAAACCCCGAAACCCTCATGCAGTTGGCGCCAATGATATGAACTCGAAATGCACCACCGCAAACATTAGATTAATTTATGGGAACAAGCAAGCATATTATCGCGCCGAGAGTAGACGACTAAATACTACTAAACAAGAGAAATAATGTTTATACAGTTGAAGTTTTCTATTGTAATCTAATTGTAATAATGTATGTACTAAATATAAAGATGAGCTTCTGATAATATCCTTGCTTTGTCTGTGATTTTGACGTTTTTCTTGGCAGCTTGAGTTAACATACAACGTACCAGATGAGGGGAAAGACTGTCAGTATGACGTCACAATTACAACCAGGGAAGAGATTGACAATCAACTCAATGACGATGCTATACCCATCAAACCAGCCAAGCCAAAGAAGAACAAGAAAAATAAGAACAAGAAAAAGAAGAACAAAGGGAAATGCAAAGGAAAGAAAAAACACAGCAAAAAGTGCAAAAAAGGAAATCGAAATACCCAAGGTGACGAGGTTCCCAATAGGTTGAGGATCAGCATTTGTATAAGGTTAGCAATCTTGATATCAAAATGTTTACTTTGAACTTTCGCAAGAGCAAAGGTCCTGGCAGTGCTCAGTGACCCTTTCTCTTACCACAAGATTGCTGAGAGAAACCAGTAGAGTTATTAAAAACAGTGTGATTCCCAGTATAAAAATACGTTCATGATTGGAATTACCTTGTTGATGCATAGTAAATTTATTAGATTCCAAATGGCTTGGGTCGTATCTAAAAAGTTATAAGCAGCAGATAAGCAGCAGGCTTGAGTCTTGCCCTGGTCGTGCAACTCACTCGTGCTATCTTTAAGTAAAGTTTTTGTTTTTAGAATAAAAGCTATTTCCAATCCTTTCTTTAAATTTGGTTTGAAAAAACAAAATTTTTTCGCCTTTTTCCCTCAAATACCCCTTTAGTACCCACGGATATTGCACACACTGTTGTTAATTTTAAGCATCATTTCATAACGCAGGCACAACTTCAACAATGGATCTGTAATGACAATGGCAGAAGTTGGTTTGCTGTCAGGGTTTAAAGCGGACAATGAATCACTCAAAAACGTATGGTATTCACTGTTTCTTTGCGTATTAGCGAACCTGGCTAGGTAATCTGATTTACCTCATGTCATACATACCCGGGAGTTGGTGGTCTTGAACAAGCGAATCATCATTTATCTTTAGTCAGAGAAGGGCTCCTTTGCGAATATGACATCCAGCAAATCATGTTTCTTATCCTTATTTGCAATTTTGGCCACTATTTTGATGCATGCATGCATCAAAATAGATCAAGGTTCTTTATTGCTACAGTAGACTTTCGTTTATCGTAAATTGTATTTCACCATTGTTAATTTTTACTTTTAATAAGGTTTGTAACTATTTCTACCACAAGCCTTCGAAAAACAGCAATTTTTTGCTGATGGGACTATCGTGCTTTAATAATTCATGAAATTCTCAAGAGTAACAATAAGTTTAAAGTTAGCAAAACTTGTACAACTCTTTGAGGCACATTTTGGGACAACATAATCACTTGAAAATTGAATTCTTTCTTGTGTTTCGGTCAATTGACCAGGTTCTAAAGCCTACTAAGCCTATATTGTATTGGGTTTTCTTCAAGTAAACACTGAGTGGCCTAAATTTACGAACAAACCACTTCATATATTATATTTTTTGTATTATCACGGGATCTTCATAAATAAACACTAAACCTGACATGAAATATAATTGCTAAGTGCCTCACTGTCACTATTCAAAGATGTGTTATATGTTATATTTTACGACTCTGAAATTCTGTTATTCGTTTTAGCTAATGACCTTATGGCAAGGTCCTAAAGTCAATTTTGATTTTGTTTTACAGCTCCTCGATAACGTAAAACCAAAGGTCTATAAGTACGAAATAAGCGATCGAAGTGTGGTATTTTACCTGGAAAAGGTTTGTTTTGATTTATATTCTAAAACTGGTGCAACTCATTCTCAAACTAAAACCTTTTTTGAAACTGAGTTCTACTTGTTTTGCAACTGGAGGACTAACGATTCACTCTTTTTGGATGAAGTTGGTTTACTGCCGACTGTTGAGGCTCAATGCATTTGTCTCCTGGCATCTTCTTACCCCGATTAATAACATTTAAAACTTACCATATCAAAAATGCCTTTTAGGTCACTACTACTAAAAGCTGTTTTGGTTTTGCTATGGTAAGAGCTTTCAAAGTTGGAGCTCTGCAGGCCGTTCCAGTCAAAGTTTATGACTATTACGAGCCAGGTAATCTAATCTTAATGCTATGCTTGTAGAATGTTGCATGTAATGAAGAATGCCAAAATAAAAATTTTACATTCAAATTCGTTATTGACTGTTTTGTGAATCCCCAACCCCCAACTTTCAATCAAATAATGTGTAGAGGAAATCAAATTTTAGGGTCATTTGAATTAATAATGTTCTTTTTTGAGAGGCCAATTTAATGAATATGATGCACTTATTAATAACCTTGATTGATTAGCATTTCACAACAAAAGATACCTAGATACATCTGTCCAGGGATATGTTTTATTTCAGATTTCAAGAACAATCTATAGACACTTAATTTCTTACAACAAATTTTTATAACTTTTTTGTTTTGTGATTTTTTTAGGCCAGATATGCACCAAATTTTACCGTCCAAGCCGAAACAGTGCGTTGCTGAAAGTGATTTGTGAAGATGAGGACCAGTGCTCGTGCTCTCAAGGTACTTATAAGTTCATCTTTCAAGTAGGGTCGACAGTTAGGCAATAAAGAGCAAGCCCGTAGGAAAGGGTTAATTAGCCCCTTTGCCCTCAAAATGCCAATTTTGTGAAATTAGAGTTCATCTGCTAAATGTTGCTTCGTTAAATGGATAAAACATTTAAAAAGCATATAGATTTAGATCAGATTGACGAATATTTAGATTTGAATTTTTTTAATTATGAGAATAAATTTGTTTGATCTTAGTCAAGGTACCTGGGTTGTAAATAAGTTAAACGAGCACAAACCTAGGCCTTCGCAAATGATCACATTGAACAAAACATTACAGAATAGCTTCTACTCTCCAAACGACGAACAACAAATTTTGTCCAAATTCAAATGCTTTGCCCCAAAAATACACTGGCGTATCACTCATGAATTTCGACCAGAATTAGGCAATGTTATCGATTTTTTGCTAATTTTCTGAACCACAAGTTAGTGTGCTAAAAGAATCATTTGATACTGCAGGCACCGCGGAGAAGGGAAGGGGGTCAGGGCAAAAAATTTATCAATTAATCAAGTACAGTCAAACAACTTTTTGATTTAAGCCCCCCCAACCTTTTTTAGACCCCCACTTGTCTCAACCTGTAGTGATACTTTAAATCCTTTGATTTCCTGGTTTTTTTATTTTAGGTAGTTGTCCTAGACAGCGGTCAACCAATCCTAAACCACTACAGAAAACTGCCTGTCTCCACTCTGATTATGGTAAGATACCGTGTGCATTTGATATACCCTACCGGAACTGAAGTGTTTCGAGGCAGTGCAAAAATGTTGATAACGCCAGGGACGGATATTGAAAGCAACGATTCGGGACGGGGGTGTTAGATAATGATATGGTTTGGTGGTTCACCGTTATGGTGCCTTAACAAGACTGAAAACGCCCATTTTTTACATTTACGATTTTAACTTAAAAATAAAAAAGATACCAAGATTAGTCAAGTAAAATATTGACGCCATTAAATTGGCTGCCATATAAGGCTCTTGTTACTGATGAAATCAAGATTCACCAAATGAAACAAAGATATTAAGGGGTCTGCACCCACCCCCACCCCTGGCCTCCGGGAAGTCCGTCTTCCGATATCGCCCAACCAAAGAGTAGTTCTGCTAGAAGCAAAAGTTGAGTTTGAATTTAATGTATCTAAGGTATTTTTGCTGATAATTCTCGGTAAAAAAGATAACAGAATCGGAACGGCTTTTAGTGCTGAACATTGATAAAACCAAGTTGATGAATTGGATGTGAGTTGATCAAAATTATAGCATTGGCTGACTTTGTTTACGAACAGCATCTATCATTGCATAATTTCATTTCTCGCATAACCTCTTGAAATATGTATCTTGCATAGCTTTGTTATATGATATGAAATGTTCTTTCATTCTTGGAAATTTTGATTACAGTTTTCACTGGAATAGTTCGTGACATAGAAGACCAGAATTCGATGCAGAAAATTGCATTTCGAGTGGTGGATGTTTACAAAACTTATTCGAATGACCAGAAGAAAGATAGCAAGATGCATATGTACAAATTAACAAACTGCGACTATCCAGAGATCAAATCTGGTAAACAATATTTGATAATGGTGAAGAAATCGGAGGCTCATGTTATGAACGAAGACACGTACGTTTTGGAATGGCCTGATTCAGCAAGTAAAGCTAGGAAGGTGAAGAATGCCCTTAATCAAGTCCGTCAAGGAGCTGTTTGTGATGAAATGACTGCGTAGGATATCTGAAGTACAACTTCATATGACAAATTATATATGGAACATTCTTAGGATAGATTTTTCTACCGAGCATGCTTCTTTTTGTTCTTCGATATATTCGTTACATACCAAAATCTTTTGTCGTTTTTTATTTTTTAAAACCTGAACGTATAAACAGAAAATTCGATCTACTGGTTATTATCAATCGCCCGGTGTAGTTTCTGTACTCCGATCAACTGTCCCCCCCCCCAGAGGACAAGAGGGGGCAAGAGGGGACAAGTATTGCACTTATTGATATTCAGATTTTACCGGGGCGTTTAGAAAGAATATAATATTCCCCCTTTATAAAGACTACAGAGGAACAAAGGGCAAATGAGTATGAGAATAAAAGGTGCTTGATTGGAACACTCTGGTGTGACCAAAGCATCGCTGCAGAGCCTGTTGAGGTAATAAAAGAAAAGTCGACGAGAGGCGGGCCTTCGTCTGTCATGTTTACAGGCCGCTTTCAACAACAAAATTTACCATGACAAGCGTTAATTCAACCGAGCGGGCTCTTCACTCGACATATCGTACTTAGCTAATGGTCTAGCTAGATAGAGGCAGCCTTTCCACTAGCCTGGGTTAAAACATACTCGGGTTAAAAGTTATCCGTTTTTAAAGTGAGTCAATGGAAACGGCACTTTTCTTCGACCCATTTTTAATCCGTTTTTGATCGTTCCCACTAAGCCGGGTTAATATGTATCCAGGGTTAAAAGTTGTAAGAGAGATAAGTATTTGCATCAATAATCCTTCAATTTCTATCGTTGTAAGCCAATGGAAGCAACATTGACAGTCAGGATTTTGTTTTTTGATTTTTGGCGCCGTCTCAATTTTTAAACGTTGCTGTTGTTGCAAGTGGATCAAAAGTTATCCGGGTTCGGCGTTTCCATTAACTCACAGGTGAGTCAAAAGATACCCGGGTAAAAACTGACCCACTTTGAGACCCGTTTTCAAACTTATCCGTTTTTCAAGTGGGTTAGTGGGAACGCGACGCAGAAACGGATAGCTGAAATCGGATTCGTTTTAAAATGTATGCATTCACTTGATTCTAGAGACTTTGATATCATTCTTCAGAGGTGTCAGAAAGTTTTTGACGGAGGGCCCTTTTAACATGGGGTAGAATATCTTCCCCGTCCAATGCGTACATGCTTCAAGGGGGCACTAGCCCCCTAGCTTTTCAATAGTAGCATCTTGAAAGAAAATAAAATCGCTATGAAATGGGCATGATTAACGAAAGCAATTTGCCCGACAAAATCTGCTTTTTTAAAGATTGGGGAGGGGTTGCAGCACCTCCCCCAATACCCTCCAGCAGTTTCGCCCCTGTTTGTCATGATTTCACCAATCAAGCTGATTGGCCTTAACTCACCCTCGGGGGAGGGGGGTAACTTAATAGGTTTGACGTACGGGGACGTGCCATTATTTAGGGGTACCTTTATCAAAAAAATGCGGAATTATGGGTATTAGTTTTTCAATTATGTGCGGAATTATGGGTACCATTTGAAGAAATATACAGAGTTATCGATACCATTTTGGAAAACCAGTTAGCTAGGAACTTAGCAACACCATTAGGCATGCAAAAATCATATTTTGACAACCATGGCTATAACGGAACTGAAGGAAAACATGACTGGTTTGAAAAGCTTTTAGCCAGTGGTGATCATGGAAACTTTTTTAAGAACATGCAGAAAGATTCTATTGATAATGACACAGAAGAAGAAGCTGATGGCCTTATTGATGAAGCAAATACCTCAGATGGTATGATATTTATTCTCTGATATTTTAAAATCATAGTGCATTTTATGTCTGTTGAAGTTGATATAGATTTCAGCAGTGGCGGCCTGGCCCTTTTCGCCTGGGGGGGGGGGGGCAGCATCAAAATGGCGCCCTCAATAACTAACACTATTGTCTTTTTCCTGAGAATATTAGCAGTACAGGGACGTTGCCAAGAAATTCAAAGTGGTGGGGGGGGGGAGCTCGAGTTAATAGCTTTATCTGACTAAAAAACCAAGGGGCGGCGAGAGGTTGTCAGAGGCCTTTGGTATAACTCTGAATAAAAGAGCTTCTTGCGAGCGGAGCGACCAGAAAATTTTTGCGACCACGCCCTTTAGATTGGCTTAATATACATTTCAAAATATTTCTTGCAGCCATTTTCTTGAAATCGTTAAAAAATTTTGCTATTTTTAAGGCATCCTTTTAGCACGCTTGATTAATTCCAATCTTAAAATGGATTTCATTACTTTTTATTAAGGAAAAGAATCCATCCTATCTTTGTATCGTCGAGACAAATTGGTCCTTTCATGAGAAATCAAGCAATGAGACAAAATCTACTGACCCCCACATGAGCAGGTTTCTGAAGGCCAGCAGAGCCAAAGAGAGTCATCGAAAATCAAAATTTTCCCTGAAAGGGGGGCATGAGTCCGGACACCCTAAACACAGACTGTCCCCGACACCCTAAACACAGTCTGTGTGCACTTTGAGTGATGTGTTCTCCACACAAAAGAATTTAACTACGTAAGTTTCCTGACAATCCTCTAAAAAATTGATTAATTTTTTCACCCCTGGGAACAGTACAAATGTTTTGTCTGGATAATACAGTACTGAAGGGGCACAAAGACGCGCCCTTGAAGTGAGAATGTTCTAGGGGGTATGGGGGCGTGCACCCCAATAAAGTTTTGAATTTTATGGCATCTTTTTTGTCTTTGCTGGCCTCCTAGAGACCTAATAACCAGACAAGTCGGTCGTATCTAACTTTTTTTGAGTTTTAGGCCCTATACAAGCTTTGGCACCCCTATAAAAATGTCAGCTGGGGCCCTGCCCCCCGGCCCCCCTGCCAGGCCACCACTGGATTTCAGTGAGAAACAGAAGAGCCATCTATTTTCTGAGAATATTTGTTTGATTTTGTTTAGAACATATATTTGGCAAATACCCAAGTGATGTGTTCTCTGCACAACTTTTGAGGTATAATTGGTACTATCTCTTCTTTTTTTTACATCAACTCATGTGCTGAAATTATGATCACTGACTTGCACTGTCCAATAAATCTCTTAGTGAAAGTAGTGTCTAGACCATAGAGTCAAAGCTTTTCAACATGCTTTGTAATATAGATGAAAACTAGTTTGCTTTTTGAAGGCAATTCAATTCAGTTCAATTTAATTCATGTATATTTTCAACAATAATTAACTAAATACAGTATCAAAATAAAACTTGATGTTTTAAAGCTACATTAGACAATTATATAAACGAGAAGAATAACAATACATCAATTTACCAGTATATTGCTGAAGGAAAGAGCTCTGATAGAGCTTTTGGGCCATATGCCTTTTCTAATCATCTACTATCACAATGGTATATGGTTGGTAAGTTACTATGTACATGCTGTTTTTACCAAAGGAATCCTTGTGTACTATTACCTTTTCTAGATTCCTACAGTGAACAGCTTACCCCAGACAGAGAAGAACAACTAGCAATGCAATCTGCTCTTGAAAGATGTGTTGCCCAGCATAATAGTAAACATGCAACTGACCAAAAGGAAAGGTAAATTTTGATTTTCGGTTTTATATATATCAGTCATGACTGAAAATATGCCCACAAATGTATTGCAGATAGCTTGTTACAGCAGACTTTAAGCATTACCGTCCCTTTATTACCTCTTGATTCACATGCATTGTGAGCTTTTAACTACTTTTAACTACTTCAGCAAGCCCCTTTTAGAATTATTGATGTCAACTCAAGCTTTCCTAAGAACTGATTGGAGTTATTTTGTATTTGATTCAATTCTTACAGTAGTCATTGCTTTTGTCTTGTAAATCCAATTAATTATGTTCAAGTTCATAATTTTCAGAAAGAAGATACCTTAGTAAATTTCATATTTTCATCATGTGTATCCAGTGACTTTGTTTTGCAGCTCAAAGCACTTTCCAACAATAATGGTACCAGGACATGGGAGGCAGTATAAATCAACCCTTGTAAGGCTTATCAACGAGGACCCGCATTTATCCAAGGATCGGTAAGGATCGGTTGTTTCCTTTCCCTTTGCAGTTGTTGTCTAAACTTGGGCATTGCAAATAACTTGTTCTTGTTCCAACTGCAGTGCAAGTTGTGTAAATTATTACACATTGGAGAACTTGCCATTACTGTATTCTCAGATTTTCGAAAAATACTCCTACTGTACGGGCGATTCCATCCCTGCATTGCCCTACCCTGGGTTGCGGCTCTGGTACCCAGGGTTGCATTGCCCTGACTTTGTACCATTCAGCACAAGATTCATCTCCAGATTCATCCCCAGATTCATCTCCAGATTCATCCCCAGATTCATCTCCAGATTCATCTCCAGATTCATCTCCAGATTCATCTCCAGATTCATCCCCAGATTCATCTCCAGATTCATCTCCAGATTCATCTCCAGATTCATCCCCAGATTCATCCCCAGCTTCATCTCCAGTTTCATCCCCAGATTCATCTCCAGATTCATCCCCAGATTCATCTCCAGATTCATCTCCAGATTCATCTCCAGATTCATCTCCAGATTCATCCCCAGATTCATCCCCAGCTTAATCTCCAGTTTCATCTCCAGATTCATCCCCAGATTCATCTCCAGATTCATCTCCAGATTCATCCCCAGATTCATCCCCAGATTAATCCCCAGATTCATCTCCAGATTCATCTCCAGATTCATCCCCAGATTCATCCCCAGATTCATCCCCAGATTCATCTCCAGATTCATCCCCAGATTCATCTCCAGATTCATCCCCAGATTAATCCCCAGATTCATCCCCAGATTCAAAAACTTGCTTGCACTGTGCAATTAGTAAGAAAATGTGTTATTTCCCAAGTTTCTATTCAATTTCCACTCGATAAAAGCTTTTTTTTGCCAATTCATCCTTGATGTTTTTAGCGGGCCCAGGCGTGCGTATTTTCCATCCCCAGATTTATGCCCAGATTCGCGTTTTGCTTAATATGGGTCTAAAAATAGCTTGAGATGTGTCAAAATGACAATTTTGAGCCTACCAATGTTGCTAGCTGGCCTAGGCAGTACTTTTTATCCCCAGATTCACGGTCATAGGGATACCAAAAGACCACGGGGATACTATTGCCAAACCAATAACCGAACAGCAGTAATTAACGCACAAAACAAATTTCAAGAGAACAGTTTTAGAAAATCAAAACAGAACAGCAGCATTTCTAATTACAATTTTTTGAAGCAACATGACATATAAAGCTTGCTGAATTGTAGCAAGAAGATCATAAAAGCAATCAAATTAAAAGGCATCATTATATGTCGAATTGACGTTAAAAATTGTGTGCCATATAAATGTATCTTTCTTTTTTTCTCCATTACTTCAAAAAAATTTGAAAAACAATAAAGATTTTGAGGTACAAAGTAACGGCCACATGGTATTTGTCCTATTTCAATAGAATGCTTTATCATATTTTATCAATGACAAAAACATTTTCTCTCGAACCAAGGGCAATACTTGTCCCCTCATACCCCCTCTTGTCCTCCGTGGGGCACAGTTGATCGGAGTACAGAAACTACACCGGGCGATTGATAATAACCAGTAGATCGAATTTTCTGTTTAAACGTTCAGGTTTTAAAAAATAATAAACGACAAAAGATTTTGGTATTTAACGAATATATCGAAGAACAAAAAGAAGCATGCTCGGTAGAAAAATCTATCCTAAGAATGTTCCATATATAATTTGTCATATGAAGTTGTACTTCAGATATCCTACGCAGTCATTTCATCACAAACAGCTCCTTGACGCACTTGATTAAGGGCATTCTTCACCTTCCTAGCCTTTCTTACTGAACCAGGCCATTCCAAAACGTACGTGTCTTCGTTCATAACATAAACCTCCGATTTCTTCACCATTATCAAATATTGTTCACCAGATTTGATCTCTGGATAGTCGCAGTTTGTTAATTTGTACATGTACACCTCGATATCTTTCTTCAGGCCATTCGAATAAGTTTTGTAGACATCCACCACTCGAAATGCAATTTTCTGCATCGAATTCTGGTCTTCTATGTCAACAACTATTCCAGTGAAAACTGTAATCAAAATTTCCAAGAATGAAAGAACATTTTATATAATATAACAAAGCTATGCAAGATACATATTTCAAGAGGCTATGCGAGAAATGAAATTATGCAATGATAGATGCTGTTCGTAAACAAAGTCAGCCAATGCTATCATTGTGATCAATTCACATCCAATTCATCAACTTGGTTTTATCAATGTTCAGCACTAAAAGCCGTTCCGATTCTGTTATCTTTTCTACCGAGAATTATCAGCGAAAATACCTTAGATACATTAAATTTAAACTTTTGCTTCTAGCAGAACTACTCTTTGGTTGTGCGATACCGGAAGACCGACTTCCCGGAGGCCAGGGGTGGGGGTGGGTGCAGACCCCTTAATATCTTTGTTTCATTTGGTGAATCTTGATTTCATCGGTAACAAGAGCCTTATATGGCAGCTTATTAAATGGCGCCAATATTTTACTTGACTAATCTTGGTATCTTTTTTGTTTTTAGGTTAAAATCGTAAATGTAAAAAATGGGCGTTTTCAGTCTTTTTAAGGCACCATAACGGTGAACAACCAAAACCATATCATTATCCAACACCCCCGTCCCGAATCGTTGCTTTCAATATCTGTCCCTGGTGTTATCAACATTTTTGCACTGCCTTGAAACACTTCAGTTCCGGTAGGGTATATCAAATGCACACGGTATCTTACCATAATCAGAGTGGAGACAGGCAGTTCTCTGTAGTGGTTTAGGATTGGTTGACCGCTGTTTAGGACAACTACCTAAAATAAAAAACCAGGAAATCAAAGGATTTAAAGTATCACTACAGGCACCGTCGAGCGTTGAGACAAGTGGGGGGGGGTCTAAACAAATGCAGGGGGGCCTGAACCAAAAAGAGTGATTTGACTGGTGATCCGGACTACTGCTTTGTGCTTTGCCTTGCAACACACGTTATGCTTCGCAGCGACCGCACCGCCACGCCTTACTTGTGTTGCTTAGCATTTTAGTTTAATGGTCGCTACCAACAAAGTTATACAGGAGATATATTTTAAAGCTCGTTTTGCTTGTTTTTCTACGTTCGTTTTCTAATTAACTCAGACCCCGTTTACACGATGTCGGTACCACACCGGCATGAAATGACACCGGCATGATATCTTTTGTTTCAAGGCCAACCGTTTACACCATACCGTACCATGCCGGTATGAAAAGGTGTTAACCCGGATTAAAACCATGTCGATAGCCATACCGGTACGGGTTCATGCCGGTGTGGTAACGAAGTGCGACAAGCGCCTAATTGGACAAGCGCCTAATTGGACAAGCGCCCAATTGGACAAGCGCCCAATTGGACAAGCGCCCAATTGGACAAGCGCCCAATTGGACAAGTGCCCAATTGGACAAGTGCCCAATTGGACAAGCGCCCAATTGGACAAGCGCCCAATTGGACAAGCGCCCAATTGGACAAGCGCCCAATTGGACAAGCGCCCAATTGGACAAGCGCCCAATTGGACAAGCGCCCAATTGGACAAGCGCCCAATTGGACAAGCGCGCAATAGGGCAATAATTAATATATCGGTTATTCTTTTTCTCAAGCAATATGATATCATACCAGTATAGTGTAAACAGGGCGCAAGAAAACAAAGGATTTACCCATACCGGCATGGTTTCATGCCGGCGTCAAATCATACCGGCATGGTACCGACACAGTGTAAACCGGGTCTCAGTAACACATTTATATTTTCTCGGAATTATATCTTTTAACCCTATTAACCTCGCAGATTTTGAATAAACCTTCGCATATCATTTATTTGTCCCTTGAGCCATACCATTATGTTGCACAATTATGTATTTAGATTCTGACACAATTGGTTCAGTTCGTTTAATGAGAATGCTTGTGAAAGGTTCTCCGGTTAGTTTGAAAAATCGTTTTAGGCCCCGGCCAAACCAGTGCAACATTTCATCCAACAAATCCCAACACTGTTGGCGACTTTTAGGCATTGTTGGACATTGTTGGATGCAGGGGTGGCCAACCTAACGCAACATTTCATCCAACATTTGTCGATTTATCATCGACAGCATTCTCAAGGCCTACCTCACTCACTTATTGAGCATGGCGATTGGACTTGATTACAAACAAAAAGATAAGGAGCAGCAGTGTTTTAAGCCCCGGCCAAACGAGCCAACATTTCACCCAACATTTCAGCCAACATGCTCTGTTCGTATATTTGAGAATATAATCAAACAAGAGCCAATTTTTCCTTTGATGTTAGGTTCTATCTTTTGTAAGCTTCCTGATCCAACATAACAAATCAAATTGCGGCGGCCTTTTTAGGGAACGTGTTTTTGTTGGACAGGGTGGCCAAACCATACCAACATCGTCCAACATCATCCAACATTTTTTATCAAAGTCAAACTTCGTCAAACATCACCCAACATCATCTCACATCGTCCAACATGGGTGGCCAAACCGTCTATACCCAACATTTTTGGGATTTGTTGGACGAAATGTGGCGCTGGTTTGGCCGGGGCTTTACTTGTAAAAGCATTTCGTGGATATATATCTTGTTGTTCCGAGAAATTTGTCGTTGTTCTTTCGTTTGATTCTGGAAATAGGTCCATAGACCGCTGAACATATTACAATTCATTGGTAAATTTTTTGAATTTTTTGCCCTAGCCCCGTTCCCTTTTCAGCGGTGCCTGCAGTATCAAAGGATTCTTTTAGCACACTAACTTGTGGTTCAGAAAATTAGCAAAAAATCGATAACATTGCCTATTTCTGGTCGAAATTCATGAGTGATACGCCAGTGTCTTTTGGGGGCAAAGCATTTGAATTTAACAAAATTTGTTGTTCGTCGTTTGGAGAGTAGAAGCTGTTCTGTAATGTTTTGTTCAATGTGATCATTTGCGAAGGCCTAGGTTTGTGCTCGTTTAACTTATTTACAACATAGGTGCTACTAGAATAAAAAAAGGAGGCAGGTACCTTGACTAAGATCAAACAAATTTATTCTCATAATTAAAAAATCCAAATCTAAATATTCGTCAATCTGATCTAAATCTATATGCTTTTTAAATGTTTTATCCATTCAACGAAGCAACATTTAGCAGATGAACTTTAATTTCACAAAATTGGCATTTTGAGGGCAAAGGGGCTAATTAACCCTTTCCAACGGGCTTGCTCTTTATTGCCTAACTGTCGACCCTACTTGAAAGATGAACTTATAAGTACCTTGAGAGCACGAGCACTGGTCCTCATCTTCACAAATCACTTTCAGCAACGCACTGTTTCGGCTTGGACGGTAAAATTTGGTGCATATCTGGCCTAAAAAAAATCAAAAAACAAAAAAGTTATAAAAATTTGTTGTAAGAAATTAAGTGTCTATAGATTGTTCTTGAAATCTGAAATAAAACATATCCCTGGACAGATGTATCTAGGTATCTTTTTTGTGAAATGCTAATCAATCAAGGTTATTAGTAAGTGCATCATATTCATTAAATTGGCCTCTCAAAAAAGAACATTATTAATTCAAATGACCCTAAAATTGATTTACTCTATACATTATTGATTGAAAGTTGGGGGTTGGGGATTCACAAAACAGTCAATAACGAATTTGAATGTAAAATTTTTATTTTGGCATTCTTCATTACATGCAACATTCTACAAGCATAGCATTAAGATTAGATTACCTGGCTCGTAATAGTCATAAACTTTGACTGGAACGGCCTGCAGAGCTCCAACTTTGAAAGCTCTTGCCATAGCAAAACCAAAACAGCTTTTAGTAGTAGTGACCTAAAAGGCATTTTTGATATTGTAAGTTTTAAATGTTATTAATCGGGGTAAGAAGATGCCAGGAGACAAATGCATTGAGCCTCAACAGTCGGCAGTAAACCAACTTCATCCAAAAAGAGTAAATCGTTAGTCCTCCAGTTGCAAAACAAGTAGAACTCAGTTTCAAAAAAGGTTTTAGTTTGAGAATGAGTTGCACCAGTTTTAGAATATAAATCAAAACAAACCTTTTCCAGGTAAAATACCACACTTCGATCGCTTATTTCGTACTGATAGACCTTTGGTTTTACATTATCAAGGAGCTGTAAAACAAAATCAAAATTGACTTTAGGACCTTGCCATAAGGTCATTAGCTAAAACGAATAACAGAATTGCAGTGTCGTAAAATATAACATATAACACATCTTTGAATAGTTACAGTGAGGCACTTAGCAATTATATTTCATGTCAGGTTTAGTGTTTATTTATGAAGATCTTATGATAATACAAAAATATAATATATGAAGTGGTTTGTTCGTAAATTTAAGCACTCAGTGTTTACTTGAAGAAAACCCAATACAATATAGGCTTAGTAGGCTTAGTAGGCTGGTCAATTGACCGAAACACAAGAAAGAATTCAATTTTCAAGTGATTATGTTGTCTTAAAATGTGCCTCAAAGAGTTGTACAAGTTTTGCTAACTTTAAACTCATTGTTACTCTTGAGAATTTCATGAATTATTAAAGCACGATAGTCCCATCAGCAAAAAATGGCTGCTTTCCGAAGGCTTGTGGTAGAGATAGTTACAAACCTTATTAAAAGTAAAAATTAACAATGGTGAAATACAATTTACGATAAACGAAAGTCTACTGTAGCAATAAAGAACGTTGATCTAATTTGATGCATGCATCAAAATAATGGCCAAAATTGCAAATAAGGATAAAAAACATGATTTGCTGGATGTCATATTCGCAAAGGAGCCCTTCTCTGACTAAAGATAAATGATGATTCGCTTGTTCAAGACCACCAACCTCCGGGTATGTATGACATGAGGTAAATCAGATTACCTAGCCAGGTTCGCTAGGACACAAAGAAACAGTGAATACCATACGTTTTTGAGTGATTCATTGTCCGCTTTAAACCCTGACAGCAAACCAACTTCTGCCATTGTCATTACAGATCCATTGTTGAAGTTGTGCCTGCGTTATGAAATGATGCTTAAAATTAACAACAGTGTGTGCAATATCCGTGGGTACTAAAGGGGTATTTGAAGGGAAAAGGCGAAAAAATTTTGTTTTTTCAAACCAAATTTAAAGAAAGGATTGGAAATAGCTTTTATTCTAAAAACAAAAACTTTACTTAAAGATAGCACGAGTGAGTTGCACGACCAGGGCAAGACTCAAGCCTGCTGCTTATCTGCTGCTTATAACTTTTTAGATACGACCCAAGCCATTTGGAGTCTAATAAATTTATTATGCATCAACAAGGTAATTCCAATCATGAACGTATTTTTATACTGGGAATCACATTTTTTTTAATAACTCTACTGGTTTCTCTCAGCAATCTTGTGGCAAGAACAAGGGTCACTGAGCACTGCCAGGACCTTTGCTCTTGCGAAAGTTCAAAGTAAACATTTTGATATCAAGATTGCTAACCTTATACAAATGCTGATCCTCAACCTATTGGGAGCCTTGTCACCTTGGGTCTTTCGATTTCCTTTTTTGCACTTTTTGCTGTGTTTTTTCTTTCCTTTGCATTTCCCTTTGTTCTTATTTTTCTTGTTCTTCTTTGGCTTGGCTGGTTTGATGGGTATAGCATCGTCATTGAGTCGATTGTCAATCTCTTCCCTGGTTGTAATTGTGACGTCATACTGACAGTCTTTCCCCTCATCTGGTACGTTGTATGTTAACTCAAGCTGCCAAGAAAAACGTCAAAATCACAGACAAAGCAAGGATATTATCAGAAGCTCATCTTTATATTTAGTACATACATTATTACAATTAGATTACAATTAGATTACAATAGAAAACTTCAACTGTATAAACATTATTTCTCTTGTTTAGTAGTATTTAGTCGTCTACTCTCGGCGCGATAATATGCTTGCTTGTTCCCATAAATTAATCTTATGTTTGCGGTGTTGCATTTCGAGTTCATATCATTGGCGCCAACTGCATGAGGGTTTCGGGGTTTGAGCCCCTAGGAATCTACTAGGAGGGTTCAGCTATCCCCGGCAGTGCTTCAAATTGAACAAACTGCTAATCGAAAAAAGATGGTAGAGTGATATTGGAGAAGTAGAGATGCTTGGATAATTGACGAAAAGCTTAAAAAGCAATGGTGGGGTTGGTGTAAAAACCCTTCGATCGGTCAAGAAAATGAAGTAAGTGATTGGGGGCTGATTGATGCCGATGGCCTGTAAACAGGAATGCCGATTCAAGGTCATTTGAGTGGCAAAGTTCCCGGCTTTTCCTATCGTTTTCTATTAAACCAAACCATTTGCTGGTTCATTTTTTAGGCCAAATTTTGTAGCTTTAGATGAAATTGGAGTGCCAGTCCAACTATTTATGCAACCTTCTTATCAAACTTGAATTTTTAGCATTCAAAACTGCATATATCCATCATTTATGTCGGCAAACCCCATCATAGGCAAGCGTTTAGTTAAAGATTTACTATTAGTCTGATTTAGTGATCTGATACTAAATCCTTTAATTTTGGTAACAGCTCTGTTAGGTCATAGCGTTGAAAGAAGTTGGTGCGACTTTCAATAGAAGAGATATTAACATTGTTATGCGAGACGAGAGTGCACCATCAGTCTGGGACTAAGCTCTCGAATGAGGTCTTATACACATGGCCTTGAATGAGGGAAACCAACTTGTATAAAAAAGAGTATAATTCTGGATGGAAATGAGTTTATATAGAATACTTTGTCTTAAGAAGATGCGTCATTGAAATGCGTTTATCAGAACCCAAGCAGATGTTTGAGCTAGACATCACTGATACTGTCATCAACATCAGCAAACAAAGTATAGTTGATCTGGTACAATGGCAGTGAAGAAAGTCTCAGTTCACCGATACGGGTTGATATCATCAATTCTGTATGTCTCTAATTTCAACATGAAGATTCAAATTTTATGATCCATTTTTGGCAAATACGAAGACAAAAAATTGCTCGAAACAGAGAGTACCTGGAGTTGCGCAACACCCGTGCCTTTGGTCTGTACGAAAACGGTCCCAGGAGCTGCTTTAGTTATCTAAAAAAAATTAACTGTTTATGCATACTGAAATCCAACACAAAGTCAAATAATTTATGAGTTACTGATACACAAAAATTTTTAAATATAGATTTTTGATATACACATGTTCAAATGGCTACTCTTGGAAATTTGCCCAAATGGTTTCAAACCGTCTTTATAATTATAAGTGAAAATATTTAAGCTAGAATGATTTGGTAAGCTGGGATGACTGGGATGTGGTTGACACTGAAAAACGAAATCGGTTCACGACATAAAAACGAACAAGATACGCACATCTTGCTGCTGGCGAACAAGCGCGTCACTCTTTTGAATTCGAAATATTTTTCTGTCAATTTTGGAGGAAGCTACGGTGATTCTTAGGTCCATTTCTCCCGTAGATGCCTTTGAAGAATACTCTGATAGGGCTTGCAGAGCAACAACAGTGTCCTGGAAAGAAGGGAACTGGTTAGAATACAATCTTTATCAATGTACCATGCTTGCTAACTTGGTTTCACGACAGATCTTTTTAGACCCATAGATCCAAATCTACTGTAAAAGAAAAATGAAAGGAAATCGAGGCTCTTATAAGTTAGAAAAAACAAAGCTCTTTACCAGAGCGTGCGTAACAATCAACTAGTACCCATATAGGGGTAGAGTGAAAGGCATGGGTCAGAGCCCCTTCGTACTTCCGAGAAGTAGTCATTTCTACTTCTGGTAATGTTTTTGCGAAGTTATTCACTAGGCCCCTTTGTGCTTTTCATAGCACTAAACTCCTGCAGATGGGGATTAATGGTGGGGAGGACCTGCCCCTAGCTTACTAATAGCTATAATGAAGCAAATTAAGGCCAGACATCTGTGAAGAATTAGTATAAAATGAGTATATGGTACAATGTTAAAAGAATGTTTAAGATGTAATATTCAAAATAAAAAGAAAATCGACCGGGGGCAGCGTTGAAATAACATTAGAATGAACATGCCGAGACAATGATATATTTGATCAAGCCAACAATGTACTAATAAAAATTGGATGATTTGCTAACTTGAGTTGAAATGAAGGATCCTCTGGCATTTCTCATCGAAGTTAACCAGATGACGAGAGGTCCAGCGTCTTTTATTTTATTCATGGCTATCATCGTGAGAAGTGCGTAAGACGTTGCCTCAACTTGTGATGCCAAACCTCCGTCCGGAATGTACGCGACACTGCGATCTAAAACAGCAAAATGTTTTTTCAGTACTGGAATCAAACACCAAACAAGTTAACAAATGAATTATTGTGAAAACGGCACGCAACTCTTTTATGAGTGTACTAGCCCTCGTCCCCCTTTCAATCTAAGAGCAGTGGCTTAAACTTCAATGCGCAAGCACTTGCCCCGCATTATTCAATGCTTTCTAGCGCCTAAACAGAAGAATGATGAGGATCTCTTGGGTGGAAAATCTTTTAGCCAAGAAGGGAGTGAAAAGACAACTGTTGAACACTATCATGAAGAGCAATGGGGTTTCATTGGACATGAGCTGTGAAGAGAAGAGGGTATAGAGAAGAGGGGATAGAAAGGAAGATCATAGAGGCTGAGATGACCGAGAAGCGAGCAAGAAGAAGGCAAAGATTGAAGATGTTGGAGTGAAGGATGAAGAGGTTGCATATTAGAGATGAGAAACAACTAGACTAGATTGCAAGATATAGAAGAAACACTACCGAGACCTGTCTACGGCATTCGATGGCATGACACAAGAAAAAGAAGAAACAGATCTTTTCACATTGCAGTCGCGCAGGTTGGACATTTTAATGAGCTCTCTGACTGAGAATTCTAAACCCATTGAATTATCTCTTAACAAAATGAAGATACAGTACATCACTGAAGACATTGGCAGATTTAAGGGGGGGCAACTAGGGGCAGGGTGCTCAAACGCTCTAAAAGCACACTTAACGAACTTCATAGCATTTTTAGTATGCATCTTAGCATTCAGATGGGCCCTTCTGTGTTTTAAAGAACTTCCCAAGTCTAAAAGGAATTTGGCTACCTAAATAAAGTAGTGTTTGTTAAAGTTTCATACCATCTTTCCTGTCCCTCTTCAACATCTCTACGAGCTTACTGTAAGCGTTGTTTTTGCCCGGACTACCCGTCAAAGCAAGTGCGTATGCAACAATTGCCATGAGGTTGCCTGCTTTGATGCCAGGAACTGCCTTCTCGAGAAAGCTAGTGGCCTTTGACAACACTTTTGTATCCTGAAATAAAAGAGGGGAAAGTTACAGCTTCAAACTGACAATTCTAATGTGCTTACGGCCAATTTAATTAGAAATGTGATATTTTACGGGGCGGGGGCTTAACTTGGGGAGGTGGTGCAATCAAAGTTTTGTTCTTATATAAGGGGCAATATTCTATAGAGGCTAAAAGAGCCATGGCTTCCTTAGTTGATGTGTTGAAAAAGCTCCGCATGCATTATTGGATATTAAAATCTGGTATCAAAATAACATGTGAACATTGTGTGAACAGGGCTCCCGAAAATGTATCAGACATTCATCAAAAGTAAAAAATACTCGCAAAGAGTGTAGCAACTTACAGTATTTGTACATTGCGAGCTGCATTCTGTCAAAGATATAACAACAAAAGCTGTCAATGCAACTTTATTATCGACTTCACCCTAAAAAATAGAGAGACACATCGTTTAAAAGTACATCTTGTTATAATATAAAGCCCTGGCAAAACGATTAAACATTTCGTTCAACTTTTGTTGAGTGAAAAGTTTGTTGGAAAGTTTATTCGTTTTGCCACCCTGTTTCGTGTTGTTTAATCGTTTTCAAAGTACATCTTTTCATAACGTAACAACGAAGCAACACACAGTCGCGAAGATTTTGTATCTTCCGATTTCGAGAAACTTGACAGTTGAAACCTGTTTTGTGTTGTCGTGTTGAGTGTTGTTGAGCAAAGTTTTATTCTGGTCAAGAATGTTTAGCAAATGTTTAGTCGTTTTGCCACCAATTAAACATTTGTTGTGCTAGCGCAGGGGCGGTAGCTGTGGGAATCCAAAGGTTTTCCACGGTTTTCCTATCTCTACGTGACCCAAAATCTCTAGAATGCCTTCGTGAGACATTTGCTTCGTCTCCTTGTGGGCTACTGTGTCTTCCTCAACAGTCAATTTTGTTATCGATGTGCTAAAAAGTGTTTTCTTTTCCCTTTCTTTTATCAAATTCTTATTTTTATCCACTCCTTGCACTTGAAGTCTTTTATGCTAGCATACAACAAAACAAAAAGCAAGAAAATTCCTATGCAAAATGTTAAGTAAAGTTCTAAAATGTTGAGTAAAGTTTAATGAAAAGTTTAGTCATGTTTTGCCACCCTCGCTAAACTTTGCTCAACTTAACTAAAGAAATGTTTAGTGAAATGTTTAGTGAAACTTTTAGTCATTTTGCCAAGACTTAAGCCAGTCTCATTCAAAAAACGATAAAAATTCTTAAAAAAGAAAAAGAGTGGGGATGAAAGTCTGGCTTATATTTTTCAAATATTTATAATATCTATATGCTTAGTATTTTCTTATATTTAGGGCACTTCTTGCCCCCTCTGCCGCTGTGTAGGCGCCCTTTATTATAATAGATTATATGCTTAGACGCGCAATTATATGTAAATCTTGTCCACAAGCCATCGCCCTAATGCGCATGTGCATGTGATGCACATTCTCATTGATTCGGACAAATGGATAGAATAATAATCCTAGGCAATGAACATTGAGACTTGCCTCCCCTAAAAATGCTAAATACCGCCGAATGGTATTTTTGAAAAAAGGCGAAACAATGACCAAATATCGTATTCTATATCATACCCTCATTTCCCTCTGATAAACGGGTAGGGCTTCAGCGAAAGAACCATCGGCAACTTGCTTCGATTCCAAGAACTTGAAAGTGCTACAGATAAGATGGCTATCAATGTCGTCTTTGATATAAGCAGAGGCCTGACAGAAAACTTTGTTCACAAACGCGCTGAGCCTGGAAAGAGAAAACGAAACATTTATGTAAGGGACCAGTGTCGAATAAATGAACAAGCTGCCTTTTTAATGAGACGTTTGCTGAGTTATTCTCCTTTTGGAACAAACAAATTTCAAAATTACAAGTTGATTCATCTGGGTCGTTAGAAGTCTTTTTCATAAAACACGGGGACTTGGGCAAACGTTGTATTAACTATCCCAAAAACTTAAGGCGAAAGTAATTAGGGTGGTTCACCGTACCTTACCTTGATGAATTGTTAGGGGATGATTCTCCCACAACCTTCAACTTACCAAGTTCCTTAATAACACATTGCAATTTCATTTTCCTAAAACGTGTCAAGAATTCTGCGTAAAACTTTTCTCTAGAAATGCATAAGGAACATACCAAGTCATAGGGGCAGTTTTTTGACCCCAAACACTATACGAATTGTCATTTCTTCTGTATCTCAGTTCATTTCTGTATCCTATAAAGAAGGTAGATGTTATGAATTTTTGTGAGCTTTACATTGTACAACTTTAACAAACGTATACTGTATCATAGACCATGCTTGGCAACCATGCAAAGGGAATCTGGTTCTTACAACTGGATTACGAAATCTATATTTGCACTACTTTAAAGTTCAGGGGGGTCATGCCCATGCAGAAACGCATTTGACACGGGGACGAGTTTTATTTAGGATGCTGGTCAAAAGCAACGGCTGCATTTACATAAAGCCCAGGGGGTCACGTGAACATTTACATACGGTGCATCCATGCGATAATCATGGGTAAGAATTTTCCTTGTGATCTGATACTTTTGACCTGATTTACAAATTACCTTTCTGATACTTATGGTTTCAACCAACACAAAACAAAATCAGACACATGAGCAAGAGTAAATATAAATATTTTGAATCAGTTGCTACACAGAATGCATGGGTTTGATCAAGTACTATTGTGTATCTCTAATCTAAGGAATGACGTCATAAAAGAACCACTCAGTTATAATGATTGGTAGTTTTTTATGTGATAAGCAACAATGTTTTGTAATTTGATATTTTTGGGTCTCATCAAAATGTTTAAGTGGATACTATTGGGTCTGTTTGACTTGCTTTTGAGACTTAGGTGAATTTTGATAGTTGCGGATGGAACCCCCGTAAATGTAAAGCGCAAGTGACCCCCCGGGACAAGAAGTCGAAATAAAACTCGAGGCGGGATGAGTTTGTTCCAGTTTTCAAAATATCAAAAAACATCACATTATGCTGTGGCAATCAAAGCAGGAAAAGACACACGGTCATTTAGTCACTTCAAATGGCATTTACATTACTTTGAGCAATTAACAGAAACAAAAAATGGTTTCAAACCCTAAAAAAACAAAACTTCAAGGATTACACTCTTGCTTGGGTACGATAGTTCTTTTTTCATCGCGTTTACGTTGAAGCAAAAAGAAATGAAACCAAAATGGAGCAAAAAGAATTTGACCTATTTTGCACTTTTGTAAAAAGAACGGAACTTTCAGTGAATCATGCTCAATAGCGCAGTGACGAAGCCCAACGTTTTCAGAACGCCTCGCTTCAACGCTATTTTAACCTGTGTTTCAATCGTAACCAAAAAGTACCGTTCCTGACCGTTCACACTAGAAGAAACAAGCACGATATGGTTCCATTCCCAAATCGTGCTTGCTTTTTTTAGTGTAAATGGTCCGGAATGGTACTTTTTGGTCACGATTGAAAACGCGGCTCAAACTAGCGTTAAAGCGAGGCTCTCTGAAAATGTCAGACATCATTGTCGCACCACTTGATATGTTCTTTTTACTAAAAGTCTAAACAGAGTCAATTTGGTTCAGCTCCCTTTTGCTTCAATGCAAACACGATGAAAAAAGTGGTATGGTGCCCAAACAAGAACGAAACCACGGGACTCTTGGTTTTGTTCATCTTTTGGTAGTGTAAACGGGGTCTAAATCTATTGACTTGAATTAAAGTAAAAAAATTCAATTCGGACTTGAGTAAATTAAAGAAAAGATCGAGGCAAATTTAACTTGCAGCATGCGTTTCGTTTCGGACCACAAGTAAAGATAGTCTTACCTGCTCTCATGAAGTTATAGGCTTTTCTTTCTATTTCATCGGTGACACCATCCTTTATTGTGTACAAGTACTTCAAAACATAAACAAGCGGTGCCATATAAATCATTGTTTGTTCCCCACACCCTCTAGGCATAACGATTAAATTATTAAGGCCATTTTCAACCATATCTTTCACTCCTGGTGCCATTAAGTTCCCTGAAAAGAAACAAAAATATTGTCTAATCACGCCATCTGAAAGCGTGCAGCAGCCTGTTTTACAAGTCAGGTAAAAACAATACCCAATGAAAGGGTACCTGCTTTCCCCCATAAAAAAGCTCGCTGGGCAGTGGTGATTGCCACTGTTTTGACAAACCCCAGTGGACAAATTTCAGGATGAATCAAATTTATCACGAAGTGTTGATAAAGATGAATGGGGGTTAGAAACTGGCCTAGATTTGCAGAAATGCTTACCTGTTACGTAGATCATGACTCTCAAAAAGCCAGGAACAAGGTTATCCGGCAGAGCCACTTTCAAACTGTTAAGCTGCACGCCGATTCTTTTGACCTCTATGAACAAACACAGTAAAATGTATAAAATCATATATAGGCATGAAAAAATACTAGGACTTTTTTTAAACTTTTGCTGAAACCGAGATGACACCGAGCATAGAAACTGTTTAAAAGAGTAAAAGTGGTTATAAACAATTTTAAATTAGAACATTTTTTGAAAAATGCTTTGATAATAAAGCAGCAACATACCAACTATTTTTTTCCCTCTCGGATCATCGCTATCCATAATACCTGTGAAGTCAGAAAAAACAATATTTTCAAGTACGACCTTTCCAATATAAAATTTTTCTTGCAGTACGCAATTTCTTCAACCAACGGTATTCACACCAAACTCCTTTCAAATGGTTTCTATTCATATAAATATCCGGAGATTCTATAAAATCTATGATTCTATAAATGTAACCATAACCATGTGTGACGAATGCAGCGTTTGGCCACAAAAACTGGAACAACAACATGGAATTCCAGAAGGGAGGGGGGGGGGGACTCACATATATTCAAGGATAAAGCTACATTTTAGGCTTTGAATTGGAGCAAATGTAATTTTTTGGGCTTTTACTATGAGAAACCTTTAAAGAAATAGAGCAAAATCGAAAACTTTCTCACGAACTTTTTTTTGGGCCAATTTTTATGCTAGAATTTCTTTCTGGATGATGGTTTGAACCCCAGCCTGAGCTCCCCTGTCCTCGATACATATTTGAGTACCCGGGGGGGGGGGTAAGTGTAATAGGGCTTTGGGCAGTTACAGAGCGACAGCGAGAGATGGCGTGGAATTCGTGTAGCGGGCTTCGTAGGGGGGCTTCATTGACTAATAATTCTAAGCGCCGATTACAATTTATACAAGCAGGGAGAAGATCAATGCATAATTAAGGTAATTTATGCTAGGTTTCAGTCCTATTACACATGGAATACCTCAAAATATGCAAAACAACTTCAGTATATCAAAAATTGGATCTGACAGTAAATGACACGCCCCGCTGGAATCGGCACTACAATTTTAACATACCAGATCAAATAAATGAGATAGAAGAAATTAAAAAAAATGACAATCAAATCATTTCGAAACTTTTGAAACAATTCATCAGAAAGTATCATCTATGTAGGAAACCAATTGTTTGTTATTCTACAAGAGTAGTAAGGCTTTATCGATTGAAATTTCACAAAAGGATGAAATGTCTAATGTTGTTTAAAAGCAAACCTTGTGGATCCAGAACTATGGAAATTGTTTCCTGTTTTTGAAGACCTTCTGGCTGCAAAAATAGAGAAGGGTTTTCTGTTAGGAGGCTGTCAGGCAAAACGAAAAGACTTACAGAAGGCTTATAAATCTATAGCTTAAAAGCTAATGGTGTATGAAAAATATATCTTTAGACTATTTTTCGACTACACCATCTAATATTAGGCTCTAGAATACTTTTTAATGTGCAAACAGCAAAAAAAGTTCATAAAGCTTTGAACCAAGACAGAATCTTGGTGATTCAAACGGCAAAGTGACTGTCTTCCTTTGGCTGTGAATCGATGAATAATAGGTAGATTGAGCTGTTCTACCATGTGTAAAAATGTTTTATATTTTCATTTAAAGATTATAAAAACAGTCTTGCAGGAGATCATCTTTTATACTGAGAAGAAATTCAACAATTCAAGATATGGACAGTTTTTTGGTGATACAGAATTTGAAAATGGTTTTGGAAAAAGCAAACATTTTAAAACATATTGGCTGAAAACTTTTTCTTCTGACACTCCTCAGAACATAAAACGTCAGAATAAGGGTCCGAAAGAACACGATGGAAAGTATATATCGAAATAGTTGTAGATGGAAATAGGCCAATCAGAAAAACGCAAGCACAATACCGGTATAATTGTCCAATCAGTGCCGCAAGCCTAAAGAAAAATTATCACTGGAGTTCAAGAACTCTATCTGTCTACACAATGGCAGCTTTTTCGTTTGTATGTAGATCGGTTCCAAAACTGCTAGATGGAAGGACGACCGGGCTCTGCCGATTATCTGAAACATGTCGTCATTATAGAGTTTTGCACAATCTGGGTTGTCTAAAAGATGTTGACCGATGGCAAAATGACTTGTTTTTACACCTACAAGATCGGGGAGGCTGTACTCTTTGAGGGGCAGTTTTGTTTCCTATGTTGAAAGGAACATCTTGTTTTATTCTATCCCCCAATCTTTTGGCTGTGCGTCCTAAGTAGCCAGAATCACACTGGCACGTAAATTCATAAACAACGGAACTTTTTCTAGTTGGTAGGAACGCAATCCTTTTGAATGGATGAAAGGGCTCTCCTAATGCTGTAAACAATACGAGCAAAGAAACATTTCGTGATGGCTTGCTTAATCTGACTCTCGAATCGCAAGGAAGTGTTACCAATCCAAGGTAGTTTCAGATAAACTGGGTACTTTTCGGTCAGAAAAACTTTTGAACAGCCGAAAACTTGCGATCTTCTCCTTAGTATAAGACAAAATCAGTGGCGTAGTGTGACTTTTTCAACTGGGTATTCTCTATTTAACAAAAGGGTGGGGCAGGGTGTGGCTCAATGGGGCTTGATGAAAATAAGGGGATAATAGGAAGATTAAAAGGACTAGCTATTGAAATTTTATCTAATTTTCTTTTTGGTTCATTTGCAAGTACTGCACTGTCAGGGCATTACTATGATGAAAACGATACTTTGCTGAAGAACGCAACGCAAATATACACTTCGAACTCATACATTGCATCAAATTACCACTAACCATTTCATCAAAAGTAATTCAAATCAAAACATATAATTGAAAGTCAGTAACATTTTACTGGTCGAAATAAGTCCCAATAGTTGTTGTTGAATCGTCTAAAATTTGCACTGATGTAAAGAGGAAGTAACTGTAAACACCTACTCTTGATACCTTAATACAAAAGGGCTTTCGAAAGTTTCGAAATTATTCACATAGAGCATTACACGAGTTATAAATGGTTTGTGGTATGCAGTATAGACTTTTTTCTTCATGACCTAATAGTGATATTTTCGATACAAATTAATGGTTGAAAGAATCGAAGGTAATGAGACGAGACTGCACAATAATGCAACTGAATGCGCTCGAATAATGCAAACAAAAAAGGCCAACAATATAACTGAATGCACCAGGCAACTATAAGGATATTATCCAGGCCTATCTGCATTCACTTTAATTCTATCACATAATACAAACAGAAACACCCCTGATTGGCAAGCAATAACAAAATTGGTATTTCTAAAGGGCACAGATCTGAGTCAGTGTAGTATTATGCAGAAGCCTACCTTTCCTTTCCACTTTGCTGTTGGTAGATTAAGATTAGGGGTCAAATGAGAGAATGATTATGAAACAGTAATACGGACATTGCAATAGCTTTTGAATGAAGTCATATTTACTGTTTTTCATGAAGCTCCATCACTCCAACGGCTCCAACGTCCATTAACTGTTTATATCGATCTCAAAACGAGACTATTTTGAACTAACTTTGAGGCTGTACACTGCATATTTCTCAGCGTACAGGAGCATTGTTTTAGCTGATTAACGGTAAATATTATTCATTGAAAGGAGCATTTTGATTGGTGAAAGTACCTTCTAGGGTATTCACTGCGTATTCATGACCGATCTCCATTCAACATGAAGTAGCTCAATCTTCAAAATTAGCTTCAAAGATCTCCCAGCTTCTCTATGCTTCGCAGCGTTATCGTTTCCATCAATTTCGTGATATTTTGTACTTATACAAAATGTAGAATATCGAAGGTAACGAATTCAACCAGAATCAATAGCCCAAAAACATTTTTTACTTATTACAATTATACGTCGTATTAATATTTTTTCTGAGAAATCTCAGGGTATTCACTGAATACCTTGAATACCCGGACGCTACGCCACTGGACAAAATGACATCTTTTGGTTTGCCGTTGTCCGGAAAGATCGTTTTAAGTTTTTCTAGTTCAGCGTGAAGTTTAGATTTCGAGCAGATCATGGGTGCCCTACGAACCTTATTCTGATGATTTTAGCCAATATGTTATAAATGTTTGCTTTATTCAAAGACAATTTTAAATACACGATATATGAATTGCACCTACCACAACACTAAGGTTTTTGCGTATTTTGTCTCCAAAATCTACGGTGAAGGCCTGAACCTCTATGGGACTGTCACCCACTTGAAGAGGTATAACTGTAAATGGGATGGCAACAGCGTCATTTCCCTTCACAACAACTGAGAGACGCTCGGATCTTTCATCTGGCTTTGCCATCGAGCAAAATGAAGCATGGCCAATGAAGAATAGATTCACCTAAAAAATGTAAGACATTTGACCTAAAATGTATTTCCTTGGTCTTTCCTGTTTTCCTAGACGGGGAGGGCTGTGGGCGACATAAACGCAAAAGTAGGGGGAGGAGAAACTTGTCTTAAATCTGACAAATATGCATAAAATGGATTTTTTAAAGATTTTGTCATCTAAAATGATTTCATCATATAAAGGTGATTTCATCATGCAAAGGTGATTTCATCATGTAAAGGTGATTTCATCATGTAAAGGTGATTTCATCATGTAAAGGTGATTTCATCATGTAAAGGTGATTTTATCATTTAAAGGGGATTCATCACACAAATGCCTTACATGTGTTTCCCTTGCATTGAAATTGTACAAAACAGCGTACACTGTAGTTTGCTCATGACGTTGTACAGAAGGTGGCATCTTAAGGTGGATAAACAAATTCATTCTGCTTTGAATATTGACTGTGTTCGATAAACCAAACCCAGTTTGACTGTTCATTGCGATTGCAGAAATTTCCCAAGTTGTAATCGAATCAGGAAGGGTGAATCCTTGCTCCAAAAAGCCGTCATCACTACGACATAAATGGAAAAAGTTACCCTTCAAAGCACAACAGTTACAACTGCTTTTAGCAAACACGTTTGCAAGAGATACATGAAACTCTCGGGGCCCACGAAACCGGGGAGGGGCCGGGGTGGCCATGGCTCCCCACTTTTTGCAAAGCAAGTAATTTCAAAGTTGCAATGAAAAGCGAACGAAGCCTTGTCCCCCTCCCACTTTCTAATTCATGCCATGGGCCATGACTTTGCATCAATCGATTGCATCCCAATAAAGGATACTTCCCGATAATGGTCTCCTCACGAACGGTCATTGGCATTCTTAGCCACTAGAGGCACAATTGTATAAATTCAAATTTTCGAGAAGATATTGGAAGTAAACTTTTTTCACAAGAACCAGTAAATTTGGTCTGACTCAAGTTCAGGCTGATTGTTCTTAATTTTTTCCAAAATTTTACGCTGGATTGTTTTAGTTTGTTTTTAAATTAAGATGATGTTAGCAGTGCGATTGCTAGTGTTTTCGCTCTATGGAGCTGTTCAGGCGTCATTTGCCAACAAAGTGACTGAAACATTTGGCGCCATGTTTGAATATTAAGCACCCGCACATGGCTAAAAATCTTCATAAAACGTTGTTCAAAATTGCATTTTACAGTAGCTCAGCCTCAGCTTATAAAATTGTTCTTATAAAAAAGATTGTATTCACTTTGTTTCTGCTTTAACCCAAATCCACGATTCTGGAAAAAACTCTCGTGTTGTCAGCTGTGTGACGTCATCGTCAATATCATCAGGTCTTACTTCAAATTCATCATCTGGACCAATGGCGCTTCTTCCGCGAGCTTAAAGATACAGAGGTATTCAGTTGAGAAAGCAATGATTTCAACAAAGGAACACTTTAGAACAGTTTTGCACTGAATAATTTACATATGAAAACAAATAATAAAGGAACTGTAAAATGTGTTTTCTAGGCCTAGAAAAAGTCATATTTGCTAGTGAAAGCAATACATTCAAATCCATATACAAAGACAGGAATTGAGCAACTTGCACTCGCTGGGTGGTAATTTCAGAAAATGGTGAAGTTAGATAGAGCATGCGAAGAGACGAATTAGGCAAGGCAATCTGAACGAAGGATTAATTTCGGTCCGGTAAATTGTCAATATATAACAAAAACCGGTCATTTTGACTCATTTATTTAAAATCAGAAAAATAGCACTACCAAATAATTATTTGAATATTTTTATAGAGAGCGTTACTTACTACATTGAAGCAACGTAGAATTTCATCCAGGGCAACCAATCTGATTGAAGCATACACTCTTTTTCATAAGAATACTTTTATAAGAACACGAGCCTCAAAATTTGGTTAAAAGTTAAGAACAAATTAAGAACAAGCTAAGGCTGAACTAGAATGTTTTATCTCAAAAACGAGGATACTTGCCCATGTGTGGGTGGTTTTTCGGTGTATTTTCAAACTTGTTGGCAAATGAAGGTTGTCTCATGTGTCGAAAACACTAGCAATCCCACTGTTTACTTAATTTGGAGCAAATAAAGAACAATCCAGCCTCAGACCATCGAAAAAATTAAAAACAGTGAGCCTGAACTTATATTTGCTGTTTCTTATAAAAAAGAGTGTCTGAAAAACCTTTTTGAGCCCCTGTTTTAACCCGCCTGACTCCATTTTTGACGCTTTAAAAGAAACAACTATACAAAGATGGATAGAAATACACACATGCAAAATTCCTGAGGCAACATGAATAGAAGTCAGGCCAACAAACTGAGGGGATGTGTTTTTGAAGCTCTTTGCATTTCGTTCCTTTTGGCAGTGTACCGGCGATGCTTCGAAGTTTTTGGCAGCAAATGCCCTGACAACATTTCTTATCAAGCAAACCTGAAAGGGATAAAATAGTCAATGAGCAGCTGTCTTTCAGAAAACGTAACATAAACAATTACAAAATGTAATTAAAACTTTCAAATTAAAAAAAACTTGTCAGCAAAACCAATTATACGGTGATAATTTATTTTTATTATGATTTTTTAATATTTTTTACTGAGTTTCGCCAGTAACGCAGGGTTTTGTAGTACAAAAAAAGGCAAATGACAAAATCTCTGATCTCAAAGCCAGGAAGAAACAAGGGTAAACCTCGTCCATTCTAACAGGCCAGACGGAACTGACATTACAAGGGTCTCTGCACATAGTCGGCAGTATCCCCTCCGCCCCCCTTCCTTACTGGTGACTGGAATCTCTTCTTCTCCAGTTCAAGGACATAAATTTGACTTTTGAGCAAACCATAGGTTCCCTTTTTTAGAAATTGCAATATTATCTTATTTTCCGTAACGAATGTGACCCCCACACCTTAAGAAGGTGTCTGTAATTATTTGGCCTAACAGTAACAGATCTTGGTAACTGCTAATTGTGAGCCTATTGGTAAATTTCCTGGACATACTCTCATCTTAGGTCTTTTGGCGTCGTCTTGTGATTCCAGCCTAAGCCACTAGCTCTCCCCCAAACCCCACTTGCTGCCCGCTTCAATCTTTCAAAAGCCAAGCAGTACTCACTGATGCCTCCCGCAACACTTCTTCTTCTTCTTCTTTTCGGGTCTTCACCGCAAAGTAAATCTATTAAATGAGAAAATCGAATAAATTTCAACTGAAACCATTTTCTAGTTATGCCTGGGGGCATTTCCGTGTTAATGGTACTAGCATAGCGATAAACTACCCTACCCCACGGTCAATTTACTGCAAAGAAGGAAAATAGAACAAACCCAACCAGATTCCCCCCTTTCCAACCATATTCCCCCCTTTCCTTCCTTGGTGCTGCCTTTATACAGAACAGAGTGTGAAGTGTACCGTGACAGAACGTATTCCTCATGTCATTGAGTTCATCACTAGTGGCCCCCGATAGCTGCGCAATATATTGAATGAATTGTTACATACACACCTTCACGTTTTGAGACGGGTACTGCTGCATCTGTTAGCATCGATAAACCAGCTCTCTGAAATTAGATATTTAGAGACGATACTCGCATTAATACAGTGAAAAACATATAAGCAACTCACTGGCACTCAAATAACGTGTCTTAAAATCAAAATGATATTCGTTTGTGCGAGGATAGCTCAATGATTAGGGTTGCAACTCAGAGAGCATTGGAGGAATGAGAAGAAGAAGGACAAGGAAGGACACTGCTCGATAAACATAGCTTTTCAGTAATCTTAAACATATTTTCGGAAGCTAGAAAGTAACAAATACAACCTGTAACAAAAACGGATGTAGGTAGCATTAAGCATATTTAGTTCCTCTGAGTCTGACTTGCTCTGTGTCGTTTATCGAAGTGTTTATTGCACTTAACAGTTTCTACGTTATTCTTTAAAATTTTAGTATCTTTAATGATAATTGCTAATTGGCATCGGCTATGAAAATGCAGATTAAAGGTGCTATCAGTGATACAACTCACATCAAAAACGTCTTTGTTGTTTCGTCCTGAACCAAGTCCACATCCCAAATCAAATGAACCTATATCACTGAATACCTGAAAGTCAGAACAAGTGCAAAACATATCTTTTTATCATCTTTCGTCAAAGGTATTCAGCTAAAGGATTGAAAATCACAAAGATATAAAAGGTATTGCTTACATTACCAGAGATAGTGTGGACTATGGACTCAAGGATGTACACCATTGACTGAGGAAACCGTGCCAATTACAATCCACAGGCTATTAGTGCTGCCAGCAATCTCATTAAAATTGATTTTACACTTAAAAAGGGCTTGAGATTGTGGGAAAAGATTCCACAGATAATATTTTCATGCATTACCCTGGGCTCTGTGCCACAAAACAATGCTAAAGATGACTTGGGTCGCGTATACTTTTGTTAGAGAGAGATTACCTTCTCATTTGTAACTCTACTCTCGTTTCTTAGATAGTAAATACTTTGGTCGACTGCTAATAAGCCAACGACTGATTTTGTGCTGGTCTTCATTTTGACAGCGAGGTCTTGCCCGGGGCGAAATGTTTGGTCTGGAGCTGGGTCTGTATTAAGAAGAACCTGCAAAACGAGGGAAGCTTGAACCTGCAATTCTTTATACAATAACAAATGAGATTGAAATAAATATGCAAAATGGTCTAATGAACCAATTCTTCATATATTCGATAAACAATAAACAACAACAAACAATTCTTCAAACATATTCGGGAAAGGAACCGGTAGCGATTAGCATTACCAAGACTTAGTATAGCATTGCAAGAAATACGAAACTGTTACTAAACGTTACGCGTCTGTAAAGTCTGAAAGCATTGCTTACCTCGTTTTTATAACCATTCTCGACGTCCATCAAAACTGAGTCAGAGGCCATTTCTCCATTTCTAACGAAAAAGGCCAGTATTCTGCATTTAGGTGCCATATCTGCTGTAATGTCAACATTCAAAGTAGTTTCTGTTCCAATTTGTTTTTGGATGACACCAGTTTTAACGATTTTCCCACGAGACAAGAACTAAACGAAAAATGTTGTTCTTATTCATGTATTCAGCTACTGATATTCAGCTACTCGTGGTCTCTCATCAGTTTTAATGTCTAAAATACCCTCTCTAGATGTTTTTATGTGGCGATTAGATAAGGCTCTGCTTAATGAAATTACTATATCAAAAATAGCAGGAAGGTACCAAATATTCCCCTAGTGCCATTGCTAATGTCTTCCCTGAAAATCATCATTTTGGGTCAGGTTGATTATCAAAGTATTATTAATTGCATTCAGCACAATAATAAGATTCGCACAATGACCTTTTTTTCTAGGACTGAGAGACAGTTGATAACATTGCAGACGTCATCCAGATGTTAAACCTTAAACTTACCAGGTAATTTATTTGGTTTATGCCAGCTTGCATTGGAATAAGAAAAGTTACGGAAATTCGTTGGTTAATCTAGAATTAAAAGAGAAAGCTTTTTAGCTGGATGCTAAAATGACAAATTCTTAACAGAGGTTTTTCAAAACGTAATAATGACCTCTCTAGCTTCTACGACACCAGATTCTCTTAAAACAAAAGAAAACAGTGTAAATCATCAGCCTATTAAACCCAACTTATCTAGCAATCATAAAGCCAAATTTATCTTAGAATGACCTTAGAGACAAGCATTGCTTCCTTCAATCGTCAGCCTATTAAACCCAACTTATCTAGCAATCATAAAGCCAAAATTATCTTAGAATCACCTTAGAGACAAGCATTGCTACCTTCAATCGTCAGCCTATTAAACCCAACTTATCTAGCAATCATAAAGCCAAAATTGTCTTAGAATGACCTTAGAGACAAGCATTGCTTCCTTCTCCATATGCTGCTTTCGTAGGTTGCAGCTTGAAACGATCGATGAGACTTGATATCAAATCATTTCAATTTTATAAATAACATAGCCTATCATTTTCGCTATACAAGCATTGTAACTCAGAACTTGAAAGTCCATCAATCTCTCTCTTTAACCTTATTCTACCCTAACACAAACCTCACCACTTGTGCACAAACCACAGCCGGTAATATGGCTACAATCACTGCCAAAAGTCTTGGAACACTAACGTAGGTTTTCAAAGGCAAATTCAGCCATCCCCCTCTCCCCCTAGGAACAATGTTGATTTACTTTAGAAAAAAGAGAGGGGTTATGGAGTACGCTTTTTCTTGTGGATTGTTTGATATTTTTCTATACTTTCAACATTGTTTTGGGGGAAAGGGGGGCGGAAGTGGTAGTATTCAAGAAAACAAATGAAAAATAGAAAAGCACAGCCCAAAGTGTCTTTGCTCAAGACATCGGAAGCTTCGATTTACGTTAAGATTCCGGCCACTTTTGTCCAAGCTTCAGGTTTCTGCCTTATGTGACGAATGGAGAAACGCAGTCACAGACGAGATATTTGCCAAAGGTTCCACGGCCTGCAGATATATGGACTTCCAGGAACAAGGCATTCATTACAGAATAACGTGTAATATTGGAATGTGAAAAACAGGTTTATAATCCAAGCGCTGAGAAATTCCAGCGTTCTATAACGCGAGAAAAACAAATGATACTAGAGCTTATCACGATCAGGTTACTGATGGTTTTTTGGCATTCAGTTCACGACTGATCAGTCTTCTCGCCATTTAAGCACAGCAATGAGAAACAAAAATAAGATAAATTCAGCTGTCATGCTTACCAAGCATTTTGCGCTTTGAGCATAGATTTGAGCACGCAATATGCAGTTGGCGGTTCCCTTGTCACACTCTTTGAATGGTGCCATCTGCATCTAACGGAAACGATTCAGCATATATAATGCCTACCATAAACGAGGCACATCAGGTTTAATACCATAGAGTTTTAAAACAGTGATAAAACCTGAGTGAAAAAAATTCAACGGAAGTTGGGCTTAACTTCATTCTCCTTTTCAAAGACAAAACCAGGGATACAGTCAAATGCAAAGTTTCAACTCCAGAGAGAAATCGTTCTGCAGTGAAAAGAATCTAGCACTTATCATCTACACGATATTTTCATTCGTCTATGCTTAAAATTTCCACAACCATCAATATATCCTTTATTCACTGCCAAAAACAAAAGTAGAGACCTTTATCTAATTAGTCGTTGGTGTTAAAATTAAGCCAAAAAATCTATTATCAATTCATTAATGGATTGGGACAATATTTAAAAAAAAAGTATGGGCGCTTCCAGACTCACCGCTCGCGTTGATAGGAATTATCATATTAGTGGAAACAATGTCAAAGAACGTTGATAATGGGAGGCAGGGCATATCTGTCCTCTTGACAAGTTCTTGAGTGTCAAATCTGCCACTCTGAAAAAAACAGTTTCTTTGTTAATTATCTTGGTATTATTAATTAAAAGATGAAAAAATCCGGTGCATTAAGGGTGACACCTCATCACAAAAGTTTCAAACATGGCGGCTAGTGAGATGTCTAGATCATCATTTGCCAATAAAGAATGGCTCATTCACTATGTTGGCAAATGATAGAACTGGAAACACCCCTGTGACAGAACGAGTGACAGCCATACCAAAAATACCATGTGACCTGGCAGCCAGGTGAGCATTCCAAGCTGCACAAAGAGTTAATAGAAAGCACCTAAAACTATTTCAGACTATGGAGGAAAAACTGGCGAGGAGATAAAGTCTCCAATATTATCGAAAACCTGGCACTCCACTCAGGGCTAATGGTTTGATGACAGATTTATAGGTTGAGAGATCATAGAAGGTGGCATATACAGTTATGATTTAAGGTTTGAACCCTTAGATCCAGCTCGATTCTATTCTACCAACAGTGCTCAACGTGCAAGGCACAGATCAATAGATATAGTAGATAGTAGGCTAGAAATGAGACATGTTCTCGCGTTACTCGATTTTCGTGCTTGTTGCGCCATCATAAGATTATAGTCTGTCCATAGGATTATAGTTCTACCTGATGTCTGTGCAAGCACTAAAAACTCAGAGTAACACAGACATGCTCATTTCTAGCCTATCTTCTTACTAATTTAACACTATATATTTAGTAAATTATACAATTTAATCACCTTTTCAATAAGAGATTGTAGCGTCTTCACTAGCAACAACTGATCACCAACTCCACCTTTAAAGAAAAGACAATAAAATGATTTTAAAATTTACCATATTAGTACTTATATTTTCCAGCTTATAACATGTTTCATGTTGTCTTAACCAATGCAAAAGATATTATCTACTTTAATAACTAAACTCTCAATGAAATTTTCAGGATTTGTATTTTAAAGCCAAGAAGTATTCTAGCATTATCCATACACAAATTATTCTTTGGATTAATTTCAAAGCTTGATTCAATCCAGCAACAATTAAAAGAGAAAAAGAAACAACTCGATCATTTAACGCGGAGCCAGCCAGACGGTCATCTCATTGCATGGTCTCGAGCCTCCTGCTTTAATTGCCAAAATGTACTCCTCTGGTAAACATCATTTTGTACTATCTGTTTCACATTGGGGTATTCACACCACCCCCTCTACCAATAATACAGAGCAAAGAAAGGGCAAAAAGGGGACAATACCTGCCAGATGTGATGCATAATGAAGCATTTCTATCGGTGTGGACATCCCCGGTCATGAACATGTCCACCCCCTTCTAAGAAATCGAAAATTTAATATTCTTCATGAAATCACACAATACCATAATCATTATTTCCTTTGATAACGCTACCAGGTCCGTGTGTGCTACTATACGTATATCCCTCTCGTCGTTAGCGCATAATAATTCATAGCGTCCCTAACTCATTATACTCAAATATAGCAATAACACTTAATGTGTGTGCTCTGTACAACATGGTACTCATGCTAGCTCTCTCGCTGTGTACAGCTCGTCATATATATTATACAACTTGGCAGTCTCTCACGAGAGTACTATATATCTAGGCTCCTAATATATTTGAGTATTTTTTTCAGGGGCTCTCCACATAACGGCAGATATATCTCACTAATGTCTCAAAGTTTAATATGCAAGCAATATATTTAACGGATTTATAGATTCCTGGACAAATTGATCTTTTACAAACCATCCTGACTACAATACGCCAGGCATATAGGAAGTGTCTGCCTTGAATGCTTAACATCGCATATTTTGTAGATGGACGGATGTCCTCACACGACCTGAGAGGGGGTAGGTTGTCAACTGCCACAACCTGCTCTCAAGTACTCTCTCGATGATATATATTCCACAGCACAATATATCGCATAGGACATTTTGAAGCAATGATCAAAACGATTGAATAATGAATAATGATGCTAATTTATATACTTCACCGGGTTGAACCTTGGACTCTCCCTTCCACGCCTCTCAACTCAGCAAATGACCTTACAATTCGCATATCCTCGCTTCCTCCTCGAGGGCCGACGAATGTTCTTGCTGCGTATGTGAGAAGCCCGAGGTACAAAAGATATGCCAAGAGTCGGTGATGTGCTTGTGTTGGAATGAAACTGTGTAAACGAAAACAAATACGCCCGCATAGAGCCGCTAACTCTCTTACTCTCAACTAATGATATTGTTTTTTGCAAAGAGGTCGTAGTAATCATCTCTTGTATATAAAGCAGGCTTCCTTTAAAAAATTACAGGATCTAAGATAAATACTCTTATTATACTTATCGCAGCGCTTCTTGCTATATATATACACGAGTCAGCATGATAGCATATTTATATCGGCGATGTTTATTTCACTCAGCCTTCTACATAATAGGTCAGGGCTTAGAATCAAGATTTACTGATAAGTAAGAACTAGATGATCTATTAGTGCCATCTGAGCACTGAAATAGATGCTTCCCTGAATTGGTGCGACCAAATTAATTAGTAATATTTTCTTATTCACTCCACTGTGTATCGCGTGATAACAACTACATGTCACTAATCTAAGTACTACCTTATCATTACGCTAAAAGATTTCAATACGTAGCCATACACATGTTGGTGTCAAAATGATTATTCACTATTTCACATCTGAAAAATGGTGGAATCATAATAATCTAGAAAACTAACATATATACTAAACAATATACGGTCCAAAGCAGTTTCAATGTGGACATTATGAAAATGGGTACAGTAACTAAAGATATAATGATATGGTCAATTAACTACATCTTTTCCAAGATTCTAGGATCCTTTATCGGAACGTGTATTAGTACCAAATATTATTCGCATACTAGGATTCCAGAAGAATACCCCCTAATTATCTCGAGTAGATGGCTTACTAATACACAGCACCGCCATTCTCTCTATATCACTCAACTCCGTGCTCTCTCTACCTGCTCTATTACCTTGATCACATAGTGCGCAGTCAACGCCGGGTTGAACAAGGTTTGAACGTGGTAGAATTAATCAAGTCAACCAGGGTAACCCATCTCCCTGTGATAAATATCAATTAATTAACAAAAAGAAATTCATTCGAGTATCAAAATTATTATTTATTAGGGAGATGGTTTACCTGGCTAACTTT